AAAGTGTGATCTCTAAAATAATTTTTAATTAACTCATATATGCCTTGTCTTATCCACATTATACGAAGAAGACATCAAATTAAGTTCTAAGCGTTCATTGTTCAAGAAATGAGAGATGAATCGACCATTATATGCCTTGTTGTCTTGTCAAATAATCATAAAGGACCAAAAGGTGAGGTTGGCCATCGGTGGGTTGCAACATTGCATCTCAACCTATATGATATTTTTTATAAAATTTTATCACAGATTCTCAATAAAATATCTCGAAAGGTGAACTTTCTCAAATTCTAAATGACATAAATAAGAAAAAATGACACATCTGAATCTACTACAATCAAGTGGCAGATAATAATAATAAAAATACCCAATAGGCCACCTCATTCAAGTTTAGCTTTCTCATTTGAGGAAGTTATTTTTTGTGGTAGCAACATTAATATATGGGTCACCTCTATCACCAAACTCCGCAATTCACTTCGTCTCTCAAAGTCTTAGTATTTTTTTCGTCTTTCTTCTTTTTTGATCAACGAAAGAGTTTATCTTGAAGATAAAATTACAATCTTTTTCATGGCCTTCAGCCCTGAGATTGGTAGTGAAGCTACATCCACATTTCAGCTCCATGGTGACAACTGCTACATGCCTTGACAATCTTAGAGAGTAATGCTAGACCATTAAAAGAGAACTAGATGGAGATCAAAATTTCAAATGCTTGGATTTACAATGGCCAAAGATGAAGAAAATCGATCCTGGCTCATTTATTGATTTCTTGAGGAAGGCATCTTCTACAACTTAGGAGCAACCTTCTATAGTCTAAGGGTGTTTTCTTCAGCCTCTTGAAGCACATCTAGGGTTTTTCAAAAAAAATTACATTCAACAAGTTCTTCCTGTTTTGTAATTATTGATCATTTTGGACATGAAGAATAGGTATAGAATCTCAATAAAACTATTATTTTCCTTCTTGAATCTGTTCTTCAATTGACATTTGTAGTTTGTAGGAAAAGAGAGAAGGAAAGAAAAGAGAGAGTAGACAAAAATGAGAAAACATGAAAGATTAATGTAGCTCTTTTCTACTTATTGTTCGTTACTCGAGGGCTTCTCTTCCCTCTTGTTCATGAGACGAAGAAAAACTCTAGAGCTTTTGAAGTGGAACCTTAACTTTTGGGGAGCACGATATCTCTCAATGATCACCAACAAGCACCTACACCAAGCTATGGTAAAAGGATGCAAACTTTTCTTCTTCATTCAACCATCATAAAATAGTCTACAAGGCCTCTCTCTCTCCCTCTCTCTCTCTCTCTCAATTAATCAATCTATCAATATTGTCATTGATAATATCATAAATGAGTCATATGGAGAGAGAAATGTGCCTGTCAATTCTCATCTTCTCTCTTTTATGTGAGATCTATTGGCACCCTAAATAGGACAAAAGAGAATCTTATAAAAAAAGGAGACATACAAAACTTAGCAGGCCATGAAAGAAACTGCAATTTGGCTTACATCTCCTTTGACCACAATATTGAACAGGTTCGATGAATGTAGGCTAGCTTTCTCCAAGTTAGGTCTCTCAACCCATATTTGTATATAGGGGGGAAGCTCGTGGTTAAATCCATATAAAGATAGTGGATGGAGAGCAGAAACTAATTTCAAGACTAGTTGACTTGTCCTTGCATGTACACAGAAATATAGATAGATAGATAGAGAGAGAGAGAGAGAGAGAGAGAGAGAGAGAGAGAGAGGAAATGGTGTATGTTGATGATCAAGGAGAGACAAATGATAGGTCGAAGTTATAAATTGAAGGCTCGTTTTGTCTTATCTTGAGTTCTCATAGACTCTTCATTGTGGGAAGGGAGAGAGGGAACTCTCCTAATGAACTTACACTTAAGTGTTTTGGGGAACTCTAGGCATCATTCAATTCTAGTGTTTCTGATTCTTCTGATGTGTCCACATGGAAAGTCTAGTTGTAGAAATTTTTATATTTCTTAAAATGCTTTGACCTTTATATTTCTGTTCATAAGGAATAATTGTCATTATAGTATGGGTAGACCTTCCTAAAATATCTCAAAGTATTTGTTAGATTTTTAAAAATACTATTTTAGGAAAATAAATAAAACATGATTGAAAATGGCTAAAAAAACATGTACAAGGACTTAGTGCTTGCCCATTTCAAAAGTAATCAACACATGTCAATTTAAAAATCTATGTGGTTTAAACCTTTTGGTGTTCTCCTCTAGTAGGTAGAAATCACTTCATATGTTTGTGCACCATATACATGCAAGTATATATAATATAAATTTATAAATTACAATAAACAACATATCTTTAAATTAGAACATTAAATTTTGTAGAACTAATATTTTTTCATGTTTAAAGCCTTAATTAAAAAAATTACTTTTAGACTGATGGTTGAGATATGTAGGTCCTTTCAAGATTTTCTAGATTTTTGTGATCCAAATCTATACATTTAAATATTGAGTTATTTTCAATTTGAAGAGAGATGAGCCAATGATGAACCAAGATGATGTGGAAGATGAGGGAGATAGCACCAAGTTAGAGCAATGGCAAGGCGAGATGATGGAAAGACAAGCCTACAACCTATTTAGGTGGTGGCAAGATAAATCCATAGCATGTTGAGGCTACGGCGAGACAAGTCCACAGCCTATTGAGGTAGTGGTGAGACAAGCCTTTCATCTATTTAGACAGCATTGAGATGAGCCTATTGCCCATAGGGTCAACAGCAAGACAAGTCCACATCTCATTGAGGTGGGAGCAAGATGAGGTGAGATAGGAATCCAGAAACACCTCTTGAGAGGGGAGAGAAAGAAAATACAAATCTGAATTAATTCATTCAAGGTTCATCCTATATGATAGTTCCTTTGTAAATGCATCACCTAATTGATCTCTAGTTCATGTAGAATAAACATAGCTCACTAGAATCAATCATCTTCAATTAAGTGTTTCTCAATTTTGATATGTTTCGTTATGTCATATTCCACAAGATTGTTGGTGATATTTATGGTGGCCTTATTATTGTAAAATAGTTATGAGTGATAATTAAAGTCTAAAATTTTGTATAAAAAAATTTAATCGTAATAATTTAAGAAGTTGATGATGTCTTTTAGATCTTGCCAAGGTAGTGAGGCAGCACCATTATTTTCTACAAGCCAAAGCTTATGCTAAAAGAAGATGGAGTTTGCCCTAGTAAAGATAGTATGTCTCTTCCATGTTCTTTTTTCTTACTTTGGCAGCCCTCTTTGTCCCTAGCTGTTCTCCCCACCAAGCCCAAAAGGACCTTGAAAGCGTCACTCTCAAAGACCTATGGTTCCACTTTGAACTCCCTCCTCTCCTTCCTAGGCACAATGGTCTTGCCACTAATGTCTAAGCCCAAGCGGTGGTTGCCAAGGGTGAAAGACTACCAGGGAAAGAATAATAAAGATTATGAATATATGTCAAATCATGAGGAATGATAATAAAGTGAGAGTGATTAGAAGACATAGCTAAGTCTATTATGACTCATATGTGATTTGTGGCCTTTTAGATCAACACAAGGGAATCACTCACACTATGACTTCATCTCTTGAAGTGATGAGATGCTTCAAAAGTGATTCTCACATTGTGTGATACAAGAATCATGACTCCTTAATAGCCAAGAGATGGTAATTGTCTACTAATATTCTTTTTCTAATTTTTTATCCATCAAAAAGTTAGAATTAAGACATAGTCTCTACATATAATTATATTTAACTCATGCTTACATAAGATGTCTTATTTTTAATACTTAATCCTTAATGAATCATTCAAATAGAAATTAAAATTAATGATATTTCTATAATATAAAATTGATATATGTATATATATGTCCACATATAGATCAAATCTAATAAGGAGGGCACATCAGTCAATGGCTTTAGTGGAGGGATCATCATCATAGACCTCTTGAAGCACACAAAGGCCATTGAGTGAGGTAGGATGGAAACAGTTCTCTAATGGATCTAGAGTAGGTGTATATAGAGTGGGGTGGGGGGGGAGAGGGGAGAGAGAGCTTTCAAAGGCATAATAGTTAGAGAGTCATTGAGATCAATGGTAGGCCCCATTGATTCTTGATCAATGGGCTTAATTGTAACATTTAGAAGGCTAACTTTGGCATTGTCAAACATGCCGAAGGGATCCTTCTTTGCTACTATTTTGCATATTTATGGGGTCCCCACACATTGTGCCAACAATGCAGTCGAATAATTATAATAATATTTTGGCAGTAATAATTTATATTGTAGAAAAATATGTACTTGGACGAGAAGTCTCTCAATGGGCCAATGGAAATTGGGCTTGGAACACCCTCGTAAGGAAATACATGTACAATTTGGATGAGAATAAGATAAATTATTTGTAATTAGAAATTTAGGTTACATAAAAATTGAAGCTTCACTATTAAATCAACCAAAGTAAAGATATTAATATTTTATTTATTTACTTAAAATTAAATTATATCGTATATTTATAGTGTATAATAATAATATAGTCATTGTTATCCAATACATAGTATTAAATAATTAAATATTAAAAATCTATGAAAAACAAAAATTAATATAAATATCATTATTATGGAAATTTCTCAATGTCTCGGTTCCGCCTGCCCCAGTCCGGGCTGGGCTGGGACTGAAAACTCTTGTGGGCTTAACGTTGCGGCCCAAGTCTGTCAGAGCTTTATGAGTTTGTTGGAATCCCCCTTCGTGGGATTCCAACTAAATAAGAATAAAGTAGTGCCCAACAGGCCCAACCCAAACTCGGCCCGGCATGTTTGGGCCGAGAAGCAGCGACCCATCCTCTCTCCCCCTCCCTCCGATCATCTTTCAACGCTGTTGACTGCAAGGAGGTGGAGACGGACACGTCAGCGCCAGGTGTCGCCACCCTATGGCGACGACAACCGAGTCGCCGCCTCTACCGGCGGACAGCTTCCTCTCGTCGCTAATGCCGGATGAAGCCTCACCTCCTCAGGAAGCGGAATTATGGCGGTGGACAGCCGCAGCGGCAGAGAGAGGGGAGCTCTCTCCGGCCTTTCTTCCTCCTCTCTCCTCTTCCTTCTCCTCCTCGCAGGGTCTCTCCTGATTCCGGTGGCCACGGTGGCGGTGGGCTCGGAGGACGGTAGGCGGCAGGAGCCCAACGCTGCGGAGAGAGCGATGGGGGTAGGGGTGGCGACGACTGGCGGCGCTTGGGAGGCCTTCTGGTCGTGGGTCCGGCCGGGGGTGATGAAGCTCCGACCGCTCACCAGAGCAGAGTAAGTAAGCAGCGGAAGGAAAAATTAGGCCTTGAAAATGGGAATTTGGCGGGATATTATTTTAACCAGTGGTTTCGATTGCTGGTATTTATTTCTTTTTTCCCGTTCTTGATGTGGATCTTGGGATGAAGGATTCCGAGGAGCAGATCGGCGACGATGAAGGAGGCGGCGACGAGGAGCTTCCAGGCGGGCAAGTTGGCGGCGGAGGAGTCGGCCAAGTCGGCGGCTTGTGCGGCAGAGGCGGCCGTGGAGAAGGCATCGGAGAAGGTGAAGAGGGCGGCCCGCGCCGCTTCCTCTGCCATCGCCGGCGGAGAAGTAGAAGGCGACCTATGAATCCGCAGCCGGGAGGTGAAATCGGGCGCGTGAGAGAGAGCACATAAAGTTATAATTTTTATGAAATTCCCAGGAAAATGTAGAACTTTTTTTTTCTTGCTGTGTTTCTAGAGGCAAACGTCGGTTCCTCTTCTTCTTTTTCCGCGTTAGTTGACAGGAAAAATACTCGAAAGTTCTCCCAATAAAGTTCTCATTTTTTTTCCCATAATTCGAGGACCTCGACCTTCTTTTTTTTTCTTTTTTTTTTTTTACTATTTCTCGCTGGCACCTGCATTTAATTTATTTTTTTTCACCGGAAAATATAAGACCATAAAACTTCACTCAGACGAGTTGTTGAATAAAATGAGAGATTTCGGATTTATTTTTCTTCAAGATCATCAAAAAGGTTCTTCATAATTTTAAAATATATATATGGAAATGTCCCAAGAAATTTCTTATAGTTTTTCTTCACCTGGGAATATATATAATTTCTGATCAGCGGGCCCGCGCTGGATAAGCCCAGTTACTGAAGCCCACTTGGGGCCCAACGAGACTCGGGCTACCCAAGAAGGCAAAGAGGGCGGCGGATATTTATTTGTATCTTATTTCCCTTAATTATCCATCTATCGTATCTATCAATATATTCTCTAATGAGACATAAAAGTAGGACTACTTAGCTCGAGATGCCTCGCGTCCTGGCGACAAAGACCCACCCTAACTATGCCAATTAAAAAGCCATTAACGTTAATGGGCCGGGCCCACTGGGCTCATTGACCCAGCCTGGGGCTGACAAGGGAGGCTCACATCAGCCCATGACTTTAATATTAATTGAAAAATTGGCGTCCTCAAGCGTTCTCTCTCTCTCTCTCTCTCTCTCTCTCTCTCTCTCTCTCTCTCTCTCTCTCTTCCCAAGGTGGGAAGTTTGGCGGGTCACAAGATGCTGGTGGCAACGCTGGAGGTGGCGTGGATCTTCAATGGATGCTCCGGCATATACGTGAGGCCTGTCGAAGAAGAAGAAGAGCATCATCAACATGATATATAGATAATTAATTAGTCTGCATATTTATTTTTTCTGATAATTCACAGATGCCTCCCCCTCAGGCACCAAACCCAACCAATTCAGAAAACCATGCGACAGAATCTACCGGAAATAGAATGGACTTGGCAGAACTGGAGAAATCTCACTCAACAGGGGAAAACCAGAGCATGATTTCACTCAATTTAGGGTTAAAAAAAAAAAAGCAAAACTGGTATTCAGAAGCCAATCAACCAGTTCAGAACCGGAGATATAATGGAATCGAGATTGAGCAGGCTGAAAGAGATATGTTTTTGCATATTTATATATACATATAATGTCAGTCTGGTTAAGAGATGGTCTTTTCTGGGCAAATCCCAACCTACATAACTCCAGCTGGAGATTATGTAAGAACATGAAGAACTGAGATGATGGTTTGGGATCTGAACCTTTTTCCTTGACAGATATTTGCAGGGTGTCTAGAGAGATAATCCCGTCCGTCAGAGGGAGCAGCTCGAGCTTGACTGTGGTGCTCGACCGAGCAGGCACACAACTAAAGCCAAACCATAGGGGGGGAAACAAACGTGTCAAGAGATTGACAATTCGGAGGATCAGTGCCATTTATGGAAATGGTAGTAGAGAGCGGTACCCAAGGGGGACGATGCTCTGCAGCCATAGATGTGAGCAGCCCAGATCAGCACTTGGGACAACGTCGAAACCCGCCGGCATATGGTCGTTGAGGGAATTCGATCTCGGGCCTCCATTGTCGCCCTCCTTCGCTAGAGGCACTGAGCTAGACCTCTGCACAATGCTTCCTCGCTGGTCCTCTCCGACTCTTCCAGCGAGTTCTGGAAATCTGGCGAGGGGGGTCATCGGGCTTGTGGGCGAGGAGTTCAAGGACATGACAGAAGGGGGTGAGGTAAACGATGCTGGAGCTAGAACCGTCAAGGTGAGATCTTCATTCGTTAGGTTCGAAGCCTGAAGAGTCATTTCCTGAAAAAGAAATCACAAGGAAGGTGAATATTAGCAGACCGATCTTAAGCTCCAAGGTTCAATCCTTGTCGCTGTGGGCAAATTAGGTAAGAACCTGAACTGGAAGCTGAGAAAGCCCTTCACTAGGCCCAAAGGTTTGCGCTGAGATCTCGGATGCAACTGAGACCATGAGGTCTCTGGTGAAACGGGGACGCCAGCTCGTGGGTTTCTTGAAGAACAGTTTTGATTCTACGAGAAAATGATAGAGTCAACGGGGAGGGAGGAAATCTAATAATTAATAGTTTATTTTTTGAAAATCCTATATTTTCCACGATCAAGAGATTCTGACATAGACTATATCTAAGATTGACGCATCAGGTTTGATGAATAATCGCCACTGATCGTACCTGTGTAGTTGCATCTGCAGGAGACAAGAACCGCATACTGATCGGTTGAAGACAACCTTCTTCCGACTGCAACTTTTGGTATCATCTGTGCGTTTGATGCGGAAGTTCCGACAAACGGCATTGGAAGTGAGTTTTTATCACCATAGCCCTTCAGATCCCTTGCCATTGAGTTTGTGGGCTTCAAAATGAATGAATGCTCTTCTCCTCTCCTGCCATGATTGGAATAATAAAGAAATGTGGGGAAAACACTTTTGGAAAAAGAATACCAAATAGAGAAAATAACATCAGAAATTGATGATGACCACCATTTATAACAAAGAATAACAAAAAAAAAAAAAGATATGTTCCGTCCATTAATACACGACTATATCTGGCATTAACTTATCTTTTTTGATGCCGCAATAGATTAAATAATTCTAGGAGTCGGAGATTAATTATGTGAAGAGATGTTTAGAAAAATGGTACCTCCCAAACCGTAAATAGTTTACCAATTCTAACGCAACATAATTCTAAATGCGAGGAATGTAGATAGGAACAAATATGGTGTCAAGCAGTAGCATTTACGGTGGTGTGGGTGAGAATAATGCGCAATAAACTATGGAACGACACCTTAAACATCAATATAAAGATACCCACTCCTATTGAACTAGAGTATCTGACTTCAATGAATGAATAATTGTGCTCTAAGCAAAGGATATGGCCACCATGGAAAGTAGCATCACAGTGGGTAACCAATGCTACATGGTCACCGTCTGTCATAATAGGCAAATTGCACACTAACGTTCACCGTCTGTCATACTTCAAAAATATCTTCAATGGTATTTCACAACATGTATAAATATAGCGTAAATGCCCCAATCCAATTATGTTTAGCATTGATTAAGCTTCAGCCTTCTTTTAAGATATCTGTAACATACTGAGATTAGCATGCGGACTTCAAGAGGTTCACATGGGTCCAGTTGTCATTAGATTTGAATTCTCCACGAAGACCATTAGATAATTTGGTAACATGGTAATTTGATTCTTTTTTCACCAAATGCAGATACCTAATCACTTTGTATAGGTTGTTTTTTTTTTCTGTTTTTCATCCGTCAGCATTACTAGCACTATTCATGGCACGTGCAGAGGCTCCTCAGCCCCTTGTTTAGAGGAGACAACTAACAGGTCAGCGTCCAGCATTGCCAAAAATTAACAACAAGGGGAGAAACCTCAATGGGGCCTGATACTTCGCAGTATGAGGAAGCTGTGGAAACTAACGCAGATTATGAAATCGTACAATTCCACAGTTCAAAGAAAAAGAGTGAACTGGTCGAAATGGTAGGTTAAAACCCCCAGGCAACAAAATATATTAAGGTCAAATGATCAGGACAAGCTTCCCACTAAAACAATGACATCTCTTTGAGCTCTGGATAGGAAGGTATAACATTTCAATAAATAAATGGTTGATTATAGACGTCTTCCATGCTATCTTTGGCTATGTGCAACTTCTGAGAGAGTTGGGAGCTATAGGTCAGGATACAAAACGCTTGTCCAATGATGGCCATTGACACAATTGAATCCTTTATGGTGATTAGATTTCGTCTTAATTAAATTTTCAATTGAGACAGTACACTTTATGTTTGCATCTTAGTATACCGCCCACATCTGTTTTAGGTATTTATCCAGAGTTCATTGCAAATCTTGTTACCTTAATTTAACAATGGACGAGATACAAGCCTGTACATGATAGATGAACGACAGTATTGGACCAATTAGATCTCCAAGTCCATCACGTCAATTTACATTTTGCGTTGATTGGTCCCAAGATGATAGGAAGAAGCATAACAGCGAATAAAATTACAGTTAACCCGTTTGAGTTCAAGGTATAGCGCCAATGTGAGGTTTATTGCAGTAAAGACTTAACTGAGACTTCATTGCATCAGTAAGTAGATAACAAGAGCAGAAGAAATCAATAGTACAGACAATGTGAGGTTTAAAAGAAAGAGTCATGCACCTTAGTGAAAGGTTGGGCAAACTATATTCATTCCCAGCCTCAATACACGAAATTGGTAAACATATAGGAGGACCGTCTTTAGGTGCCTCCTCAAAGACAATTGTTATCGCATCAATAAATATTACAATATCCAGCAAATGAGCGGGAGAAACATTCTGCAGAGGACTAACTACGTCAGTGTCAGCGAGGCTATAGAAGGAAACATTCAGCAACATTGAATGAATGCAGAACTAAGATGTTTTGGAAAATTACTAGAATGAATTACACTTTACCTTGACTTGAACACACACAAGGTCTTCTGTATTGCAATCAGCACCAAAAGAATGAATTTCTAAAGGCTGGATGATCTCAAGTTTTTTCCTCCATCGCCGGCCAGGAATATAACTACCTTCCAGCCCACAATGTGAGGAAAAACGTTCCGGTTCTAGTGGTACGCCCCGGAAAGACAAAATCCCCTCAGTTCCAAAATCCAGTTTCTTTGTTGCTCCATCTGATGAGAACCGATCAAAATCTTCAAGGTCAAGGCTTGGTTTAGTATTTGGTGGTGGATAAGCAGGGGAAGCTGGAACTGTAGCTTGAGGGATTGCAGACATAGAATAACTCCTAAAATTACCAAACGAAAAAAGTTGTGAACCGGACAATGATGATGCAGTGGACTTTTGGGAGGCACTTCCTATGCCTGGAGCTGATGACAAAGGAGGTGATAGTGAACGACCAGGTGGAGGTAACACACGGTCTACAGGGATCAACCATGTTAGAAGGTCTCCATAAGGATCTTTATCAGCTGGGACGGTTTGGCTGAAATGACTACCAGGACCAATTTTACTGCTCTCGAACTTTTCAAATTGAAGAATTTCAAGAACTGGATCCTTGATATTATCAATTCCAACATTCACCTCTAAAAGTACCTGCATCCTTCCAATAGGTGAAATACAGTTGATAATCAGTAAAATGTTTTCTAATAAAGCTGGTTCATGAGAGTTAAATAGATGTAAAACTGATTTTAAAAATAAGTGCAATAAAAACTGGAATTGAAATCGTCGGAAAACAATTTCCCAGAAACCTCAGTATGCATGAAATACCTATGCATATGACATAAAATATGAAAGTTTCATTATTTTACTTGACTAGGTTAAACTAAAGGAAAATGTATTCACATATTGTAAACCAGCATATATATCCAGAACTAACCATATGGGACAATGTAAGGAGCAAAGACCGTTTCTAATAAAATAGGGTCATTTTTACACATTTCGAAGTTATAAATACAAATAACTTTGGCAGGAAAGGAATGACTACGAAGTAGCTTAAAGCTCTTTGGTCTTTCTAGCATACCATGATGCATATTTAACATTCCTGTTGTCACTAATTCCCATTCCTTTCTTCGTTTTTATAAAGGGCAAGGCCATGGTGCGACATATTGTGGCTGGAGCCAAGTCGGTGGTAATAGCCAGCATCAGAAGCAAGCCTTTTTGTTTTCCCACACATTCCATAAAGTTCTATTTTTTTCTAAGCAAACTACTAGGCAATAACCCTTTCACTCTTCCCATGCTACAATGAGACTCGAACTTAATTTAAAAGAGGATAAAAGGAGCCTTCTTAAAATGCCTGATCAACCTAGTATTAGCTGGTCCAAGTAAGATCAGTAATCTACAGCTGATTCGGTTTCCGTTTTCATTCCTAATTCCAATTGGAGACCAGATTTTTCCTCTTGATTTCAAATCAAGATTAATCAACTCTGATTCACGTTGCCTGATCCACACCAGCATTGCTTGACTTTTCTCTTGAAGTATGCACATGTTTCTACTCATTTACAGATTGATTTATTTAAAATTAAACGGAGAGTTGCCTCCTGATTTGTCTACAGATTTCGCACTATAAAATTATTAATTCCAATGTTAGCAAGCTTGTCACAAATTCATACTACAATGTTATAACATAAGAGACGTGTCATAATTTCCCCTAATTACACATCTGAGCAAACGTAAGTTAGATGAAAGATTAGCTAAACCAAAAGAAAATATGATTTTGATGTTATAAAGTGTAGAAAATAGGCATTTCAAGATCAAATACCAATGATTGAAAACCACAATAAATATGAAACCCAGAAACTGTCAACATGCATATAGTGTCTTTTTGAGTTATATTTCGAACAATCATTTTAGGGGCGTGGATTTAACAACCATCTGTTCACGCAGAATCAAATGCTCTTCAATCATTATCAAGGTATTGATGAAACTGAACCATTTTTTTTCTATGGAGCAGAACAACGTACTAAAACAGAACATGAAATATGATGAATATTAATCTTTTCAATACGCAGACAATTTATAGACGCATACCACTATGTCACCATTATGCAAGGAGCAGCATGTAACAGAATTTCTGGCCACTCCACCGGACACATTTCCATCAAAATTTCCTCTATCAACAAATGCACTAAAAGAGCCACTTCCTGTTGGTAATTTCCTAGGTTCTTTATCATTCACTTCTGGCACACGTGCTTTGGACCAAAGTGGTTCATCTGATTCCGCAATTCTAACAAAATAGTGAGAATTTCTAAAATTTTCCAACATCAATCGAGTTCTTTGTTTGTGATCTTCACTCTGTAGAAAAGATTCAGTAGCAGAAACATCCAGCTGAGTGTTAACCATGTCTGTGATGCCCGTAGTTTCACCATTCTCTACCACATTTTTACTATCAGCCTCCTGGTGGTCACCATTGAGCTTTATTTCTGCATTTGTGGGCCTTTCCACAGAATCAATGCTTTCAAATGTCGGCTTTGGGCTCCCATTTTTATTCATTACTTCAGAAACTCTAAATGGGGTTATAATCTCCGCATCCTTTTTGGGGACTGATAAACATGCTAGAATATGAAGCTGTTCACCTGGTTGCAAAAAAAAAGAAATCAGATCCCTGACAGGAAAAGTGATGGTACCGGATTCCACATAGTTGCATATTCAAAAAACCAAGAGTACAAGAAATATTAAGGCACGCTAAAAGAGAACAACAAAAAACTGTAGGTACCAGGGAAAACAAACTGGCGATCCAGAGAATGAAAGAACCGTATATCCGGCACATCATTCCAATTTTCAGGAAGCTCCTCTGCATTTAAAAGATTAAAACGAATAAGATGTAAGTTCTTGACCAAAACGAACATGCTGTCTCATGCAATTCAAATTTTCAGCAGTGATAGAAGTGAACACCAACAGATGGATATCATTTTTTTATTTTTTATTTTTATACAGCCAAGGATGTGTACAAAGGGGGGGAGCAAGGAAGTAAATAAATCTTTTTCAATGATAATACATGCATTCGACAAAGATAACTTATGTGAGATAAGATAGGATACATACTGTATGGAATAGTTATCCATCCATCGTCTTCACTAACATCCACGTGGCCTTTGATGGAAGCTTGATTCATTGCTATGGGACCTGCAGTGAATGTACTTAAAACTCCCCCATTATTGTCTTTGTCAGCATCATCACTTAATGAAGGAAACGGATCTTCAGCAATAAGTCCCTCAAGTGTTTTGCCAGGAAGAGAGGTAGACAGTGTCTCTTTGTCTTCTGAAATAGACGTCAAATTTGAAGCAGTAGAGTTTGTACTCCGCAATAGAAAATTCATTTTTTTACCTCCTGAGAAATTGACAGATGCTCACGTCATCTAAACAGGGGAAATATCGTTTGAATAGTTCTAGTCCTTGAAATTTAATTTTTAAGCATGGCTTAATATGGACAAGTTAAGAACTACTATATCCACAGTGTAGAGAACCATGCCTTTGCCACTATAATAATTCTGACAATTCGTTTAAATATAATAGGAGAAATACATATTTCAAACAATAAGCTTGTGGCATTGAGATTAGGAAACATATGACTCCGTGCATAATGCACACTAAAGAATTGATCAATACCACACAAAATAACAAGATGAAATAATTTATTGTTTTATGAAATAACGAAAATCTCAAGATCCTCGTGAAGAGCAATCCTTATAACACTCTTATTAATCAATGCTACACATTTCTATCTATGTCTTCCTCAGATACGAAGGAAACGAATCGGTAAATGAAGATGGAAAACCAAGAGAAACACGAAAACCATTATGTGACCCCAAAAATCCACGTGCTGCCATGTTCTGCAATGTGATAAGAAATTAAAAAAATGTTCATCCAGCAGTTGGCTCCCAATCAAAAGTTCACTTTTTCATCGCCTTTGCAACTGGTAATAGTGGTGATCATCCTATTGCCTTCCAAACTGGAAGGAGGAAAAGGGAAGGTCCAAGGGTACAGCCAAATGAGTTCATGACTACAGTCTAGGAAGAACAAGAGATGAAGATGAAAAGTGGATTTAGGTGCTGAGCAGATAGAAGATCAAAGAATACTTTGAAAATTTGGAATGGTGGGACAGAAAATAAATTCATAAAACGGAATGAAGATGCTAACAGAGAAGCTCAGCGAAAACTAGCCACACCTGATGACTAACATCTAGAATTTCCATTTACTAGCTACCCCAAGAACACCGGAGGCAGCAGAAATTTGTACCTTGTGAAGAGAGGCGAGACGATGGCGAGTCGGAGCGGCGACGAGAAGAGTCGACAGCGACAAGAAGCCAAGGCGAGGCAACGGCGAATTGGAGCGGCGGCGAGACAAGGCAGCGGCGAGGTGAGACAGCAAGAATCGATCGATGCCTCCGATCCGAGGAGGGGCGGCGAGTCAGAGGAGAAAGAAATACACGAGATCTGGTTCCACTTTGGAACCGTCCGTAGGTTCTTACAAAAAAACCTTTGAATATATATAATTGTAGATATGTCCTTATAGCACCTTCATTGAACATTATACGAAGAATGATAGATGCCCAGATAGCACCAAAAGGTCAAATGAGGAACCTGTGGGACCCAAAAATATATCCCAAGGTTTCATAAGCATTAGAGGAAGTGGAGAGAAATTTCCATAAATCATATTATTTTAGTCCCAAACAAGGCTCTTATGATTCTATGAAATCCCTTGTGGTCAATAAAGTGAGGTAGATACAGAACATGGTAGGAGAGTGGGGATATAATATTTTTCTTATCAAAATCAAGATCTTTCCAAATATAGTAGCTCAAAAATGCATTCCATGCAATGAAAAACGACCTTGGCTCCTCCCATTTATGTTAAAGATAACAGTGATTCTTCATGCTATTCAACTAAATAATGGATCATCTAGTTCATTAATTGCCATTAGAGTAATGATTTCAGCTTAGACTATCTAGAGAGATGATTGGAACAATAATAATCAGCTGATGAACTCTAATTGGCATATGTTAGTAACAATGATGTGAATAAACTAACTTACTCCATCTAGGCAAATGGCCGTTTCATAAACATTTGCTAGATCTTACTAGTCACATACATCTGTTAGATTTCAAGAGCTAGATCTTGCACTTTCTCACTTTCTTATGACAATCATACATGCAATAAATAAATAATCAACTTAGTCACCATCAACTAGTTTTGAATTGGACAATGAAATGCTTCAACATGGTATATATTTATATATATATATATGCAGCGACATAAATGGACCCTGAATGGACCGATGGAACCTCTTTCATCTCTCAATGCACTCGTCCGTTCGGATTAAAGTTCGAAGTCAACGCCTTATCCAGGCTTCCAGTCCGTGCGCCGCCACCCATTATCGGCCCTGGCGACCCAGAGAGAACCTGTCCCACACGTACGCTGCTCGCCGCCGGTCAAACATGGACACGTGCTACTCCGAATTCCCCTGCTAGAATTCAGCCCCCCGGGCGAACATGGTGGCGCTAAAATTCAGTCACTCCCATGCAGGTTACTAGTGGCCGCCGGTATACGCCGCTCGCACGTGGGAGTTCCGTGAACTGTCCGTGCCTGTTCCTAGTCAACGGGGAGTCAATGGGGAGACACCCCGGGGGCGACATGATCACTCTCCTCCACGCTGTAGGCCCGCGGCCGACGATGCGAGGAATCCCCTGTCGTGACGTAGGTTTTTTTTTAGTTGCAGGGAGGAATCGATCGATTTTTTGAGTCGTTTTCTCACGCCACCTACCGGCTTTGGGTATTAAGAACCCATCATCGGCCATGGAGGAGACAGCAGGCTTTCGCGGTCGTACAGAAGATGTTCCTCCGACTGGAGCCGTCTCCTCCGGCATTCTTCGCAGCACCCTGTATGCCCTCTTCTTCTTCTTCTTCTTCCTCGGGAGGGGCGATCCATCCTCTCCGTTGAATGGGGGGATTCAACTAGGAGCCTGCATCTCTCCTCCGTCCCTCTCTCCAGGTCTGCTGCCGTTTCCCCGCCACTCTATGAACTTCTCCCTCTCCCATTAGCTCCCAGTGGCCTCTTCCTCCCTCTTCGGTGCCCGTGATGGCTTCTTCCCCGAGCTCTGCTCCTGGGAAGCAGTTGAGGCTGAAGGATTTCCTCAGGGAAGAAGAAAACGATCATTCCCATTACAGCGGAGGCGACAGCGGGTATTGTAATCCGCCGCCGGTGGGCCAGTCGGAACAGACAGTGCGGTACCTTCTCGCCATGGAGCTCCGCGAAGGCGCCGGTGGGGAGACCCCACGGAAGGGGACGTCCGCCGGGGCCGTACTGCAGAGAATCACCGAGGCGATAAACGCCTTCGAGGTCATATCTTTCGTTTCCTTTTCCAACTGGCGGCTCTTGAGGAGCCCCCGGAGAAAGCGGGAGAAAGAGAGCCATCCGAAGGAGAACGAAAGGATCACGATGGTACAGCAGAGATCGTCCGGCAAGGAGGCAAAGGACTCCGCCGACATTAAGAACCTTATCCAGATGCCACTTTCCACCGTAACGAGCATCGACAGCACCACCAGCAGCACCGGAAGCGGCGGCGGCGGTGGCGACTGGTCGAACACGGAATCACCCGAGTCCGACTCGTCCTCCTCCCCTGCCAGCCCTATCTTCTGCGGCGGCGAGGCCCCCACGACGCCGACAGACCACCGAGAACCCCTGGTCGTCAAGGTTCGCTCTTCTCATTCCATCCTTCTTTCCATTAGAGGCTCCGTAAAGAACTCTTCTTGCCGGCGAGGGAGGGGGATTAGTATCACGACCCGGCACCTTCCTTCCGACAATCGGAGGGTCGGAATTATCTTATCGGCGCCGCTGCGATCATCTCCGGCAACCCTTGTGCTATCCACGTGGCACCCCAGAATCCCTTGCGCCGACATTGTCGGTCGCCCCAAGGACGATTCCCACCCCACCGGACGACCCGCATTAACACGTGCGAGTGCCGTTCCAGAGAGAGAGTTGAACCCATTAGCTGTTGTTGCCCTACAGACCGCCAATTGGCCGGCCGTATACCGCCCCCGATTGACGGTGACGCACGTGTTTGCTGCGCCGTCGGAAGCTGCGGAGTTAAAGAGTTTTCGGATTTAACCGGGTCATCTACCTCTTCTTCCCCACGGGCGCCACCCAGTCCGTACCGTTCTGCGGTCAGGAAGTCTGACCAATCTGTTTGAAAATGGCGGCAGGGAGAGGAGACGGGGGGAGGTCTGGGATTTCCATGGAACTGCGAGGAGACGGACGAGCTGAGCCCCGTTACAATCCTGGACTATCCGTACGACGACGACGAAACGGCGGCGGCGCCGCCTTCCTTCGAATGCAACGTCGCCAACCTCGAAAGTAAGTCCTTTTGCTTCTAGTATACCTCAACACCGTCTTTATTATCTGAGCTCGCCGGCGACAATCTGGTTCCCTCGTGTTCTCGGGGTGGACCAGGAACGAAGCAGCAGTTCGTGCAGAAGCTCTGGCTAGCCGAGAGCCTCGCCGTGCCGGCGAAACCAGTGGACCTTGAGCCGGAGCCAGCTTCAGCGGAAGACGACCATCTGGTGCGGTGGGCCTTCTCGCTTCTTTGGGAACTCGAGCGCCGCGGCGGCGTCGCCCCGGGGGAGATGGCTGGCCGGAGCGCCGACAGGTTGCTGCTGGACTTCTTCGTGGAGGGGCTGACCTGCGCAGAGCAAGCCGACGCATACTTCCACGGCGGCCGGAGGTGGAGCAGGAAGAAGCCAGCGGAGCAGACGGCGGAGAACGTGGAGGAGAGGCTGCTGCGGACAGCCGGGGCTTGGGTCTTCGACCACCAACCGGGAGAGGGAGTCGACGGCTGGCTGTGCGAGTGGGAGGAGATGGAGTGGTGGGGGACGTGTTTCCACGAGGAGAAGGAGGAGATCGCCGGGGTGGCGGCGGCCGGCCTGCTGGAATCGCTCTTCGACGAGCTGATCCTCGAACTGTCTGAAAACCGGACAGTTGGAAGCTGACGCTCTACTATGGACGTTTGTCCCGCAGAGTCTTTCTCATGTATAATAATTTCGGGGTTTACTTTCTCCGTCCTCGCCGGCGCCGCCGCGAGATGGGCAGTTTAAGGGAAGCTGTCGAGAGCTCCCCCGCCACCGGAGATGGAAATCAGCGGCAGACCCATTCCCAAGAAGTCGGCGCCTGTTGACTCCCGTCAGCGTAAGGTCAACCCAACCCCGCCAGGGAGTTGAGCTCGGGCTGACGAGAGTAAACAGGCGCCGCCCTCTCCCTTTTCCGTCCATTTGGGAAGATGATCGGCCGGCCCAAAGCAGAAGTATCTATATGAGCTTGGGCCGTAGGCCCAATTTTCCCTAGCCCACAAAGAACATCACATCATAATCCCAATTAACCGCGGCAGACGCGCCCCGCCTATCCTCCCTGACCTCGTCAGCCATCTCTAGCTCCATTGACCAAATCAACTGGTCTACGCAGAAAAAAGAAAATATTTTTTTGATAAATATTCTTCGACCATATTTTATTTTTTTATTTAACGCGGTTGACTTTGCGTACATTAAAATCGTTTAGAGTGTACAGAGCGGTACCCTTGGGTAACAAGTTACGTAGATGATTTGGTTACAGAGCCTACGGACAACAACTCCACTAACTACGTCGGGCGTCTGGGAAAAAAAAAATGACATTTTTCTTTGTCGATGCCTTTGAGCATCCAGGGCACCATTAATAGTTGAATGAAATAAACGAGAGATTCGATGCTTCCGTCTATCGTTGATCTCTACCCTCTCTCTCTCTCTCTCTCTCTCTCTCTCCCTCTCCCTTGCCACCTCTGAGAGCCATAGTGAAAGTCTCGTCTGAATCGTTTGCAGAGAGAGAGAGAGAGAGAGAGAGAGAGAGGCAGTGCCTCTCGAGGGCGAGGAGAAAACAAATGGACATGCCAGCGCTTGTACAGCATCCTACTGCACGTGTCTCTGAGGGAATATCGTGGCGTACGTCCTGGGGGCTTGGGTCCATAGCGCCTGTTCCCACGGCGGAGCTGCAACATAGCCGGCGGCGCCTCTCGCCTGTGGGCCACCCGGCAACGACCGACACGCGGGGGAGAGAGAGAGACGTCACTGTGACTATCTCTGTTCCATCAGGGTCATTACCCCCGAGCAGGAAGAAAATAGGGCGGTGAGCTCAGCAAGGAAGAATCGGGAGAGACGGAGATGGGGGAGTTTTTAATTGGGGGGGGGAGGGTGGGGTTGGGGTTGGGGCAGGGGAGGAAGGGGAGAGGAGAAAGGGCGTAGATTGAGTTTCTTCTGTTAAGCCTTCCCGGTAACAGTTGTAGCGGAGGTCGTTGTTCGAGTAGTTGGACTGATATCTGCTCAGTCGTCGTCCTCTTCGTTCGGCCCGCCTGCCTTTATAATCCCCCCCCAAGCTTCTTTCCTTTTCGAGATTTCCCTCGCATTCTGACGAGGGCTCCCTCTCGTGCCCCTTTTCTTCTCCTCCCCCTCTTCTTCAAGATCCATCGGTGGGAATAGAGGGAGAAGGGGAGAGAGAGAGAGAGAGAGAGAGAGAGAGAGAGAGAGAGAGAGAGACGGGAGGAATGGGGAAGGGAGGGGAGGAGCAGGCTCGGTCCCTGTTCGGAATAGGGTTGACGGAACGGCCGAAATGGCATCAGTTCCTCATTTGTTCCTCGGGCTTCTTCTTCGGGTACCTGGTCAACGGCGTCTGCGAGGTAACCCCCCATCCTTGTCGGAAGAATCGCTCCTCATTTGGATTTCCCGAGGGCTTTCTCTTTTTCTCTTGACGGATGACGATCTACGTCCTTCTCGGTGCCGATTGTGGATGGGGCAGCTGCTCCGATCTCGGATGTTCTCTTTCATCTGTAGAACCGGTCATTTCGTCCCACCTTGAGAGAGGGGGGTGGGGAAGGCGCGAGTTTGTTCTTTGTGGATGTTCGTCAGAACCTCGATCTTAACTCCATCACCAGTTCCAGATGATTCAACATAAAAAAAAGAGACAAGAAAGGAACCATCTTGTTCTTCGGGATGGCAACACACAACGATATCGCGAATGCCGACGATTCTTGCTAATTACTGGAACTAATTTCTGAATAATAATCCCCCTTTTTCCTGGAATTGCAGGAATATGTGTACAATCGCCTTCAATTCAGGTGAGCTAGAACTTCCTAAGAAATTTATTTTGATTCTCCTTTTATCAGTCCTGCCTTCAGCATTTCCGCAGCTCAAGAACTGTTCTTGGGCCAAATCGATGGACTGGCTTCTCTCTCTGAATTATTCGTTCCTGTGTTCTCCAGCTACGGTTGGTACTTCACCTTCGTCCAGGGGTTCGTCTACCTCGTCCTCATCTACTTCCAGGGCTTCACCACGAAGCAGATGGTCAACCCCTGGAAGACCTACGTTAAACTCTCGGCCGTCCTCATGGGCTCCCACGGCCTCACCAAGGGTTCCCTGGCCTTCCTCAACTACCCGGCGCAGCTCATGTTCAAGTCCACCAAGGTGAACACGGAGGCACAGAGCCTGACCCAGTAGAAACTACTGGTTTGTCTTTGAATTGGTTCTTCTGGGTCTTAATTTTCGCACGGAACAACTTCTGAGTTTCGATTTTCCCTATCGGAATTGCAGGTTTTGCCGGTGATGGTGATGGGGGCCTTCATACCCGGTCTCCGGCGGAAATACCCCGCCCACGAGTACGTCTCCGCGATCCTGCTCGTGGTGGGTCTGATCCTCTTCACCTTGGCGGACGCCCACACCTCCCCCAACTTCAGCGTCATTGGGGTGGTCATGGTCTCCGGTGCCCTCATAATGGACTCCTTCCTGGGCAACTTCCAAGAAGCCATCTTCACCATGAATCCCGAGACCACACAGGTGGATCCCCTCTTCTGCTGCAAACCTCACCGCGTGTTCTGATTCCGGCATGGAATTGGTCAGCTAAGTTTTGTTTTATTTCTCTTGGGACGTTGTAGATGGAGATGCTCTTCTGCTCCACCGTCGTCGGGCTGCCGTTCTTGATCCCTCCGATGGTCCTAACCGGGGAGATCTTCCGGGCCTGGAACTCGTGCTACCAGGTAACTCCTCGATTAAGCTCTTCAGCTCTGCAATCAAGGAAGAAGATGAACTTTCCCTGTTCTTCTCGTGTAAACACGGGCTGTAACCTCCTTACGGAACTGAGAACGACGGCGAAGTAGTGGTCATCCTTCTTCATACCCCGTGCCGCCCACCTTCCCTGACGGCGTCTGCTGGCGTGACGAGAAGAAGAAGAAGAAGAAGACGGGCTCAATCAGTGGCCGCGGATCATCGGACGTGGGCTGACCTGGTCGTCGTTCCTTCCTCGCTGACGTATTTATCACCATTTGTGCAGCACCCCTACGTCTACATCGTGCTGATCTTCGAGGCGATGGCGACGTTCGTCGGGCAGGTCTCCGTGCTGTCGCTGATCGCCCTCTTCGGCGCCGCCACCACCGCCATGGTACCCAGCCGAGCTCGCACCGGCTCGTTACGGAATTGATTCATCGAGGCTATTAATCCTGAGGCGCGTTTACCGCAGGTGACGACGGCGAGGAAGGCGGTGACGCTTCTGCTCTCTTATCTGATCTTCACGAAGCCCTTGACGGAGCAGCACGGGACGGGGCTCATTCTCATCACCATGGGCGTCGTCTTGAAGCTTCTCCCGGAGAACAAGGACGTTGGTTCTCGGAGACAGAAGCAGCAGCAGCAACAGCAGCGGGAGCAGCATCATCACCACCTTCCGCCGCCGGATCAACAGCTGCCCGGTCAGGGGCGGTGGGCAAATGCGGATGATGATGAGGAAAAGAGGCCACTTGTCTGAGGCTGAGAGAGAGAGTGTGTGTGTGTGTGTGTGTGAGAGAGAGAGAGAGAGAGATGGGGCGGCGGCGGTGGTCCAGGAAGAAGGGACCTCCGTATTCCTGTTTTCTGGCGGGGAGGGCGGAGCCCTGGTGGGCTAACTCGGCGGCGAGATCGTTCGCTCGCCGAGCAAATCCCTGAAGGGGTGATGGGTAGCTCTTCTGCAACGTCACGTCGAGGTTCCTTGCTTAAAGTTCCTTAATCAGGGATCGCAGTTCCTCTGTGCTTGTTTCGTTGACTTTCTATTACCCCTGGAAAAGGAAAATAAGGGCTACATGCCTTCAACCTCATGGAAAATGAGCTTTAACTTGGTCGTTGCCTGTTTACCTTGGAAAATGACCCACACCAGTGCACAAAACTGATAGCCCACGTAAATCAGTTCTTCTTGAAAAAGGTAGAAAATATTTTTTCTATGAATTTAATTATCATCTAAAAGGTAATTAACTTGCTGTTGTTCATCCCCGGGTCAACGGCACCTACATGACGCCCTGAGTAAAGACCCTTAAAAGATCTCATTCAATGCGTTTTTGTACTTCGGGCCTAACCGCGGGCTAGTCAACGATGGCTTGATTATCTCCACGAGGGAGATAATGCCAGCAATTAATCCGAATCTGGTTTCTTATTATGGTAATATTTTTATCCAGAAGCAGTTAGGGCTTCATTGCTCTAATCGTCCTGGTCATTCATTTTTCTTATTAAACTCAAAGACAGTGATAAATATCCGAAATGGAGTTTATCTTGCTCCGAATATTTTCTAGGATCCGGGTGGGCCCCACAAGTTAGATTTCATTAGTCCTTGGTCAACGATTGATCTGAGCGGACTGTTACTCTTCCGACCCTCCTAACACAGGATAAATAGGGCCAAAAACAGATAAATACATAAGAGGCAAGAGCCCAACGGATCGCCGTCACTTAAAGCTGCCGCCGGCTTTGACTCCTCTTGAGAGGACACGTATTAATGCCACGGCATGTGTTACTACCAAACATCCACCATTCATTCTTGGCAAGAGGATAACGAACATACATGAATGCCCAACCAAGGAACGTGGCCATGAGCTGTGCCTGATGGATCGATCTGGCAGTCAAACCCGCAATGCATGGATCGCAGAAGACCCGCGTACAGCCTAAAGAATGACTAAACTCGTACGTTGGCATGATTTCTTTGATAGATTTCAACCCAGACAAGCTCCGACAAGGAACTATCAGCTCACAAGCCCTGTACTCTCTTGTTTTCTTCTACTTGATCTCTGGGATCTCTTCTACTTCACCTTGACTCCCACATTCCCAAACACTCCGTTTATCCGGCTATCTCCTTAGAACCCGGAAATCTGGTGAGCAGCATCTCCTTCGCACCTTCGCACCTCTACTCCCGAGCGCCGTCCCCCTCTTCTCGTTAAACACGGGCATCGCCATGCCGGCGCCGAGCGGACACCGGTGTTTGAATGGAACGAATGGCCTCCGCATAGAGCTCCATCATTTATTGACGAGGACATTTCTTGACGGCTGAAGGGAACAGATGGGTCTCTGAAAGCCGTTCGCTCAACCCAGCGATCGTCCACGAACGTCCTAAGATCTTTCCAGGCTGCCTTCAAACAGCCACCTGTTCCTTTCAGACGTTAAGGAGCGTCCTCTTCATTACCTATCTTGAGGCTGTTATACTACGCCGCTGGCAAGAAATGAATATAGAAGACCCACTGGTGCAATCCAACTGCCACACCAACCCGCAACCCAACACCACCATCTCCTTCCGCCTTTCTTGCCCCAACGATCTTCCCACTCCCTACCCAGCAGCAGGCCATCACAATACTCGAGAACACCCACCCCCTCGCCTTCTCCCGTGAGGCAGTCAGGTAGAGGGGAGTTGATAATCATGTTTAGAGAAATAAATATGAGTTTAGTCATCATTCGATGAATATCATGAAGTCTGAAAACTGATGCAATATTTAGTCGATCATGTTCGCTATGTATCTTTAGAATTATATACTAGATAAAATAAAGTCATCACACAAGTCATTGCTGGAGTATTTATTACCAAGGTAAATAAATCGATACGCAAAAAATCTATGGTATAATGTGGAATAATAAACGATACATTACCCGTTAGAGTAGAAGCAATCACAAATATTTGATTGATTACTGCTTTGGAAAAAAATAATTGAAACATATGCGTTAGTGTCGTGTAGATAATAAACAAAGGGGCTAAAAAAAAATCATATTTATAAATTTATGGTTCCAACGTATTAAGTTGATCTTTATTCTCCTTCAACTTTGATCCGTAAAAGTTGGCGTGAAAATATGTTTGTGATCAAAGTTACATGCGATTTTAAATTGTTCTCATATTTACTCACATCAATCAATGAGTTTCTAGTAAAATCATAAATATGTACCAAACTTTTTCCGCATGCACTTAAATTACACTTATTTATCGAATTGATCAAATGATTAAAAATAATACGCTGAATATTTAATTTTTTAATACCTAGCTAATGTTTTAAATCTGATCCCTATCTATCAGGCAAGAAAACAGTTCAACGTCTGTGTAGGTCGAGCTGGTTGTCACAAAGATGTGACGTCGTGGTCGCTCCCTCTCCTTGCATTCTCTTTCCTGATTCTCTGCTGGATTTCACTCGATTTTTTAGAAAGCCCACGTGCAGTGGGTTTCCTGTGGGGAGAGAGGGAGGGGGAGAGAGAGAGAGAGAGAGAGAGAATTAATCATATCTACCATTATCTCTTGCCTCCCTCTTCTCTCTCTCTCTCTGTCTCCCTCAACTTTTCCTTACACCTGAAGTGAGTTTTGGGAGAAAGGTAAGAGGGACATGTGGATACAGGAATGAGACTTCTCTTTACTGTTGTGTTATAACTTAAACTTCCTCAGATTCCCCTTCGTTTCCGTAGAATGTGGGTTAGTGGGTGCATCCATACTAGGTCCAGCTAAACTACTTAGGGTTAATCATCTGAAAGGAGTTTGTGGAATAGGCAAAGAATGGTCTTCTCATCTCTTTGACATGCTTTCCATCCCGAGATCTTTCTTACTCTCTCTGTGGATGGAAGAAGATTCCACTAAACGACATAAAATCATAACATCGCCATCTTCCTCTATTCTCTCTCCTTTTTTTCTTCAATATTATTTTATAATCAGACGGCAGTCTGATCTCCACTAAGCATCTTGGCTCGCCTTTAGTCTGTAACCTTTAGTCTCTTCGCAGTTGACCTTGGCTCGCCTGCGAGGCTCACCTCTGCGAGGGATTCGAAAGCCGGCGGCTTGGTCAAGATCGGGAACGTGGGGGGGAAGTTGCTCTTCTCCTCCTCGCCAGAAGAAGCATATCATGATGATGCTGACTGAATTGTCGGCGGTGGAGCTCGTGAGCCCAGAGGTCACGAGTCGAGTTAGAAGAGACAATGGGTCTCGCTTCCCTCGCCTCACGTACCTGCTGCACTCCTCCACGAAGGAGGCCCTCCTGCGCCGCTTCTGCTCCGCCGCCGTGCAGTTGACACCCGCGAGATGATGAGCTGCCCCATCCCCAAGTACTGCATCGTCCTGGTCAACGCTTGGGCGATCGGACGACACCCCAAGTCCTGGGAGGACCACCGTCTGAGTTTCTCCAGGGAGTGTCCACGCCCTGCAGTGTGGTGCAGCTACTGCCCGGAGTCAACGGTGAAAAGCCGAACGTGGACGAGAAGCTCGGCCTGGTTCTGGAAAGAGAGCAGCCCTCGGTTCCGACTGTGAAACCTTTCACCGCGAAGTATCTTGCAGAATTGATGAACAGATACGTGATCCCACGAGAAATCTCAGATTTATTTTCTATTCCATTTTCAGCAATGTTTATTTGACTCCAACTATGGAATAGGGAACATAAAAGTTCCATTCTTGGAGCGTATACTCAGTCGAAAATCGCATCCATGCACCGTAACTTGACCTGGGAAGAGTAGCCTTCCAAAGTCCTCTACTTCGTCTTCTTCTTCGGCGGCGGGGAGGTCCCGAGTAGAGCGTCGTCCCTCGCGAAGCTCCACCACAGGTGAGTCAAGGGAATGGCTATGGCGTGGCACAGGGTGTGGCCGTCGACGAAACCTCCGCGAGGTGGGAAGTCAACGACCTCGATGAGCACGGCGAGGCCGCCGGCGGCGCCGACCGCCCACATCTTGTAGCGGGAAGGATGGCGTGTCCTGCCGGCCCAGGTCGACCAGAGGAGAAGCTGAGCTACGCCCATGGCGGCGCACACCGTCTTGTTCCACCCTGAGGGGATTCACCGGGGCCCAGATGCAGAGTTATCGGCAATCTTAGGAAAATCGAACGAAGTTCTGTAAAAGTCAACTACCAACAGCACGAAATCAAACCCAGATTATAATTTTCCCTTGTGAGTGCTCGTCTTTTCTTGTTAGATCACTGGCTCTCGTGAAGCACGAAAAAAGAAGAGGACGTAGCGCGTGAACCCTAAGAGGATAAAGCTGGGAGAGCCGAGCCGAGATGAAGCCTACCGTAGTCGAGCTCTGCGTAGTTCAGGTAGAAGATGTGCGTAATGGCGAATCCCAGCACTGGGGAAGCAACGATGACCCTCGATTCCTCGTTCCTCAGGTTGAAGGTCCGAACGATGGATAGAACCAGGGAGTACCCGACCAGCGCCACCGCCGCCGAGTAGGCCAGCCTCTCCGTCACAGCAAACTCCCTGCCGGGCTCACAGGAATCAACTTATGACCACTGCACAGATAGAGTGGGAGAAAGGAAGAGATGGGGAGAGGGAGAGAGAGGAGAGAGAGAGAGAGAGATTCTCTTACCGAACGTGGAAAATTGAGCTCCAGAACCAAGCGTTCGTCGCTAACAAACCCTGGATATGCCACAGACCGGCGTATTCGTAGGAGTTCGTCCCGCAAGGTGACTTGCGGCGCAGAAGAAGGAAGGACAGCCATCCGTAGAGCTGCGCTATAAGATTAAGCCCCGGAAGCGCGGCTGAAACCATGTTCTGCAAGAGAATGGACACTTTCGTTGATCTCCCAAAAACAACGAACAGATCATCTTCACCAGGAGGTCGATCAGAATGCGGACCAGGAGAAAGCCCGAGCGCATCTGTGGCCATTTCCCGTGGTATTTGAGGGGCTCCAGGCCAAGCTCTTCTCTCTCCATCTCCCTCTGCGCCACGCAGCTGCGTCTGCAGTCGCTTCTGAAAGTCCATTCCCTCCACATATGTAGGATCCTCGGAACATCAATGGCGATGGCAGCAGACGAGGGCTGGCAATGCTCGGCCCTCTCGCATCGTTCTACGCAGCTTCTGGTATCAACCCGAAAATGCCGGTCGGTCAGTGAATTCTTAGAAAACACCTAATCTATCTACGAATCTCTTCTCTCTCTCTCTCTCTCTCTCTCTCTCTCTCTCTCTCTCTCTCCCAATCCATTTAGACAAAGCGTCACAGAGGCGAAAAAGCAGGAAAGAAGAAGGAATGGGCATTACATGTAGAGAGGATCGGCGTCGCCAGCGCCGGCGTGGAGGACTCCGACAAGCCAACCCAACAATGCGAGGACCATCAGCCAGCCCGTTGGTCTCGCCATCTCCGCGGCGGCGTTGCACCCGAATCTAAAACCAGCTGCCACTTCCGAGAAACCCGGAGATCGCCGGAGAGGCAAAATCACTCCTAGCTCCCAATCTCAGAACCAACCTCCCCACCTTCTTCCCCCAGAAAGAGAGAGAGAGAGAGAGAGAGAGGAACGAGGAAGGCATTCGGCACGGGGAACATCCTCCGGACGTTTTCCAGGCTGCCGCCGTCGCTTCTGTCACGAGTTATACTGAATAATTAATTATAATTTATATCCCTCCATATTAAAACCAGGTGAATTTATATTGTAAAATAAATTTCCATGTTATTGTAATAATTTTATAATAATTTTACTCAATATTGCTTGTGATATGTGGCAAATATGTGTGCATTATCATTTATTAGAGTAATAATGCATCGATATAATAAATTTACCATCAAAGTCAATGTGTGGGGTCCAATTGATCAACGCCAATGTCCGTAAGCGGGGGAGATGAGAAGATGGAGGAGCAAAAGGACGTTTTCAGCCATGACGTACAGGCTTCTCTCTCTTGGAAGGAGTTCACCGGGGGTATCTTCAGGAACGGCTATGGATGAGAATGGCTGGCGTCCAGTGGGAAACGGACAACTTGAAATCACAAAGCCGAGGGGGAGAGTAGAATGGCCCCACCGGCTCCAGTGGAAGCGGCAGTTCGGGATTCCTGAATGGCCTCGATCGCGCTCCCCCTCGCCTCCGTCCTCAGTTCTTCTCTGTGCGGGCCTGGGACGAGGCGGATACACAGAATTTCCTCATTCCGCGATGTTCCCCGCGGGAAGTCGAGCTTGCTCTTCCCGTCGTCGCCATGTGTTCCTCCTTCCCCCAGTCTTGCTGCTCCGAGTGATAGGGTGCGGCGAGGCGGGGGACGCGTCAACGCCGCATATGTGTCGGCTCCGGCCTCCGACGCCAACGTTGGTGCGGCCGCGGTTTCCAGTTTTCAGAACAGGGAATCGCCTCCCGCAGCCGCGGTTGTAAGCTCGGGAGTAATATTGGCGCTAATGGCGCGGCATACGCTGCGGATCACCGTGTCCCTGTTGGCACTCATTGGCTGCACGTCCTGCACCCTTTCCATGCCGATTTTGTCTGGTACGAATTCCCAACTGTTTTATGCGTCCTGCTAATTTTGATCGCACCATTGTTGTTGGGGGAATTCTCATCCATTGATTGATCCCACCATTCATTTACTTCGGGAAATGATGCTGATATTTCCCATCGACCGACAGTGGGTACAATACTGATAATGCAACTATGATGATATTGTGACATCATCTTAATTTTCAATAAAGTTCCCGTGGAATGTTGCTCATTTCTTACTCCGTTTGGTCATCTGAGGCCAAGATGAGGGAAATGCGGTGGCCTTCGTGATTTGTGGATATTGATTTCACCTTTAGGCCACAAAAGAATTAGAGCAACCAGGTGCAAAAGCACCAAGTAGAATTGAGCCGTGGGATATTTCTTTCAAATATCTTCGTGGAGATTTTAGAATAGAGAGGGCACCAGAAAGTCTGGGAGATGGAGTGTTCTGTTCCTAGCAGTCTCAGAAGAAGACACGTTACGTAAATGTATTCGAGGACCGAGTGGAACTTCCATCTTTCACCATCTACATATAAATGCTTCTCCTTATATGGCACATCATCGGCAATTAATGCCCATATAGAAGGAGTTTTCTTGCTAAATGAGGAATAATTGGGTATTTTTTGGTTAATTAATTTACTTTTTTGTCTACCTCTCAAGAATGTGTTCCTTTCAATCTTGGAAGGCTCCATGGAAAAAATGATGAGAGGAATAAACATTATCTGTAGATCTGTAAAGCATTTCCTTGGTAGATTACCAAGGTGACTACAAGAGTGTACTATTTTATATGGATCTGGATGAACTGCACATCCTTGAGAGGTTTTTAAGACAGCTTCTGCTTATGGTTGGGGACCACCTGAATCTCCACAATATATCTTACGATATTTTAGTTGGTGGGTATTCCTTTTAATATAACAAAACTCAGTTTATAAAGCCTTGTTTTACACTGGAGAATTGCACCATGTTTCTTGTGGGAAAATATCACCAGGCTTGTGATAATTCGATTAGAGAATTTACTAAGTGCATCAGATAATGACTATTATGTAAATGAAATAGTTACGAATCGAAAGAATTTGGAGAGTAGTTTATGCTAACTCGCGAATATTAGCTCTGCAAGATAACCCTTATAAGCCTATTCAAGACTAGATGATGAAGGGGAACAAAAATCAAACAGAGAAAATCATTAATAACAATTAGAAAGAGATTAAAATCAGATTGTAAAATAGTAAAGTGATATCTTCTCATAATATCCTTATTTTCTTCTCCTTTTATTTTGTGCATCCTCCTCCTCTACAGTGCAATGCCTGGCATCGGTTAAATCATCACTAATTGAAAAATCTTGTTTGGTCGGCTCTTTTTTTCATTATTTTTGGTACAGTGTCCATTCTATATTAGATTGACTAATCTACCGAACGGTTGACTGTCCTGTGGCGGAGTTTTTTCAATCATACTCTGGGCGATTTTTTTTCTCCATGATGTTAAACGAGCTTTCGAGTCAGCTGGGAAAACAGTCTGAGACACTTGCAGTATCACACCCACTCGGGATGTTGATCTGGCTGGAGAAATTGAGTACATCACACTATCTATATTTAAGTTCTTACTTCGATTTTTGGTACATTTTAGTGCATCCTCTACTATTTCCCAGTTTTATGACGATGTTTGCTTCCTACTAGTTCTTTCTCTGTGCCCTAGTGGATCTATCTTATAAAGTAAATTATTTCTCTTTGCTTTAATGATCGTGGGATGGTTAATTCCTCAAAAAAAAAAATTGATGTCTATCTCATATCTGAAGTGTCAAAACTGCTAATCTAAAGAGGCATATGATGGACACTAATGTGGTAGTTATGAGAATTTCTCAGGGAAACTCTTTGAGATTCTTGTGGGGAGAAGATCAGAGCCTTTGTGGGAGCTTCTTTTACAAATCGCGGTGGTATACTTACTGGAACCAATTTTCACTGTTGTGTTTGTTGTAAATATGACCACCATGTGGGAAAATGTGATGGCAAGCCTGAGAGCACTGGTTTTTCGAAGGATGCTAATCCAGAAGGTATGTAATGAAATCGCTGTTTGAGGAATGTTGACGGTCTAGTTGTGCCAATTCTCGTTCAATACCAGTTTTTTATTTAATATATTTCTTAGTATTAACATGATATGCCAAATTCGATCCACCTAGGGTCATTTATTTATGGAGAAGGATTCGAAAAATTGTTGAATTTTTTTCGATTGGCTGCTTTGCCTGTTGTCAGCCTTGGTCAAGTTGATGGAAAGCATGTGATTTAGATAACTTTTGGAAATAAAGGATCATTCTGTCAATGACCTTGAGGGACAAGTTAGAGGGTACTAACTGGGTGTTGGCTGTTATCTAATTCAACAGGAAGTAATCCCCAGAAGACTTTCTTTACTTTTTACCAGGCCTTGAACTAGAGCGAGAGAGACTCTAGGAATCTGTGATTTTCTACCGCAACCCACCCTTACCCATGGAGGTTCTAGTTCCATATGTTGTCGGTTTCTGTTTGTTTTCAAAAAATGAGTATGAGACGTAGGAATGCTAGTACATTTGTGTCACATCAAGATAATTCCTAGCTTACAGTCGACGGCTCCTCAGAAGTTTGGCATTGCTATTTGAGTATTAATATCCGCGAATGGAAACTATATACATGTGACATCAATTATAGTTGTGATAGTTTCATCACTTTTGGTGATGCCGGAAAATGATATTTGACAACACGAAATGGAGAAGGGCTAAGGTGGATCTTTAAGCAATTCATGCAAAGACATCCATAATTGAAAAGCCCTCACTCTAGTGCACAAATGTTGTATTTTTTACAGGTTATGTGACTTTCATATTATCAATAATCGTGCATTTACTTTTTATCTTAATAGATGGTATTTTTCTTCAAGAAATTTGGTTAAATCAACTAAAAAAATTGATCTCCTCTGCCTCAATTTGACTGGATTTTAAGTCATCCTTTACGTCAGAATAACTTTCCTATTTTGATGGCACACAGTTACAAGCTTCTGTCTTCTTTTTTCTCTTAGTTATTGTATGTAATACCCATTTTGATTTCTTCTGAAACGTTATTTTCATCTTATTTCAGGTTGAATTTTTTGATCGCCATAAGGTATTTTATATCGATATCTTTTTATGTCAATTGAAACTGAATTATATGACATAAATGCTCATATGTTGGACAAGCATATCTTATTCACCTTAGCAAGTAGATGTAAAAATTCTACTTGAGACTTGGTTCATATATGACATAAATGCTCATATGAGACGGTTCAAAATTTCGACTTGGAAGGGTCTTGTAAATTCGGATACTAATTATTGTTTGGACTGAGCCTGTCATATAGTTAATTCTATTACAGACCATTTGTAGGTGTAAATAAATCTGGTGACGGCCTAATCAAATTTGCATATGAAGAAATACTTTCTCTAATCGACATTGTGGGAGTTAAAAAAGAAGCCTAGGAATCTGTCCGTTAACGCAGTTAGTCCCAAGTGATGAGACTGCATACTGGATAAGGATTTTAATTGGGATTTAATTCAACTACATGATGAACACGAGAATAGTGTGAGGAATGACGCTGCCAAATCAATCGTTGATTTAAGAAAGAAAGTCATGCTTGTTAGACGGGGTCTAAATGAGAACACTTCGGAGGATTAGTGGCATTCATCAGATATCTTTCTTAAAAAGAAACGATACATCTTCACCCACGGTAATCACCCTAGTGGCATTCTTCTTAGTCAATCCTACACAGAATTTAGTAACTTGATATCATAGACATAAGTTGTATACACCGTAGTTCTCAAAAGTCAAACGGTATCAACTTTATATTATTATCATACACATAATCCCAAAGAATTTACGCTGACAACACATATCTTCTTAATCCACATGTCCGCTTTTATAAAAAATATACCTGTATTAAATGTGCATATATATCTTTCTGTTATTACGCCCATTAATATTCCTCTGAGTTTTCTTTCTCTTTGGTACTGCATCTTTCTGGTATATCTAGGGTATATCTCCGTGGCCAATCGGGACGATGGTGATTTGGATCAAAACCAAATCAGAACACTGGATCAGGATCAAATTAGTTAATTGCCCAACCAAGGGAAATGGTTGATTCCGATTTTAAAAAATGAAAGGGAAAATATGGTACATTTAACGTAAATATCTGCATGAATATTTTTCTGAAAAAGGTGTAAATATAGTTAAAGATAAAAGGAAGTCTTTTATTGTACATTGCAACCAAAATGTGGCTAACAGTGACTAATGACAATAAGCATCTTTGGGTGTGTTTTCTTCCTTTCATTTCTTTTTCTTCCCGCATTCTTTTGTTTCCCTCTCCTTCCTGTACCCTTTCCTCCCTGCTTCTTCCACTGCCCTCCTGTGTTTATGCTTCCATATTTGTTCTCTGATAGGAGTACTTCTGCAAGAAACTAACTAGAAAATTGGCCAGTATTTTCCCTAATCAGGCCAATTCGACGGTAACCTTAAAAAAAACTTGACTGTCTACCAGTGGTCCTGACTACCATGCTCGAGAGTTCTTTGTCTCTTTCATGTTGATGCTAATTCCATTCATGGTTTATCTGTGACTCAATGCGTGAAAACCATAACGTCAAGTTAACTCGTAACTGTAACAAATAGTTAGGGTTATCTAGTCTGATGGCATGAAAAGATCTCTGCGGTACTCTGGAAAGTCTGATCTTTAACGTGGAATATTGTAAAGGTATGCAAGATGAATCATAGATCTTTGATACTTGAGTTGTTAAAGTGGTTTTAAGTCAGTGAGTCTGGTCAGTTCAGCCCATTACCTTTATTTATTGTCTCTCTGTACACTTGTACTGAGAGAGATTCACGTTTGGTTAAAAGATGAAAAGTACTCTCTCTCTCTCTCTCTCTCTCTCTCGGTGATAATGCATATTTTGTTAACTAGGCACTAATTTTTACTCTTTTGCTTGCGAGCTGAGATATGAGATTCTGCTTTGCCTTCTTCTAATGACAGTTTCTGCATTGAAAATCAGTTACTTTATTCATGAAAAATTCAGGATTGATGTGGAACTAACAAAATTTTCAACAGGGCGTAATATTCCTCGTCAACATCTTGGGCTTGTTACCAGACACATGTATTCATGAGTTTTTTATTTTCTAAAGTTGAGGAGAACATTGGCAATCGAGAGAGATCTATACTCCTTTGAATCAGCTAGATAATCCTTCTTTTAATGTTTCAACCAGCATCCTATTGGTGGCACTGGAGCTGAAGTGGAAGATAGTTTGTTTGTAGCTGATACATGCCTGTGACTGCATTGAAAACATCTTGAAACCGGGACTTTACTTTACTAAGGTCTTTCTGTATTATTCTACTTTTTATAATAGCTATTTTGATACTTTACCACAATAGGGGGGTTGAAGGAAAACAAAAGAAATCCAATTCCCAGTCACATGTCAACTTTTGTTTGTCTGTGACATAATATTCTTAGAACTTTTGTAGATGCTTTGTATTCACCCCCAGCATAATCTTCCTTAATCTGTTTCCATCGTGGCTTCAAATTGTATTTCATCCTGTCAGTTCACTATAGTTGTGCCAAATCTTTTGTAGGTTGGTGAACTGACTGGCTTGCTGACATCCGATTTGGGGTCTCTAAAAGATGTTGTTGGTGAGAACGTTTCTAGAGATCGAGGACTTAGGGCGCTCTCTGAGGCAAGCTTCCAATATCACTGTTAACAGTTGTTTAAAATTATTGGTATGCAATTTTCATCTCATAATATTTTCATGTATGTTGATTGGGACTATATTAACAATCCTCTTATGGGTTCGTTTCATATGATATGTTCCGCTATTATTCTGCTTGAAAGACCTCTTTTCACTTCTAACCTTTTCATGTAGAGCATCTATATTTATTTCTGCCAATCAAACATCTAGTGCAGTGTTTCTAATTGAATATCTTTGCCTGTTTCTTAAAGTATCTTTTAATATGTCTATCGCTTGTACAGGTTGTAGGTACGATATGCATACTTTTCTCACTTTCCTCACAGCTAGCACCAGTTCTGGGTGCGCTGATGCTCTCAATATCTGTTATAGTAGGTAAGTTTACAACACATTTGGTTATAGTTTTGAAGTCATACGTGTCAGGTCATACCTAACTCTCTGGAAGTTCATTGCCATTCTTCTTTCGTTCGTAGTTTTTTTTGCCAACTTTATTGCATGTTCACTAAGGTACAATGAAGATAGCTGGCATGAACCTGTAATTTTGTGTCCTTCACTGGTTGGGCGTACCTAGTGAACTAAATGGCATTTTTGACTTGTTTTTTATTTACAACCATTCATTCTATTTTATTATATACTTAGGAATGTTGGTAAAAGTTAGATTAGCATTATGAGACCCATTAACTCGTTTATAAAGTAATCATTCAGTTGATGGGTAACAGTTAAATAATAGGGTAGGTGGCAATGCCATTGGAATCAAAGAAACTTAAACATTATTGCGTTGGCAAAATCACTTTAGCAAATGTTTCAGACAGCTTCAACTGAACCAAACAAATTCAATTATTGTATGCTACAACATCCCCCAAAAGCTTCTGAAGTTATGTCCAACTCTCTTATTATGCCTGATGAACATAACATCGGTCAACTTAATGTTCTATTTTGCGTATAAATAAGGAATTATTTTTCTATTTAACGAAGTACAAATTGCCTGTATACATCCTCTAAAGTCCTAGATATTTTTATTGAAGTTTTTTTTACTGGCTTCCGCTTTTTCCATAAACATAGTCTAATGTTTTATAGTCGTCGGAGGATAGGACCATACTTGTTGAAGATACATATAAAAATTAAAATTAATAAACGGTTAGTGGAAATACCACTGCATTAGAAGTGACGCAGATGACTCGATGCATGCCATCCTCCTCAGCAATTGATTGGTGTGATGCATTGCTTGCCTTCATATTTCTAAGACATTGATATATTCTTATTCGTAATTGACCAAACTCTGGTAGAAGTTTGACGGACAAGACTACTTGGTGTGTGTAAGGGGTCATTGAAACGGTTTGGGTATGGTATGTTTTGGTCTAGTTTAAAATGTTCAGCTGGTTTTGAATCCATATTCCTAATTTATAAAATGTTTTACTGGTGACCAGAGAGTGCCCAGACTAAATAATGGGGATTAGTGATCTGTTAGAATGCAGCATGATTCGTCATGTTCAACTGGTTTTAAATCCATGGCCATTAATGAATGGGAAATGATTTTTTAAAAGATACTGGGTCCAGAGCTAATTCTTTGTCGTTTTTTCAGGGTTCAGTTTTCTTATTATTACCTCACTCTATGCCTTCTTGGTGTGGCCGCATTTCTGCATAGAACCAGCTGTTCATAGTCAGTTACTTTTATTGAAAGTTGATTATGGTTTGTTTAAATGGATACTAAATTTCTGACTTTTTCATTTTTTTTAAAAATATCGCTGCACTCCTAGGGAAATTTCATGTCAAGTATCCAAGTCTATCGATCTGAATTCCAATCCTAGATAGCAAGTTTTTTATTTAATTATCATTCTTGATTCACATTCACCCTTTTTTGTGATTTTATCTGTTTGTGTTGACTATTCTACCCTTGCTCTCTAGCTATTTTTAAGCGGTCAACCATCCCAGTCTTTAAATCTCATGGAATTTCCCAGGCGAGAATATCAGATTGTGCAACTGAAACGTTTTCAGCTATTCGAACTGTGAGCTACAGTTTCCCTTTAGTTATTACATTTCATATTTATTTTATCATTTTCTGTGCATGTAGTTTTTTTATTCCTTCCATCAAAGAGGAATAATAGATAATGCTGACGAGATCCCGTGTTCCTCAAAGTTATAGGTTTGTAATCTGCTAGATAGGCTGATTAACATATCTTCCTCCCATTTATAATTAGGTTAGGTCATTTGCTGGTGAAAAACAACAAATGTCCTTATTTGGCTCCCTGGTAAGTTCGTCACCTAAACACCACATACTATTTCTTTGTTGTGCCATGATTTTTGTGTTGGTGTTACAATATCCAATATTTATTCTTTTTATTTGATGAACCATGAATGATGTATTCTACAGTTTTCTAATCTTAATTGAAGATTCACCCTCTGATATTGGCCGTTTTTGGAGTTTTTCATGATCTGGGAATCTGATCCTTGGCTAGGTTCTGTAATTTTTATCTAATGAATCATGATGTCGTATTGATGTTTTCAAATTTAACATCTTGGTCTTCGTCCTACCCTCTCTTGTATAAGCTGTTCAATTTTGGATCATGGTCTTAGTTTGATGCCTTTCATTTATGTCGAGTGCAATCAATATTATTTAGTGACCATAACAATTGTGTGCTGCCTAGCACTCGAGAACAACAACGCAAGACAGTCAAACAACGCAACAAATTGTGTACACTATGTTATTGGTTATTATACTTTTAGGAGATATGATCTAGAAGTATAGTAACAATTATCATTATATATTTTCTTGCATGAAACCTCCTTAATGATTAAAATTTTCTAAAATTATAAGGTTTTAAAATTTTGTAATATATTATATTTTTTTCTTCTGGTCCTTGAAGGTGTAAATCATGCATGTGACTAATTGTTACGTTAGTAAAAATTAGATAGCTTGGTGAAACTTATTAGAAACATTTTAAGCATAAATCTAATTTAATATAATATTATTCTTACTCCTTATGATTATGTTAATATATTAATTTTCTCAAATAAATAATATTTTATTATTCAAAGAATTGTGCGTGGCCATTGTTTAAAATAGTGTTAAATGTATTTATTATCTCTATAAAGAACAGTTATGCTCATGTTCACGAGTGGCTGGATCCAAGATTGTGGACTACATGAACCAAGTTGTACGGAATAGGAGATCTCACTAGCATCTGTACTGGCTTGGTACCTAGGCCATGGCTTGGACTAAACGTGTCATGTACTCATTTAACTTATCCTTTTCGAAATGTCAGACAAAATCCTACTTGAACTTTAGTGTCGGTTGGCAATTCAACCTGATTAATACTATCAAAATAAGCTCGAATAAAGCCCCTTCATATATTCATCTATCGCTTATTTGTCTTTCTTTCTGGTGAGTTCTCGATGATTGAATATTTTGAGGGGAATATCTTACCTGCACTTTCTTTCTGGTCTTCCTCTTTGATATCATTGTTAAATTGATATTGTTCTTTTTGGTCTTTCTCTTTGAGATCTTACTCTACAGTTCATCTGAGGGGGCATATCTGAGAAAACTTTTGTCTTTAAAAGTCAATTTATGTATTGATGTTTCAATTTTGTTAACATTGGGTATACACAGTTACCAAAAAAATATAAATGCATTCCTGATTCATACAAATTATTTTTGGCTACTTAACTCTGGATATGATGCATCTATGACCCTGAAAATTTATCATTCGTAATTTTGACTGTTAACACGGCAGCCAAAATAGTGATTTAACTTTGCATAAGATATTGATTTTAGAAAAATAATAATGGATATGATTCATGGTAAAACCCTTGATTTTCAATTCTGATTGATGTTTATATTATGCTGTAAAAGTATACTTATATGTACTTGCATGTCAAATGTCTGATTTTCTTGATCACAACAGGTTCTTGCTTACCAGAACAGCGGCATGAAACTTGGAATTTTGAAGTCTGCAAATGAATCATTGACGAGGGTTGTCGTCTATATTTCTCTATTGGCTGTATACTTTCTTGGTGGGAGCAAAGTAAAAGCGGTGAGGATCATATTCTGACATTATTCAGCTATTTCCTAATCGCAATGTGTTTTTGAAAGGGTATCCCCTTGACATCTTATTGTTCTTGTTGAGAAGTATGAGAAATCCATGGCGTTCTCTAAGCTTAGGTAGTTTCTAATGTATCTTTTGTTGTAAAAACTACATTGCTGCGATGAACAAGTAAGACGGCAAACCATGTTGTGATGAACGAAAAAATTCTACATTAGAACAATTGTCTTTCTGTAAGGAAACAGGATGAGTTTAAAAAAATGTGACAAAAAATGTTTAGCCGGTAAATGAAAAGGATGTATGAGGAGGGTCGGGTTGATTGGTCTTTGTCCTTTGCTACTGTCGACAAAGCTTTTCAGACTAAACAGAAGCCAAAAGTCTATTTTATTTAATGGTGGAAGATGCTAAGGAACCTGGAGTGCTTCTATGATTCTGTTTAGAAAGTTGGAAAAGTCTACTGATAGGTGAAACTAAATTCCTACAGTTGGATGGAGCTGTTGCATTTGTGTCGAATGTTTCAAACAAGAGCCGGAACATGTAGCTTTATGTTATCCAAAATGGTATTATGCTTTATTCATTTGTCATGTATTAATGCTTAGCTAGATTTCCAAATTGTTGTCATTGATTTAGGTATGTTTATCTCTAAGTTATGTAGATAATGCACGCACATTGCTACACTCTGGATGACAGTTCCCGTCTGATGAGATTTGCAGAAGAAGATTATGTCATTCCGATTTCTTTTAACCCTGGATTCTGTTTGATTTCTCTTCTTTGGATGAGGATGGAATCACTGTATGCCTGAGCTTCAGAAATATCTTTCAACTCATTTAACTTTCTCATTTTACATCGTAATGTATTGGCTATCAAATAATGATAGAATGAAGATTCATGGGAGTTGGAATTATTAGAATAACGGAGATCATATTTGATTGAGTGATTCAGATTATATCCGACCTGGAGGAAAATGAGCTCGCCCTTTAGAAATACTGGAAGTAAAGTAGTTAAAAAAATGTGGATAGCTGAGGATGTCACCATTACACACATTCTGATGGCATTGGGACGGCTTTAGTTTTACTTTCTGATCCAGACACAGATCATTCTCAACATGCCGTCTGTATAATTAGTTAGAAGATTCCAATATTTAAAATCTAATGGCTGATTTGTGACCACCCAAGATAGAAGGTGAAAGGAGTTTGATTTCCCGGAGTAACAGCTGTATCATTCATGCATTTGTTGATGAACTGGGTCATGTGTGGAAAATACTCAGTTTCGGAGGCACATCACTTTTTGTAGGCCATTTTTTCTCGGATTTTGTAACATTCTTGAAGCTTCAGAGATTCAAGGGTTATTCTGAACTTTGGGCCGATCTATCTTCTTCTGTTGAATACTGCACTTCTTTGGGCCCATACCATGTTTTTTAATATATCCATTAGCTTTGGACGCGGATATAACAATGAAGAATATGAGCGTGCCTTACACTTGTGTGGTCTATGAATTTTATATTAAGAAGTTTTTTATGATGTTTTGAGTAGCTATAACCACCTTGGAATGCGAAATTTACCGTCATATCGTATGCCTCAAAGTGATTCCTATGTTCAGTATTTATATCACATATATAGGTTGCCATGGCTTACAATGAATGATTATCTTAAGTTGGTTACAGCTGTGGTGATAACCTTTGTAACATTTGGAGATTTTGTTAAGCTGGAAGTCATATTTGAGATGAATTAGTCCTTAATAAATGCATTTCCTTGACTCGTTTTCAATTGTCACAGGGTGAATTGTCTGTCGGAACAATGGCTTCTTTTATTGGTTACACATTTACATTGACATTTGCTGTAAGTATTATTTTTTTACTGAATTTTCAGTAAACATCTTTTATTCATCCATCTCACTGTTCTTTCCATGCAATAAAAAAACCCAGGTTCAAGGTGGTGTAAACACACTTGGTGATATCCGTGGGGCCTCTGCAGCCGTTGAACGAATTAATTCAATTTTATCTGACACAGATATAGATGATTCTCTCGCATATGGCCTGAGAAAGGAATTCACTTTAAGAGAAAATGATGACCGACTTGAACTTTTCAAGGACGATCCTTCTGATCTTGATCAAGCACCAAGTTCTCATTTCACGTCAATATTAAAATCAGCTAGTGATGGATATAATCTAGCATGGTCTGGTGACATATGTTTGGAAGGTAATGTTGTTACACTTCTGACTATTTCTTTTGTTATGAATCACTAAACTTAAGTTCCGTTTTTGGTAAACTTCCATTTCACATTTTCCTGTTTCAGAGAATTTCAGAAAAAAAATTAAATGTCCCTTTCATTGATAGACTGAAACATCAAGATTTTTTCCGCTAGCAGTAACTGGGAAAATTATGCTCTCAACACTAACCTTCACCCTTTTTACGAAGAAGCTAGGGGGATATGAGTGGACTGAGAGGATTACTGTCAATATTTTGAGGAGACTTCTGTAGCCAAAGTACAGTAAGAATGGTGGAAACATTGAGAGGCGCTTCAATTTTTAGGAAAGCATGAATGCAAGAAGATTTGGTCAAATGACAGGGTTTCAAATGATCAATCTAATTTTATGCCAATAAGATCAATTATGAAAATCAGTTTCTAGCTCGGAAAATTATTGGAATTTTTTTCGGAAGGAATGGTTATTTCATGTTTTTCTTAATTGGAGAAAACATTGATGGAGTACTCACTGATGTTATCGGAGCTAACGGAAAAACGACATTATGAGAAGTTACATAGGTATAATTATGGATACATATGAGCCAGAAAACTGACGTGTGGATGTTTGATTGAAGAACAAATAGTTTTAAATTTCTGTTGGTTTGTAGATTTGAATACGTATATTTTTACACATATAATTATATATGAACAATGATGAAGTTCTAATGGATATGAGTAAGGCTGAAGAGTAGAAACTGATACTGTAAAAAAATGCTGTAAATTTTTTTAGAGTTTAATAGAGAATTGTAAGATATGTGACGTTCAGGCTGCAATATTAAAGGAAATTAACATTTGGCTCATTAGGCAGTGATAGCTGCCCTCAAAGATCATTGCAGCTACCTATATTTTTTGATAGTTGATATTTTTGATTGGGATTTCTATATTCAAGGTTATGACTGCTTGCCTAAAGCCAAAGCCCGCAGTTTGAAGTGCTCTGTGATCATCAGATTGATTTAAGATCGAAGTTGTATAAAATGGTTCTAAAACCATGTATGAAACTGTCGGATTACGTCGATCTTGTTTAGAGCAGCTGAAACGAGAATTCTATAGCCTTCCAGTGCATGATGTTTCCTGGACTGTGGACTCGAGGTACTGAGTCTTCAACACTTGCAGGGGGGCTTTTGAGCGTTTTTAGGGAGGCTATTGGGGGTTTACTTTGTGGATCGTCTCTTAGCTATTTTATATTTCATGAAGTACCTATCACTCTTTGCACTTTTTATCTCTAGTTTATTCTTGAAGATATTTGTGGAATTTGTCTTTTCTTCATTCAATTGTATACATATGAATTATTCGTATGCCACTATTTATTAGTGGAAGTGGATTTTGTGGCAGGAAAGGCATGTCAGTAATTGTTTCCCCGGACGGTTCATGGTTTTGAATTCATCTGTTTTATATTGAAGCATCTCTTAACAAATATCCCTTGACTTAATAATCGCACTGCCAAATGGCTTTCCTTTTGAAGTGTCTCTCGATAAACATCCCTTGAATAAATAATCTTATTTCAGAGAACACTATGTCGCAAGGAACTTCCTTGATACCTCTTGAAGGCATATAACACTTTCAGATCTTTTTGAAATAAGATTAGGCTCGACTATGGTGTTATTTGTGGTGTTTATTTTGGAATTTCATCATATCGAATGTCTGAACGTAATTTACTCGTAGGTAGGCATTTTATTTATGTTCTATGCTTTTGCTTGTGCTAACACATTCTAGAATCCATAATCTACTGAAAGAATGTCCTAATGTAGGACAAGGAGGAAACTATGCCATCTTTCCGGGCCATAATTAATCATCATAGTGGAGTTTTAAACCAATAAAAGCAAATCCGATAGTCTTTCAAATCATTGGGGGTTGATTTAAAGAAAAAGTCTGATTATCTTATTCTATGCTGCAATCTTTTTTTTTCCCCTTACAGATTCCGGCTACATGTCATAAAACTAACTAATAAGTGTCTCTCAATCTTTTTCGGTCTGCTATTTAAAAAATTGACAAATATCCCATTAAAAACTCCGCAATGGAACTTTATTCAATGAACTTGATTGACATTCACAAATCGCATGATAAATTTCTATTGTTAATTCGTTTCTTCCTTTTTTTATTTGATTAGTCTGTGAGCCCCCCTAATCCCGAAGTTAAAGATGACGTATTGATTTGAAGCAATCGAAGTCAAGATTTTGCAACATGGATTTATTTTCAGGGCATACAATCATGATGATTGCCTGTCTCAGTTTTGTCCTTTCACTGAATAACACGCGATGATAACTCTTGATCGACTATTGACGACAAAATTTACTTATGAACTTTCATCCTGTGTATTTAATTATATTAAATTTACATGCAATACTGTGCTGAGATTGCCGGCATCATCTTCCTTCTTCGGTCATAAGAGATTATTTTGGAAAGAACTGAAGATAAGTTTTTATAGCAAATGGTAATTACCTTAGGAAACAACACTCATAAAAAGCTTCCCATATACGAAATTAATCTGAATGAATGAATGAACTGGGGAAAGCAGGGTCTTCTAATAGAGATCAGCAGGAAGGGAAGGGGGTAGCCCTCTTCATCACTAACAACGTCACCCACTGTTTACATTCTGACAGATGTTTACTTCTCGTACCCAATGAGGGACGACGTGGACGTCTTAAATGGGCTGACTTTGACCTTAAAATGCGGACATGTTACTGCCCTTGTGGGCCCCAGCGGAGCTGGAAAGAGCACCATTGTTCAGCTGCTGGCACGCTTTTATGAGGTATCCCCTTCCCTTCAGCTGAGACATCATCGGTCCTTTGCATTCCCATACTATGCCCATCAATATGATATTCACAGCCAACAAGAGGTCGGATCACTGTGGCCGGTGAAGACGTTCGGATATTCGACAAGAGGGATTGGGCTCGTGTTGTTTCCATTGTCAACCAGGTAACCTTCCGAGCTCAAGGCCCTCTACAGTGATGGCTACAAACCCGCCATTCTTTTCATTCACTACCGCCGCAGGAACCGGTCCTGTTCTCGGTTTCTGTGGGAGAAAACATCGCGTACGGTCTGCCAGATGAGAACGTCTCTAAAGACGATATAGTGAAGGCGGCCAAGGCGGCTAATGCGCATGAATTCATAATCTCTCTTCCCCAGGTCCGCATTTCAATGCTGATTTTCTCTTATCGCATCAGCAAGTTCCTGTGTAGTTTCTAATTATGGGTTATGTTTCCAATTAGGGATATGAGACGCTAGTCGGCGAAAGGGGAAGCTTGCTGAGCGGGGGGCAGAGGCAGGTAATGGAACATGATCATACCCTTCGGATGGTTCTTGGGTTGCCTCAGCTTACCGTTTTCACCCGCAGAGGATCGCCATAGCTCGAGCCATCTTGAAGAACGCTCCGATACTGATACTAGACGAAGTAAAGCTTCCACTTTTCTTCTAAGATTGCCGAAACCCAGTTAGATCCGGGGAGCTGACCCTCTCTTCTCGCTCTGGGTCTTCTCTCCCGCCAGGCCACTAGCGCTCTGGACACGGTCAGTGAGCGCCTGGTCCAGGAGGCTCTGGAGCATCTGATGAAGGGGCGGACGACTCTGGTGATCGCCCATCGGCTGAGCACAGTTCAGAACGCCCACCAGATCGCCCTCTGCGCCGAGGGAAAGATCGCGGAGCTTGGAACCCACTTGGAGCTGCTGGAGAGGAAGGGCGTCTACGCCTCGCTGGTTGGCACGCAGAGGCTCGCCTTTGAATGACAGTCGGCGGGGGGAAGGGCTCTCAGTGGGGGGTTGGCGGCTTTCAAGGCTTCTCAACTCGGCAAAGGTTACTAAAAATGGTATACTTGTAACTTCAGGTTTATATTTCGAGCCATCGTTCTGTCTGTGAATTGTTTCTATCCCTGATGATAGATAAATGATCATACGTGTCTATATTCTTGTGAATCCAGTTCGATGGACGGAGAGTTCTTGGCAGATTGATCAGCAGGAACCCATTTGCCATTTTTGCCAAATAAATGGGAAAGTCAAGTACCCATGAATGATAAAAACCTCCCCTTTTCATCTCTCTCTCTCTCTCTCTCTCTCTCTCTCTCTCTCTGTGTGCAAGTGTACAGGGTGGAGGGTGTCTATGGCGTGGCCGAGATAGAAATCCGAGCGTTCAGCTGGGCGATGCACTCGGTGGGCAGGCGGAGGAAGGAGTCCATGAGGAAGTCGTCGACGGGAGCCACCGTGGCCACGCCGACGAGGGTGCAGGCGCCGCCGCCGTCGAGCCGCCGCCCTCGCCCTCCCCTCATCGACCCCTTTGACTCCTCCGAGGTCAACCTCGTCTCCACCAGCAGCGGCGGCGCCCGGTAGATCCTCCCCACCGAGAACCAGAACCTGGCGCGGAAGTCCAGGTCCACCTGCCATGCCCAGCAATCAGAAAAAGAAGAGGATAGGAATCAGCGCAGAACCCCACCTCCGAGACGACGGAGAGAAGCTGTTTCATTTTATGAGGTTCCAAAAGAAGAAATGTTCTGTGCTATTTATGGCAAAAATGTTCTCAGTTTCAGTCAACAAAGGACCCTTTTTTTCCTTTTTTTAGTTCTATCATCGGTTGCCGAAATCAGTGACGAGGAGAGGAGAGGATCGTTTGCCTGCCCGGTCTCCCTGTTGATGATCCCTTGGAAGTTCTCCGGGACGATCTCGATCTTCAGGAACGGCGGCAGCGGCAGGCCCAGGAACCTCGTCGTCGCCGTCATCAGCGGCGGAATGTACAGTGACCCCGCGTCGAAAGTCACCAAGATCTCCTCGCCCTCCTCCGCCGCCGCCGCCGTCCCCGTGCCGCCCGACGCGTCGTAATCGAAGTCGGGGTACCGGGAAATTCCCAGCTTACAGCCGGCCAGCGTCCGGAAGTCAACACTGTAGGCGCCGGCGCTTCGCCCTCCGGCCAACGCCGCCGCCGCTGCCGCCGCCGCCGGTGGGTCTCCCCCGCCGAGGCAAGCTACGGCGCGAGTCCTGCGCAGTAGGCGCCGCGGGGACGCCCGAGCAGCCCTCGCAGGCCGGCGGAGGAGGACGGCGGAGGAGTTTTCCGGCGACGGGATGGTCCCGCAGCAACCCATCGCCCAGTTTGGTCCGGTGTGTCTGGAAATGGGAAGGCGGAGCCTGGGGAGAAGAGCGGCGGAGCACCGCCACCACCTCCCATGGCAAATCAAGACCCTGAAAACTGGGAACGTGTGGCCACGAGGAGCTCCAGGGAGGACCTCATAAGAAGCCGCATCTCCCCGCCATTTTCTGTCCACACGAAACCCTGGTTCGGCATGTGATGGCTTCCCCTCGGACCCATCACCGCCGCCCCATGCAATCATACAGATACAGAAAGATGATGATGATGATGATGATGATGATGATGATGATGATGATGATGATGTTGACGACGACGAAGTTAAATCAAAACCTAAAAATTGACAGAAGTTAATCCAATTTGCAGTCGTACCCAGAAAAAATTAGAGGGAGAAACTAAATTTTGCATGGAGGAACACGCCATCTATTCATTTTCACATGATTTCGTAGGCCCTTTTGGGCACACATATTTAGAGAATGTTCTTCATAACCCAAGCAGAACGCAAACTCCCTGTTAGGCTTCCGAGGTCAACAGGTTCTTCAGTGGAAAACAAGAGGACTAACTGTACAACAAATACCGCAAGCAAGCGTTGACTTCCCACGAATTAGCTTAGAGAAAACTGTGGCAGAAGGATCTTCAGCAAACGAGCGACGAGGTCAGAGAAGGCGCACTTGGCAGGCGGGTGCATGACGCCCACCGGATGATTGATTCTGTGACCACCAGCTCCAGTGGCACAAGCTCTCCGGGCCCAATCGTCCTGTTCCTCTTGCTGTGGATGGCAAGAGATCTGGAGGCAGCAGCCCCTCCCCTCCTGACGTCGCCTCCCTTGAGCTCACGGCAAATCCAAGCCGAAGAATCCGGGGAAGCAAACAGCTTTCCAAAGCTGGAGTCTAGAACCATAAAGGGATAGAATTCACAGGCCATCGAGGTTGGGGAAATGATGTAAAGTGAAGCAGAAGGGCGGCTCTACCTTTCTGAACTCTGCCGTCTCCTGCACCATCATCTCCAGAGCATGATGGGTCGTCCGGTACCTTCGCCAGAGGAGAGCTGAAGAACACGAAGCTTGGCAGTGACTGAACCGGAGAGGAGAACTCAGCGTTACTGGATTCACCGCAGCTACGGAAGGAGAAGCCCGCATTCGAGGTCGGGGAGACAGGATCGATCAAGAAGGAAGAGAAGGACGACTTGCAGGTAAACGTGGGAGAAGAGTACTCCGGTGTTGCACCATGGGCGATGGGGGAATCAGCGCTGAAGCTGACATCACGAAGCCCGGTACTGAGCGGGGTGGAGAAGGAGCAGGCCCCCATCGCCACTTGCCCACAATCAGACAAGCCACTGAATCCGCTCGTTCCTTGGAATTGCGGCCGAGAATCCCTCATCCAAGCATGATCTGCAAAAGAACATGTTCAATCGCATGGACACTCCATAGCTGATTCAGTGAACCAAGAAATGCCCAGCGTGCCTCACCAAGAACCTGCGCAGCCGTCAACCTTTGAGCAGGATCCTTGCGCAGCATTCCAGTGATCAAGTCCTTTGCAGATGGGGATATATGGCCCCAGTGATTGGACGGGAACCATAGCTTGGCAGCCCTGACAGCATCGAAAATGCCTGACTTGGTCTTGGCCCAGAAGGGCGGCATCCCACTGAGGAGAATATACAAGATGACCCCTGCACTCCAGATATCGGCGGCCTGGTTGTAGCCCCCTCCCAGTACCTCGGGTGCTATATAAAACGGGCTCCCCACGGTCCCATACAAATTCTTCCCTGTTCAGACGAAACCAAATCATGGAGCGAGATGAGGAAGGACAGGGAATCGAGACACAAGAACACGAAAAAAAATTATTACCCGGCTCAATAAATGTTGCCAATCCGAAATCTGCCAACTTAATCGGCGAAGATGGGGAATCTGTCGCAAGGAGGATGTTCTCTGGCTTCAGATCCCTGTGAACAATGCCCTTGTCGTGGCAGAACATCACCACCTCCATCAGATGCTGGAACAAGATGCGGGCCTGGGGCTCAGAGAACCTGCCGCGCTTCTCCAGCAGATGGAACAACTCTCCACCAGCACAGAGCTCCATCACAAGGTGAACATATCGCTCCTCCTCATAGACGGCCTTCAATTCCACGACATGAGGGTGGCCCGATAGTCTGGACATGATCTCAATCTCGAGCTTGACGCTGCGAAGATCGTCCTCTGTGACCAGGCGATCCTTTGCGATCGACTTGCAGGCAAGTTTCTCTCCAGTAAATACATCAGTGCATTCTCGGATGACCCCAAACTGGCCCCAGCCCAGCTGACCTCCCAAGTCGTATCGCTCCAGCAGGTTGGAAGTGAGAGAGGATTCGAGGATTGGAGAGGTCAAGTCTGCGACTTTGTAGCAGTGGCATGGCTTCTTGTTGCCTGAGTTGCCATTGGTGCTTTGGCCAACAGCCATAACCAAGCTGAGATAACAGAGCCTTGCAAGGGATGGCAGAGGTTTGCAGTTGCTTTGGGTTTCCGGTTTTTCAGTAGCTTAGACTGCTGCTGTGACAGCCGACATGGGAGATTACAGTCGAGCTTGACATGATCCAGAGTAAACTACACCCCCCGGAACGAGGGATGGAGTTGCGTAGAGGAGAGCATTTTCTGACCGCGGACACAAATCTGAGAAAAAAAATGAGGAAGATCAATGTTGGGTCTCAGTTTCAACTCCTCGACCGAGAAGTTCAAGGCAAAAAACACCAAGGTCTGGAAAAAGTCCCCTTCAGTCCCAGTATGTGGTAAAATTCGATCTAGGTCGTCGCGCAAGAGAACGAAGGCAAAAAGAGAACTGGATTCGAGAGGCCTGGATTGATTTCCTACTGCTGTTTGTTCTTAACCAAACCAGATATCTGTCCAAGGATCTCTACCCCATAGATCTCAGAATTCCGGGGAGAAGAAAACGTGGCCAAGAACAGCTTTGATCATTTGATTCCAGAAATTGGATCGTTAGACAGATTAAAGGCGATCAGTTCGACGTGAATCTATGAAGCCGAAGAAAATTTCCACAAACTAAAACAGAACGTAATCGTACTCGGTCCTCCGCTGGCACCAGAGACGCCTCGATTTTCCATTCTTCCTCACAGAACCGGAAGCTGGAATCCGAAAGAAGGATGGAAACGAGAAGGGGAACCTTCGCAGAGGACGCTGCTCAGGGGTTTGAAGTACGCTACAGTCGCGGCGAGCCGAGCGTAGGAGCGGGAGATGAGTTTCAAGGAAGAAGAAATAGGGTCAAGGAAGGAGTTAGAGTTCCTCTCGCCTCCTGGTTTGCATCTCGTCCCCTGTCCCGTCCCCTCCTTCCCCACCAATGCTCCCACGCCGCGACTACCGCCTGGGAAGCTTGCCTCACCACAGGAACCCATCAAATTCAAACGAAACCCTCAAAACCAGCCAGATCGCCTCCCCTCGCCCCGTACAAAGAAAAAGAACACCCAAAATTACGCTCCAGAACACACCGGGAAGCCAGACACTCCACCTTCCTCCCCCAATCCGCAAGACCTAACGCCACAGAAACCCCGAGACAGGAAACCACGCGGAGCAGAAAACGGCAGCAGACGACGAACAGAGAGTGAGATAAAACACTTACCTCTCCACCGCCGAATCCGCAAAGCCTCCACCCCCCTCCTGCTCCAGCTGCCGCACGAGCACCGGCGACGTCCCCTGCCTGGGGCTCGTCCACGGCCTCGGAAGCCCCTGCGTCCTCCTCTCCCCTCCTGTCTCCCTCTCCCTCTCCCTCTTCCCCTGGTGGCGAAGGAATCACCCACCGACCCCACCCTTGTCTCTCTTTCTCTCTCTTCGCTCTCCCGGACCTAAATATATTTATTATAATATTTTTTCTCCCATTAATAGCCTCTAATTCCGATTTGGCGGCTCTTTTCTCATATTTCATTTTCTCACGCCATCTCGGTCACCAATATTAATCCTTTAAAATAAATATTTTAATCCCGGCACGGAACGGGCCCCACCCCGTTGGTGCCCGGGTTTTTTCTAGAGAGAGAAAGTATTGGTTGAGAGAGAATCTCGGCCGTTCATCTGCAGGGAATCGCCTTCGTTGGTGCGCACTGCCACTGAGCCATTGACGCCGAGGATGTGACTGGCCGGGATTCGGCCGTGCGCATACTTGAGGAGGCATCGGGACCGTCAGTGACGAATTCAATGGCCTGATTCCGAAGCGGGAATGTGGACCCCACGGCGAACCTGGTTGCCCCGACCGTGACGTGGACCACTCGGTCGCTCGGAGGTGGGTAGGTTTGCGGAAGATTGGGGCCCACCACCTTGACCCGTCCTTTTTAGGGGATGCGTTCCAACCAGCATGACCGAGTTGAAGCCACAATGAAGCCAGTTGTTCACATCTGAGCCATTCAAACGTAGGCCGCGGGAACAGATATTGTCCGCCCGTTCGGTCACCCATGTTGACAAACTACCACTTCAACGAGGGTTGACGAATAAATTATACCATAAATACTTAGTCAAATCTACATAGATTCTCCAACTTCAATGGGTTTCGGGAATTTTCCGCAAATATTAATTTTCCCATATTAATTGGGACGTAAGGACGCTCCAAAGTCAACCATGGCCAAGTCAATTTCGCAAGTCCGACCGAGCCACGTCAGAAATAATTTCCTTTTTTGGGATTTTATTCTTAATGTGCGGGCGGATTGACCTTATAACTGTTTACTAAAAGTAGAATTTCCGTCTGGACCACGGTGGATGAAGTTCTGAATCCTTCCACGTGAACTGTACCCCTGGAATCAGCAACATCACGTTCGTTCCTACGTGTCGAAACCCCGTGTTTCTAATGAAGCCTGTTTGACGTGATGCGTTGACCGGGTACGGTCCCCTTCTTGGTCGGCGAAACAGCTATCGGAGGTCGTCGCTTGTTTATGGGGGCGCCCAATGAAAGTTTATAATATTATAAAAGTCCTTTCTTTTAGTAAATTATGGTTCAAAGCCCCACATGGTGGGCCATGGGGGGAAGTTGGACGTAAGGGGTAGTATCGTAGTTAATTTAAATAGTAAGGATTTTTCTGCCAGGAAAAGGTTGCTACGTAGTACCAGTAGGGAGAGAACCGAGAGGTCGCCGGTTTCCCCGCCTAAAACTTCCGAGGAATTTCTCGAGAAGAAAATCCTGCCTTCCCCCAAAATTCCCCAGTTCCCTCCCTCCGTCTTCTCTCTCTCTCTCTCTCTTCTTTCTCTCTCTTCTCTGTCTCTCTCTCTCTGTGTCATATATAAATGTATATGGACATTCCTTCGTCATCCTTCTGAATTACGTCTGCTTGACTTCCTGCGTAAGTCAGAGTCTCTCTTTGCTTCTGAGACGGTGTCGCCTCTTTCTGGGCTCACGGGCCCACGTACTGCTCATGGAAGGAACGCAGGGGTCGGCAATGTCCTCGTATGGGATCCCGTATTCTTTCTCTAATGTTCCAAAGGCACCTCGATTACTTTCCATGGTTGTCTGTTTCCACAGCGAGCATTATTCTCTTTATTTTGCTTTTTCTTCATTAAATGGGCTGCACCTGTCGGTTTCACGGGGGTCTTGCGCTTCGGACAAGCAGTAATACCGACACGCATAGTAAAATGCTTCATTAATCCGCGGTTAATACGCTTTTTCGAGATCCATAATACGCTTCTCTGTCGAATCACAAAGGCCAGATATTCTGCCGGTTTCTCTTTAGAATCTGGGGCCTGATGATGATCCGGAAAGTGGATTTTGTTGCACACGCCGACCCGTTTCACGTTTCGTGTGGGAAACAACTTTATCACTTTTTGGATTAGTTGACGGTGGACAATGATAGTTTTGGTCAGGATGTAAGCAAGAACAGGTATTGAATGCCCTGCACACACATTTTAGTGTATTACCTTTTGCAGGACAGTTCTTTATCGAATTGGCATTGTGCCCGTGGCTTTCTTCTTTTATTTCTCAGCAGATATCAACATAATTGTGTCGAGCAAACAAAATCATTAAGAAGTTGGTATTCTTCACCGGCTGCACATAATTTTTTTTCTGAGTCAGAATGTTAATATCTTCTGAAAATAATGAGATAATGAAAGCCTCCATTGAACTCCCTATGATACCCAATCAGTTAAATACATTTGGAGCATGCACATTCCTTATTTAGGAATTCCTGTATTTCATAGTGTAAGAATTTTTTGATGTCTTCAATTCTACTATGGCTCGTACTGCTGAATTTTACTTTTATGCTACACCCCAACTGTTTTACTGAATCTGATTGTTTAATCATCGTTCGAGCATACTTTTACCATGCTAATTTTGTTATCATTTTGAATGGAGAAATATACCGGTAGTTAGATGCCTATGTTAACCTTCCAGTCGCAGCACATGACAGTGGTCTGACAAATAGCCACTCATCTGCAGCCCAGGGGCATCTTCTCCCAACATGAACAATACGTTGGTCACAGAGCAGAGTGTGCCCTATGGTAAAATACTAAGCATAAAGTTTGATTTGATGACATGTGCGGAAATGGTACGTACTACCATTCTTCTCTCTTTTTCTTGTGTACTATTTGATCTCCTGCAGATTGTGGTGCTGGGGTGTTCATTACTGGAAATCATCATGCTCTTGTATTTCCATTAAATTGAAAGATGAAAGTTGTTGAACTTCCTCTATATTTTCCGATAAAATTCACTCATGAGATTATCTTGAATGTGAAGACTAGTCCACGAACATGCTTTTTTCTCTGTAAGACACCTGGAAGACGTAACCTTTATTTTTTTGAAGCATTTGCAGTTGTCCATTTGAAACTTATCATCTTCGACTGTAAAAGTCTTATCTGACATGCATGTTCTGTTTTCTCCAGTACACAAAGAGATTGAAATTGAATAAAATCAGAAAGATTGTGCCCACTGTGTATCCGTAACAAAATGGTGATCGCGTCTTGTTGTTAAATGAACCTGTTAGATCCGACAGTTTGAGCCTTTGACAGAGATTACTAAATTCAGATTCTTCAACAAAGGTAGACATGTTGAGATGGTCTACTATTGGCAAGTTTCTTGCTTTAGTTGCTGTTCTGATACTGAAGGGAAGCATCAAAATTGAAAGTGAAAGCGAAATAAATATAGAGCAGTGTCTAGTATTGTTCCCATTAACTGGACTTTTACTCTGTTTCACAAGGCTACATCCATCTTATTCATTCTTTCAATAAATGAAATGTATGTTTCATATCTTGAAGGTGCAACTGCAATTTATTTCTTCTCAAATTTTAACGATCCTTTTGGCATATTCATTATAGCGGAAATGTGATATATCAGTTGACTCATTATGAGCATGCTTTGATTGTTCTCATATGCACCATACATGAATCAGAAATATTTTTTTAAAATGAAAGCACTCTTATCAATAATCTGAGATTCACCCGCGTATAATTTATGATGACACACTGCTTCTCAAGGTGACGTAGTGGAAAACAGCCAGTGACATTGAGAACTGCTTTGTCTCTTTGAAATCGACGGGGTGAATGGTTAGTTATTCATAGCTATGCACAGGACTGTGAATTTGCTCATAACCCTTTGGGACAGCCCTCGTCAGATGAAGTAGTACCATTGGAGGCTTGAAACAACATCTCTTAAGAAAGATTAACCGGATGAAGGAGGGAAGAATAATCTCTCTTCAGATGGAATGTGGATCTTGTCATCATCCGTCTTGACTAGGTTGGCCGCTCTTTCTTTTCTTAGTCCTCAAGATGGAAGGCTGCACCTTCCTGAGTGGCATACAGTTTGCCTTAAAAAAAAGTTTTAAAAAATAATTCAGGCTAATAGAGGAGTGGATAAGAGGATACAACTGAAATGGTTAATAAATTATGATCTGTGCGACCTTCTTTCATCCAAAATTTGATTTTAGTTCAAAGATTGATCGTTTCAACCTTCGGATATTGGGAGGATAGATGGAGGTCAGGAACGGCCCTCTGAAATATTTACTGGGCTTTAACAACTTTCTACGGGCAGAGACAAATCAATAACCAGGATCGTGGGCCAACAGACGATGGAATAGTGCATTTCAACAGAGGACACTCTACGGATGGTAAATATAAGGAATTATTTTTAATACTCAACGAAGTATCATGTTAGAAATATTAGAGAGAGAGGACCCCAGTGGTTGATTCAAAGTTGGGCTAAAGTGAAGCCTTGGCGATGGCGAATGGGGAGTCTGGTATACGACAGTCTAGGAAAAGTCTTTGCCTTTGAATATGGAAGATTATGCACTGAAATTCTCTGATGGTGGTTATTGCAAGTTGGGGTCACAATACGATGTTTATGCATTTGAGACAGCTATTAGCTGGAGAATGTGTTTCATCTATTTATGAACTGGTAGTAGAAGCTTATGGAAATCAATATCTCCATACCTTGATATTCAATGGAGGAACATGAATTGTGTTTTACTCATGTCTGGTTTTTGTTTTTTGGATGATATGGTGGAAAGAAGTGGGAAGAGGTTCGTATTCATGGGATTGCCAACATTGTGAATGTTGCTGTAAGTTTTTAAATGGAACGGATCTTTCCCAGTTAACTGTCAATCTTATGCATGCTTCCCTCATGTGAACAAATACCAGTGATTACCATTTGATGGACATGGGAGCAATACATTGGTTTTGGGTACTGAGGTCTTAGTTGGCGCTGGAAGGGAAGTAGTAATCGAAAACAATTGGAAAGATTGAAGGGAACCTTAGAAGAACCGGAAAATTCGAAAAGTATAAACTAATAAATAGATAATTAAACTCGAAGAAGATTGAAGGGAACATTTTGACTACCGTGAGGCATTCCTACATTTATCACAACGAGAAAGTTCTGTTTCAAGAACCACCTCGAACACTTACCAAAATGGTTACTAAGCAGGTAATCTTCTCAGGATTACCGTTTGCAATGTTATGAACATATTAATTGAATAGTTGTGAAAGAAACTAAGACAAGTGGTGACCTACTTTCTTGCTTTCAGCCCACATGACAAGGCATGACATCTGTTGAAACCTAGTTTTACTTACAGCTTCGACGAAAATTAGAATTAATTTTGCATCTATTTTCATATATATAACAGATGTCAATGGACGCTATGGTAGATGCAATATTGCTCTCGGCCTTAAGCCTTTGGGCCAACGACACATTAACATCTAACCACTAAAATTGTGTACGCAGCTTCTTGTTAGTTGAGCTTATGCCTTTATGTTTTCGTGTTCTTTCTTTCTTTTTCAAATGGATTTAAACTGAATGAGATCTGACGAGGGGCTTGGTGAGAAAAATGTAGGTAGGATCATCTAACATCAATGCTGAGGAGGCTAATGATTTGACGAGCCAAAGTTTAGGCTTACCACATCCGTCAGGTGAATGCTTGACTTGCGGTGGGTCTAGCATCGAGAAATGTGATGGTGAGTCCAAGTGATACATGATATACGGCCGTTAATTGATTGTATTCTCTGTTTCTTTTTCCTGTGAGGATTAGGTGTTCCAGATAATCTGTTGATATTTCCTTTCGCTTTATGACAGTGCGTTACTGAATGATGCTTGGAGGCAGTGTAAATCATTTTGATAAATTAGATTGCAAGAACTAGACGGTAGGATGCTTAGGAACCTATGGAGAATACCAAATGATCTCTTGTTTTTGTATTACGCTTCTGTGATTACCTTTTTGGTCCTCATGCATGATGACTTTTGCTTTGGTTATGAGCATTTGTTGCTGCATCTTCCGGTAATATTTTTCCCACTATGTTCTTTTGCCTCGTTTTTATAAGGGATGATTCTTTTTCTTTAACGATTACTCCACAAATTGTTAGGAATGGTTAGAGAAATTCTCTATGTTTATTTGATTAACTAATCAACTTTTTACATTATTATCAGGACATGTAGGGATCGTCAAGTTTCCCTCAACCATTTTTCATCCTTATTTTGTTAAAGAAATTGCTCAGATCTTGAACCAATTTTGCCCTGGATGCAAATCCAACAAAGCAAAGTATGCAGGCAAAGGTCAGGTATAAACTTCATGTTGTAAGTGATCCAGTGATTCCTATTTCAGTGTGCCCTTGGGAGTATTTTTGCTCAATATGTTTTACAAACTGAATTGCATGTATGCCATTTGAAATATTCAAATTACTCTAGTAACGATAACCGTGGTATATTGAAAAGGGTTTGTGTACAAGTCATATTGACTTTTGCTTTTCTGAGATCTGATATGCGTCCGGTTCAGTCAAACATGTAACAACTGTTTGTAGTTTGGCAGGCTCCATACTCCATTCTGGCTTGAATCCATTGGTTCAGTCGGATGATTTAAAAGTGGTGATTCTGTTTAATTGAGAATGCAAACAGTACAAAAAACTCTCAATTGCTATGACCTTTAGCTGAAGAAAGTCTTGCATTCGGATTGTATCTGGTATAGCTGCTGTCTTTTGGCCTAGTCTCATTTGAGACAGCAGGATTAAATCTGGTAAACTTTTGGCTGAGTTTGCATGTCATGGAGAAATGCATCCCCATATGAACAGATAGAGCTTGTTTTAGGAGCAGGGGAAATGCGTTAAGTAAAGAATTTGCTGTCCGAAATAAGTTAACCACAGCCGAAGGAAGAAACTTTCTGCAATATGCTAGCTGATTAAAAAATGACCAAATTAGTCGTTTAAACCTTGTAATTAGTTGGATTTTGGGACGTCAGAGTTTCCCTCACAATCAAGCCTTCAAAAAGTGTGTATTGTTAGTTTGATTATCATTATTGGTAAAAGAGAGGTTAGTATTCCATTACCTTTTTGATGTAACAGAAGGCCTGAAAGTATATAGTTCATTACTGAACAAATATTGAGAAATATGCTTTTGGATGTGAGATAGGATAACTTTATCCCCCCCCCCCCCTTTTTACATTTTACCTGTCTGTATTATAGGCTCTTTCCTGGTGTAGACAAGCATGAAATATTTTCTTTTATTCTTGATGGTTACGCTTCCTTATTTTAACTCATAGGTAATGTCATCTAGACAATGACTGAATTTTTGGTATTCACATCGATTTTAATGTGAGGCAAAAACCTGCATTTCATATATTTTACCATTCAATCACATGAGCTTAAATACAAGAATTATTGACAATGACGTTAGAGAATACTTTCCTTCGAGTTTCCTGCGTTACCTGTCGTATTGATTGCATCAGATGCAGTTCTTGATGTATTATGCTTGAAACAGAGCTGGCGCAAAATTTCACACAAACAGGCGTTGCTAGATGATCAATTACGTTGCAAATATTGTAGTGTAAGTGTTGTGATTCAGTTGAATGTTCATTTAATTAGCTGTGCTGTATATCGAAAGTATCCCATTTATTTCAGAGAAAGAGTTACTCAAAGGAATGGTATCCTTCAATGAAGTTTAAAGTTTTGAAAGAGAAGTCCAATAGTGGAAGTATATTTGTGGAGTGTAATACAAACTTACTAAAAAAGTTCAAGAAGAAAGATTCGTGTTACGTATTGCCTAAAGATTACTGGGACTTCATCCCAAAGGATGTACAACTGGAAGTTCCCAGAAGATCAAAGGTTATGCTTTCTCCATCGCAGGTAGCACCGATCGCCCCTTGCCTAGTCCCTTTTTCTTTTCTCTTCAAATGAACTTTTCAGTTGGTTATCTAAATTTCCTAGAGTAATATATTAGTCTAATGAATATCTCTGGCATGTTGTGGTTTTGCATGCCTGAAAAATGGATGTTGGAAAGAGGATTGTCCCCCCAGATCTAATTGCTCAAATAGAGCACAGGATCTGTACAGGGCATGTCTTGATGCAACCAAAACATATTGATAGATGCAGAGATGAGAAATAATTTAAGTCTAATTTGCTTGTTATCAAAATACACATGTTCATATGCATTATATTATTGTATAATGTTGATTTTTCCTACTTTCATGACTTCATAGTTATTAGGAGTGGACTAATATCCCTATGCTGGTCCAAGTAATTACCAAAGTTTTCCTTCTCAGCTTTTTTGAAGTAAAATAATCAGTTTTTTCCTTATTTTGTTTCAATACGCGTAATGTGGAAACATAACCCAGCCCGATGACGGAACAGGGAGACCTAGATTGTAGAAGATCATAACTTGAGTGATTTGGCCTTTTTTGTTTCTGTTCATTGCATAAACGAAGACTATCACTCTATGATGCGTTACCTTCGCTCAAGATTACTCTTGCTATGGCAGATTCCATATATGTTCCATGTACATTTCCATGCAATATTTATGTCAATCCTTCAAAGCATCATACAGAGTGCTGTTTCAGACATGGTATGCGGGATTGGTCTGTCAGGAGGGGACTTGCCAATTTGGATCGGATTAGGAATTGGCACCTTCCAAGATATATAGTCTTTATATTTTTAGTTTTTATCCCCGATTTGGGGTCTTCTCTGTGATTAGGGATAACTAATTTTGTCACCTGATCCTATCTCGGGATCTATGGTTAGGGCACCATAAGAAAACGTATACATTCTTCTGGGATCATAGGGCTGTTAGTCAGAAACTTCCCTTTCAAGGTGGAAGATTGCACGTTCAAGCTCCATAAGTTTCAAACAGTGGTCCGGTTCTGTCACACCGATTTACTTCGCATTTTATTGACATTATCTAATGAATAACTCTAACCAATGGACAGACTGGGCGCATTGAGACAATTTGGACTTTCATCCCAGAAAGCCCAGCCCAAGTTCGAATGAGTGGATTCAGTTCGGCCGGAACTGCAATTGTTATGATATCTGCTGTGAAGATGGTGATATGACGTCTAATTTATTAATGCACCTTCTCCCCTCTTCTCTCTCGTCTTGCAGTCCGTTGTCTTGATTTACACTAGCCTGTCGCAGTCTCATGAATAGTGGGGGACTGGATAGTCAGTTCTTGCTACATTATGAAGTTTCTGTCGGATGTGTTTGAATTTGACATGGCACGCATACACATAGCAAAACTCTGGTTAGACAAAGTCTCATAAAATAAACCTAGTTTTCTTTTCTCAAACCAGTCATCATTTGGCCCAGGTACACGCTTTTGCTCAGCTTTTTATCAGGACTTACGCTGCTTTAGTGATATTAAAGTTTCACGTCCTGTCACTTACTGTACTCACAGTGTGTGCAATAATCTAGTCCTGTTGTGACTGCAATTGTCTCCATCGTCTACATTCTGACATAACATCATCTTCTTATGAACAGGTTTTTTATTTGTTGAAAGATCTCGACCGAGAGTTTATTGAGCAGTTTGTTTTGAGGCGGGAATTTCTTTTTCTTTCATGCCTTCCTGTTACACCAAATTGCTGCAGAGTGACAGAAATAACTTTTGGTTCCGATTCTCCAAAAGTTACATTTGTGAGTTTTCTTCATTTGCTGGGTGTTTCATTGTTTGTCATTCACCAAACTTTTAAGAAGTTGATCTTTTCTTTGACCAATTTTCTGTCTGTTCTTTAAAAGAAGTTCAAACATAAATTTTGTAATGAAAGTTTGCTTGTGAAATGTAGGATGATAGAACCAAGGCCTATAAAAGGCTGGTTGATACAAAAAGTAAGATGGATGTGATGCAGCATCCCCCTGAAGTTTGTACTACTCGGGTCCTTGAATGCCTTTCTTTCTCAAAGGCAGGTGTAACGTCCTCCTATATTTGTAGTCTCATATAATTATCATTCATTATTTTACGAGATTTGTACTGTGAATTTCAGTTGCATTCTAAAAATTCTCCAAGCAGAGGCGCTTCTCCGAGTATTTCTGGTTTGAGATGGGTCAAAGATGTAGTTTTATGTAAAAGGACAGATCATGTGTGCCGTATGACTGTCGTTGGTGATCCCAATGTTAGATTAAGTGAAATTGGCATCCCTGAAGAAATTTCAAAGCATCTGGTTATTCCTGAAGGTATAACAAGCCACAACAAGCATATTTGGAACAGTACTTGTAATAAGTACCTTAATTACAGGACGATTTATGCCAGAAGGAATTCCAGATTATGTTCTCTGACCAATCCAGTCGAGCTTCAGATTGGTGATGTTCTGTATAGACCTCTGGAAAATGGTGATCTTCTGTTGGTCAACAGACCTCCATCTGTGCATCAGCATTCCCTCATTGGTTTATCTGCTAGAATTCTTCCTACAACTGCGGTATTCTCCATAAATCCCCTGTGTTGTGCTCCTCTATACGGGGATTTTGACGGGGACTGCTTACATGCATATGTTCCACAATCCATCCATTCAAGGGTAGAACTTAATGAGCTTGTTCATTTAAATAAGCAGTTATTAAATGGGCAGGACAGCCGATCCCTCGTACCCTTGAGTCAGGATAGCTTAACTGCTGCCTATCTACTCACGGGGGATATGGTTTTCCTTAGTACATCTGAGATTCAGCAATTGCAAATGCCATCTACACGATCGCTTCAGTATCCTGCAATTTTGAAGGCTCCTCATCTTACTGGACCTCTCTGGACTGGCCAGCAATTATTCAGTGCAATTCTTCCTGAAAACATGGAATTTTCTCTCCCTTCCATGACGATAAATATCAGCAATGGCGAAGTTCTTGTTTCTCCTACTGAATCTTTGTGGCTAGGAAATACTTCTGATGGATTATTTTCTAAAATTTCTAGGTGTTACGGTGACAAGGCTCTTGACTATTTCTTTTCAGCAGCGGAAATCCTTTGTGAATGGATATCTATGAGAGGGCTTAGTGTTTCTCTAGAGGATATGTACCTTGTGTCTAATTCCTATGACCGGAAGAAGTTGATTCTAGAGGTGGAGTATGGTCTGCGAGAGGCAGATCGTGCGTGCTATACGAACAATTTGTTAATGAACGCAGAGATTGTGGATCGCTTGAAAGATTGTAATGGGCGAGAAGAAATCCCAAACTCTATTAGTGTTGAAATTCATCGCATGCTCAACTGCAAACGTATGGTCACGAACTCAAAATCTTTTGCGGTATTCAGGGAGGTGTTTACTGAACTTCAGTATCTAGTGCGAGAATTTGCAAGCAAGAATAACTCCTTGCTTTCAATGATTCGTGCTGGAAGCAAAGGCAGTTTATCAAAGTTCCTTGAGCAAAGTGTGTGTCTCGGTCTACAATACTCAGCTGCATCTTTTGAAATACCTTCTAGGCTTTCTTGTGCTAACTGGAATCAGTATAAGATGTCTGATCTACATGGGATTGCACAAGAGACATCTGATCATACTCGGAAATGTGGTTCATATGCTGTTATTAAGAGTTCTTTTCTTGATGGACTAAATCCATTAGAATGTTTTCTTCACTCTTCATCAGGGCGAATGAATCTCTTTAGTGAGAATGCAGAATTTCCTGGGACTTTGACTCGGAAACTTATGTTCTATATGCGAGATCTTTATGTTGCTTATGATCAGACAGTGAGAAATTCCTATGGGCAGCAAGTAATCAAATTTTCATATGATATTCCTTGCAAAACATCCGTCGAAGATGCATATTGTGAGACACCTGTTCAAGGTGGTCAACCTATTGGAGCGTTGGCTGCTTGTTCAATCTCAGAAGCTGCATATAGTGCTTTAGAACTACCATCCAATAATGCTGAAGCCTCTCCTCTCTTAAACTTAAAGGTTTTTTGTTACTTTCATGATTCTGAAAACGTCTACAGAAGTTTGCATACTCATCATTGAAATAAATTTCCAATTTTCAAGTCAAAGCAATAGGGGTTCCTGATTGCTTTGACTTGAAGAGTCATTAGTTTTACATATTGATGCATGTTTCATGCTTTTTTTGTTGTTTATTCCTGACCGCAGTCTGGATAGGATCGCTTGGGTTTACCAAGAATCAGGTCAGGGTGGACTTTGTTGAAGTGGGGGATGGTTTAGAGCCAACCAGCATCTGATTATCTTAAGAGTCTTGTCACAGTTTCCTAGACGAGCATAAAAAAATGTGAGATATAAAAAATATGATACTCATTATGTGTGAATAACAAGTGATGCGTGGTTCAATTCACCATAACTTCTTGCCGTGCAAGAAAATCAGAAAATTGATCTTCCTTGTTTGGATTGGCTTCAAGAATGATGAGTCCCCGATTTATTCTGCCTTTAGGCCCTCTTAATATTTATATTTCTTTATCATCTATCGTCACAAAGTAACCGTTTAATGAAATAAATTCCATGCAGGAGATCCACATCGTTCTGTTGGAGATTGTTGCTTCTCTGTTGGGCTGCAAGTATCCACATGAACCAAATTGAGGATGAAACGTATTTCATGTTGCATCCGAAAGGAGGCTCTAAAAAGTTTTCTACTTTGTCTCATATCTAGGAATCGATGGCTAAGTGATTGATACTGTCTAGTTTGATTATTGAACTCATTCCCAAATGATACACTTATGTTCAACTTATTCCCACGAATTAATCTGCGCTTCCTTCGTCACTTATTTACGGGTTAACTCTGTTGTCTTCTCTCTCTTTTTTTTTCCCTCATTTATATCTCCAAAAATGGCGGCTATCCCGGATCTTTGATAATTCGATGAGCGTGGATATGTTATTTTTATTTTCAGAGTTTAGCTAGGTATTACATAATCCCTTGTTGTTAGTGACAAGATGATATTTGGGGTATGCAGAAAGTATTTGAGTGTGGGAAGAAAGGAGTTGCAGCTGGGCAGACTGTGTCATTGGTATTGTCCCAGAAGCTTAGAAGATGGGACTATGGTTGTGAATATGCAGCATTGAAGTTACAGCAGCACCTTGAAAGAGTCCTCCTTTCAGATGTCGTGTCTACAGTTCTAATATTGTAAGTTAATTTTCGCTTTTTTATTTTCTCACTCTTTATATGGCAGATATTGAGAATCGTGTTTATTTCATTCCACCTGGTTGCCAGTTATGCTGGTCAGAATGCAAAGATGGGAACCAGCCCATGGATTACACATTTCCATGTAAATAAGGTTATTGTCATCTATGTTCATTGCAAATATTTCACGTCCAGAATGGCTTTACTTTTTGTGATTCATTTTGATTTTATTTTTTCCCCAGGAAAGGCTACTTAAAGAAAGATTAAATCTGAAGTCAATCAGTGATGCACTTGACAAGAAGCACAGATTATCTGCTGACAAATCAAGCACCATGTTTCCTGAGTTGCATATCTCAAGAAGGTACATTTATCGTTAAGTGTTCCTAGAAGTATATCTTCTCGAAAAATATAAAACCCAATCAGGTTCTAATATTCTGTTTTGAATACCTTGTTTTTTCATTGTGATTGTTTTTTTTTGGCATTTTTTGTCTATGTTTTCAGCATCAAATTGAAAACATTGTGATTATAAACAAGTTATGTAATGGGTGATTGCAAACAGGTACTGTTCAGATGACGGCATACACGAGGATCAAGATATGGAAAATTGTATCACAGTTACTGCTGAGAATTCTAGGTTCCCTGTGGACCTGGATGACATACGTAATACAGTGATCCCTCTACTTCTTCGGACTGCTGTTAAGGGTATTGCGAAGAACTATTAGCAATTCCCATTTTTTTCCTGAGTCTTGCAACAATTACCTACCCATTTTTAGTTAAAATGAGCATATCATATGTTTCTTTAATTTTTGCTCATGTTTTCAATCTGCTGACAAGATTCAGTGGATTCTGTGCTAATGATTCTTTAGTCACACTATGTAATGGTCTCTCGCTTAAATCCTTCACAAAATTTAGTCAACCCAACAAGTAATGAGAAAAAAATCCTTCACAAAATCCTTCATTTTTTTGTCGATTTCTCTTCTGGATCTACAAGAATTCATGCCTCAAAGATTATCTCGCGCATTGTTTTTGGTGAGAATCCTTACTGTAAATAGGATCACCATACCTAGTGTCCTTGTTTTTTTCCTCTTGCTTCATAGTGCTTGAAAAGGCTGATGGGATATGGCATTAAAAAGGGATGATTGCTCTAGACCAGAGGTTTTGAATTCTGTCAATCCTTCATATGATAATCTAGCTTGTACCTTTCTAATAATCCCATGGAACCTTGCCAATGTGTCTGTGCACTGAGAATGCTTCCACTTCTCTCATAGGGCTCTACCCTTCAGCCCATTACCACAGATTGGCAATACCATTTTTCATGTCTTTTTTCTGTTGTCATCTCCCTCCATCTTTCAAGTGCCCATCACCTACGGCTATCAAATGCCACCATTATTGTCGCCACAGGCCGCCATTCTTCCTCCTATCCACTACTGTTGCCACTCATCGCCAGTATCATCCGCCATCACCCCATCACCCCATACAACGGCACCATTACTCCTTCCATGGCTATGTTCCTCCACAAAGAACCACCGCCTATCACTGCTAATACCAAGTGTGACTGCCGTTATCATCTTTGACAATTTTTTTGATTTCATAATTTCATAATTATCAAGCGTTAAATCTTTTTTTGGCCTGTATTTTTGTAATTTTTACTCATGTAATCTGTGAATAGCTTGTCTAGTAATTGAATGTGATTAAACGCCCTTTTATCTCCAATAGTTTGACTGAGCTGAGGCTGACTTTAATCGTGTCCAAAAACCATTGTTGAATACTGTCAGTTTCCTGAAACTTGCCATAGCTGGCCAATCAGTCGTTGGGTTTCTGATCTAAACCTATCATTATAAACTTGCCATAGCTGCATTTTCTGCTGTCCTGGGCTTTCAGTTTTCCTATCAATAGGATATCTTAACTTGGATACTCTTACAGGATATCTGGAGGTCAAGAAGGTGGACATTCGATGGGACGATCAGCGTTCACCTAGACTTTACCCAGGCTCATCTGGGCTATTTCTGAAGGTTATCCTATCAGAAAGCTGTAAAGCAGGGAAAGGGTGGAGCTTTCTCCAGGAGGCATGTTTACCTCTGATGGATTTGATCGACTGGCAGCGCAGCCATCCAGATAGTAACTTCGCTGCATATAAAGCTTATGGTGTTGATGCTGCATGGAAATATTTTGTGGCAGTACGATACCTCACTATACCCATGCTTAGCTTTCATATTCTCTACTGCTTCGATCGTCACCATCTGCCCTTGCTCCTTGATCCATCATGCAGAACTTGAAGATTGCAACAGTTAAGATCGGAAAACGAATTCATATGGAACACTTGCATCTGGTTGCAGACTGCCTCTCGGCAACTGGGGAGTTTTATGCCTTAACTGCCCGAGGACTGAAGCTGCAAAGGGACCCGTTGTCCCTTTCAACCCCCTTCATGCAAGGATTTTTTTCTGTCAGTATCTGATGTTAATGTGGTCATCCTGGTCATATATTTTAATAAAATTTAACTGATAATAATGTTCTTTACACCTTCTGCAGTCTCCAGAAAGCAACTTCATAAATGCTGCGAAGAAAGGCGCAGTTGACCATCTTCTTGGGTCTGTGGACGCTATGGCATGGGGGAAAGAAGCTCCACTTGGCACCACTGGACCCTTCGAACTCTTATATTCAAGAAAGGTATGTCCTACTTTTCTCATGGTGGGTGGGTTCTTTAGAATAAGATCAATACTTCTTCCTGGGTTTTAAATCATATGATCGTTGTAAATCATATGATCATTGAACAGACCCCTGCATGAGAAATTCAGTCGTTATCTCACTAACCTGTAGTAGTTTTGTCTAAGATACTCCCATTAGTTTTCAGATAGAAACTGGGGACTCCTGGGTATCACAGATCTAAAGTTATATTTTTTTTCTCCTTGGGCGTCGCGTTATAGGGACACAAAGGTAAACCGGATGAACTCTTATGATTGTGGGGTTGATTTGTGGTCTTCAATAGGTGTTGTTTCCATGATTTGTGGAGAAGCTTTCAAACGGGAGAATATGTATCTCGTTGGCCAAACCAATTATTCTCTTCTCAATGCCATACTGGGTCTCTTTTTCTTTCTTGTATGCAGTTATGCAAGCTAGGAACGGATCATCAGGGTAGGGGAAAACGAAGAGAATCTTCTCTTGCATATAAACTGAAGTAGAAGATCTGGAGGAGTGAATGGCTCAGTCAGGGATGAAAGAATAAAAGGGAAGGGGAGAGTTGTAGCAGAGCAGCAAATATTAATAAAAAAAACGGAGAAAGAGTGAATGGCTTGATTCCACATTACCTACCCAGGTGGGGAGGGAGGAGGATTAAATGGGAGGAATTGTGTGAATATAAACACACAAAAAATAACTCTTTTATTGTGTATTTTTAGAATTATATAAAATTATTCCTCAGTTCTTTTAAGTCTTTGGCAACGATGAAGTGGATGAAGGTGTTCCAGCTCCTGTTCTTGGGTCTCAAGTCAGTCTGTGCTACAATTTACGTAGGATTGCCCCCATTTTTCCAAGCTTGAGGGAAGCCCTAAATAGTCCATTCTTCGATGATTATGAATCCACAATCAATGTTAGGAACATAGTCTTGGCCAAAGCATTCATCTTCACATATTTTCTTTCTCAGGTACCAAATCTTGGTCGGCAGGAGAGTGTCTATCAAAGCCTGAGGCAAGAGTGTGCTAGTCAAGACAAGGGCATATTTGCCAACATGGTGGGGGCATCTCAGGATCACCGCTTGCCCAAGAAACAGGATGACAAACTGGCATATGATCTATTGAGGCCTCACATACAGGACAAGCGAATTACAACAAATGGATCTGTGGGTGGCAGTGAAATCCGAGTGTTCACCCATCTGTTTACATCCCTGAGGAAAATATTGCATGCGTAAGCTTCTTCTTCTTAAGGGTTGCACCGCTTTTTAGTTATTATTTTGGAGTAATTTATCTACGAATGCATCCCAACAGTGTTCTTAAGGGGTGTGCATGTTGTGGAGAATCCGTTGCTTATTCTCAGACCAAGAGAGGGCAGCCCATCGTTTATGCCTTGTTTATCCACCTCGAGTCGTAATTTATGGTCATATCCTGTCCTAAAGAACATGATTCAAAGCCCACCAAGTTCTTCTTTCCTAGGAAGGAATCTGAATTGATACATTGTTGATCTCTTATCCCCGTCTATGAATCTTGGAAGATGGAAGGAGAGACTGATAGGGGTAGAAGACCCACATTGCATAGACAACATGATCCAGACAAACCCTACAATGTGGATAACATAGTGGAAGAATCAGGTAGGATTTTTGGGCTTTTCATGCATGCGGTCAATGAAATCTGTGGTGTCGATCATTCGAGATGATGCCAGTGATGGTACCTTTGGTGCAACTATGAATTTGATTTGATTATGCTCCTAGTCAATGTTTGCGCCCACTTTAATTCTCTTTCAAGTTGCTTAGAGCCAGGGATCTGGTGACCTGACACTGAAGTTCCCCTTTGAAGGTACCCTATGGGTGCATATCTAAAAGAAGAAGCCAAGTCTCTGGCAGTCAAAGCTTTGGGATTCCATCCCAGGAAGGATGCCAAGATCGGAGCTGGGATCAAAGAAATCAAGGTATCTACCATTAGACGAATTATAAGTGGGCTGATGTTCATTTCTCGCACTTATGCTTCATAAAAATGGAATCATGGATGGAAAAGCTCACTCCTTCCTCTATTCTTTGTTGATCTCAAAGAATGTTATGTGATCGCATGGCAAACCTCCCTACACTCCCATTCTGTGCTATCTGTTTCCATATGATCCGTGTCCTCTCTCTCTCTCTCTCCTTCCCCTCCCCCTTCTCTCCAAGTCTTCCTGAGAGTAGATTTATACAATCATCAGTCATAGATCTTGATATGGTGGCGAAAACTCTGAATATCTTCCATTCTCCTCTCTCTATACTATGGCAGATCGGACAGAACCCAATGTTCCCAGGGTCGCGTTGCTTCGTTGTGGAAAGGGTGGATGGAACCTCTGACGATTTCTCATACTGGAAATGCTTCAAGGGTGCCATGGAGAAGTATTCAGCAGGAACAACTACCCATTTCACGAGATCAGCTAGAAAGAGGAAATCCACATGAAGTCACTTGTACCTTTATCTCTATCCTCTGCTGCCCCATTGACTCTATAAATTATCTGGTCAACTGTCCTGTAAAGCTGCAGTTCCACAGTGATGTCTGGGTATCATTCATCGAACAAAGATCCAAATCTCAGATGATACAGAACACAACGGGAGTTCTTCATCTTCATCCCGTCTGTCGATGTGGAAGAAGGAAAAGGATCAAACCCATCCGATTTGACCAAGTGGGTTTTTCTTGGGGACTCCGATCTTAATCCTCCATTTTTTTTGTCCAAAACATGCTGGTGATTTTGTCCAAATATCATGGCTTTCTTTTGGAAATATATGCTACATTTGCTTCCATACGATGTTAGTGATCTTGGCTGAATGCCCATCTACACCTCTCCATATGGATGGTTGGTCTCTGCTAGGGAAGGTTGCGACCAAAAATATAGGCGATATACTGGGAATTATACGTAGTCTTCAACCGCACTTGATCCATGAAAGTCAGAAAAGCTTACTTGTCTGTATGATTTTTCCACCGTTGACCTCGAACGGCGGGGTTGGTGGGGGAAAGGTCACAGATTGAACATCACCTTAATGGCGCTGCCACCGCGGGCGCTGACATCGAAGGCCTCCTCCACCTCACGCTGGGAGAAGCCGTACCGGTGCGTAATCAAGGGCTTCACGTCGATCTTCCCGCTGCTCAGGAACTCCAGGCACAGAGGCCAGGTGTTCTTGTACCGGAAGACGCCGACCACGTCCACTTCCCTGTTTCCCGGAAGGTTGATGGGGAAAAAGCGGAATTAGGGCAGGAGAATGCTGCCGGTGGAGGAGCAGGAGGGAGTAGACTACCTCGCCGCCGCCGGAGTGAGAGGGAGGGTCATCTCGTTGTGGCCCATCCCCACCAGGCAGACCTTCCCGCCGGCGCGGGCGGCGCTGAGGGCTGTGGACATAGTCTTGGTGAACCCCGCGCAGTCGAAGACGACGTCCACTTCACCTCGCATGGCGTTCTGTATGCGAGCTACTTCCGCCTCCACGTCCTGTAATCAAGAGGAGAGCTCAGTTTTTCGGAGTCGACGAACGGAGAGACGGCGCCGGTGGCGAAGAACCTGGACGTGGGGAGAGACGACGACGACTTCGTCGGCGCCGAGCGACTTCGCCACAGAGAGGCGGTGGCCGTCGACGTCGGCAACGACGATCCTCGGGGCTCCGAATGCGCGGGCGGCGAGCATCGTAACAAGGCCGATCGGGCCGGCTCCCATGACGAGCGCCGTCGTCTCCGGGCCGATCTCGGCACGGCGGCAGGCGTGGACTCCCACGCTGAGGGGCTCGCACATTGCTCCTTCTTCCAGGCTCACATTCGCCGGCAGCTTGAAGCAGAGATCAGCAGGGTGCACCACCTGTGTCCAGAACAGAACATAAGGTCAATGGCGTTCTGAGGTCTGAAGATGTGAAGCAACAAAGGAGGATGTCTGGTAGAGAGAGAGAGAGGAGGACCTGGTTTGCAAGCGATCCGTGGACAGGAGGTGTGGCGAAGAACTTCATGTCGGGACAGAGATTGTAGCGACCGCCTTTGCAGTGGCTGCACCGCCAGCAGCTGATGCCCGGCTCCAGAGCAACACGGTCCCCGGCGACCAGCGACTTCACCTCACTACCGACCTCCTCCACGATCCCGGCGCACTCGTGCCCAATCACCATCGGCTCCTTGACGACGAAGCCGGCGCACCTCAGAGTCTGCTCTAGAACACGAACCAGAGCTTGAATCCGCACTACTTATTCAGGATCTGAGATCCCCATACGAAGACTGAGGACGCGAGGGGATCTCCCCCCATTCCTTCTTCCGATTCATTTCTCACCTTGAGGTAGTGAACATCGCTGCCGCAGATGCCCACGGCCTTCATCCGAACCCTAACATCATGCGCATCTGCAACAGCAAAACGATTTCTCATGGCATTCAGAACGGAAACAACCGTTCTCCATCGATCTGAAACCGACGATACTCTAAACAAAACTCTCTATGATGGAGCATTTTCTCTTCTAACAACAAAAGTATGGACTTCATTTTCCTTCTTGCTGTAGTCCTTCAGAATGCGATATAGCATTCTGGAAGGACTACAGCCAGGCAGACGGTCAAAGGGGACTACAGCCATCGCCTACGGCGTTTTCGCCAGACGGTCTTTGCCAGTAGTGCTACACAGAGAAACACAGAGCTCGTGAGGCATTGATACCGAGCGGAGGGAGCTCAAAGGGGAGGATCTTGAGAGTATTGACGCCCATCAGCCAGGCAGCCATGTTCTTCCCTGCTCCAACTCCTCCTTCCCCACCCTTCCCCATCCTCGCCTCCGCCCGCCGCTGATCGGATCCCAACTCCGCCGGATTCGCCGAAGGTGCAGATGAACGAAGGCAGAGTAGGAGTCGGATCGAACCAGCCTGAATCTTCGAGAGGGAGGAGGAGCTCTCGCAGAGGTTTTGATCTTCCTCCTCTCTCCCCTCCCTGCGGATGAGAATCCCGTCGAGATGTGGTCAAGATCGAATTCCGCCCACGGATCATTTCCAAACAGGAGAAACAGATTCCGCCGTCATATCCATGGTCCCTGTCGCCACGTCATCGTTCAATTCGAAATGAAGATGTGCCAGCAGGACAATGCCACGTGTGCAACACCTATCAGCTGTGGAATGGGCTTTCTAGCTCGGTCAGCTGACTTCCGTTGGGCCGGCCCATTTAAATCCCCAACTACCCAGTCGGTGGTTGATGACTTACGAGGCGCTCCATCGGGCGACGCTGGATAAAGAGAATCAGCACGTGCGTTCGCACGGATGAACGGTCTTAGAAACAGAACAGAACAGAAGGCTTGTGGATTCATCTGAAGATCGAAGGTTGGGAGGCGAAGTCAACGCCAGTGATATGGGACAACCTATTATTTTTTATACAATATTTTTGAGGCGTTAAGTCAGTACAAATATCGAACCGGTCGTGGGTTTATATCAGTAATTTTTAATTAATGATAAAATAACTATTAAAAAACACATTTATATTTTAAAATGTGATTCGAATTCGGACCTATTTTTCGACGATATTTTTAGAACTAAATCGGTCTAAATATTGAAAATAAAATATTATAAATATAAATAAAAAGTATTCAGAATAATTCGAATTGGGGTGTATTTTTGTGTTGTGTTCGTCGTGATTAATCCAGTGACTCGCTGATACTGAGAGGAAAAGTAGGGATACGTGGAGTCATCCACACCGTTCGATGGAGACCGGTGCCGGAAAGGGCTTCGCCTCGGTGACGTGGAATCCGGCGTGGAGAATTACCGGGTCTGTTGCGCGGGAGCCGGCGTAAATGCAGGCAACCCCCGCGAGGAAACCACGGGAGACGACGACCTCCAGTAGCTTCCTTCTCCGAGCTCGGTCTGCCCCGCTTTTCCCTCGCTCGCGTTTGGCCGCTTCCATGGCGCCTCCGCTGAGTAGGAGCCTCGGCGCCTCCTCCTCAGCGGCGGCCCTCCACTTCCCCTGCGCTCCATCCCCTTTCTCCTCGGCGGCCACCGCCGCTACCGCAACAACCGTGGCGTTCCTCAGGCTCGGGTCTTCTGTCAGTTTGCGGTATCTTTCTAGAACTGGCCCATCCTGCTACTCGTTGCTCTTTCGGTTCTTAAATGGACCATGGACCGCTTGCAGGAGACGGTTCAGATGCGAGGCTTCAGCCGCCGGATGGGGGGGCTCGGGAGGCGAGTACCCGGTGGAGAGTGCGTCCTTCACCTTTGCGGTAGAATCCCTCGCCTTGTTGTACCATTGCTTTTTGCTTTTACCACGTTGAGTTCGTATCTTTCCTCCCCGCACTTTGAGGTGTCATTATCTGCTGATGCACATACTTCAAATCTACTTTAACTGAGTTTTCTACGCTGTGTTCTTAGTCGAACGATGTTCTTGTCTGCTCAGTTTTATCTCATGTAACAGATAAATACTCAAATAACTCGTGACATGAAAAATGTGCCTTTTGTTTAGTACAAATCCAAATCCTGCTTTAAATAGGCAATGAATTTTTCGCGGTTTACCATTGAGCCGCATGGCGTTTTGTGCTGGCTATCTAGCTACATTTTGTTGGTCTAATAGACGCATTTATCAAGTGTTTAACTAATTATTTCACAATGACCGCAGTTTGGCGCTATTTACGAAACCGGATAACGCTGTTATATTCATTTTGGGTTGCTACTGTAATTAAGTAGGGTATTCTAAGGTGTGATAGTTAGTGTGTTTTCTTCGCGCCTAAATAAAATTATGGAATCTCTCAAGATTTATAATTCTTCTGGAACATCTCAGGCGAGCTATTTGTTGGATTCCATTGTGCAGAGATTGTCCTCATGTCGGGGAGTTTTTGCACATGACATTTCCCGGTAAGTGTAAAAATTGATTCTATTTTTCTTTCTTTTCTCCTTCAATGTAAGTCATTCCTGTTTGCAGTAGGTGCTCCTAATTTAAACATAGTTCTGATTTTAGGTTTCTGTACATGACGAGGGTTAATTGACGAATAACTTTCCAATGAAAGAAGTTATCTAATAGATACTTGAGAGGAGTTGTTATAGTTGTAAATTGCACGAAAAAAAGGAAGAAAATCTGGGACATCAGTGGTGTTTTCTGGTGATGGTGATTAGGATTGAAGGTTTGTACACAATATTCTATCATCAACACTTTACTAACCTTTCTGTCAAAGGATATCTTGGGAATAAGTTTCATTTTATTTTGTGATGAAAAACCCTTCTATATTGAAAGCCCATCCATCTAATAGATCGGAGCCCTTTTTTTATTCTTTTGAAATTAATTAGGGGAAGCCCTCTTCTGACCTTACCATGGGATACTAGCCACAAAAAGTGCCTCATTGCTCATGAAGGATACACTTATACGGGGTTGCCGTCTTATATGTCCAGTTTACTTTGATTTTAGTGTAGCTTTGTCATGGAATCATTGATTCTAATAGAATTTTCACCCTTCATATTTAGGCCACAACTTTGCTCATAGAATTTTACCCTTCATATTTAGGCCACGACTTTGCTCTTAGAATTTTACCCTTCATATTTATGCCACGACTTTGCTCATAATGATTGAGGCGTTCCATTAGTTACCAAATTCTCAACTGCTCCGATGTACTAGGGCCCTGACCGTACAAATATGCTGTAAACAGGAATGTGGTCAGGCAAATTGACGCCCATCGAAACCTTTGTCTGGGATGTTGTTGAGATTGTCTTTGTGACAATGATAATTCCATAAAATAAAATTTCAGGGAATGTAATGAGTCTCCTAAGCTTAAGTCGTAATTTCCAGAACTGCTACCATTGTTTGTTTGTAAGGCTGGAGAAGCCTTTCTTGCTTTTCGATTATTGTCCAGTTGGTTCAATGATAGTAAAGAGGAGGCAGGCAATGATCCACCTCCATTTCTACTGAGCGGGAAGGAGATGAGATGCAGATGTCTGCAATGGATTTTCCCACCCTTGAATTCAGTCAGTATGCGATTTTGATTTCTATGTTTCGAAATTTCGTTTATAAAAAAAATAATTTAGTTCGTTTAAAATTGTATGTGCCTTAAAATTTCATCACAAACCTACCTCACTTCAAGACTGTCATGTTCTGTTTTCAACCTAGTTAAACAGAGTCGATTGGCGTGCATATGCCATTATTTCATGAATCTAGCTTATGATTTTAGTTGGATTATCTCTGTGTGCAGGGGATACCGCTGTTTGAAGGACGGACATAACGTGTCCGTGCATAATTCATTGAAGGGCCTTCACTTTTCTACAGATGTTTCAAACTCAAGTGGGTCACAAGGGTTGGACAAAGATGACATGGAATCTGTGAAATATAAATTGCTTGTTGACTGTGGTCCAGACCAGGAATGTGTAACCGGTAGGTCCATCTTTGGCAAAGTCATACTGTTCTAGTGTATATTCGAAAATTTGGATGCCTGTATTGCTGAGAGTTTTTACTTTGCCTTGAAGAATATCAATTTTCGTCTAACATACACTGATATTTTTTTTGTGCTTCAGCTTGTTCTTTCAGTTTACTTTTTCATTTGTTGTCTCATTTAAAATCCCTTTTACCCTTAGAGTGATATCATTTACTCTATTTTCCAAGTTTGAAGGCCATTTGTTGAGGTTAATAATCCAATAAGAGACTACATGCTACAGATTTTAAGTGCCAAGGATTCTCACTTTTGTTTTGTGGAGTAAATTTTCAGCCATTTATATTCTGATATTTATCTTGCTATTGTTCTATACTTTTATCTTTAGAAGCGAAGTGTTGTTTTTCTCTAGGTACATTAGTTATCTGATGTACTCAGTTTGAAACATTTTAGTCGCTTCCAGGGTTTTAGTTCAAAAAGTTGAAATTAGAAATGCAGGATTGGAACTAATCCTGTCAGACTGTCCCTAGTCAATCTGGCATAAAAATTACAATAAGAGTTGTAAGAGATGTTCATCTGGCTTCAGTGCCTATTAGGTCGAATAAATTCTGCATACTGTATATTTTCTTTTATTGCTCTCAGTGGGAGGTCATTTTTCACAAGTCCAGTTTGTCTGCTTCCTACCTCCTTCCAATTGTCATACGAATTCTACACATTAAGTTTTGTTCAATCTTTTTTCTGATTGGATTTGAAATATGAATCATTTTATATATTTTTGGGTCTTTTTATGATTTGTGTAATAACTATAAATAGTTCCTTGTCCTTAAACTGGCTGTCCATTTAAGATGGATAAATAGTATATGCTGAGTGTTACACACGATCTGATTTTCCTGTATGATCTAATATTGTAGGAGGTATTGTCGCTTTGGGTAAGTTTGATGCCCTCCATTTAGGGCACCGTGAACTTGCCATACAGGCGTCAAGGGCTGGGACTCCTTTCCTTCTATCGTTTGCCGGAATGGCAGAAGTACTTGGTTGGGAGTACAGGTTAGTTGTAACCTCTGAAGGACTTTTATTCTCCATTTTTAAAAAATTAGTTGGTTTTTATTGTTTTTTTTTTTTTTTTTTTTTACAAGTTCATTGCAAAGGTGTTAGAAATATGTTACTATACTGTCTGGGGTCGGTCAACGGACTCCCATGCAGATTTGGCGAAATTTTGTTGAGTGTTACTTTACATCACTTGTGCCAATGAAAGGAGTTATTAAGACAAGTATTTGGATTTATTTTCCGTTGGAGGCCATCATATATATTTTTTAGCTCCGTATTATCATAAATTTAATACTGCTACCGAAGGAACACGTTTAACTTCAGTTGCTCTGACCGACACTCCTCTTTTGCTCCGTCCATGGAGTGTATGAATTTCCTTAAATATTGATAGACTAAAAAAAGGAACTCAGGGATAAGGATAGGAACTAACGTATCATTGGCACAGAGGGTGTTCTTTGATCAATAATGCATATTTTGTGACAATGAACGTAGGATGATATGGCTGCATGACTTCCTCTGTTTAAATGAATGTAGAACCTATGTTTGGGCAAACGTGTTTCCTTTGTTTCTGACTAATCTCGTATTTTTCCTGCAATAATTTTTTTTAATTGGAAGATTCGGTGATTCTTCTGGTTGCTGATGTGTTTCTGGTCGTGGAATTTCTTTATCTAGTGCTTCACAGTGAAATCTGAGTCTCAGATGTAGTTATGTCTCACTTCTTTGCTGCAATGTAGATTGGATTTGAGATTATGAATCGAACACATACTTAAGATGGAGTTGATGTCCTTCTTAGTGATCTGCAGAGAACTCTCACCGCACCATCATAATCCGAATCAAACAAGATAAACTATAGCTGGCGATGCTAGTTGGCTGTGATGCATTTGAATATAAAAAATTGGCTGATCCTGATTTTCCAGAAAACAATGAACGTTTGTGGTCTTTGGGTTTATAATGTTATGAATATATCAAAAGATGCGGAAAGATTGAGGCTGAAATGATTTCTTATGGACGATAATGGGTTTCGAGATCCTACATGTTGCCTGGTTTGATGTTCTGGAGGATGGATCAGGTCTGGCAGTTTCTGTCAAGTCAACTAGAGGTGATCTGTTCTAGATATGCTACCAAGCTACTACTCGAAAGGTCGGACGTGGTTGACCTTGAACCACCCCTGGGGCTGCTCAGTACCTAGTCCTTTGCTTTCATCCATTCCGCAGATATGGCTGCGTTCCTTCACTAGCTTTCAGTGCATAATCATCCGTCTAAAGGGTTTTAGCTATCCTTTGGAGCTTTTCCCTTCCGAAATCTCCTAACTGGTTTGGCTTCTGGTTCTATGCCAGGGCTCCCATAGTTGCCAAATGCGACAGAAAGCGGGTGCTCTCCTCATGGGCTCCCCTGTGCGGCGACGTCGTCCCGCTCGAGTTCCACGTCGAGTTCTCCAAGGTCAGGCAGCTCTCCCCCCGGCAGTTTGTCGAGCGGCTGTCGAAGGATCTCAGAGTAAGTGGCGTCGTTGCAGGTACCGACCATGATCGCCCTCTGAAACCCAAAAGCCGGCGCCGCCGCTGCTGCCACGGCCATCACACTGTGAATTTCTCTCCCCCATTCCAGGCGAGAACTACCGATTCGGCTACCGAGCCTCCGGCGACGCCTCCGAGCTGGTGCGGCTCTGCGAGGAGTACGGTCTTGAAGCCCACATCTTGAGCTCCGTCCTCGACAGAAAAAGCGGCGGCGGTGGTGCCGGCGGCGGCAGCAAGGAGTTAGTGTCCTCGACCCGTGTCCGCCAAGCTCTTGCCGTCGGGGATGTAAATTACGTGGCTGAGCTCCTGGGGAGGAGGCACCGCCTTGTGCTGAGGGTCCCCGAGGACTTCGACTCTGCCGCTGAGGGGAGCAAGCTGTCCATCCCCCGCTCATGCCTGCTGAACCAGCAGCCCAAGGAGGGCCTCTATGAGTCTTGCAGCCTTCTCGCCGACGACAGGCTCATCGGCCCCTGCAATGTGGTCATCAGCACTAGCCATGTCCATGTGGAGCTGGAAGGTGGGCCTGGCCAGCTCCTCGCAAAGGGGGATTATCGCCACGTCGGCATTGACCTCGGTGGTTGACCTGGTTGACTCTGATCGGCTGCCCCCTGTACCTCTGTTCTTGCCGGCATTGGGTCATCAAATTGGTATAATGATTAAACCATGTTATTTTCCCATATTTATTGATGCCATATTCCCAATGTCTTCATCGGTTTGTGGATGTGTGGGGCCCATTTCTCATAAAATCCCGGTCCAGTCAGTTGGCAGCCTCGCATGAGGGAGGGACGTGGGAGGAAGCCGATGCCATGCACGACAAACAGCTGCCCCCCCGGCCACTTCTTTCTTCATATGCCCAGCTTCCATCAATGCCGCCGCCAGCCTCGCCCAACTAATCCCCCGTCTCCAGGGCTTTCAAGCCTTTGATTCTCGTATGATGACCGTGATTAAGAGAGAGAGAGAGAGAGAGAGAGAGAGAGAGAGAGAGAGAGAGAGAGAGATCCGTCAGCTGTGTGAGACCTGAAACGCATGCAATGATGGAGGGGGGGCGGGGGGAGTGGTGAAAAATGGGATTTATTTATTTAATTATTTGAGTTAATATATATATTTATATCAGAGAATTTTGGTAAATTCCATGTGTGAGAACACATGAATTCCCATAAAACCTGCTTTTCACGTAAAAAAAACGTAAATTACAAATCACGTATTTTAGAGATTTTTCCTGTAAGTCAATGAAAATAATGCCGTAAAGGTTGACTTTTTTACGTTGATTGAGAGAGAGAGAGAGAGACAGACAGACAGAGATCTGAAGAGATTTCACGTAAGACTTGCTCCAAGAGCATGGGGAGATTAGAAGAGTGGGCTGACCCACGTAAAGCAAGCCCGTCAAGATCACAGCTTTGCGGGTGGTCTCACGTTCTTGAGGCCATTGACTGGAAGGGTGGGTTTCGCCCAAGAAGCGATCTTTGGATGCGGTCTCTCGCGTATTCTAATATTTCTGGGGACATTTCCACTTGGGCTTACGCTGCCGTTAGAAACGCGGATTACTCTGTTTAAATCGGCGAGGATCCTCGACTATATTAAGGAATAAGTATCATATTTTTCCAGTCGCTATGTCCTCGAGCAAACTCATGTTCTAATTGTTGCCATATGGGGAAGAAACTGAGCTCGGTTGCCAAAGTAAAGCTTGAGAGAGAGAGGGAGAGAGAGAGAGAGAGAGAGAGAGAGAGAGAGAGAAGGGGGAACTGGTTCTTCGCATAGGACTCGGATCAAGATCAAACCCATGTCTCAAAATCTGTAATTTAGACATATGGGGAAATAAAAACTGAGTTGAGAGAAAGGAGAGGGAGAGAGAGAGAGAGAGGAGAGAGAGAGAGGGGGAGGGGGGGGGGGGACGGATGGAGGGGGCATTAATTAACCCACAGAAACAGCCGAGCCAGCAGATGTGGCGGCTTTTTTGGCACCATCAGCTACTCCCATCTTCTGCTCACAACTTCTAACTGGGAACCGGCACTCAGCCAACTACCCCGACCCCCGCCAGGCCTCTCTCTCTCTCTCTATCCTCACATGGACGAACTCCTCCCCAGATTTTCCACCGCCTTGATTCTTGCGACGATGATCTGCTCGGCAAGAAAATGCAAAGAAACTAGGAAGCAACCCCGCAGGAAACCAGCTCGCCTTTGCCAGGCTTAACAACACTTGGCCAGAAATTTCTGCCCTTGGTAGCTCTGTCAGCAGTTTTAGGTGCAGCAGTAATTGCCCCGCCCCACCCCCCCTCCCCCCCCACCGCCGCTCCTCCCTCTGCACTGTGGGCTCGGTCCAAAGGGGCATGCTGAGATCATCCGTCGTCGCGAACATATATGAAGATCACAGACGACCAGAAGGCGATTCTCTGACTGTTTTTTCGGCCCGGATGAAGTTTCACCGGCCGTAGAATGCTTTTTCTCGCTTCTGATGATCTAATGGTTAGAAGAGATTGTTTATAGGTTGAGAACGGAGCGGTTCTTCAGTGGTAGTGATGAATCTTTACAAACGGTTCTTAATATAATGGCCTGCCAGAGCGACGACCCGGGGATATCTTTGCACCGCCGGGAAGGACGGGCCTCTCTCTCTCTCTCTAAACCCTACATCCTTCTCTTATATAAGGCTTATTTACCTCTCTCGGCCACCCACATCCTACCCGGCCTGTCCATTCAAGCGCCTGTGATCATCCCCACAGTCTTCTTCGTCTGCAGCAGAGAAGAGAAGGGAGGGTCGCAAGAGGGAGAGAGAGTCAGAGAGAGAGAAGGGGGAGGGGAGAGATATGGGGTTGCTGCTGTGGAGACTGGCTGTAATGTTTCTTGTTGTTGTCGTCTCCCATCTCCATGACCTCTGCCTTGCAGAGAACGGTAAGCAGACGATGGCTGGCTGTTCGCTTCTGATGATCTCTCTTCTTCTTCTTCCCTTCGTCATCTTCCCCGTGACTAACCTGACTGATCGCAGCTCCGTATAAATCGTTCGTGATGAACGCGACGGAGGCCCCAACAATGGACTACTACGACTACATCATCGTCGGAGGGGGAACAGCGGGTTGCCCACTGGCCGCCACCTTGTCCCAGTCCTTCAGGGTGCTCCTCCTCGAGCGAGGTGGCTCCCCCTACGGCAACTCCAACATCTCCAACCTCGTCCACTTCGCCGACACTCTCTCCGACCTCTCGCCGGAGTCGCCATCGCAGCGATTCGTCTCCGAGGACGGCGTCATCAACGCCCGCGCGCGCGTGCTGGGCGGCGGCAGCTGCCTCAACGCTGGCTTCTACACGCGCGCCTCGCCGGAGTACGTCAACGCCGCAGGCTGGGACGGGCGGCTGGTGAATGAATCCTATCGCTGGGTGGAGCGCGTGGTGGCGCACCAGCCGGAGCTCCGTCAGTGGCAGAGGGCGGTGCTAGACGGCCTCCTGGAGGTCGGCGTCACCCCCTTCAATGGCTTCACCTACGACCACATGGTGGGCACCAAGGTGGGCGGCACCATCTTCGACACACAGGGGAGCCGCCACACCGCCGCCGACCTCCTCGCCTACGCCGACCCCCAACGCCTCACCGTCTTCCTCCGCGCCACCGTCCAGCGAGTCTTCTTCCGCCCCTCCGGTGAACCCTCTGAAGCATCATCTCCCCGATTCTCCATGACGACTCTTTGGTTCTCCGGCGAAACTCACTCCCCCTCTCCATGCAGACAGCGGGAGGCGGCAGGTGCACGGGGTGGTGTTCCTGGACTCGCAGGGAGTGAAGAAGTGGGCTTATCTCAACGCAGGAACGAATGGGGACGTGATCCTCTCTGCGGGGGCAATTGGGACCCCGCAGCTGCTGATGCTCAGCGGGATAGGTCCTGCGGCTTCTCTGCAGAAGATGCAGATCAACGTGGTGATGGACCAGCCATGGGTGGGGCGGGGAATGTCGGACAACCCCATGAACGCCATCTTCGTGCCGTCGCCGAGCGAGGTGGAGGTTTCCCTCATCCAGGTGGTGGGGATCACCCCCTTTGGGAGCTTCATCGAGGCGGCGAGTGGCGCCAACTTCGCCGCCCACACCGCCCACGGCCAGGCGCCGCGGCGGCGGCGCAGGGACTTCGGCCTGTTCTCCCCGCAGACCGGGCAGCTCGCGACGGTGCCGCCAAAGCAGCGGACCCCCGAGGCCATCGCCAGGGCGGTCGAAGCCATGAACGCTCTCGACGAGGGCGCCTTCCGTGGGGGCTTCCTCATCGAGAAGATCATGGGCCCGCTGTCCACGGGCACACTGAAGCTCCGCAGCCTCGACCCAGAGGACAACCCAAGCGTCACCTTCAATTACTTCGATCACCCGCAGGATCTTCGTCGCTGCGTGGAGGGCCTCAGAACCATCGAGCGGGTCATCGAGTCCAGGGCATTCTCTCGCTTCCGCTACTCTTATCTGCAGGTGGGGGCGCTCCTGAACATGACCGCTGGGTTCCCCGTGAACTTTCGTCCCCGCCATGAGAACGATTCGACCTCCCTCGAGCAGTACTGCCGCGACACCGTCCTCACCATCTGGCACTACCACGGCGGCGCCAACGCCGGCCGCGTCGTCGACGGCAACTACCGAGTGATCGGCGTAGACGCTCTGCGGGTCATCGACGGCTCCACCTTCAACCACTCCCCCGGCACCAATCCTCAGGCCACCGTCATGATGCTCGGAAGGTAAGGCACCTCCCCTTCCTCAGGGGAGAAAGACTGGAGAGTGGGAAGGGTTTCACTCACGGTGACTTCGTCCCCGCAGGTATATGGGTATGAAGATCCTGCAAGAGAGGTTCAACGGGACTACGGCCTCTCTAGGACAGAATCACCATTAGACCGTATGTCGCGTCGCTTTAACAGTCTTTGGAACACGATGGATGGGCTCCATCTTATCTTCTCCCCTCCTCTAATGATCCTCACCGACCCAGAAGAGAGAGAGAGAGAGAGAGAGAGATCAGTTGCTGCTGAATGTATCCTCCAGTGCATAGCTCACGTCTACGAGAGCTTTTATATAAGCTTGCTGTAGTTGTCGGAGCCGCCTGCGCAACGTCTCCTCTCCTGTGTGGTGGTGCGTACGAGTCGTCTTTCAATTCGCTGCTGGGTTTTTCCGTGCATGTCCAAGTCTCTCTCTCTCTCTCTCTCCTCCGTGACTCGTCTATAGAAAGAGAGTAAGAGAGAGGTGGATAGTCATTGATATCAAATGTGCCCGGTTTATAAGGAATTCTCTAAAATGGATTAGTCCTCGCTGTTTAAGATTATTTAAGACGTTGAAATAAAAAATAGGTAGGATGGAAGATTATTTAAATTTATTTAACGGGCACATTAAAATAATGTGCGTCTATTTGCTAAATACTATATTGACGAAGTTATTAGAAAACTAGTTAGAAAATAGAAGAGAGAACCCATAAGATCATGGTCAAGATTGAATCATATAAACCTCAAACCCGAAGCACTTAGATTGCCTGATCATACTTACTAAGAGAATAATTTCTAGGAGTATCGAGGTGCTCATAGGTCCAATAATGGGAATATGGAATGTAGATATCCTTTCCCACCCTCATTTTCAGCAGCTTTCATGCAGAAAAGAAGGTAGCGTATTCCCCCCCTTCTCTCTCTCTCTCTCTCTCTCTCTCTCTCTGTGCATCTGCTGCGTCCGAGAGAAGAGGACCCAGATGGAGATACCATGGTGAGTGTGCGGAGGAGGGTACCTGAAGGGGAGGTCCCGAGAGTGGAAGCCAAGAGAATCGAGTGCCGTGGAGGAGAAAAGGATGGGGGGAAAAGCGGCGGCAGGAGGGGATATGCCGCGGCATAACCCCTGCCGAGCCGTGGCATATGCTCTCTGCCCAATAGCTTATTCTCCTCGCCCCTCGCCGCAGGCTCCTATAAAACCCCTCGACCACTCGTCTAGCGGAAGCTGGACGCGACTCGATCGGAGGCGACGGTCCGGCAAGGACTCTCCAAAGCGGACCAGTCATAGGGCTCCTCTCACTTGGCAGGCGACTCGAGGGAGGAAGGGAGAGAGAGAGAGACTTGGAGAACGAGGGAGGGAGAGAGAGAGTAGGGAGGAGAGAGGGGGAGGAGAAAGGGAGGAGGGGTAGAGGGAGGGAGAGAGAGGGCTCTGAATGCGCCTGCCAAAGGAGAGTTGCCCTATGACTGTTTTCCAGCTTAGACTTGCGGGATCCGCCCTCTTACTGGGAGGAGGAGGAAGCCGAAACGAGTCTAGAGATCTTCATGGGTACCATTGATGTGTACAATGAAGCATTCCTCCGTGGCGGCATTACCTTCTGAAGGCATTGACAAGCTTCCGGCGCCTCTGTGAGTTCGTTTTACTGCCCTACAGTCGCTGGTTAGGAAACCCTTTCGCCTTTGGATCTCCGGGCTTGAAGACCACGAGCTCTCTACTGCTCCTAAGTCAAAACCGGGAACCAAAGAAGCGTCTCTTTGATGCCTTCAAAGCCTACATTCACTAGTTGCGTAGCACTTCTACCGTATCTCCCTGTGCTCGTAGAAGACTAGCAGTCTATTCCTCCTAGGTCAAAACCTGAAACCAGATCTAAAAGATGATTTCTGAGCAGTTCGACCCAAAGAAGCATCCCCTGGTATCACCAAACCGTAGATTCCCTGGTTTGGAAACCCTTCTGTCAAATCTCCCCATGCTTGAAGAAGATGAGATCTCTATCACTCCAAGATCTAAAGCCGAAGGCGATTCTGAAAAATCGTGATATTGAGCAATCTGATCCAAAGAAGCATTCCTCGACGTCTTCAAACCCTAGATTCACTGACTGAGAAACCCTCCTGCCATAGCTTCCCGGGCCTAAAGAACACGAAGAGCACGGGCTGTTCTTCTGAGATCTACCAAGGGAGGGTAAAAGATCAATACATACTTCTTGAGGGAAGACACAGATCCCTCCACATTGGCGATGAGAGCGTTCTTCAGTTCATCGCCACGCATTAATGGATAAATATCTCCAAATTACTGACATTTAATGACAGATAATTCTAGATTCTGCTCATTATTCCCATATGCTACAGATTTTACACTATAAATGGGAGAGATATTGACTCACTTGATGGCTTGCTTTTCTCACGCTTTCAAACCATGGTATAATACTAATTTAAGTACTAGATTAGTCACTTCCGTTATCCTTCCCCCTTTTTAAATTTCACATTAGTGTTCATGCTCATGGTTTTAATATGACATCACATGTCATTATTAATTAATAAAAATATTTTTATCACCTAAAGGTTTTGGTTCTATCTAACCCCACAAACTAGGGAATTTATCATTAAATTACCGTTTTTTTGTGGTCATAAATGTCGTGTACATGATTCTATCGCATATACCTTGGTTAATTGGCTCTGACTCTAATTACCCTTGACCACATAAAAATATGATACTTAATGCCCTGATGAGCACAATCTCTCTCTCTCTCTCTCTCTCTCTCTCTCTCTCTCTCTCTCTCTCTCATCAGGACCAACTCCCCTCCCCCTCCCTACCTCTCTGTGCATCACTCGCCACTCAGCATGCGACCGCCACACTCCCTACTCCTCTCTGTATTGGCGTTGACTTTTGACTGCAGCAGCCTTCTCCACTTTCTCTGAGCAGGTTGGGCCTCAGCTCTCATGACTGTCACACCATTCGTTCTCTTTGCCCGTGCTGAGGAAGGGGCTGAGGAAGGTAAAAGAATGAAGGGTTCAAGGATAATTTGTCTATTTTGTAGAGGGCTAGAAACAAAAAAAGCCATTACCCACTATAATATTAAGCATTAAAATAATGAAACTTGGAAATGCCCATTCTAGCCTTCTATCTCTACTTGAGGATATAAGTCAACTTTGTCTATAGTAGTTTTCACAATATGGGTGGGGTTTGACTTTGGGGAATGCACATAATGACGGGTTCCTGGATAATTAGTTTGTGGAGGGCCAGAACCAAACAAACCGCTGACCCAATATAATATTAAGCATTAAAAAAATATAAAGAACTTAGAAATGGCCATTCTGGCCTTCTATCTCTACGCGGGGATACAATTGCTCATCAGAAAGTCAACTATGGTAGCGCTCACAATATGGGTGGGGTTTGACTTATGGGTTTGGCTTTGAGAAAGGCACAGAATAAAGGGTTCATGGATAATTTGCCTATTTTGTGGAGGGCTAGAATAAAAAAAAACCCATTACCTGCTATAATATTAACCATTTAAATAATGAAATATTAGAAAATTCTCATTCTAGGCTTCTATCTCTACTCAGGGATATAGTTGCTCGTCAGCAAGTCAGCTTTGACTATGGTCGTGCTCACAGTATGGGTGGGGTTTTACCTCGGGGACACAAAATCGGGTCTCTGACTTACCTCATTTTTAGCTATAGGCCCAATAAAAGCCCAATAAAAGCCACGAAATATGGTTATGGATCGTGATCCAATAAAGCTCGGTTGACCCGTGTCTGAAAACGTTCATATTCACTGAGTGAAGATCTCCAATAATTAATGGACTGGGCCGACCTGTTAGGGTCCATTTTGAGAAAATGGGCCTGAACGGTTTAGCAGGGCACGATTTCCATAATGAAGTTTCATTTAGTCCCAAACTTACCTCACAATGACAAAAAAACCTCAATAGTAGAGAATCCTTTACTATGGAACCGGACGGAGTAAGGCGGTGGGAAAAGGCGGCAATCGTCTTCGGTCAGTTTAAGGAATCTTTTACCGACGTTTCTACTCTCTTTTAACCGTTCTGCTCTACCAGGCTTCCTGGGCACGCTCAGCCCTTATTGCCTCGCCCATCGACTGAGGGAGGAAGCGGGCAGGGATTGCAGGTTTCTTCCTCATCCCAATGCCGGAAGAAGGAGCGATGCCTCGGCCGTCGGCAGCGGCCATCGCGTGGAACTGGGTCATCGAGGAACTGGCTGATTGCAAGGAGTTCGACACCTCTATCCTCGCAGGTAGGGCAAAATGAAGAGTGGACACAATGGAAGGAAGAGCTAGGGATGGAAGAAAACTAGAAGACTTCTCGTCATCTGATCTTCCCGGATTACTTATCGTATTTTCATTGCCAAAAAGGAAAAAAAAGCCTATTTCGTGGAGTTATTCGGCCACTGGTTTGAGGTGGGCGCCTCTGAGTTGGTTGTTATCTTCTTGGTCTATTTGCAGCTATTGTGAGATGGGACCGGAGCATCATTGCCGATCCTTTTTACGGAGACAGCGCGAGGAGGCGCCTTGCCCTTAGATACTTGGAGGAGTTGGTGGATGCGACCGAGATCCCCTCTTCGGAGCCACCGACCAGGCCTGATTTTGATCCCTTAGGCCAAGAGATCGGCGATGCCCCCACGACTGGTAGCATCCTCTGCGACCAATCTCAAAAGGCATCGTTCTTGACTTGTCTCCAGCTTATTAATTTTATCAGACTTTTTCTGGCCAGTGGTACTGGCCAAGTAGGATGAAAAGTGATGTAGTGAAATGATGATCTTCTTGCTCTTTTAATGTCGAGTTGCTGGGGTATATTTACATGTCGAAAATGATAAACGTATAGTCATGAAAGAACATTGTTGAAATAGGATGAAAATTGATTTTTGCTTCTTTCCCAGGCATTTTTTAAACACAACAAATAATCAAACAACAACTTTTCATTAAAAAGATATCAAAATAAATAGCTAGGTGGATATCTAACTGAGATGGCAAAATAAATCAGAAATGTAGTAATATGTGAAAAAACTCAGACTAAGGAAAAATAAACAGACAGAAAAGAACTGTTTTTAACGAAAAGTAATGCTTTTCAAACCTTTTGAGTTGGATAGATGTTGGAGTAGATCGGGTAACTTACCAAACTAGCTTGACGGCAATATCCACCATATGATGCCGTTTTGTGCAGTGATATATTCAGACCTGAAAAATTTACCATGTATCAGTATACTAATAAGAGTATCGACGTATTTGTTATGGGTTATGATGTGTTGACTATAAGATAGACTCTGTAACAGGGGAATGGTGCTAAGAGCCGCTGTTCTCGTACTAACCTGATTAATAATATCTATTGACAGTTAAATCATGTTCAAACACTATTGGTACCTGACGATATGTTTTATTTTTTTCAAATCTGTTCCTCATGATGGGCTTATCTTGGGGGTTTGTTTTGACATGAATTGCTATTTATTTAAATTTATTTTTCTTATTTTTAATTGCATTTTGCATATGATTACAGCCAATTTACATTTACCTAGAATGAGCTGCGTAGTAAATGTTTCACACAGATTTTGGGTTTGTCTCTCCCTGTAGCTCTGAATCTCACACTTTCCGTTACCAATTGTTGGTCAAAGGAAACTAATATCCGATGCCCAAACTGCACAAGTCTAAATTTTGTTTAGTGTTAGGTTTTTATCGTGGGTGTAACACTTATTATTGCTATTAATATTGGGTTTTTTATTACTTTAACGGAATTTAGATTCATTCCATATATATTATCATATCTCGAAAATTGGTCAGATAGCATGGGGTCAACATGCTGCATATTGTACGAGTCGGTTCTTCATATTTCTGGATTGCTGGTAATCCAGGGTTTGTGGCCAAAAAAATGTTAATTTGAAAGTAGTTCGGGCTTTCATAATTTGTTTCCTTAAGAGCACTGCTTTATTTCTCCGTTCTGGACAGAGCTGATTTAAAATAGATGCTTATCAACACATGATGGCTGAATAACTAAAATCACCGATACCTCCATTTCAGGTCCCATCTGCCATTTTGTAAGTTTAGGGTTACATCTTTCACTACAAAGATAACTCAATTATCAGTCATTGTTTGCTATGGCAGCTGCAAGGATTGAATAGCATCGGCGGTTTTGCGGATAAATCTAGCAGGAGTGTTCTTCTCCAAGTGATTCAACATACGAGAGATGCATTACCTAAATCTTCCCTTGACCTGGTGCGTGAGAGTGTTCATCTGTTAATCCCGTTAACTTGCTGGCGTTACTCTTGTTGACCTCTACATGTTGATTCCCGGTGTATAGTTGAAGCACACGATTCTTCAAGAACTGCTAAGAGGTGGGCAAGTGAATCATCTGCACCTTGATGCTGCGAATGACCATGAAATTCCTTCAAAGAGACTTAAGTTGAACACCGATGCGGTCCAACGGGTGAGATCTTCACCAGCTACATCTAGCAAAACTGATCGTAACTTTTTTCCAGAGGGACTTGCTTCTAGGCATGAGCAGCAACTTTCCAAGGAGAAGGTTCAAGTTGATACGGGTGATGTTACTTCTTGCTCCAAAAAACGAGATTTTTTCGGTGGGTCTCTTGTCGACAAGTCTGCGAAGCCAAGAAGTGAGTCCCAAATAAAGACGGGAAACAACATAGAAAAACCAAACGTCTCAATTGACAGAGAACAGACTATTATATCAGAGTCCTCAAGTGACGGTGAAGGTTCTTATGATGCAGCTCCTGATTTACGTCCAAATGATCAGCTCTTTTTAGCAGAAAAGCTTAAGTTTCTGAGCTCCAAGAATCCAGTCAACGATGACTCCCAGGCAGGTGAGTGGACACAACAGAGGTCATGCATAAAATGTGACGAAGGTGGTCGGGTATTGAATTGTACGGGAAGCAGCTGTCCTATAGCTGTTCATGTAAGCTGTCTGGGATCTGATACTAGTTTTGAGAACCCAGAAGATTTCAAGTGCCCTTTCTGTTCATATTTACTAGCTGCTTCTGCCTATTATGAGGCTAGAAAAAAGGTCTCTATCTCTAGAAAAGCTCTGTCTGCATTTATGGGTTGGGGGCGAGCGAGAAGGAAAAAGGCACAGCCTTCCAAATTGATGACAGAATCCACATGCGCAAGAAATCTTCAGAATGAAAACTACCGCGCTGAGGGGTCTGAGCTAGAGAGAATCAACCAAGCAAAGACGACTGCTGTAGATGCTGACAATAACAATTTGGATGTGGGAGAGGAGGATCCTCGGACTGATGGGGGTAATGTTGCTGCTCCTGACAGTGAGACGGACATCTGTAGCAACCCTTTGGCTTGTGAAGTACAGGTTCAGGAGCAAGCTGATGCTGGTTCTTTAAGTGATGCCCATGCAAGGAATGGAGGGTCTGGACATAATGAGGAAACCCATGCACGAAGTCATTGCCATGCCATAGGGACGGCTACAAACCGCCATCCTACAGATGCTGCTCCCTCCAAAATCATGGAGTCAGACAAAAGTTCCCCTTCCCCTGAGGCAAGAGACAGTGGACCGTCATACAGACTCCGTAGCCGTGGGCATGCACAAGAATTGGAGAATCGACAACGTGTGGATAGCGGTACTGAGGGATGTGAAGCAGTAGAGAGGCAGGATCCCGGAATTGGGCATCAAGATTCTGAAATCAATGTCGAGGAACTTCCTTCTTCAAGCAAAGACAGAAAGCATAAAAAACCAGCCAGACGTCATAAGCGCTAGTAAGAGTTCTATGCTTTAAATGGTTTTGTTATTATCTCGTGTCCATGATTTAACAAAAAGTATGCCGTTAATGATAAATATAATGCAATGGGTTATGTCGACAAGATTTTTGTTCACTATATAATGAAAGATGAACACGCGGTTGCTCAAATGATTCTTTAACTATGAGTGATGAACTTAGATTTAGAAAACAGTACACTTATCTTGAAATTTGCATAAGTAACTAGCAGACTGGGTTCCGCCTTTGCAGTATCTTATAACTTCATGAACAATGAAAGTAGTTTGATGTCGTACCTTTGGATCAACAGGCTCAACCTCCCCTAAGTGGATATATTTGTTTTTGAAGTACCTAACTTATGAATGGCATCAAATGATAATTTAGGGAAAATAGTTGAGTATGGAATCCGCTTTCTACCTTTAAGGGAGCTCTTTCTTTAAGGGGAAAAAACCTTTTTCAAGGGAAGGTTGGCCAACAGACCGGAGCAGGGGAACTCGAGTAGGTGGCTGTGGACGCCAATCACTTTGGTGGTAGCGCTAAAATTTCTGCCGATGCTCCTGAAAGAATTGGTGGTGCTGAAAGTTTAAGGGTTCTCTCTACGAACCAGCTAATCAGGCATAAACAATTGTACCGCAGGATTCAACTGTTCACAGTTTAATCCGTAGTGTTTACACAGTCGGGTCTTCTTTTATTTGACAGGAACTTTTGATTATCCAGTGATGATTCAAAGTATTAAATATGGTATACTGGAGACATTATGATACCACTTGGACCAGGCTCTTCATCCGATTATCAGTTTTGATTCTATTTGTGTCCCACTACCTTTGCTGGACTAGTGGATATGCATGATTCTGTATTTGTATTATATCACTGCTGGCTGACTAAGCTTGAACACCCGGGCAGGTGCATCAATTCAAAGATCTCAATTATTTTACTGTAACTGTGTTTTTTGGCCCAATTGATCTGCTAAATGTTTTTGGCCCATCCAAGCTTCAGATTTTTGCGTTTGCTGTAACTGGGATGTCTCTATCGATCATGTTATATATCTATATATATATATATATATATATATATATATATATAGTCAGATGTACTCGAGCTCCAACCTGATGTACTGATGCCTTAATCCTCCTCCAGCGCAAACCCATTGTTCCCCTATAGTAGGCGCAGCAGGCTTCCATGGACTGACGAGGAAGAAGCGATTCTGAAGGTGCGAGTTGTGAAATCCTGTACAGAACCTTAATTTCTTTTTTGAGCACCTATTATATTCCTTTTTTTTCTCCCCCCTTTTTCTTGGAGAAGTGCGGGTGCTGGTTTTTCTTTATTAAAAAAATAATTATTTGCCTATTTTAGACGAGAGATAAAAAAAGATATATTCTGTCCATTTTGGGAAATTTCCTGTTATTTCTAGTCTCTTTTATTCTGAATGAATATTCTGGCACATGCAGGAAGCAATGCAGAAATGTCACCAAAGTGGTGAGATAAGCATTTCGTGGGTGAATATCTTGGAATATGGCAGGCATGTGTTCCATCGAACTCGTCAGCCGGTGGATTTAAAAGACAAATGGCGGAATATTAAGATCAGAGATGGCTGAGGGAGAAGAAGATCCACATGATGTTGATGATGATGATGATGAACCAGCAGAAGGTGGGCTACTCCAGAGCACTCACTTTAATTAATTCTGCATTATTATTGTTATTATTATTATTATTATTATTATTATTATCAATCACAGAACAGCTATGCAAAATCTCACTCATTAATAAAGAACCTGTAGTTCATATTATTTTTGGGCAAAAAAAGATTGAATAATCGGTGGAATTTTTAAATTTTTATTATTTTTTAGATCTTCACCCAGGCATGAAGAACTGTTCTTCATGTATCTGGCATCTATCTTGAGCTGTTCTTGTGATATACATATAATTTCTATTCTGGGCATTTTTATACGACAGTTTATGAAGCAAGTCTCTAATTGATATTTTCCAATCCCCCAGAGTTCTCCTGTGGATTTAGGTGGGATTACTGTAAAAGCACAGAGGGAGAGAAGGGGGGGGGCTTGCTACGAGTGTAAGTTGTAGAACTCATTTTGCGAATGCATTCTGGTTCTTTCTCATCATGGAAGCCTTAGCCTCACGGCATATTTCCGTTTTATTTTTTTACTTTATTATGATATCTGCAATTACCTCAAACTCATGGGGGTCTACGTAATAAATAAATAAATAAATAAATAAATAATCAGAATAACCTTAGGATACTAATGGGCCGGTGAGCATCACCACAATGACCCACCCACCCACCCCAAATCTCTCTCTCTCGGAAAGTTATTGGGGAGTGGGTAACCACGCGGGAGCTCACGAGTTAGCTGGTGGGCCCCCCAGTGCCACGCGGCACAAAGAGATGAATCCGGTCATTCTGTTGGGTTGTCTCCTCATTGGAAGGCCAAGTGGACCAACCTGGGTCTCAGATCCCCACCCCATGAGCGAGCTGACCCACCCACCGTTACGGAAAAGAAGTGAGGAGAACCGTGGTCCTACTTGCTCCTGCGGTACACCAGAAAGATGGGCCCCACACGTTGAGCCTTTTTACGCCCCCACCCGTGTTGGGGCGGGGGGGGCGGAATTTGTACGGCTGGGATCGAAAATGATTGCCACCCAATCGACGGCCTCTGCGAGGCGGGATGGTGGGCTTCCCGATGCAATGAAGACCGCCCGATCTCAATCGGACGGCCAATTTCCCTCTGTGAGGTAGCGGGCCTGGGGTGGCCCGTTGGTAATAAAATAATGAAGCTGACTGCAGGGGGCAAGTTCCCGGCCGCCGTTAATTTATAGTTTTCCTCAGCTTTATCGCGGTCAGAGCAGCCAGTCAGGGCCCCACATGCTTGTGGGGGGGCCCCCCACTGATCCTCAGTCGTCGGATTCGGATCGCAGGCGCCGGATGGATCCTGGGACTGTCGGACATCGGACGGACAACCGCGATGGTCTCTTGAGGTACATAGATCGGACGGTGCGGGAGACGGTGGGCTCCTGTCGGCTTGTGGGATGTGGGCCCCCCAAGCATAACTGCGGCGTTCGGTGGGATCGACCAAATCGGGCGAGGTGGTGTGGTCCTGGCCGTCCGATCGCCCCAACACCTCGGTAGAAGAGAATTGTGGGGGTGGCCGATTAATGATGGTTATCCGAATTCGAGCCACCGGTGGCCCCGGTGGTCCCTACCCAGCACGAACCCAAGGAAATTGGCGGGCCCCCATCGCCCTTTCTAGGGTTTTAGTCCCCCCACACCCACTCTCTCTCTCGCTCTGTAGTCGCTCTCTCTGTGTAGCCAATCGCTCTTCTTCTTTTTTTTTTCCGGGTTCTTCTGAAAATGTTGTCTTTCTAACGGAGGGAGGAGGAGGAGGGGGAGGGAAAGAGGGGCAAGACGGGGGCTTTTTGAAGGGCACGGCAAACGACAGATGCACGCACGTCCCACATCCCCACCCCGCCGACCATTCTCGCAGTTGAAAAGATTTCTCTCTCTACCACTCCCCTCTCTTTCCCGCTCCTCCTCTCTCTCTCTCTCTCTCTCTCTCTCTCTCTCTCTCTCTCTCTCTCTGTCTCTCTCTCTGTGACCCACCACCTCCTCCTTCCTCAGCAGCTCGGTCTGCTACTGGTTCAGTGTGGGGGGTGGTGGCGGGGGCCATGGAGAATCAAAAGAAGGGCCTCGAGGAGGAAGAGGACCGAGGAACAGACCTCCGCATGGGGGCCGGCGGCGGCGGCGCGGCCGCTGTGCAGCATATGATATTTCCCAAGGCGGAGCCCCCGCAGATGGAAGAGCGGGAGACGGAGGCCATGGCGACGGCGGTGGTGGTGCGGAGGGCGGCTTCCGGTGTGGTGGCGGCAGCGGCGGCGAGGACAAAGGACCGGCACACGAAGGTGGAGGGGAGGGGGCGGAGGATTCGTATGCCGGCGACCTGCGCCGCCAGGATCTTCCAGCTGACCCGCGAGCTCGGCCACAAGTCCGACGGGGAGACCATCCGGTGGCTCCTGGAGCACGCGGAGCCCGCCATCATCGCCGCCACCGGCACGGGCACAGTGCCCGCTATCGCCGTCTCTGTGGGGGGCACTCTCAAGGTTCCCACCCAGTCCCCTTCCTCCCTCGCTGCCGCCGCCGGCGACGGCGACGGCGACGACTCCGCCGCCCGCAAGAGGAGGAAGAAGCTCCAGCCGCAGCCACTGCAGCAGTCCCAGCCCATCAGTAGCAACTCCTCCGGCTACTTCCAGACTTCGCCGCCGCCGCCGCCGCCGCAGCAGCAGCAGGACCAGCAGCAGCAGCAGGTGACCATGTCGTCGGGCTTGGCGCCGATCGGGACGGCAGCGGCGGGGCAGGGGCTGGTGCCGGTGTGGGCACTGAGCGGCGGTGGGAGGGTGATCACCCAAGGCACGCTGTGGATGCTGCCACCTTCACCGGCCATGGCCACTGGGGGAGCGGGGGCGGCGGGGGGACCGGGGAACCAGCAGCCGCAGATATGGACATTCCCCGGGGGCCCGCAGATCATGAACATCGCCGCCTCTCGCCCGATACCCACCGCCGTGTTCTCCGCCGTCCCCGGGCTGAACCTCGCTGCGCCGGTGGAAGTTCACTCTCCCTCCCCAGTCTCAGTGGGCAGCTACACGGCGGAGGCGGCGGCAGCCACCGCCGCCGCCTCTGCAACAGCGGCCCCACCAGCGGGCGGCGACGGTCCTCACGGCGCTGCCAAGGAGCTGCAGTTCCTGGGCGACTCCCCCTCTGCTCCCACCGGCGCCGCCGCTGCAAGCACAACAGCCAACAGCAACCGCTACCCCCTCCATCATCACTACCATCACCATCACCAGCAGCAGCAGCAGCACAGTGAAGAACTGCAAGAGCCAGGACAGGCGCAGGAGCCGGAGCAAGACGACTCCCACGACTCTCTCTCCTCCTCGACCCCAGAACCCGAATAGTAGCTCTCCCCTCCACCTCCCCCCACCATCTCTCATCATCATCATCATCATCATCTTCTTCTTCTTCTTCCTCTTCGATCTTCTCGAGTTTCTTCTTCTTCCTTCAGATTTGTTTCTTCAGCGCAAGCCAGCCTTGCAGCAGCGCAGTAGACGGCGAAAGTTCTCTCTTTTTTGGTTTCTTCCGCTCGCCCCCCTCCTCGGCACGTGTGCACGTGAGAATCCCCTGCTTGGTCAACACGCCCGTGGACCTAGCGCGCTGGAGTCCCCTCGCCCTGTCCATCTGTCTGACACACGGGCCCGATTATTGAGAAGGGAAAGTGGGGCCCACTGGTGGTCCCCATCTCTAGAAAAGACACAGGAAATGGAAAAAGTTCAGCAGGAGGCAAAGATGCTCGGTGGGGCCTGCAGTCGTTACCAGCTGGACTGAAGCCACGGTGGGGACCGGGGGGCAATGCATCGACGCGTGGCATGGATGACGTGGATACCATCTCCGAACGTAACGGCTTGTCGAACCCCCCTCGTTGACGGACGAAGAGATATATTGGGCTTTTTTGGGCCGGCGTGGATTCTGGGCTTTCAAGCACAAACCCGAAAGCCGGAAGTAAATACCGCTGTTTCCGTCATAATCAACGACTACGGGGAGAATCCCACAAAGCAAACGCGGGAGCGGGGGAATTCTCTGAGCCGCGGCGAGGTCTCAGGCGAACACCACGTCCGAACGGAGGATGTACTTGGTGCCCTTCACCACGGCGCGAGCCTCGTGCAGCATGCATCTGCCGCCATGGATGTGAACCAGCGCCATCCCCTCCGCCGGAGCCACCTGAATCACAGAAAGAGAGAGAGAGAGAGAGAGAGAGTCAGGCCCCAAGAGGAAGGAGAGAATGAGGGATTAGTAGTGGTACCTCGGCTACGGTTCCTCTTCGATCATCGTAGAACACGGTCTCGCCGCCGACGAGGGCCGACGGTGGAGAAGGATCGCCGCCGCCTCTCCGTGGATCATTTCTCTCTCCAGGGGCCGCCCGCCGCCCGCTGAGATATATCAGCAGAGTGTACTGGGTCTTCCTCCCCCTTCCGAGATCGACGCTCTCGTCGATGTGCCGGCCGAAGCGTTGCCCGACCTTGTACCTGAAGAGGAAAGGCCGATAGATCATCAGAAGTTTAATTTTTTTTTATAATAAAAACGGATTTTGGGTAACGAGGGACGATGATACTATTCTGGGTATCCGTAAATAATAATAATAATAATAATAATAATAATAATAAAAGAGTTTATGGGCATCGTAGCCAAGGTCAAGGATGGAAACTAGTCAACCCAAAAACGAGGGATGATGATACTATTCTGGGTATCTGTAAAAAAATAAAATAATAAGAATAAAAACGGTTCTTCAGCGTAGTGGCCAAGGTCAAGGATGGAAAATAGTCAACCCACAAACGAAGGATGATGATACTATTCTGGGTATCTGTAATAAATAATAATAAGAAGAATAAAAAAGGTTTTTCAGCATAGTAGGCAAGATCAAGGATAGAAAAAAGTCAACCCACAGACGAGGGACGATGACCCTGTTCTGGGTATATGTAAAAATTAATAATATTAAGAATAAAAACGGTTTTTCGGCATAGTAGGCAAGGTCAAGTAGGGAAGATAGTCAACCCACATACGAGGGAAGATGATACTATTCTGGGAACCAACCTGTAGAATCTGATATTGGGATTTAGCCCGACGGCGGATCTGCCTTGAAGCTTGATACTGCTGAAGACTTTATCCAGCCCGGACTCCCATATGCACTTCGCAAGCTCAGGATCGTTCAGAGATATGCGGTCATTATCTCTGTAGGCCTCTCCTCTAGCGGGGCCGAGGCTACCTTGATGAGAGAAGCCAGAAGACTCCGCAGCTTCAATGAAGCCTTTCACCTCATGTGGCGTGAGATAGTTTGGTACCTGAATATCTTAACCGGGAAGCCCACCACTGAGAATCCCATTCAATGCTGATAAAATAAGAAAGGCACCGGCGATAAAGGTATACTCAAGATTTAGGTAAAATAAACTTCATGTTGACTCTTCCCTCTGACCAGTTGACTGATCACAATGGCAACAATAGGAGTCAAAGAAGAACACAATGGATATCTCCTGAACTCCCCACAATGTATATCAGTTCAAAAAGTTATTGGAGAAAATCTCCTGGCCAAGTTGAAAAGAATTGTTAAGGTTCATATTTCTTTGCGAAAGAAAGTCTTCTCTACGCTGTTCTAGGAGAGACTAGTCCACGTCTAAATCAAAAACTGTATTACTCCATCCTTCACGCACCAATAAAAAATATCCCGCTACTTTATGTTGTCTGAGTGCATAAAAAAACGACTACTGCTAACTTATGGAAGCATGGATTAAAGATGCAGGGCAGATTTTCTGGGGGAGAGAGAGAGAGAGAGAGAGGGAGGGAGAGGGAGAGGGAGGGAGAGGAGAGGGAGAGGAGAGGGAGAGGGAGAGAGGGAGAGAGAGAGAGGATGGCATCTCAAAAAACTTCTTTGGGAGATGTCATAACCGCAGTCTGGCTGTTAAGAGAGCATGACGGCGGAAGGCAATGTGAGAACCATCAGAAACTCAGGGTGAAAGATGGAAGTAAAGGGATGCCACCCAATTATGTCCGTGATGAGAAACGAATGCACAGGAAGAGAACAGCTATAAGGTGCGGAAATAATGGAATGTCCTAAACCTATGACAGATGAATCACTAGGATGCCGAAAGGGTGAAATCCTTTAAATATACGAAGACTGTTAAGAGTCCCCGTCGTGATTTTGATCATGAGGACTACCTCATCTACTTCTAGAAACTCATAAATGGCATCTTCAGTCCTCTGTTAAAACCATTGATTGGCGTCTTCTTCGATTGACGGACATGGAGTACAACTGAACACAAGCATAGATCAGAGTCCACCTCGGAAAGAAGCTCTTGAATTATCCTCCTACAAATGGAGGATCCAATACAACTTTGTTTTGAATCATGCAAGAGAGGATGTTCAAGGCCATCATCGCGAACCACACCTCATAAATCTTCCTTTCCTTTGTGAAAGAGGATCGGAAGCCACACAGAAGCATAATTTCCCTCGCCCCGTCTGATCCCAGTCAACAATCCATTTTCCCACGATATAAACAAATAATATCAAGTTTCCACAAAGATGCAATATCTCTCGAAGCAAACGAATTTCGGAGCTGAATCACGAGAAAAGCGTGGACGAGACGGATCTTCAAAGTCCTCCGGTTCACGGAATTTCTTCGTGCTCTTCCCCATCCTCTAAACGATCGGGGAGGGTAGAGCACCGAAGAGGAAACAAAGGAGGCGGTACGCACCGTAAAAAGATCGTCGCCCTTCAGACGGGTGATCTGGAGATCCAGCTTGGGTCTGACGAGAGGCCACCGGCCTCCCCCCACCGAAGCCTCTCCTGCCGCCAGCTTCTTCTTCTTCGTCCTCCGCTGTCCATCTCCTCCTTCCACCATCGCGGCGGCCATCTTGTCTCTCCTCAGCTGAGAAGGGAATTGGCACCCCCCACTCGCCCCTCTACATGTCCACAATCTTTTCAAATAAGTCCTCCGACCAGAAAACAATATCTTTATATCCCCAAACATGGGGACGTCTATGAAAAAGTCCAGATGAGCTCCAAAACGGGCCGAGCCCGAAAAGACCCATTGGGCCCATGGTATCCGGGCAGGTACTGAGAATAAGATTAACGGGCCTACCGCTATCCAGTCCATTTAGGAAATCTCTTACCAAGCCTCGGCCCAAGTCAAAGGAAAAGGCAAGAAACAGATGGTCAAACAAATCCTAATAATATTACTACAAAAAATCACGGACAACCACGTTGACCTCTCGTTTAAGTACATAAGCGTTGACCTCTCGTTTAAGTACATAAGCGTTGACCTCAGAGGGTCTAGGAACACAAGCTGCAAAGAGCCACAAGATTTCACCGCATCAGGGGGGCAAGAATCAGGTGGTCAAATTCTCCACGGGCCCCACAACGTTCCCGCATATCTTCCCCCCCACATCAGGGAACTCTTTGCAGTCCGGAAGGGGGTTGACCTTGCCGGTTTGGTCCACTGCGACGGGGTACTTGAGGAGGTGCCCTCTCATCTCCGTCACCTGGTCAGAGAAGAACTGGGCCCAGTTCATCTCTCCGAGAGCCCGGATGCGCCGCATGCAGTCGAGGGACTCTGGGTGGTCGAAGCCCTCCTCGAGGAACCCTAGGTGCTCTGCCCAGAGAGACATTCTGTACCCGTAGATCTGCGGCAAGAACAAGACGGGCAGTGATTAGAAGAACAGGGCAGCTTGAGGCTGTGGGCAGCGATGACGAGCACCCCCACCTGGCCGCGCGGGCCGGACGGCTTCTCCGCCCACGAGTGGTACGGCTGGTACGCGCCCATGGCGATCTCTGTGTCCCTGCTGCCCTCCAACGAGCGCTGGTTGATGTTTGCAGAGCCCAATATCACGTACTCGTCGTCTACGATCATCCCCTTGGAATGAACGTAAATCATGAAGCGCCGGCTTTTCCGAGAAAGGGCCTGGAAAGATGGCATTATTCGGTCGGTGATCACATGCAGAAAGGGAAACTATCCACTGCTTTCCCAATTGGGTAATGTGATCTAACAAGGTAGCATCAGTCCAGAAATGGGTATAGAAGCAAAAATCAGCAGAGAAAAGAGGGGGTAGAAGGCAAAGAAATGATTACATTGGGAGAATTTGGCGATGAGAGACTGTCGGTATCGTTCCCATCAGCTGCCTCGCGATTTCCAAGGCAAAAGAAGTTCAGATAATCTTGAGGTGAATACCTATTCTCCAGCCCAGCTTCTACCAGTGCTTTATAGATTGTCTCGTACATCATTTGCATTGTCTCTTTCTGCGCCGAGGAGGAGGAAGATCCACAGAAGAAGGTGAACCGGCGGATATAAAGAAGAAAAATCCAATAGAAAAGGTCAAATCTTCCACAAATATCTGGAGTCGTCACTTAACCAGGAGAGCAAAAATACAAGCATGAACAGCACAGGAAGATTCAGAAGGTAGCATTCTTCACATGATATTTCAAAGGGATCATGAACACCGATTAATGTCTTTCGAAAAAGAAAAGAAAAGAGGGGAAACCCATTTAGGAAAGATCCCAAGTCGTGGGAGCATCGAATTGGGTTTGACTGTGTGGATTGAAAAGGGATGATCCTGGTTGGAGCAGTTGACTAAGGGCCCCTCCTTTTTCCATGACTCTGATCGTTCTGATTTCCCCAGTTAGATAAATAGTCAGATAATTCTGTGTTTGAGCAACCCTCCTAATCACTGATATCTCTTTATGTAAGGCTTCTGAATAATCTACCTAGATTAAGCTGGCTCTTATCTCTCCACGGATAGCTTCTGCAGTGAAACTTGGCAATTTTTGGAACCCAGAAGAGATCCTGTGCCTGGTAAACCACAAAGCCTCTCGCAAGAACAGAATAAAATACTCTGAACAACAATACAGATCTTGTTTCTTAAGAGTGATAGTTGCTTGTGTTTAGTTTTCAATTATTACTATCTCACAAAAATAAGCTCATCACCCTTTTCATCTATCCTCGGGTTATTTACTAAGTCAAGTGAGCCACATCCCTGCCAAGATGCTAGACGCTTTAATAATGTACCCAGAAGTTTCAAAATAGATGCCTAAGGTTTGACCTAGTGCCCAAGTCTATATATATATATATATATATATATATATATATATATGTGCACCAGATTTTGAGAAATCTTCAAAGTCCAAATTAACCCAAGAAGGTGTTCCTTTACGGCAAAATTACTTGGGGTATCTCTGTGAAATTTAAAAGATCCATCTCGTGAGTATCCTTCTAACATCTCAAAATTTTCGTTTTACTTAATATGCATATTGGAATGGTTAATTCTAGGCTTCTTACTTTGGTAGGCATCAAAACATGCCAACTTGATCTAAATAAGCGTTTGATCTTATATTATACACGACCCAATCTAGTATTTAATCAGTCACGCAATACAAATCTAGACGAGCTCAAGCATTCACCCATGTAATACAAATTATTCAACTTTAGCAGATGGCTGATAAGCGATGTATTGGAAGGATACAAAGAAAATCCGATGCTGAGTAAAATATCTGGAGTGAGAGCATGTAAATGCATAAAATTTTGAAAAAAGTGTAAGCCTCAGAAATTCTTCCTAAGAGAAAAATCAGCCAAACAGCATGGATTAATATATGTATCATTGTTTCCCAATTCGGATGGTGAAGACTAATCATAAGAATATTGCTTAATCCATTTAGTAGGAGAACAATGCAATAAAAACTGGATGTCCGACTATACAAACATGATTGTGTCCGACTGTACACTTGTTATAAAAGCTGAATCCATTTACCATGTCCGACTGTAGTTTCAATTGTCAGACTATTCAACATGACTAAGAGAAGATTACTACTAGGTGAAGTTCAGAGAAAGCTGATAAGATCTAATAGAAATCATCTTCTTTTGGTAACAGTTTAATCATACCTGCCAACAAAGTATTCTTTGCATAGGCAGACTTTTGGGGTCGCCTTCCGGCCACATGGGAATAACAATATAAGCAGAAAATCTCTCATTTGCCTTGATTTTCTTGGCAATCTTGAGCGCGATTTCCATGGGTATCAAATTATTAGCGCCTATCAGATAACAGAACGTATTACAACTCTTGAGATTGAAAAAAACCATTATATATATAACACCACAGGCCTCTGAAAGAGACACAGGAAGAATACAAATATTATGCTACATGAAGAACCAGGCGCCTTCTTTTGGTGAGTGGAACCAAGACAACTGAGATCCAATTCAACAGTTTCAGAGGGGGGGAATCTCACACTAAGCTTGTTTATCCCATTTTTCTGTAGGGGAGCTCAAAACCAGATCTTATTAATAGCAGAAACATAAACATAAACAGAAGAGTAGGTCACTTGTACACAACCTTTATTTTACTGAATTATGAAAAACATGGGGAAAAGGAAAAGTGGATCCAGAAACCAGAAAACCTGCCTACACATCATTTCCAGTCCAACATGAAAGATTAGGATGCACAGTAGAAACTGGAAAACATAGAAAATCAAAGGGAAACTTTGATTGGTGGACCTAGGTCTTCGAAGCATGTTATAATTAAGAGAAACTGAGATCCTTTCCACTAATTTTATTCACAATTAAAAACACTATTCAAAGTAATGAAAACCAAGAATTCCCATATTGAATCCAGGGTCGAAAATGAAAATGGTGCAAAAGGACCGACCGCCAACCAAAGGACCAAATGGCTTTGAATTTTCATGTTGCATTCAAAATACATCCTATTGTCATTATCAGAAAAATAAACCGTGACCAAAAAACTAAAATCTTGAAGGATTTGCTTCTCCATGATGACTTCAGAAGTTATACTAAAAATAGAGTAGAAAGTTTTCTCAACAAAACCACTGGTTGGAGATTACAGAGGGGTAAGATTAATGTGATGGTCGCATACCGCTTAATATGAAACGAGGCACCAGCATAAATATTTAAACACGCACATATTCATAGAGCTGCTCCATCAACATAATTTATTCGTTAATTTCAAGATAGTTGTATTATATAATTAATGCAATTATGGAAAAAATATTGATACGTACCATACTCTCTGTATGATGCCCAGTTATAAGACGAACCAAGAAAATACTGATTCTCAATATATACAAAGTGCTGGGCAGCTCGGATAGCTGTCACATAAGCTGTATGTATGCTCATGTCAATTAGTACATTCTTTCCGCATACAAGATTCTGTTGCAGGCAAAATCATTGTAACCAGGTCTCCAATTAGAAAATGAACAATATTTCCAAATAAAAAAATATCAGCGAATCAAAGTCATTTCCTTGCCTTGCCAGTTGCCTCCTTTGGATCCTTAGGAAAACCTTTTACCGAATTCGAATCAATTGAACGAAAAATCTGCAAAAATTGGCAGCCATACTGGTGAAAACCATAACGAGTTTTAGAAAATTAACATTTAAACTCACAACTTCCAATGATCCCCTCTTTTCCCCGATAGATTCATAAATGTCAAACAAATGCGCTCAAAATTGACTTAGATTTTGGATGTGAATACCTGGACATGCCAAGTCTCTGGATCATTGTCCCTGCGACACACAGAATCATCTATGCCAATGATGTCAGGGATTCTACCAATTAGAAGCAAAGCATCATCAGACCTCTTTAATTTTTTTATTCCGTGCGGTTTTGAGGCCTTCATCCAACGCTCCTCAAAATTTTTCAGAACATCATAAGCTGCAGAACCCTCAATCTTACTATGCAAATCATGCCACGGTTCTCTTGGCCCATTGACGCTGGTTCCCTGTTAGTGGATTACAGTTTAGAATAAGATAAGAACTATTATAAGAATACAAAATTCATTATAAATTTTCCATCATAGCTAGCATAGGAAGTCTGTTACTCAGTGGGAGAGGCAAAAGTATGGCCCAAAGGATATCTGCTAGCTTCTGTAACAGGGAACTAACATAGATGAGTCGAAGAGAGAGGACTAACATGTGTTGAAGCCAGTTGAACAAGTATTACAAAAAAAATATACACCTAATTTTTATGCATTTTATTCTTGTTCAATCAATCTGTGCCAATTATGGAGGATGCCTGCAAACCATAATAACAATAAAACATTATTTTTTCTTCCAAAAAAATGGAAAATGCATGCACACACTACCGAGTGAAATATCTTGTTCTGATGCCCAAAAGATGACAATATGTCAACACAAATCCTGGCTAACCAGCAAGTCACAAGAAACAACTGTCCAATGTTTTATCTCCAAAACATGATATCTACTTTTATAAATGTTGCACGTTCCACATAGGCAACCAAGCAAGAAAGCTAGGAAGTTCGGCTGAAATTTTAACTTTCTGCCTCACATTTCTGATAGAAGGACGATATTAAGACAGTAGGGGAGCCACTCCCCCATCTAGGTGCATCGATACTAACCTGAAGATCCCACATCCTCAGCCCAATCCCTCCTGAGTTTAGGACAAAATGAAAATGTCTCCAGCTATAAAGGGCAATCGCTTTCTTATTAGCAGATATCCTGAGTCAAGACAATGTCGATCATAGGGAAAGGACAGCGATACTTCAGAGAATTAATGAAATGTGTATCTCCTACAATAACTTGAAGTTACATTTCATGATTTCCAATAAGATGAACAATGCCTCTGCCACTAAAGCAGAAGCATGTCGACATCTCATCCCAGTGCCCTTGCCACTAAAAACTCTTTCCCAATGTTACAGTATGCATGTGTACTATCTTCATAGCCAGTCCCCCCTAAAGGCCTGAACCATTGCATTGGCAACAAAGACAAAAGGCGACTAGTCTCTGCTTGGTCTAAAAAGCCTGATAATTCACAGCATATGTACGAGAGACCCATACAAAGAGTGAATTTTTAACGGCGAAACTTTTTTAAGGTACAATGTTGTGGGCCAGCCTAACCATAACAAAGAGCTCATGTCAGACCCATCTGCCAAGAATATCTGGTAAACTCTGTCCCACACACCCTCAACTTCTTCGTTTATATTAAAATACTTCATTCAAGGATAATGAGGAAAACTTTACTTCAGACTAAGGATGATTAATAATATTTCCTCCATAGATGATAAGAAAACAAGTATCCACGATGCAGATATATGGAATTCCCAACAACGGACAAGAGTGAATTCCCTCAAAACATTCTCCAGCCTTTACAAATTTATGCAGAATCATAATTCATAAATGTTAGTGATGTCAGAAAGTGTCCACTTGGAAACCCACTAGTGTCTCATTGGCAAAAGATAAAGCTGTTCTACGGTGATTCAAATTTTTTCTTCAAGCATTATTTCTTCAATTTTTCAGATAAATGGTACTTTTTCCAGAGTGCCCAAATGAACATCGCACGAGCATGCCAGAAGCAGAATACAATGTACCAGACTCTCTCCCTTCCCAACATGTTTGGGTAGACAACTACCAGGCAACGGATAAAAAAAATTCCAGACAGTAGCACATGTATGTTGTCCAAGGTTTTAGCAACCACTTTTCAACACTCTCCACTAAAAGGGCTACTCATCAGATGCCACTTCTATCATAAACTCAAAAAAATTCGGTTCAAATTTAACATAAGGAACTCAATGGTTTTTAGAGCCCTTCTACATTTTGTCATTAAAATGTTTAAAATATTACATCATTGTTCACTGTCACGCTGTCATTTACAGTTTTCTATTCCATTCTAATACCCTTGATCATAAATAAGGTAGTTCCTAGTTTATACACACTTAATATTGTAAAGCTGAAATTTGAGTTTGCTTTAATGATTTACATCCTGCAGAACAGTAATATAATTCCTTTTCACCTTCAGATTTAAAAACATTATTATTTAATTGATACCTCTTAGAAGACCATTAACATGCTAGTTTTCGGAAGGGATGAAACCGTAAGTGTCAGATCATCATTAGTGAGTCTGAAAGAAGGAAAAAAATATGGAAATAATCCCCAAGCATTAAAAAAATAGAATAACTGAAATTACCGTGAAGGTTGGATTATGGTAGTCATCCTTGTGCAACGTCTGTAATGTTCTAAATATAGCATGCTCTGGCATATCATATCGGCCATCACACAAGTCCAGGCCTCCAACAAATGCAACGATCTTCCTCCAATTATTCCCAGCATCAGCATCTACAATCACTGTTTTCTGATGGTGAGTGTAGATAGTTTCGACTTCCTGATGAGCAAGATTCTATGTTAGGACTGATAATTGAATAATGACAAATAAACACATACATATATGCATATATGCATATATATGAATGTATATTGGACCGAATGAATAAATGCCAGATAAAAGAAGCCTTCAGAGACGAATTTTATGAGCATGCACACATAAAAAAGTCAGATAAAAATACAAATAGAAAAGAGACCCGGTGTAACACATGTGAGAAACAAAAAAATCAGCAAGCACTGCACATTTCTAAGTACGGATATGCACTAGACACGGTGGAGAGCAGTTATATCAAAATATACCTCTTTCAATACTACAAAACTGTTGACAAAATATAGTGAAAGAGGAATAATGGACACTACATATACCAATTTTCTACGCAACTTGACAATGGAAGCAGCAGAAATAATGGTATTCTTTATTCCATCTCTCCCTTGCAATGAAATGAATGAATCTCAGGAAAAATTATTCTAATAATTTATAAGGTAATTCGAGATCAGATACTAACTGGGAACAGACATTTTATCCCTCCAAATGACCTGGTGAGAATAATCTACGAAAACGTTCAAGTTTCCACAGGAGAAGCAGAACAATAAAAAAAATCTTTAAAATATTAGCAAGAACTAGAGCACTATATGACAAAAAACTCAGACAAGGTTGAACAGGAAATGCTAGAAAAAGTAATTAAGAAGATAACCCGTTGCTTAGCCCAGCTATGCCTTTTTCCAGCAGATCGAGGACAGAGCAAGACTTTCACGGAAGAATGCTTGAAAAATCGAGCAGTCTCCTCGTCATGAGTTTTCATTAATCCATCCTATAAATTATAAAATTGATCTTACGTATCAGAAATGAAGCATGCACTGCATCAACAATGAAAAGAAAAGTAATGGAACTTGACAAGAAACATTAATTTTCATCATATTTTGTGCAAGCTCTTTCAAGACCTAGACAAGTCTACAAGTATAAATCACAAAGATAATTCATTCACAGCTAAAAAAATTCGAGTTCTGATTTTCTTCACAGTTGCCCTTTGGTCCAATCAGCAAGCATCCTGACTATATGAATAGCCAAGACAAATGACAAATGAACAAAATAAACTAAAGATATTCTTCAATTTAAAAATTTATAGTATTTTTGCAAAACATCACCGATTCCTGTAATCCATAACAAAGTCTGTCTTTTTGTGTTACTCTAGTGATGGAAATTCCTAATTTCAAAACTTAAAATTATGATTTCGTATGATAATGGATGTTTTTAGTTTGATTTCTGAACGTGATGGAGAGAAAGATTTCATATGTGGAAGATTAAACATCCCAGGAAATCTATTTTTAAGAACTTATAGCAAGCAGCGTGGTAAAATGTTACAAATCTTATCTCAAGGTGACAGAATAGGGTCAGCACTCTGCAGCCATCTAGCATCTACAGTAGAATAAGGTTATAGAAGAAAAGCATGAATCTTCTCAAATACATTTTGAAGTTGTACTTGGCTACTGGTCAGATGGGTTGGAATTTAAAGTTTAGCGCGACTCAGCACTCTGCTTCAATAAATTTTCCTCCTAAAGTTTCCATTTTCATCCTCAAGGACACAAATATAATGCATCATTGCGAGTGAACTTCTCATTACTGAGAAAATATCTTGGGAATTTGTTTTCTGAAGCGGATTGATGTAAATGGTAAATTGGTCTTGTGCGTATTTAAGTGAGATGTGAGTGGTAAATTGGCAGGAGGTTTTGAGTTAGGAAATAACAAGATTCGACAATACATAAATGGCTGCTATCTTTGTTGGGGTTACATTTGAAGTGACCTGGCATAGACAGCCTGTCAGACTACTTGACTTCCAAAATCCAAGCACACTTCCGGATGCTTACCTACCGTTGCTTGAGGACATGATAGAGCGAAAAATCGAAATGAGCAATCAAGATTATAGCAAGTTCTTTGTGGTAAAAAGGAGGACCAACGCTCGTCTTTATTTCTATCATGAGGTCATTAAGTTTATTTTCTAGCTTCTACATGGAAACTTGTGTCAGTTGAAAAAAATGTGATAGACTGAAAAATATAAAATGCACATCAAGGATTTCAACAATTGCTGTGCGCTAGAAAGGGAAAGTAGTTATCATTTTACTCTGCATCATGGTATCACTAAATCTATTTGCTAGCTTCTATGCAAATCCCCAACCATGTGCTACTTTCTGAAAGATAGTCTCTTCGATAGTGTTCAGCGGGCACCAGTGTCTGAAACAAGAAGTCTTGGTTCTGTTATATTTTTAGCTGTTCAGTCTATTCTATTTTAGGCCCCACCCATGGAATCTATACAGATGCTTTTCAGAGCATGTTAAAATTGTACCATAAAAATCAGTGAAAGAAACAATTTACACCGAATAATTTCCAGGATGAAAATTAAATCCGGCTCGTGACAATAATTGTCATCCAGACAAAGGAACTCAAAAAAGGATTGCACTAGTCACTTAAAATTATGAAATCAAATATAGAATGGGGCGCCCATAAACTATGAATGTGAAAAATTATGAAATCAAATATAGAAAAAAGGATTGCACTAGTCACAATAAACCACTTAAAACTATGAATGTGAAATTTTTTTAAATCAATTTATAAAGAAGTTTGAAAATAAAATGAAGTGTCGTAAGGCCTGACACAGTATGGGACGCCCAATCATTATATATCTCAAGTTCACAAAATAAGCCTTTTAGTGTTTAGGAGCATTTTTCCCCCAGCTAGTTGTCATGAGGAAACCAAAAATATATCTTCCAAATTTAAGCTTTATTGATCCAATAGAATCATAAGCTCTCAATGTCCGTTAGAGTAAATGACGAATCAAAGGTTACTAAGGACAGATAAACACACGGGCGCAGCTGTTTCACTCGGGATTAAAAGCAGGAAAACATATGCTCTACATGGAATTTTTAAGATATAAAATACATCCACTGATGAATCACGTGAACAACTATTAATGCAAAAAGATTGCACCAGGAAGAGAGTTTTCAGCCTTACTGTTCTGATACCGATAATATTCCTAGATGTGGGATCATCCCATACAAGAAGCAACACCCTAACTCCTTCCTGTGACTTCAACTTTAGAAGTTCCCCGAGCATAGAGACTGATCCATTTTGACCATGTCTAACCAACTGTACATTGTGGTAGACTGACCAGCCTGTGATGTAAACCAAACGACGAGCCTGACTTATTGCATTAAAAATATCTTCCCAGCACCTCCCATGCTCATAAGCCATGCCATTTTCCAGCCTTATATCCGGAAGACAACCATCTGGGACATGAGCATCCTGATAAAGTTTAACATTCCCACCTTTCCTGTGAGGGAAATATGTACCTGATATACCGTTGTAGGCTGGACCCACTCCATGGTGATACATGGCCAGCAATTCAGCCGGTATATACTGAATGGAGAGCTGTAAAGTCGCATTACGCTTACAAGGCTTTCCATTGGTTCCCAGGACTGGAAAAATCCCTTCGACTTTCGATCCGTCGTAGATTCGCTCAGCTGGAATCACAACAGTCCCTATGAGCTGGGAGCCCACGACATCGCTGTCCTTGACCGCAAAACAGATCTCTGAGCCATAATGCGCGACGGGCACATAGAAGTGCTGGTTCCAGACAGGATTCTCGCTGTTACTGATCACATAAGTCCGGCCAAGAACAGCGTTGGATACAGAGAAGGTGACATAAGGGTCACTAGTGACGGAAGGCATGCTGTGCTCTTCCAATTTCCCGCTGAGGTTTTTCAGGAGCCCCGGGCCAATGATGTCTACAATAGTTTTCGAGAACATGTCCTTGTTGGGCAAGTTCTTCGCAGCAACCACAATGATATCCAAGCTCCCGTGCAAGAGTAGGACCTTCAGAGATAGTTTAGAAGGCTGAAAGGGGACAATCTGCGTCATCTGCCCTTGCTGTGATCCACTATGTGGCCTCGGAGCAGACGGAGCAGACGGAGCAGACGGAACTTGAGGAGAGAAGCTGGCCGGAAATGAGTAATTGGGGTGGCTGTACATACCTGGTCGATCGTGGGAACTCACAGAAGGGCTCAACACAGACGGTGAACCGACAGCGGAGGACGGCTGGTCAGACAGCCGAACATTTTCCAAGCGGTCGTTCAGTGGATAAACAGATGGAGTTGTCATGGTGGAAGATGAGGGAGGCGGCGGGGGGCCATAGGATGTTGGGGGATCGCCAAACCTCACTGGGTTGCCGAAGTGATCCACTGACACTGGAGGATAATTTGCTGCCGTCTGCGGAGCCGCAGAACTGTCTTGGCGCTGGTACCCAGAGAAATCCTGGTGATGGTACCCAGAGAAGCTCTCGGAGCGGGGCGGAGGGCGGGGATTTTCAGGGGGGTATTGACCAAATTGCTGGTAAGGGTAGCCGTCATACTGGAAGCTGTTGTGCTGATGCAGGGCAGGCCGATGTGGGGGGTTTGGATCGAGGGGCGGCGCAGATGGGGGGCCGGTAGATGGATAGACATGAGGAGGGGGGGGATACGATGGAATTGGGTACGCAGGAGGATAGGGAGGTTGTGAACCAGTGTATGGTGGAGGGGGATAGGGGAAGGCTCCGGAATTAGTCGTCTGTTGGTGTTGCTCGCCGGAGAATGAATGGGAGGGGTGCAGAGGAGGATACGAATAGGGAGTCGAGCCGGGTGGAGGGTACCCATAGGGATAGGGATTGCCGCCGCTATCCATCAGGATTCGATGGCCGATATGAGATGTAAAGGCGGGCGATGCTTCTTGTTAATCTTCTCTCCCCTTCTTCTGCTCGGAAACGAATCCAGCGGACGGACTGATGAGGGCCTTTGCGAAGCCAATTTCCAATGGAAGACCTCAACAAGACGGCGCTCAGGAGCGGGAAGCTCTCAGCTCCGCGAGGAAATGAAAGAGGACGGCAGCTAGACGCCAATAAACGAGGATCAGAAGATGGAAAGCGGCAAAAGCGGAAGAAGGGCGAGGAGGAGCAGGAAGAAGAAGAAGAAGGTGGTGGTTAGGGCCTGCGGATCTTCCGTTGAATGCCTCCGATCTAGCAGCGCGTGGAACACCGGGGTCTTTGCGTCCAAGTTGGAGAAGTCGTGCCTTGCAACCGGCTAGCCGGCTGCAAGTCGGCTTCCCTTCTTCTTCGGGCCCACAATCAAGCTGTTGTCCAGTGACATCGATCCATGGTGGCCACCGCGTAGACTCGACCAACGACGAGTGCCCGCAGGAAGTCAGCGCCGGTCTCCGGAAACCGAAGTTAACGGAGCACCCGTCTTCTATTGGCTTTCCAGAGATCCATTGATAGGGCGAAAGGCTCCTCCTACGAAGAGGATGAACATCCAGATCAGGATGAAGGCGGCGATGGAGCGCTAGAACTTGACTGTTCAGTTTGCCGCCAAATAATTCGCCGGATACCTCGCCGGAGCCGGATCTTCTCCTCCCCAACCTACTATTTATCCGCAGACGACCGTCCTCGAACACCCCAACGGTCAAATAAAGTCGATGAGCACGTGGGGGCTGTAAGTCAACGTCGTATTTTTTTCTTAATTTACGGTTTTCCTATTTATTTATTTAATTTTAAAATCAGGCGTGGAAGTGGGAGACTAGAAAATACGTCTCTACGGAATAATTTACCACGCCATTAAATCGTATATATTTAATCGTAAAAAATACTTTTGTTCGGGCAGTTAATCACCTTCGACCATGCCACGTGACTTCCATCCAACGGTCAGTCCTAAAACCCTATAATCCCTAAAAAACTCTAAAACCCTAAGCGTCGGTTCTGGCCATCTCGGAGACGCCGTCCTCGCCCATCGTAGCTCTCCTCTCGGCTCGTGGAGGATGAGGAAGATGGACGTGGAAGGAGCGGAGGCTGCGGGTAGTACGGCCGCCAGCGAGAGCAGCGTGGTGATATGCCAGTTGGCCGACCCGGAAGGTGAGCGCCTAGGTCCCCAAATCGCTCTTCCCCTCAACGTCGGTCCCCTTCAGCTTCAGGAGATCGTCAATGCTCGCCTTAACAATGTATGAAGCGAACCCTCGCTCTGTTTTTGCCCTTCTCAGGGGTGTCGTGGCTGTACCACGAGATGCTTGCTTTCTTTTTTTTAAATCATTTGTCGATGCTCGTGCAATGTATGTCCTCCGTTCCTATCCATTCATCGAATTTCGGCTTATTTCATTTGAAGGAGGAGAAGGTGCCTTACGCATTTTACATATCGGACGAGGAGCTCGTGGAACAGCTCGGGATTTATTTGCAGAAGAAAAAATGTAAGTTACTGATCTCAAGGAACGTCTCTTCACGCCATTTGATTGAATTTATCACACGCGACTGTTTTCTTGGCATAATAGTGTCCGTGGAGAGAACGTTGCAAATTGTCTACCAGCCTCAAGCGCTCTTTCGAATCCGTCCCGTCAACCGCTGCTCTGCAACTATTGCTGGTTAGTAAAAGTTACTTATTTGGATTTGACTTTCTGCCACCACTATCCGGGGACTGTAATATCGCCGTGATCGAACCGTTCCACGTTTTCTAAGAGAGTTTTTTGACCAGACATCGTCCATCCTTAGCTAGTAGTAAGAATCCACCTCCCTGCGTATTGTCGAGTACCATCAAATTTCTGATTTAGATTGTAAAGATGTTATTTTCGTCAATCTTTTCCTGGTCGCTCAATTGTCACCAAGAGAAGAGAACCTTTCATTGGACGATTTTCTAGTTTCCATTTATGATTGGTAGCTACTTGTCCATGTATGACAAAGTACTTGTTTTACCCAGGTTTAATTCTCAATTAGTTTCCTTGGCTACATAATCTGACTTCTGGCAGTTTTTTTCGTATGTGCAAGCAAAGAACTTTTATGGATTATGATAGTGTTATGAGAAACTTGTAGGCGATGTCTTTGTACTTCAGATGGGAGGAAAGAAGAAGGAAAAACAATTACGGCCGTAAATCGTCATTCCACGTCAGCAACGACCACATTTACATGCTTATCAAATATCTGGCGTGGAATAATAGTTGTTAGTCAGTGAATAAGAATACCATATATCATGTGTACTTATTATTTTACAGCGTTCTACACAAGTTGGAGCTATCTAAAGGAGTTTTTAGATTGCTCAAGGTCCTTTGGTTTCAGTTCTGATCTAGGCTTACCGTGCTTGCACTTGTTGAACACTTTCGTTCTTGGTCCGCACCCACAAAGAGAGCTTACAAACAATATCTCCGGGGAGTTTCCCCTCCTTTCATTCAAAAGAACCTTCATATTCTGTATCACAAGACCTCTAGGCCAGAGAGTTCCAATTGCAGGCCTCATTTTCAAATATTTTCAATAAATTTCTATGTATTGGTATGTACAATGACTTAGCTACGGACAGGAACGTGAACTATGAAGTGGCTACCCAAATAATGATTTTGTAGATGTTGCGACGGAGTACAGAGCCATGGATCACTCAACTTGTACATTGATGTGGGTAAAATCTCCCACGTAGGGTTTTCACAGAACAAAAAAATATGAATTGTGACGGTAAAACTTATGCTTCCATTGGTATGACAAGAGCTCTAAGCCAGAGAGTTCCAGTTGCCTGTCAGAGGACGGTATATATCCAAGTGGTGCTGTCATTGCAGTAAGAAAGGTTTGAAGTATAGGCGGATTTTTGCTCCTTGCACAAGATTAGGTTTTTTATTTTCTGCAATGAGCTGGTAATTACTGATATAGACACGTAAGTATACTTGCAGATACATTGATCGAGTACATTAATAAACACGTAAATGGGTTAATCTGATTAATTCAATTCACGCAGGGTTTCGCGCATTCCCTAGTGTATGTGGGCCTTTGGTGCAAAAAGAATTGAGATGCTCTCTCTGTCTCTCTCTCTCCCCCCACCCTCCATCCCTCCCTCCCCTAAAACACACTGTCTTGTGACCAAAATTTACTCACTACTAGCTTATGCTCTTGTTCTTTCTTTTTTTTCTGGTTGGGACTGAAGGAACTTGACGATCATCAGATGTTGCGTAGCGATTGTCAACTTCTTTTTAATTCAAGAGTCAAATTGTTACTGTGTTAACTTTTTTTCATTGATTTGCGTTGCATTTATTTTATCTCCAATATTCAAAAGCTATGAACTATTTTCTTCCTATTTGGTATCTTGGAGCAGAATTTTTCATAGTTTTAAATCTTTTTCAGGTCACACAGAAGCTGTGCTTTCGGTTGTCTTTAGCCCTGATGGAAGAAGCTTGGCAAGTGGTTCTGGTGATACCACTGTACGGTTATGGGATCTTAACACCCAGACGCCATTGTTTACTTGTACAGGTTAGCAAGACGAAGATACATTTTAACGTAAACCTCATATAATTGGACATTTTCTACGACCTTTTCCCTGTTATCTCCTAGAATAAGATGTAGATGAACTAATGACGTTCTCCTTTATTCTCTCACATAAAGGTCCCGAGATTCCTGTTTATTTAGATAGAATATGGTTACTGTGTACCAGACAGGACTATGCATGGCATATTCAGACTGAAATACGCCTGCCATTCCAGTGGTCCCTGTGTGGCAGGTTTCCTTGTGCCTACGTCCAAAAAAAACTATTGGTGGATATGATAATTTGGGACAAATTTAAGGCTCTAATCCCGCCAGTTTAGATTATCATTGGGCGACTTTCATTGCTGGTTCTGACTCCCCATGTTGGTAGATGGTGTTGAGAGGTGTTTACTTTAAGATTTTTGAGATATCATGTACATTTCAGAGATCACAACCTCACACGTTGTCTAGGAATTTGTATCTTAAAATAGATTTACGCATATGTATCATAGGTCCTTGTTATTCTAGGGTTGCTTTTATTTCTTTTTGGTTTTAAGAAAATCTCGGGTCCTTTGGCCTATGAAAGAGACCATCAGTTCTTCTGTCTGTATCTTGTTTTACCTGATTAGACATGTTCGGTATTTAGTAATTGTAAATAATTGATCACTTTTCAATATTTTGAAATAATTGATAATATTGTTATTGCCACTAGAGAATATCTCTTATACGTGTATTGTTGCATCTTAGGCCATAAAAATTGGGTGCTTTGTATTGCATGGTCGCCGGATGGTAAGCATCTCGTGAGTGGTAGCAAGGCTGGAGAAATTATTATCTGGGATCCACAAACAGGGAAACCATCAGGAAATCCATTCACTGTAAGTCAACTTCTTTTGTGCTTTTGCCTTAATCAAAACCGTCACTGAGGCAGTACGTTACCTTTAAAGTTTTTTAGTACTTTGAACTTTTCTTCTAGTATTCTGCTGTCACACTTGCCTCATAGAACGTATGTGCTTATTATTTGAACTTCAATTTGTATGTCGAATTTCCTTCCTGGCCTGTTTAAGGACGCGTTTTGTTAAATTGATATGGAAGTTTTGTACCCTCGATTGAAACTAGATTTAAGGAAGTGTAACTACGTTCTTTTTTTGTCTTCTTCTAATGATTCTACCTATTTTCTAACTGTTACCAGGGTCATAAAAAGTGGATTACTGGACTATCTTGGGAACCTGTTCATTTACAAGCTCCATGCCGTCGATTTGTAAGTTCTAGCAAAGATGGAGATGCGCGGATATGGGACGTCACTTTGAGGAAATGTTTAATCATCCTCACTGGTCATACACTGGCAGTAACTTGTGTGAGGTGGGGTGGTGACGGAATGATATACACAAGGTACAAGTCTTTGATAGTTTATAGTTTAAATTTCTAGTTAATGTTTTTGTCTTTCTAGTTCAGTTCAATCTGACCGTTGTTACATGTGCACCTATTCTCATTTTTCTGAATCAATTGATTCAGATGCGGATTGTGACAGGGAGTCCTGAAAACCTTATCCTTATTTTAGGAGTCAATTCCCGACTGTTAGGTGCCATTTCATATTAGAGGATTTCTCATTGACCGTATGCAGCTGTGGAATTGGATTGGTGTCCACGAGTAGTGATCCTAATCTAGATCTACATATCTAAACCACCCATCTGATATGAGAATGCCGGTCCATCAAGTGGATGATCTGATAATTAGGCAGTTTCGTTATATTTTCATTGTTTTTCTTTATTGTTTTCTTAAATTAGGCATGCTTAGGGTTTTTTTTAAAAAAACTTGTTTACAATGTGATATTTAAGATATCAATTTGACACCTCTATAATCACTTGTCTGTTCAGTTCTCAGGATTGCACCATCAAAGTTTGGGAAACATCACAAGGAAAGCTGATTCGTGAACTGAAGGTACAGATGCTCTCTGCCCCCCAGTTGCTCTTCTTCTGTGTCAGTTATGACGCAGCTGCTTCCAGTTACTATGTCTCAGAAGAAATACCCATGCCGCAGATATGGCTGGTGGTTGGTGCAGTTTTCCCCCTATCTGTTGGTTTTGATCCCTGGGCTTGATGAATGTAGTTGCCTGTTCATACTTGTAGCTGATAAAGTTGAAACAATTATGCAATTTCTGCCTTTAAAGTTTACTTCATCTTTTTTGAATCCGAATCATGTTGGAGAACATTATAATCATAATATATATCAAACTATGCGCTTGAAAAACCTATTCATACCTGAAGAACACTGGATGATTTTGCTTTTTCCTCAGAAAGTACTGCTGTGTACCTCGCTCCATGCTAAAGATGCCCTTGTGATTCATACATTAGGACATCGTCATTCGGTTTTATTGCAAATGGGTATTTATTTTCTCCTGCAAGTGAATTAACTAATGACTGCGGTTTTCCCCACTCCCACTCATGTTTATAACATAGTTGAGCCTGTGACCTTTGGGAGTCAACCTAGGCCCTGGGTCAACTGACCCATCTTCTCAAACGACCTCTGCTTTCTATTTTCTCATGAATCTTTTTCTTCAATGCGTCTTTAAATATCTAAGGATGCTGTAGAGTTTCAACCGATTTCTACTTTTTATTTTTAAATGTAAAATATGTCAAAGTCAGGTTTGGTTATGTGATATACTAAGGAGAGCATTCTGAAACGTAGAGGGCATATGGACGTGTCAAATGGCTTGTCAATTCCTGCCACTATAGTGAGAATAAGAGGAGACAAACTTTTCACCTTATTTTCACCTTATGTATAGGGTATTTTTTTTTATGGTTTTCTAGCTCATCACATGCTTGATGATTGTTGTTGGTTCGCTTTTCATCGTCTGCCTTGATGTTTTTGTTTCTAGGGACATGGACATTGGGTGAATTCTCTTGCTCTAAGCACTGAATACACACTCCGCACTGGTGCTTTTGATCATACTTGCAAACAGTATTCATCCCCGGAAGAAATGAAAGAGGTGATTTGTTAGCTTTCCTTGATCATTCTTTCCTTCTTTTGAATCGGTAGTAAACTGAAGTTTGCATTTTGTATCCTGAAAATGCATGTAGATATTGTAGCCATTAATCAAAAATGTGACGTAGTTTCTTTGTGACCCTCGCTAAGAGAATTTTTGCTAAAAAAATTGCCCTGTCCTTTCATAAGAACGAAATATGACCTCATATTGGTGAAAATAATGTGGTAAACGGACATTGAATCGGCATTAACGATGATGTAAAGGAACAGACATGTTGATTGAAATTTATTTTCTTGTTAGTGTTGGAAATTGTGCAGGAAGGGGGGTGGGCACGGTCTGATACTGAGAAAGGTGAATTGGGTGTGCTGATGTTGCCAACTGTAATGAATTCTGAGATTCTGTGCTATTGAATGCCTCTGTCGTGCCACAATTTCGTTCTAATGATCCTCTTTTGTTTGTTTTTTGGAAAGTGTGCTCTAAATTGAGAGTACCCTGATCCCTGGGGATGTCTTTGTCTTTCTTGTAATGGGGCGTATCATGGGATGAAGGCACACGCTAAAGTTAGGAAAGATCCATTTAATGAAGAAGTTGAGGCTCCGAATTTTTCTTTTCTTGAATGATTTCGGTAGGGAATATTGCATCTTTGGTCTAGTGATGTCTTCACAGTGTCAGACTGTTCGCTCCTGCATCATGTACCCTGAGAACCTCTAGTCAAACCATTTTCATAGGATTTGGGCAGAATTGACAACGGATCATTCTTTTTTCTTTTTCTTTTTTTCTAGGAGAACATGGGAGGGCATGAGAGGGCTTGAAAGGCTGCTATTCGGGAACTAGAAAACTTAGCCTGTCAAATGATGCAAGTTGAATAGATTTTCTGGTTTCCTGGATTTGAAAAGATGCTAATCAGTAGAGGCTACCTTAGTGGGTACGGACATCATATACATGAATTCGTTCTTATCCAGGTCGTTTCTAAGTATTTCTGTCTGAGATTTTTTTTTGTTTATTCACTATGGATCTAAAGGTAAAATTCTCCGTGTGTTACTAGAATTCAATTGCTAGGCCTCCTATGAGTAGAGAGATATTGTAATCGATTCCAATTATGTCTGTGTTCTTCAACTAGATTTAAACACTTGCCAGACGGTGTTTTGCTGCCAATCGAACAATATTTTCCAACTTCTTTCAATGGAGGTTCGTGCCAGAGGCAGAACACCTCCATCTTTATGCTGCAAAACTTATAATTTTATAATACACATTCTTATCTGGCTTCTTGATGTGGAAAAATAAAATTTTAAATTTTATTTTAAAAAGATCAAATCCCAACTCAATTATTTTACTCATCCATTTATTTGTGGTTTGGTTGTAGGCTGCTCTTGCCAGGTACCAGAAAATGAAAGGAAATGCTCCTGAAAGACTGGTTTCGGGTTCTGACGACTTTACCATGATTCTCTGGGAACCTGCTAATAGCAAGCATCCCAAAGCTCGTTTGACCGGACATCAGCAGGTAAACTCAATGCCCCATATAAAGTAATACCCTGCTCTAAGAAAAATCGGAGTAGGATGTCTCTATGCTCTGACCGATTAACTGAAAAAACCTACCCATTGTCAAGAATATATCAGGTAATATAGTTCTTCCGGTGTAGGTCAATGGTGCCTGTCCTTGGTCTATTACATGCTCTGCTACATGAAGGATGTATGTATAGTTAATATATATCAGGTCAAAACCTATCCATTGGCAAGAATATATCAGATCAATGGTGCCTGTCCCTGGTCTGTTATATGATCTGCTACATGACGGATTTATGTATAGTTAATATATATCAGGTCAATCATTATTCTATGAAGAGATAGCCATCGGCCCTCTACATATCACTCGCCCTTCACTAGATCGATCCCTTAAGCGGGCATTCTTTTTCCAGCTGGTAAACCACGTCTACTTTTCTCCTGACGGTCAATGGCTGGCAAGTGCTTCATTCGACAAATCAGTGAAGCTGTGGAACGGCATCACTGGCAAGTTCATCACTTCCTTTCGGGGCCATGTGGGGCCCGTGTATCAGATAAGGTCAGAGCCCTCTCCACGCTGCACTCCCCTCTTTGGGTCCATTATGGTTGACTTTTTATTGAGGCAGCTTTCTGTTGTATCCTCCAGCTGGTCTGCAGACAGTAGGCTCCTCCTCAGTGGAAGCAAGGATTCCACTCTAAAGGTATCCTCAGTTTCATATCAACCAATTATTACTTGTTATATTTTATTTATTTATTTAATATTTATTGATTTATTTCAGGTGTGGGATGTACGGACGAGGAAGCTGAAGGAAGACCTTCCGGGCCACGCAGATGAGGTAAATCTGTTCTCTCAAGAGCATGTCCCCCTCTTTTTCAAGGCTGAGAATCTTCCTTGCGCAGGTTTTCGCCGTGGATTGGAGCCCAGATGGTGAGAAGGTGGCGTCTGGCGGCAAGGACAGGGTGCTGAAGCTATGGATGGGGTAATAGATGGAGATCCCTTCCGATTCTCCCCCCCCCCTGTAAATCGAGGAATTCTTTCTTCTTTTTTTTTTCTTTTTTTGGGTATGATCAGAGTGAATTAATCATGGTATATATCCAATTAATTGCGGATGAACTTGCCTGATTATTGTCGCCGTCAATGCTTTTCAGTGGAAATTCAGTCCTTGCCTGTGTTCACAGGACAAAACCGGCTATTTTTGTGGGTTGACTTTTTGCATGGGGGTGGTCGTATTCTATGGGATTACGCGTTTTAAGAGCTAAGTTTCTCGCTTGCATGGGGCCTTTTGTCGCTGACTTTTTTCTGTCTGTTGAGTGATACGGTTCGAGGGAGCTGCAGGGCAGCGTTTTTTTTTCCTTTTTTTTAATCGGTGGATTCACAAGCTTTGATATTTCTCTCTTCTTTCGATGGAACAATAGCAGGACTCCTTTATCTGGGTCAGAAGCAGGCACATGTAGAAGTGTGGTCCTCTCTCTCTCTCTCTCTCTCTCTCTCTCTCTCTCTATCAGAAGCAGGCACATGTGAATGTCTGATCTTTAGTTGGCGTAGACGGATGGATTGAAGACCTCAACCCGTCTCGATGGAACGATAGCAAGACTTAGCCCCTCCTTTACCTAGGCCAGAAGCAGGCACATGTAGAAGTGGCCCTCCCTCCCTCCCTCCCTCTCTCTGTCTCTCTGTCTCTCTCTCCCTCTCTCTCTCTTTCTCTCTCTATCAGAAGCAGGCACATGTAAATGTCTGATCTTTAACTGGTGTAGACTGATGGGTGGAAGACCTCAACCCAACTCGATGGAACAGTAGCAAGACTCAGCCCGTCCTTCATCTCGGTCAGAAAGCGGACACGACGTAGAAGTGGCTCTCCCTCTCTCTCTCTCTCTCTCTCTCTCTCTCTCTTCTCGTCGCATGTGAACAGCAGCTTTATGGGTGGAAGTAAAGGTCTAATCTTTAATTGGTGTAAATCGATGGGTTGAACGCCGGAAAGGAAGCGGAGTGATGGGCCCGTCAGATGCGGTAAAATAACCCAGCCCAATAAAGTTGTGGGTCGGGCCTTTTGGCTCACTGGAATCAAACCCCTAGATTATCTTATTGACGGTTCTACCCACAAACTCTCCCTCTCTCTCGTTAACTGCTGGCGGAAAATTCTGCTTCTTCCCAGCCGCACCGCTGGTGGAAGAAGGGAGTTTCGAGGGGAAATAGCGGAAGTGGGCATCGGCAATCTCTCGTGTCTGTGCAAGTTGATCGTCAACCGCGGGACTTCTTGCGGAGATGTCGCAGAGGAAGGGGTCCAGGGCCTCCGGGGACGATCCCGAGGAGCTTTCTCGGGTGCCGTTGCAGGCTATCCTCCTGGCCGACAGCTTCACCCAAAAGTTCCGGCCCATTACACTCGAGCGTCCTAAAGTAAGTAGCAGCCGCAGGCTCTTGCATCTGCTTCCTTGGTACCCTTCCTTTAAGTGCCCTCCAAATTTCGCGCTGCCTGTTGTGGTTGGATACTTAGTGGTGGCTTTTTATGCGAGTCCATAGGGTTTCTGATGAAGCAAAAACTTTCTCTAATTGCATGCTTCTGTCTCCAATCAAGATAATTTGGAACAAAACGTTCTTGTGTCTACTTTCTAGACAACTGAAAATGAGATACTAATGTTTATCATCTGTTTTTACGTTCTTCGTCGAAAAGTTCATCTCTTTTAGTCATCAGCGTAAATATAACGCAATTTTCTTGCAGGAATTTTAATAATAAGGCTGGGAAATCTTCCTCTCCCATGTGAACTTACGAAATTTATGTCACATTGTATTTTTTTTTGACTTAGGTGCTCCTGCCATTGGTCAATGTACCCATGATAGAGTACTCCATGGTATGGCTTGAATCTGTTGGTGTAAAGGAGGTTTTTGTATTCTGTTGTGCTCATGCAAAACAAGTGAAAGACTATTTACAAGTGGCCGGATGGTTGAATCAACCTAGGTTTTCTGTCATGACGATAGAGTCTCAAGATTCTATTAGTGCAGGGGATGCTCTCCGTGCAATTTATAACAAAAGTGTGGTACGTGCGTACTAAACTCAGTAATATTTATGTTAGTTTTTTAAACGCTTCAGGGTATTTATATCTTTGCATCTTTTATCTACGCTCATGAAAATATAGTCGCAATTTATTGGAAGTAATTTTCTTCGCCATGGATTCCTTTTTAATCAACCGCAGACTGACAGATGGATTCCTTAAATGCACATGCTTTAGGGAACTTCATGACAGTATTTGAACAATTTCCGTGCATCTATATGTGCGGATGAGATGCCACCTGTAAATAGGCAAATCCAATAAAGATCATATGAATTTGGCATTTTATGAAGTCTATAGTCTGGAATGTCGGAGACTAATCATTCAAAAGTTTAGATACAACGTAAAATTATGGCAAAAATTGCATCTAGATGATAAAAATGTCATAAACGAGGTAATATTTTGGCATAATAATGTTGGGATAAAAACACTCTTTGTTCATTTTGTTTCGCTATGATGCTTTCAGGAATATGTGATCTACAGTTTAGCACGTTGGTGGACTGCTTCGTCTCCTCTTTATACTTACAAGCTCAGGCTTCTTACGGGCTTTGGGTCATTGGATTTAGATCTTATATAAACGGATGTTTGGTGAAGGTTTGGAGTGATGTGGTCTCTACGTTCTTACAAACTTGGCAATGGCGTAGTGTAAAAATGTCCTTATGTGCCGATAGGTCAAACCAGTAAAATTTCCTTGAGTGTGGTATTCATTCATTATGGCAATTATATGTGGTGGGGTATAAAAACCATCATAAATCATTCATAAAATAACTCAGTGGTAGATCTAGACATTCAGGTAAAGTTCAGAAACGGTCATCCAATTTTTTTTGACATGTCCCCGGTTCAGGTTGATAGTGTATCTTTATCTGATCATATTATTCAGGAGGAAATTTGTGATCAAGGGCTTAAAATTTAAAACGACTTGTTTAATGTTTTAAACAGGAAAGGGCATCTTGTACACAAGCATCTTCTTTTTAATGGATCGATGAAATGTGTGTTATATAGTTTTATAATTATTTTTTGGATCTTTAATTGTGGGCATAAGGCGAGTACATCTGTACTTTTTGAGAAGTGGGAGATTTTTACTGTTTTGGCAATATAATTTATCTGACGGCATCTCTCTCCTCTACTACTATAATTAATGCCATTATTTTAGAGACATTGTACATTGTGTTGGATAAATCAATTATTATTGGATCTTGAGACTCATGGTTTCTACCCCATCTTTGATATCCTTTTGGATGATTTTTACGTATTACTGACGTAATATTTTCATGTCATGTAAGCACGAAACCAATTTCTATGTATCAAGAACATTTGGGTTTATGATGGTGATCTAGATTAGCTCGACCCACTGACTGATCCACATATCTGATGAGGTATGATAATGATGGCTGTGTGGAAATTTAATTTCCATGTAGCCTAACATATATTAAATTACCCGTCGTTCTTCACCTCTGTGTTGGGCAATACTCAACATTTTCTCCCTGAGCCGCACTCCTTAAGATTTTAGTTGTAGCCTAGTTATAGATGTCTCACGTGTTTTTCCCATGTAGTCATAAAATTTTCATATACCCCCCCCCCCCCCTTTTTCCTTCAACAGAAAGTAATCAAATACATGGCAGTTGGACCAGTTGCTTTGAGCTCAAAAAGGGACAGATGGATTGGCGGTGTTTTCATAAAAAATGGGGTTTATATGTTTTCAAGTGGCCATAGAGGCTTTCTTGGACAAGAATGTGATTAACTATTAAGCTAATCATTGGTCAGGTGGATAAAATTTATTTCACCTTCCCATGATGCAACACAACTCCCGTATTCATGAAATTAAACATCTCACTCACCATATATCTCCCCACATTTATTGTATTAATTCTCTCTTTGTCTGTGTCTAAAAATCCCTGTTTAATTGGTGCATTATCTTCCTTAGGGAAATATCAGTCATTCTTTAATTAAACTCCTGTACCACGACATGGGTATTTTCTCAATGAATTTTACGTTATAGTGTCTCAAAAAAAAAAAAAGAGAACTCCTAGCATACAACAGTTAATCATAAAACATCAGTCCGCTGGATAGGAATGTTATGGAAACACAAAAGCATAAGAAATCTCAATATTTTATAAAAAATAGACCCACTAGATAGGAGAACGATGAGATAGATAGATAGATAATATTTAGAGAGAGAGAGAGGTTACGACCCCCTGAAGATTTGGTTTTGTGGTTTCAACAATCTTGAGATCCTCTCTCCACTGACTGTTTTTCAGTCCTTGCTTATTGTAGTGTAACTCTTTTCTTTTAAACTTTTGGATATCAATCTGAGTACATCGTATATTTGGTTTCAAACTTTTATATTTGCATCCGAGTTTAATGTATGTTTTTCTTTGAAGATTCGAGGAGACTTTATCCTTATAAGTGGTGATACGGTGAGCAATGCGGCCCTGGTGAAGGTGCTTGAAGAGCACAAGGAAAGAAGGAAAAAAGATCCACAGGCTATAATGACCATGCTAGTGAAGGATGTTAAGCCATCATACTTGACTCATCATACTCGCCTTGGTAACGATGAAATTTTCATGGCAATTGATCCTGTGACAAAACAGCTTCTGTATTATGAAGACAAATCTGATGATTCAAAGCCCATAGTTTCACTTGATAAAACACTCTTGTCTGACAACTCTGGTTTTTTCTTCCACAACAATAAGCAGGTTATTATCACGCTCGGTTTTCCTTTATAGTTACATGATCAATTATCTTTGATAGTTGTAATGATGCCTTCTTGGTTCTCTTTGTTGCCTTAGAAGTGTGAGATCTCATTGAAGACGGTACTGGAACATATAGAAAACGTTTGATACATATTTGGTCATTTTGTAACTTAAAATATGCCGTTCTCTGCATATATTTTGGAGTTGTTTTTGCCTTAGCTCTTGGCCTTTCCACACATGCTAAAGAGGTCATAGACAAAACCAATATTAATGTTTCTTGGTTACGTTCCGTAATCATTATGACGTGCTACTTTTGCTTGATCACTAATGGCGAAAGCTCTCAACTACTGTTCTTTTTATCCATTTGACTAGCAATGTCAGATTAAAGTATCTGATATTAATGATAAGAAGATCTCCATTCTCTTTTAGGGTGGATATCCTTCTGCAGCTTATATCATGCTGTCCTTTACACATGCGTCCGTTCGTACCAGTAGAACATAGCTTGCATTGTCTCCTTGCAGTGTAGATACTTCAAGTGGAGACAAGTCTTCTGTCCCACAACCTGGAAGAACAACTAGGCTATTGGATCTATTGGCTTTTTCTGGAAGTTATATTATCACTCTGGTATTTAAATAAGAATATGATAGGGTCAGCCATCTAGTTCTTGTAAATTAGCTTTAATGTGCAATTATTGCACCATAATGTTGAACAAAACCCACCCGTGTGTTTGTTTATCTTTACTCTTCAGTAAAGAGTGTTTACAAAACAGCGAAAAGGGGGACATTAAAATCTTCTTGCATTTTGAAAATCGATTAGGATATGCTATATGATGAAAAAAAATAGTATCCTGAAACAGTTATATGCTTGAATTCTGTGGTCAGCAGGCTTGAGAAGTTTATTTATTGCATTTTACTGCTAAAGTAATTTGTTTTTAACTTAATAGCAAACATGGAAAGTGGTTAAACAGATTCTTTGATATATCATTGAAGCTTGAAATAATCGACAAACCCGCTGAGCATTTTTTTGTAATAGAAATATATGTTCAAACGCTGAGCGTTTATTACAAAGGTACCTTCATTTAGTCACCCTATAAATAATTTCTTAAAATCCCTATTGTAACTTTTCACTGCTGTTGCTGGTATTTAATCTTTGAGCTTTCAATGATGTTCTCTGAACTTTTAGACGTCTCCCCGCTTTTCACTGGAGGGAAAAAAATGAAGAAGTATTTAACATTTAGTTTTTTTATTTTTGAAAGTGGATAATACAGTATGAACTAAAATCCAAAGAGAGATGAGGATGTATGTGTCAAGATGCCATGAAAATTTCTTGTGTACAATCACAGGTGCTAAACTGAGGTGGTGAGTTATATTAAACAATAAGCTCTCCCAAACTGAACTGCATTTCTCTCCCACTGCAACATTCCTTTGCCCAGTCACTCTATCGCAAGCACTTTTGATCACTCTCTAGTTAATATCGCCTCTAGGACATTGGATCGTTTCTATTGTTCCACATTTGTCAAGAAGTCTTGCACATACTTCTTATTCCTCGTTGGATGATTACATGACCCTACTCACTTTTTAGAAAGGGGCCCATCAATTTTTGGCCCCTCTGAGTAGTATCACCAATGCCAGCATGCCCATGTTTCCTCCACTGTCCTGGTGGATAATATCACAGGTCTACTTTCTAAATTAGCCTCTGTCATATTTATCGTTATAATGGAGATCTGATGTGTAAACTCTCCAATAAGTTTTCCTCCACACATAGATCATATTATTTTAATGTTCTCTGTTAAGGAAGCCCATCAATCACAAGTTGGTACTTTTCTGTGTGAAATGCTCCACATCGAAATCCCAACCTTCATTATGTTTAGAGAACCGAAAATCAGAACCTAAAGCGTGCAGGGAATACTTAGTTGAACCTTTTTCTCCATCTGTGCTATGCTGTTGATCTGTTATTACGTTGTTCAGTTAAAACCTTGCCAAAAAATTGCTTTTTCCTTTCAAAATATTATCATTCTTGTTCCATGGGTGTTGCTGTACATCTCTGTGTCTTCTGTTGTGTTATCTCGATAGGTATACTATGATCATCACAGGTAAACCTTAGAAACGGAACGTAGAGTAATGGTGGTTTTTTGCTGACCATAGGCTTTAGTATCATTGTATTCATTGCCTTATCAAATGGATGTGGAAGAACCCTGACAGAAAGATACTGTTGTGTTCATTTTGATGTTTTCGCTGTGATCTACTTGTGCATGTACATCAGTCTAGAAATTTAAGAATGAAAATCGTTAAAGTGAATGTTGTGATTTTTGTGCAGGACTGCTATATTGATATTTGCTCACCAGAAGTTCTTAGTCTTTTCACGGACAATTTCGACTATCAACATCTCCGCCGTCACTTTGTAAAGGGCTTGCTTCTTGATGATGTAAGCTGTATTATCCTCAACTAATCATCTGCTCTTATTTGGCCTTGTAAATGCTTTGGCTCTCTATATTTGTGTGTAATCTTCTTTTACTGGTGTTTATTCTTTTAGTATTTTCTGTAATGAATCCGTGGAGTGTAGTTTTATAGCCCTCTCTGATAATTTTTTCCTGAATTTGATTATGAGCCTATGACCAATTGAGTTTTCAATCAGTAACTCTATTATTTTTAACGTTTTTTTTCTGATTTTCGTCTGTAAAAAAATTGTAGCTTGCTGCAGTTTTGTGTGAAATTTCTCGTGTAATGTGAATCTCTGGCAATTCTCAGGGGTGTGGGGTTGATAAGAATTCAAAGGCGTAATGCCAGTGGGAGAGGGATTCGTGGATAGTAGTGTGAATCCCATATAGGTATTATAAACATTTGTTAGCCAACGGTGCGTAGAGGTGAGGGACTAAAACTTACACCAGGCATCTCAGAGATAATTTGAACTCCAATGGTTTTTTCTGGTTCGGAGTGGAGCATTAATGGGCAAGATGCAAGAATTTTAGTGTATGCAGGTGCTCCTATCTATTAAATTCAAAGCAATGGAGTCACGCTCTACATTGATGAGAAGGTGGTTCTTAATTTTCAGAAAAAAAATTAAAAATAAAGCTTGTGCTTTCAGGTAACTGAAAATCTACAGGGGTTGTTGTTGTTGGAGTTCGTGACACATTCTTGCTTCCAAAATTCCAGTAGTAAGAATGAGAACGTTTTGCTTGTACCTGTGTGAACGCGTTGACATAGATGCTCTACTGTTTTAGACATTTTTCCTGAATTAAAGTCATCATATTGTTAGACAGATGATGAAAGCAAACAACATAATTTTTCAACATTATAATGTATCAGTGTTTGATTGAAGGTAGAAACCTGGATGGGTAAAAAAGCCATCCGAGGAATGAGTTATCATTTGGGCACCAACAAACTGTTTCGTTTGTGCATCATGTGGAATTTGTAATCAGAAAAATGTCTCAAAGATGATGAAATATACAGGCTTGCGAAACCATTGTGAATTTGGTTGAGACTTTTTCATGTAGCTCTTTGGGGAAGACGAGCAGAATCAAAGTATAGCTTAGTTATAGTCATACTAATTCAGATATCAATTTTGGTTTTAACGGTAGGCTAGAATGCTGGGGTACAGATGTGCGGATTTTCTGCTAAAAAATTGGTATCCCCTCTTTAAGATGGAACTACTGGAAACAAGATTGAAATGAATTCTCTGGCATTCAACTTCTTGTCATTTGCTTTCTTCCCAACAATTTTTGAAATATGTTAGGAAGCTATTGGATGCACATATTAAGAAATGTGGCAAAAAAATAGGAATCGCTTACAAAGTCTTGGGTTCAAATAGGTGTAGTGATTTGTCTTTGAAGGAATGTCACTCGAAGAGAATTTGTGGTCAACCACAGTGCTGATACTCCTCTTCTTTCGAGAAGCATTATCAATTATGTGAACTTTCTTGCATCATGCTCATCAGTACAACTTGGTAATGAAATATTGATCCTTCTTTAATGAGTTAAAGACAATGGAGGAACGTATATGTGTGCAGTCAGTGAACTAAAGAATCACATCTCTAATGGCCGTGTCTTACACCAAGATGATGTGAGTAACTAAAACTAGAGATAAATATCCCTCCATTTTTAGACTTTTTACGCTCATTTCTTATCTACAGTAGCCGTCTTTGCTTGGGCCTTTTATTGGTTTTCGTGCTTTAGGCAGGTAATCAGATAAAGTTAAAAGCTTGTGTTTGATGTCTTCTTTTTGAATTCTATTATTTTCTTCATACTCAGAAATGAGGAATTATTTTTCATTATTTTTTCTTCTACTTCAGATTATGGGATATAAAATTTTCACGCATGAAATCAATGGCAGTTATGCTGCGAGAGTTGATAATTTTAGGAGCTATGATACCGTTAGTAAGGACATACTCCAAAGGTGGACGTATCCACTGGTCCCAAATGCTCAGTCTTTTGGAAAATGTGGGCAGGTCATGCTTGAAAGAGAGGGTATTTATAAAGCCCCGGGTATGTGCAGAATTTTTATCATAAATCCTGACTAGCAGTTTTTTTTCTTTTGTTCTGACTTCACTTGTTCTGTAACACCAATCATCTCATGCGATTGCATTCTCTATACTATCCAAAGTTTTTTTTTTAAATTAGGCGGACGTGCGTTTTTAATAGGAAGAGCTGAGTTTCATTACTCTCGAAATCGTTTCCATTATTCTATCAGGATTCGATCTATAATCAACGGGCTACTTCGCATATATTTGTTGGAGATTACTGATATGGATGTTCTGCTGATTATCTAGTGTTAACACAAAATACTTCATAAATATAACATGCACTTTAGTTGGATGAAAATATTCTCGTTTGCTGAAATCTGAAATTGTCTAGATATCTAGTATCCTCTCAAACAGTTTTTTAGAAGTTTTGTGAAACATTTTTTTGGCTATGATTCCGTCTCAATGTTTATGGAAATTTCTCCTCTAAAATTTGCAGGTAAATCGTCTAATATCAGGCCAATCACTATTTTTATGATGCAGTTTTTTTGTTGTTTCTTTTCTAATCTTACCAGCTGTTTTAATATAAACTTTGGACGCGGATATTTCTTTGAGGCGCAATGAAAATCCAATATATATGTCAAACTGTATTTTTGTTATGACCAACGTTCTAGATTGAAATCAAAACTTTCATTATTTTTATCGATAGAAGTTTGAAGTAGTGCACATCATGTTTTACCATATATGTAAAAGGCATCATCATGAGATATGTTAAGGGTTTTTATCTTTTGAAGAGGAGCTGCGAATTAATTACATCGTAAGTTCCTATGATTAAATTCACGTAGTTGAACCTTTGGGGAGAGGGTAGCTCAGTCAGAGTTTGCCAGATTCCTGGTTTTATAGATTTAACATCTCCAAAAATTGCTGAGATTTTCAACTTCATAAATACTATAACGATTGTAGGTTTTACTCGTTCTGTGCATCTGCTTGTAGTTCTCAGTGATTTTTCATTTCGTGATATGATTTAGCCCATTGTATACCACCTTAAAAAAATTGCCTCGTTGGTCTTTAGTTGTGCCAAACAAAGATTCTCCAGCTTCGTCTTCTGTGTGTGGTTTCAAATCTTGGGAAAATCCACGAATGCCATCTTAGTTTTAACAATGGAAAAACAGCTTTCAGTTCTTACAATCATATGGAATTTAAATTACAAATTGCTAATGAGCTATAAACTATGGTATGATTCATTTGATATGATGGATGGAAAATGAACTGTAAATAATGCTTCTAAAATCATGGATAGTAGATGAACCTTAAATTATGGTGTGATCCATTTTGTTTGGGGAGAATTAAAAACTTTACCATTTTCCCTTTGAAAATTGTGTGTTCCATATTTTCTGAACTCCTTAGAGAGAGAGACAAAATATCTTTCTCCCTTAGAAAGAGAGATGCTATTCCATTTCGACATTTATGACAGTTTGTTTTTCCTGGAGAGAAGAAAAGATGTTTTTATCCACGTGTAATGGCTTTTTACCATTGATGGAATAGTACCATGTCCCACTGAAGAAGAAAGCATGGCGCCCTGTCTCTTTGCAGTTTATTGTAAAAGTGAGGCATTGGCTCTTTCTAGAATAAAAGTCAGTTGTCTGAGTCGTTTTCTTCAATATAATTTGACTACTAGTAACAATGTATTTTCACTTGCAGGTGCAACATTATCACACTCTACGTACATAGGTGGTTTCTCATTGATAGGAGATAGTTCTACAATTGGGGACTGTAGTAAGATTTTTCATTCAGTTATTGGTGAAGATTGTATAATTGGAAATAATGTTTTGATTGAGAACTCCTATATATGGGATAGAGTTATCATTGAAAATAATTGCAAGTTAAGTCACGCAATTGTTTGTGATGGGGTTATTTTGAAGGCAGGTGCTATTTTAGAACCTGGTGTCATATTATCATTCAAGGTAAGTTCTCTTATTGTGCAAGTATGTGGGATTAATTGATAATTTATTTGATATTATAGGTGATAAATGTTCTATAATGGTTCTGCATACTAAACAGTTTCTCCACGTCTTAATTTAACCACTTTCTGTATCATGTTTCGTCAACAATCTGATATGAACATCTGTTAGTTTCAACTTGTTCGACGATTTGAGGAATTATTCCAAAACCGGATAGGTTAGTATAGGTTTTATTGGTAACATCCTATGTATGTTTAAAGTTCCTTCTGCCCTGTACCCACTAAGTAACCTTTAACAATGCTTGTAGGAATTAGTTTCTAATGATGTTTTTCTGAATAGGATGGATAGGAAACTTCTTACTGTTTGGAATTATTATGGATTACTTATAATGAGGCCGGCTCAAATTATCAGTTCTTTCGCAAATGCTTTCAAGTATCTCTGGTAATTCAAAATTTTTGGGGCATACAGTTAGTATTCATTTCCTATCTGTAACTTACTGTGTTCTATCACCTGCGACAGGTGATTAATGTTCAATGTTTCCCCGAGATATTGCCGCAGTAGGAATGATTTTCCCTGAATCTAGAATTGCCCACCAAATTTACAATCTTCATCCTGTCGAAGTACCTTTAACTGAGTATTGGCATGTTATTTTGTCTTTCCCAAGATCATAAATCCACACTTGCGTTAACAACATATTACGGTGTAAACCTTTACATCTCATCTGTTAAAAGTCACTGTTTATCGAACTGACCATTCTTACCTGCTTTCATTTCCTAAAGGGCTACTAGTCTTCTCAAAATGTGAAACTGGATTACTATGCTTGAACACGCTGATAGAAAATAACTATTTCAAAACATTTCCCCTGAGATGGAGGGAAAAGAAGATTGATAACTACGTAGAAGCGCTTTTCACTGCCCGTTTTGTCATATTTCTCAGGAACAATAGCCGAGTGAACTTTTACTGTGGCTTATGGGCAGTTGGCATCAGAACTTCATTGAAAATTTCAATCTGGCTGTTTAAGCCCTCTTCCACTCGCTACACACTCTTTCCCACTTCTACGAATGGCTTTCCTTCCCTTCCTTATTTGTTTCTTTCCAGGCAGAGGAACCCTCTTATGACTTTAATTCTCTTCATGTGGTGAAGAACTCCAGAAAAATCCATTTCTTACTTTCCAATAGATAATTGTCTTGTGAGTGCTGTTCCATCTACATATTGGTGCCGTTTGAATTTTCTTTTATAATATTGAAAAATTTTACAGCCTCAAAAATGCGAAAGAAAGTTGTCTTTCCAAGTTAGTTTCCAGTTAATCTTTCTTAAAATGTTATTCCACCGGATAGGTTAGTAATCTCGAATATTTGACGGGAAAGTTCTATTTTTTAGCTCTTGCAAATTATTTAATTTTCTCTTGATTAGAAGAACTAGAAATTGTAGCCTGTAATCGTTCATAGACTGACTGAGCTTCAGTATTTTGCTCATAATTTAACATATTATAAAAAGTGTAACTCACGACCTAGTTGATCCATTTTTTAAACCTGGGATTAGTTTTCGTAGTCTCTTAACTTCTGTCCAAGAATTCTTACTATGTAATTATTTTCTTTCAAAGTTTATCCACGAGCACATGATACTTTTATCTCAATCAAAAGATTATTCTTTGCCCATTGACAAAACAGTTCCCTCCAGCTAATGTAGAACTGTTTTCGTAGAATTTGAGTGCAGCACAGTTTTAGTGAAATTATTATACTATCAACATTAGGAGGACTATCATAACAAAATGGTACAGAGTTTTCCTTTCTTTATTGACTATTACAATGTTGTTTAAGGTACTGGTAGTTTTTGTCTTATGTAATTTGATGAGTATGTGATTTGAATTAGCCTCCCAAGGGCCAGATGTGACACCAAATACCATATAATATTCAAATGTTAGCTGACATGATCTCCTAACAAGCACTTACTTTTCTTCTTTTTACTTTTCAATTTCTACCATTGGTATTCAAATCTTTCGATGCATTTCATTGAACCAACTTCTATCATTGGCGTGACTGTAATATTGTTTCCTTATTCAGGTGGTAGTCGGGCAGAAAAGCATCATTCCTGCTTATTCAAAAGTCTCTCTACGTCCTCAGCCAACTATCCAGGATAGTGATGAGGAGCTCGAATATGCAGATTCAAATAGTTGAGTTTATAGTTGTTGATTTAAATTCTTGTGGCTATTTTTTCTCCTTTTTAATTTTTAGCCTGATATCCGAATAGCACTGGTGCTTGATTCATTTTGGGTGTCGGAAACTGTTCTCACAGATTGTTTAGAAATCATAAAAAATATTTTATTTAATAAATTGGCTTAAACATCCATACGCTATGCATTTAAATGACTCTGATAGCTCTGGTTAAGGTCCATATATGAAATTTATCTGAAAGCACAAAGGAGCACTTATGAGGATTCTAGCTTGTTTAGTTGTCAAATGAAAATGAAAATTTTGGTGCGGAGCTCTTGAAATAATTGCATTGATAGCAAATAAAATTTATTGAGAACGTTTTCCTGCATTAATTTGGCGAAGTTAGTATGCTCAAATTTTGAAGGTTTGTTGATGATGTACGCTTGGTTCCCAAATCATAAGCTTGAAAATTTTCCCTTTATTGTCTGATTTTTTTTCAAACTGCATCACTTATGTAAAAACTTACGTTATGCTGATTATCAAATGAAATCGTGTTGCATTTTCATTAATCACATACATCTCAGCCAACTTGATCGCTATGTCACTGAAAACACTGAAATTTTTCAAGATTCAGTTCTTAATAACTGCTGGATGTCCAATATTGTGCCTTTTGTTTGATGTTTTGATCTAGAAGCATCTAGTGAATATGTTTCACAATTACTGCAATGCAGCAACTCCTCTGGTGGATTCTTCCTTCACAGAATTTTCTTCTGTCACTTCTGAGGTAACTTACGTTCCTTTACTGCCATAATATTTAGCCATATGCAGCTGTTTTATGAGATTTTACTCTCTCTATGAGCATTGCAACGGTTTTTTAATTTGCAATTTTTTTTTATATATATTGTACGAGAAATGTCGTGCATATCCAGCTGCCAGCTCTCAGTTTATCATTCTCTTGAGCTAGCGTTCTGTGATGCATTTGTTTCACTTTATGTATCTCATCTCTCATAAAGGAAGGTCTGCAAGACGACTACAAACGGACTGTGATGTATGTGAGGTCGGCCCTAAAAAGATTGAGGTAGCCAAGAGAGAATAGGGACACCTAAGTAGACATCATAACTAATGCTGCAAATTGCAATTGCTACGACCAAATGTTCAAGAAATAAAGCTTTGCTGCACACGTTCTGTTGAATAGTTGCTTAATTTATTTTTTTTAGGAGAAGATTGAAGACAGTACTTATGTTATTAAATAATAAAAAGATGTGATCTATCAAATGCTTCATGGAGATGGCATACCTCTCGTAAAGGCATGGTAACACATTAAGTGGATGACATCCTTCATATAAGCATCAACCCACGTTTAGAAGTAATATCAATATCAGCTTGACTAGCTTCGTATTATTAAGTTGATAGAACCTTCTGAGCTCTTGGATAAGTAATCTTAATAATGATTCTCTAAAATTTTGCTACCCTTATTAAAATTTATTTTGAGGTTGTGCTGTCAGCCTTAAAGAAATTCTCAATCGTTTATTCCAATTGCTTATTTCTATGTTTTGTCTTGGATTATTTATTGTGTCCATCGAAATCATGTCATCTATAGTCTGTGCACACAGTAATGCAATCAAACTGGCGGGTAAAGAAAGCATACCTCTGGTAGGTTGCATTCACTATTTAGTAGAGGGAGACACCGAAGTTTTTATATGAATAAAAAATAGAAAAAAAAAATAGGAAATGGAAACGAATAGTAAAATGGTAAGTTTTCTTCCTTTTTAGCTCCTAGAAGAAGCGATACTGACTATTTTGCTCTTGTCTATGTTAATATAAGGTTTTAAAATAAGCAAGAGTTTGAAAACAACAGGAAGTTTAGTTTCCGGATGAGAATTTGGGGAGTTTCATCTGACCGTTCAATGGAGTTCCAGGAAGTTGCGAAGTTTGGTGGTTTGTCCAGGTTTAGTTAGCGTTCCACCATGATTAAGGTCTTCCATTGGTAGCTAGAAATGGGGGGCACGAGGGGGGGGTCCCAAGTTGATTGGTTCTGAGTTACTTTGGAGAAGTCGAAGTCATCTGTACAGCGATGGCTTGATTGGTATCATCACCATGCTATGGCCACAAGAAAAGTTTCTGTTCCATCTACACAAATTTCCATGGTTTTTCCAAGTAGATTGCTTGGAAGATAGTCTTATCGGGCAAGAAGCAAAGCAGAGACAAAGGTTGCTGCCTGATGTCCTGTGCCCAATTTGGCACTTGATTGACCATCTGCCTATTGATGATCTTCAGGACTGGCATGTCTTCAATGAATTGTTTGGTCGCCTAACAGTTGATTAATCGTGACTTTGGACTTTGGACTTTGGACTTTGGAGAGAGATGTCTGATTCAAATCTATCGCCTAAATCATGGAATTGCTTTTCTTTTTATTTGATGGAAAAAATTGGTTTCAGGATTCCCCCTTGATCTCTCTGCTGAATAGAGGACGGAGTTGTCACCTTTCTTGTACTGCGTTTTCCAATGTAATGACATGCAGACACTGCAAGAAATTACATACTTCCTTGCAGACTAATATCTCTGTGCCTATGTCTTCTTAAATGGAATTTACTAAGATTTTTATGCGTTTAGTATCTCAAAAGTCTTTCCATTTGCAGTAATACGGCTAAATTGATCTATTTCCGTTACACTCTTTTCTGCTGTTATACATTCGTTTTATTTATGTCACATTTTCTCCTCTTCATGTGCATATTATACAATGAATGAAGGACGGCATTTCTGGACTTGGCTTCGTTTGGTCCTCTGAAGGAGGGAACGAGGAAGAGTGGAGACAGTCAGTTGCTCCAATACCTGCGGAGAAACTTATGAAATTCTCTGTCAATGCTTACAATGATCTAGATTCATCATATCCAGATTCTGGGTTCACTTCAGCTATGAGAGAGTCGCAGGCAGAATCTGGGAATTCTGATTCCAATGCTAGTGATGATGAGCATCACAAAGATGTTGATTTTGAGGGAGAGGTTTTTAATGAATAACTGTGCCTATTCTCTTTTGCTATTTTGTTCTTTACTTTGGAGTACATGAAATTTGGCTGCTTTCCAGGTTGAAGCCACTTTTAGGAGGGCAGTTGATGAAGGGATTGATGAAGAAAATGTCATCCTAGAAGTGAACTCCCTCAAGTATGTTCCATATCATTTTCCTTCTACACAACATTGTCAGTATCACTAGGGATTGACGCCTGTTTCTGTTACTTTGTTCTTATCCATAATGTATCATATGCTTTGTAAACCTGAAAATAGGAATAGGTTTATTGATGCAGAGTTTTAAATATCCCTATTTCTATTTTGGTTCTTGTATAGCTGGTATATTTGTAGCTTTTCTATTGGTGTTATAGTAATTTATGCCCGCATAAGTACTGGACCATTGTATTGACTAATTTTTGGTAGTTATAATTTGTATCTCAGATTAAAAAAATTAAGCATGCCATTTATTGTTTCATTGAGTTCAAAAAATAGGTTAGAAATCACAGTGTGAAGTCCATTTTTTTTGTGATTACTAAATTTATTTGATGTGATTGGTTGAGTCTTTTGTCCCTTTTTGTTACAAGACGCTATTCTTTTCTTTGTTGGCACTAGTGCTTTCAAAGCAAGGTTGTTTTGATTTTTGCTTTTCAATTTGTTTCTGAATTAATTTTTCATGGCTTTCATGAAAAGAACTTGAAACATAGAGTATAAATTTAATGTCGTAATAATTAGACATTTGCATGTCTCCATTACCTTATAAAAATGTAGACTTCTTGCCACGACTCATTGCCTATGAGGTAACGAGTCATGGCGGAATGAGAGAATTACGCACAAGATGAAAATTATAGATTTTTTAGAGAATGAAATTGAAAAATTCTTTAAACAATCCGCAGAAAGAATTTTTATCAGAAAATTCCTTACCTGATTCGATTCTGGATTCCACACATTTTAATATTAATGTTGAAAGTTTTTAACGTTTTCCTTTTGGTTTACATAGTTATTTCTTGTTTTATTGTTTTGGACTATGAGTTGTCTATCATTGATCCAAAGATTGGTGCTTTTTTTTTTAACAAATCAGATCTCTTGCATGAATATATTTGAGTTTTGAGTAAAAAAAAATTCATCTGCAAGTTCACTTATTAATAGCTTTGGAACTGTCTACTTTTTATGTCAGGCTGGCATACAATGTGGAGCATACTGATTGTGCTGGTGGCTTATTTTACGCAATGTTGAGATTGGCTTTAACTGTTCCCCATAATACAAACAGTGCGTTATTTTTCCTTAAAACATTCTTTTTTCATTTAGTTATTTGCAAATTGTCCAGTTCACCAGTGCATGCTGTGTACAGGGAGAAACGTCCTTCTGTCAGTCAATGCTCAGTCTTTGTTAAAGCTCTGATAACGAAATCTATTACTTATAGAGTTGGTCGTTTTTCACCTTCTTGAATTTTATCAGATTCATTAACACTAATCTCGTTTTTATATGGTTTTAGATTTTCTTGGGTCAAATGATTTTCGTCAAGCTAGCAGAACTCATTTTTTTGAAAGATCAAGTTGTGTCCTGTTCAAGCAGCAAGCTGTTCAACTTTTTGTTTGAAGACTGGTTCCATTGTTTCAAAATGTAGTCCCGATCAGATTTTCATCTGGATTGACTTTCATTCATTTTCTACTAGACTCGGTATCATACGTTGGTATGGTCAATCTAGCTTAGTTAAAGTTACGTCTTGGTCCAAGCTGGTGCATGTCTCCGAACCCAATTTATTTGGATTTCTGTTCTCTGGGTTAATATTTATTCCCAAATTCGCGTATCGTGCCTAACCATCTTCTGAGGCCTGAGAAATGAAAATTTCCTTTCTGAGGATCTCATCTCGAACATTGGAGCAGAGAGGAATTCTGACTCACTTTTAGTGTTTCTAAAGGTTACTGTTCATATTTTTCTTCTTATGTTTGGTTGTGAGAGACTGGGGGTAGAATTTAGTAAGCCATACTCTCTTGTTCAGATATAGCTCAGATGGAGAAATCAATTATTTTATACCTTCGGAGGGTAGTAATCTGTTTTTAGTGGCTATCTAAGACTTGTTAACATCAATGTCGATGCTTTACTTCTTTACTAATTATGCTATATGATTTAAATACAATGTGCAGTTGAACTCCTTGAGAAAGCTAGAGAGGTGATTACCCGTTGGAAAAGTCTTCTAAAGCATTACATGAAAACTGTTGATGAGGAGGTCTGACGAGTAATCTTTCAGCCAATGGCTTTTTTATTAATCTCGTATTGCCTTTTATATTTTGTAACCTTTCTTCATATTTGTACTTTCAGTAGCCTTTTCTTTTTTCTGCTGATGACCTATTCTAGTCATCATATTAGAAAATATCCCTTTATTTCTGTTTTTCTGTGATAACATTCATATGATGGAAATTTATTTACTGATATAAAAAATTTGTTAGATGATAATTTGATATTTTTGATCAAATTGCTTTTGGATGATGTGAATACAAAAGGCTCTTCTCGAGAAATTGATTCGATGAATTAAAGGTGGGAATTGATTAAGGGGAGGGTAACAGGATCAAACCATTTCATTTCATCTTTATATGATTAGCAATATAACACCATGCGAATATCTTGATATATCAGAGAAAATTTCTAAGGCACATATAGCTATAACGTTTTACAGTAAGTTTTTAAGTGCTGATTATAAAATCACTATTTGCTTTGTAAACACTTTTTTGGGCGGTTTTTTGAGTAATTACTCCTTTATTATCCATCACTTAGTTTTTGATCCTTGACACTGATGTGCAGGTGGAAGTTATACTGAAATTTGAAGAAATGTGTCTGGACATGGAATCGACTAGAGAATTCTCACCGTTGTTCACAAGGGTATCTTCTTACATTAGGAAAGAAAAGTTTTACTGATAAATTCATATTTATTTCAACTATGAGTGTGTAATTTGGTGGATAACAGTGATCCTATATATGTATGTATGAAAGTAGTCTACTTTAAAATTTCATATGCTGAATGTTAAATTTTTACCGGTTTGTCAATAATCTGGTTCATTTGTCATTTTTTAGCAAGTACATGGACGAATTCCGTGATCTATGTGTTATGTCCTGTTTGATGACTAATCCCTTCCCTTTTATTATCTGTATGTATGAATCTAGTAGACAGCAGTTTTATGTAATGGGTAAAGTATTTGACTTAATCAACGTTGAAGGTACATGCCAGTATCATGTTCTGACTTCGGTTTTCTTTAAATGAATCAATCAGTTCATGGGAGTACGGACAATTCAAGGAGTGAAGACAACCTCCTATCAGCACAAAAAGAGATTTTTTGTTGAGAAGCCTTTGTATACCAGTAGAATTCTATGACCCACTGCTTTGTGGGACCTGATTTTCAATGCAGGAGCATCTGTGCACTAACCTCCGAGCAAAGAGGTGAATAGAGACAAGTTCCGAAGAGACAAGGAACTCTTTTGTGCACATAGTGAGTCTGTAATACCATGGGTCGGTGGAACATTCCATCCACCTCGAAAGATAAATAATAATAATAATAATAATAATAATGATGATGATGATGATGGACATGTGAAATAAAGATTTACCCTTTGTTCTCAGATGAGTATGCAATGAAGTCATTCGATGAAGATGTTCAGAGTTAATATTTATGGCCCACCCAACAGTGCTGGAAGTGTTTTTATTTGGATTAGACTGCTCAGACTGCGTCGAATTCTCTTTGGTATTGCATTAGTACGGGTGATTCTCATGCTAAAATTGACTATGAGTAGCCACCACCAGGGAAAAAGAAATAGTTTGTCCTGTTATCATTTGAACCCCATTGAAAACTGTGAAAATTCGTTTCTGTTCTGAATTTTTTTTCTCGATTCCATCCTGAATTCCCTCGTTTTAGTTATCTTTGAGGCAACATGTTCCTTTTCTTTTTTTGTCTTAAACGAAGTAAATATCCAGAAGAATTCTATTCTGAAGAGAAACTCATAGGCACTGCTCGTCTTTTCTCACTTGAAGAACTGAAGGTAATCTCTCTTGCAGATTTTGGTATTTCTTTATGATCAAGATGTTTTGACGGAAGACGCTGTCCTCGCATGGGCAACAGAGAAAGAAGGAGCAGATGAATCTGAGAAGGTCCTGCTACAGCAATCAGAAAGTTTCATCCAGGTGCGTCTTGATGTTCTTCACAACTATCAGAACGAAAATCTATATGACTGATTAAATGCGGCTATTTGTTGAGCTCCTTTTTTTTTTTTTTGGGTCAATTCTCATTCCTACCCAGGATTTATTCGACTAAAAATTTAGATTTTTGTTACTTTTTCTCCTGTATTCTAAAGCTATCTAAATAATATTTTTTACATTTTCTCCTGATTTATTAAATGGTCTCCCCTCTAGATTTCTTCTATCTTTCCATCAAGATCCAAGAGAGTGCAGAGTACTAAATTAGGCAATTGCGTCAAGTTGATCAATCATCACTTTTTCTTGGTACCCATTTGAAATCATGTTTCTTACCAACCCAATCCGATCCGGCCTGGTTTCTTGTCATCATCATACTCAGTAGTTCATATACTCTGAGGAGATGCTTCCCTTCCTTCGAAACTCCAGATTTTCCTCAATAGCATACCACCAAGCCAGGCTTCTTTTCAATGGCATGGGAACTGGGCAGTGAGACATTTGTTATTTTTTAAGGGTGTATTTCCAATTTTTTTCTCTGGCGCTGTTCATCTCACCTTGTCCAGCTGGGATCATCACCTTCGGCTCATTGCCACTTTCGGCATCAGTTCTAGTGTGCCCATCCATGCTCCAACCTGCCTAATAATCACTAGTTTTCTGTGAATAATGAGTGCCTACCTGCTGTAATCTGAGCTGGAGACTGAAGCTCATCTGTGGGCTTCTGTATCAGATAAATGCTTGATCTCCGGTTGAATGCTTCTTGTTTCTTTTTGTCATGGCATTAAATGGCTCTTATGTCTGCAGTGGCTCCAAGAGGCTGAGGAAGAAGACTAAGGCTCTCAGTCGTGTGCGGCGGCCATTGGCGGGGGAGTTGACCATATGATCTTCCTCCAATGTTCTTGGAAGAAATAGGGAGATTCTGATCCATGGATTCCGGTCAAATTTTGGCAAGATTTCGAGGGTTTCCTCTTATTATAAAATTTTCCATGATTGCTCTCTGGCCTGTTTCGGACAAAGCAAAGGAGAGAGAGTGGTTGAGAAAGTCAACGATGCCACATACAGTGATCATGATGAACTGGGTCTTATGCTTATGGGTTTGACTAGGAAAAAAATTCAGACCCTCTCTGGATAGGAAATGGGTCGGATTTATTTTCGTCAAGACTCAATCTTGATGCTTTCACTCGAGGTCAAAGCACTGAATTCTGAACTTGGTCAAGTCAATCATAGACCTGGTCCATTTTTCCTATTTTAAGGTCATTTAATAATAAAGGAAAACCGTGTACTCCTGGGCTAAATTTTCCCCCGATGCATATAAAAATTGTCAATAAATAAAATAAATTGATTATTCGATTGCCGCGTTTAAGTTCCACTTGGGTACGTAGATAAATATCTTTTTTGTGAGGGTGAAGTTTTGAAGTTAGTTTATTCAAGTATCTGGGCAAGCCCGCGCCGTGGCCGCTAGGGTTTTAAGGCAACCGACGCCGTCTCGTGGAAGGGTGCGGAGGTTTTGCCTGCTGTCGGCGGCCCCTTTGATTGAGCCTTCGCGTTTTTGATCGCCACTCTCTGTTTGATGGCGTTCTGGGGTGAGTTCTTTTGATTTTGTTCCTTTCTTCCTCCGGCGGCCTTCTTGAACCTGCCTCTGTATCGTGTCAATTTTCTTGTTGTATTTATCGTCACTTCTATGGTTATGTCCCGTGTGTTGATGCAGAGACGATGAGGTGATTGTTTTCTCTTCCCAGAATTTATCGTTTCGTCGTGCTTTTTTCACAGGTCTCGAGGTGAAGCCCGGCAAACCTTACACCCTCGTCCACGACAGCAGTCGGGGGGCTCTACGTATCACGCAGGTCGGCTGCTAGCTTGTCAGATTTTATGCTACTGCGTTGTGTCCTTTAACTGAGGCGCTGATTCATTTCCAAATCATTCCGGCTTGAAGTACTCATAACTCCGTCTGAAAACTAGTGCCCGATTCCTCCTATGCGACATTGAAATGCCCGAAGTTTTATCGGGGTCATAGTTAATCTGAGACTTCTTACCCCGGTCATGGGTTTACTTCAGCATAGACCTCCTCTTTCTTCTTTTCTCCCGTGGCCGCACTGAATTGTGAATGTGATTCACATTGTAGGCTACCTTAGGTAACGGAACAGCGTCAAAGCGGACAGTCGTACAATGCAGTGTCGGCGATCAGAGTCCAGTACTTCTCTGTTCTCTGCTCCCCGATAAATCTGAGTCCTGCAGTTTGGACCTAGAATTTGAAGAGGAAGACGAAGTTGTTTTCTCAGTTGATGGGCCTAGAAGTGTCCACCTTACTGGTTACTTCGTCAATGAGTCCAGACATGGTGATGATGATGCTGATGACAGGTAATTTCCCCACTTGATATTTCATATGGTCTATGGACGCAGTTTTACTCAAGTTTACCCTTTACGTGGTTCTTGCCACATTGTCTTTGTTGAAGTGATTCTTTTGAGGAAGATGTTTGGGAGATGGGAAGTGAGGGTTCCAGCAGCGGTGACAGTGAAAATGAGTATGGGGAAGGCTTCATTAGTGGTGATGATGAGGACGACAATGATGATGACATTGACATGTCCCCCTCACCTCGACGCAACAGTGGAGGTACTGTCAGGGATTCGCATCTCTTCTAATATAAATGCTCTTTCCATACAGTAGAGTGTAAATAAATCGGAACATGAATGCTCATGTTCCGAAAAGTCGATTTTTTCTTCTTACCGGCGCATGATTATTTTAGTCTTATGTTACATCAACAGTAGAGGATGAATTTTTTGAAATAGTTTCTTAAATAAATATCCGTTGGAAATCTCAAAAACAAAATCTGGCATTTTCTATTTCCTTGTCAAAAAACCTCTCTTGTTGTTATTATCATGAACATTTTTGTATGCTCTTATGCCGTTAATCTAGCTTCTGTGACTTAGTGCAAAAATCTGGTATATTCTATTTTATTGTCAAAAAGCCTCTCTTGTTGAAGCAGTTTACTTTGCTGATGCAAGTTATTTGTTTTTTTACGCAAAAAAGTTGCATGCCTGTTTGGGGAACGAGTGGGAGCCTTGAAAAATTGTTATAGTTCCTATCTAGCACTAATACTTGATAATATGCTGGTGGTGTTGTTAATATAATATTTATCAGTTTTCTTTATCAGTGTTGCGACATTTTTGGGGTTATTTATTTTTATCCATAATTTACTTGTGTGGTGGTTATTTTAAGTGTTCATTCGAAGGTTGTATGAGCGATTGCCTTATTGATTGTGCCATTTTTTGCCAAGCAGTCGTTATAGAAGAAATTTCAGAGGACGAAAAGCCATCTAACAGGGAATTGAGAGATAGAGCCAATGTCGGTTCCCAGAGTCAAATTGTCAAGTACAGAAAATCACCAACGGTGGAAAGTGAGGACGAGGACGGTTTTCCGGTTTCAATGACCAAGAAAACGGATGGGAAGAATGCTGCTGGAAACAAGAAGTTGGATAGTAAGATACCAAATGCAGATCAAAAGAGGTAACTTGACGTCATTCTCGACAAATCATCTAATACGTGCAGTCTTCAGTTACACCATTTTTTTATTCGTATTCATGTTCCTGGGCAATGCGTGCAGTAATGATAAGACTGATTCTATCAACGATGAAAAGCCAAAGAAGAGAAAGAAAGATAAAGCCAAGAATACCAGGTCCCTTGAAACTGGTGCGGATCAGAGGAGTGGGAGCAAATCTACTGGTGATCAAAAGAAAGATGCAGACGCTTCAATTGGTGAAGCGCAGCATAAGGAATCGAATAAGGAAGAACTTCCAAATGAAAAGTAAACATAATTCATGTCCCTTTTCTTCCGGGATCTATGAACTTCCGAGGAAGTTTTGTTCTTGCATATGAATGATGCAACGTCTTATTATCAATTGATGAGTGGACTTATCAGTTGTGTAAAAATTGACCAGGAGTGCTGATGGTACAGACAATCAAAAGAAGAAAAAGAAGAAGAAGAAAGCAAAAGATGGAAATCCTATCGACCAGGAAGACAGTTCTGCCGGAGCATTAGGGTTAAACAAAAACGAACTTCCTAAATCCCAGGGACAATTGTGAGGAATATGATGAGTTTTTTTTTGTTTTTTTTTTTTTTTTGCATGATTGATCGCTAGAATTGCCCTCATTGGTATCTAATAGCTTGCTACCTTCTCTATCTTGCAGGAATGGTAAAAGGAGTGCCAGTGATGCCCTTGATGCTCCCTCCGAAGTTAAAAATACACAGAAGGAAAAGAAAATGCGTGAGACTGATGCAGCTGCATCGGAACCAAAGAAGATTGAAGCACCACGAAAACCAAGGACATTTGCAAATGGTTTAATAATCGAGGAGCTATCAATGGGCCAACCAGATGGCAAAAGAGCTTCTCCTGGGAAGACTGTAATGTCTTTACTTCTGATACGTCGGATAAGCGCCTAACTGGCTGTCGTTTGTCTTGTTTTTCTTTCTGCGACATTATTTAATTGCTCCTTTCTTGAGTTCCCCCCTCTCATCATTCATGCCCAATATAGATGTCCATGAACACCAACTCAATATATATACATATATATATATTCTCAAATTAGGCCCTATTGAGGTTGTTGATCATCTGTTCATTATTTTTCAGGTCTTTGTTCATTATATTGGCAAGCTAAAGAACGGGAAGATATTTGACTCGAACATCGGTCAGAGGCCGTTCAAGTTCCGCCTGGGTAATTATTTTACCCGAGTTAATTGCCCATTGCCCATAATGTCTCTCATTACTTGGATTGGTAAAAAAAAATTGATTATGTTGCTTATTTTCAGGGGTTGGGCAAGTCATAAAGGGTTGGGATGTCGGTGTCGACGGTAATATCTGCTCCCAGCAGTTTTCCCAATATAGATTTCATTGATTGATTTAAATGAACGCATGGCTTCTGGCTTCCCCAGGCATGAGAGTTGGCGACAAGAGGAGGTTGACCATTCCGCCTTCCATGGGGTAGGCAACCCCCCCCCCCCTCTCCCATACTTTGCCCACATGAGAATTACCTCATAATAATATGCTCCATGTTTCTGGCGGTGCAGATACGGTCAGAAGGGCGCCGGGGGCGCTATACCAGGGAACTCCTGGCTCTTGTTTGACGTCGAGCTCGTTGATGTTAAGTAGAAACCCTAGTCTCAGGTCGACATCCGATCCACAGTTTTGTTTACTATTTATATCGATCATTATCAGCCTCATTCTTTTCAAAAACTCACCCTTTAAAGGGAAGAACGGTCATGTTTATTCATCCTTGAGTCCTGTAACTCTGTTCGGACAAGCCACAATGTACACTTATGGCGTTGACTTTTGGGTCCTTCAGTTGTTATTTTTGAGAGGATTTTATCGTTTTTGGTAGGATTTTTTTCTTCTTCTTCTCCCCCACTAAAAAAGGGTGATGATGGGTAAGTGGGTCATGATCTCCCCGATGATGATGTAAGGCTTGGTGTAAAAAAGGCTGGATCTTGCTGGGTAACTCATGAAAACGGGAAACAATCTGAATGTGGGGGCTGTGTAATCCCGGTTTCTCTCTCTACCCAGATTAGAAAGGGAGAGGTTTGGTTTTCTGTTGTTGGGTGTTTGGAGTCTTCCTGCCTAATCCACATTTCTCGGGCTTGCACTTGACGGATTTGGTTGAAGCTCGTCACGATTGGCCCCGCCATGGAAACCTAGGAGTCGACCGAGGGGGGGGAGAGGGAGTGACCGGACCGCGGGGGCTTTCTTGCCCGGAGAAGAGGGGAAGAAGCGAGGCGGAGCAGCGAGGGAGGTCGCCGGCTTCGCCTCGTCTTCCTTCTCGAGCCCTCGTTTTCCGGTCCTCTCCAAGGAGCCAGCGGCGGAGAGACGGATCAGGCGGGGAGAAGGCTCGGGAGGAATGGAGTCGTCTCCCTTCGTATGGCTCATCGCCTTCTTCGTTTTGCTCGGTCTGCTCGGCCTCCTCGTCTTCCAGGTATCCCCTATACTCCACTCCCCTGCGTATTCTTCACGTTCCGCGCTCCTCAGCTTCGGCCTCCTCTGGCTAAACCCCATTGCCTGGTCGTTGTTCTTCTAAATTGTTTCTGTCTAGCGATTTGTGCACCGAATTCAAGTTGCGGAGTGGGCTGAGTTCGCAGTTTTCACTTTCATTTCCTAATCGATTTCAGTGTTCTACAGTCACAAACTCGCATGATATCCCCTCCTGACGATTAGAACAAAAACCATGGGAGAATGAGAGATTTAACAGCACCCCAAGTTCATCACTGAAGCCGACCGTAAATAGGAAGCCCCTTTGTAGAATTTCCATGGAGAACCCTCGCTGCAAGTTTGCTTTTTCTATTTATTTATTATTTATTTATTTATTGGCCCAAGATCCCCTGCCCTCTTGGCTTGGATATTGGTTGCCCCGGAAAAAAAAAAAAAAAAGATTTTTTTTTTAATTCTCAATAAGGAGGGCTAGTAACCAAGACAGTGATGAGATGCAGGCATTTTTTGCACTGCCCCTCCGGTTTAGTGAGTCGCTGAGAATGAACCGAGTAGAAAAGTTTCTTAAACGCTGTAATGGCGCTTTCCTGGAATTCATATCCAAAATGAATGGGATGGCAAGATCGCTCAGGCCCACATCCTCTTAAGTGCATGCACACTTAGCAGATGAATGGGGAAGAGCCAGCCTTTTCTCAGAGAGCAGGATGCCAGAGATGATTGATTTCGCCGAAGTAGCAGTGCATCAGCCATGAAGGCATTGCATGTTCATGTGCTCTCAATGTGCACAGTTCGCATTATTTGCCTAGAATAACTCAATCTTACTGCAATAAGACCAAAGTGTGAGGTACCAGCCATTTATTTCCCGAACTAGTCATCTGGTGTTCAGATCCGATGCCCCTTCCAAGCTTGTCCCAATCAAGTTTTGAGATCCTCTTTTCGTTGTTCTTGGTCCATCTTTCTTCTCTGTATCTTTCTTTCCCTTTTCGGTATGTCTGCGGTTTTTTCTGGGCTTTCATTATTTACTCTATTGCCTGGTTATGCTGATATGATTGGGACCCTTTTTGGCAGCTCATGTGCCTCGCAGATCTAGAGTTTGACTACGTCAATCCTTATGATTCAGCTTCACGGATCAATACTGTTGTCGTCCCTGAGTTCGTCCTTCAAGGAATCCTAAGCCTTCTTTTCCTCCTGACTGGGCATTGGGCTATGTGTCTGCTCACTCTGCCGTTTCTCTACTACAATGGGAGGCTGTAAGTACCCTCTTTTCCTGCTAAATGAAAACAATTTTCTTTTACGCCATTTTTACCATTCATCCTCAGATCATGGGCTAAATATGGCAATGTTCTTGGTTTTGGAGAATGGATTATTTTATCTTTATATATTTTTAAAAAAATAATTTGATTTAATAAATTAATTCAACCAAAAAAATTGATTCAGACTCCAAAAGAAAAAAACAAGAACCTCTGTTGGTTTTAGTGATCCAATTGCACCCAAGCAGTTGGTGAGGAGAATTATCCCCACCCAAGATCTCTCACCCCTCTCCTTATGAAGGCGTACCCTCTTTTTCCTGCTAAATAAATAAAAAAATTACGCCATTTTCATTATTCAGCCTCAGATAATGGGCTAAATATGGCAATGTTCTTGGTTTTGGAGAACGGGTTCTTTTATCTTTATGTCTTTTTTAAGTTGATTTGATTTAATAAATTAATTCAACCAAAAAAAATGTTAATCCAAACCAAAAAAAAAAAAAGAACATTTCTGTTGGTTTTAGTGATCCAACTGCACCCAAGCAGTTTGTGAGGAGAATTATCTCCACCCAAGATCGCTCACCCCTCTCCTCGTGAAGGCTGTAAGTGTTCACTTTTTCCTGCTAAATAAAAACATTTTTCTTTTAAACCATTTCATTATTCAGCCTCAGATCATGGGCTAAATATGGCAATGTTCTTGGTTTTGGAGAATGGGTTCTTTTATCTTTATTTCTTTTTTTTTAATTGCTTTGATTTAATAAATTAGTTCTACCAAAAAAGAAACTGATTCAGACCACAAAAAAGGAAAGAAAAAAATTTGTTGGTTTTAGAGATCCAAGGGCTGCCTTGAAGATCATTGAAGGCCATCACCACCCCTTTCCAAGGTCATTTTTAGAAAATAATACTGTTGATGCACCCGCCATCCTCAGGTACCAGCAAAGGCGGCATCTGGTGGATGTAACAGAGATATTCAGACTACTCAACCAAGAAAAGAAGCGGCGCCTGATCAAGCTCATCGGTTTAGTCATCCTGCTCTTCCTAACCCTGTTCTGGTACCCCTCCCCCCCTCCCAGTTGACTTTAACACCTCCCCAGTTGACTTTATTGGGGAAAAAGCTGGAGTTTTGATCGGTATCTTCGGTCTGATGTTTCAGGATGATCTGGAGCATGTTGGAGGATGACTAGCGATGTTGGCTTGATTCCGTTGACCTGGGAATCGTCCATGTGTGGCCATGAATCTCCATCCTTTTGACCTGGGTAATTCAAGTCCTGTAAAATCCTTGAGCTTGCTATTCCGGGAAAGAATGGGAAAAATCCAGCATCATTAGCTGTGGCGAGTACTTTTTTTTGTTTGGATAATGCTATTTAATGGAAAGTTCTGCAAAATGCAGGTTGCCAAAGAGGTGAAAGAGAGAGAGAGAGAGAAGAGAGAGAGAGAGAGAGAGAGAGAGAGAGAGCCGCTGGATCTACCGCCAATTGTTCTTCGGGTTCCTGCTAGAATTCTTGTGGGAAGAATGAGAAAGTCTTTGAAAGGGCATCATCTCAGGCGAGGAACTATTTTTGGATAAAGAGAGGGAATTTTATTATATGGCCCAAATAATATGTGCCAATAAATTTTCAACCCTAATTAATCGAGGATTTGCAGCCTCTCATGCCGTATTCGTAATACGTATGAGAGATGTCCTAATTGATATCTATAGCACCTGGTCATTGCAATAATAAGCGTACTGATTGAAATGGGCCTGAAACCCATTTCAAAATGTGCGTCATATGGGCTCTGTTTCCCGGCCGAATAGTTTTTGGGCCTTTTCTGCGTCCAGTGAAGATGCCCACTTCGCCACTGCTGACGTCACTTTGTTTTCTTCCTCAACGTCTCGTACCGTTTTCCTCTAACATTCGCCTTCTGAAGGAGCTTCTTTGATCTGATGTTCGAAGAGGAGGAGCTTCTGGTATTCTTCAGCAGGCGGGGGTGGACAGGCGGCGCCAGCGCCTCTGCTCCTCGGCAGTGGGTCGTCAATGGTGTCTTGTACGCTCGACGTCCTTTCCTCCTCGGCTAGTCGATCCAGAGGTTCTGATTCGGGGTCTGATTTAGCGGTTTCTCTCTTTTGCTTGTGCCGCAGCGGAGCTGGAAGAGCAGCATGAGAGTCTCCGCAGGGCTGTCGACAGCTGGCGGTGCCGGGGCCCGGAGATTCTCAAGGAACTCCGCGGGGGACCGTGCTCCTCCGCCGCGGCGGCCGCGGCCGCTGCTGACTCCCGCGGCGCGAGCTCCCGTCCGATCGAAATACACGTGGAGCCGATGGAGCATTCCGGCCTCCGCTCGCTTCTCGACTCGGACAATGTGGACCTGGCGAAGTTTGTGATGGTTCTCTCGTACGATTGCATCGAGATTGCCAGACTCCGTCGGCACGTGAGAGAGACACTCCCCGATTCGATATCGTAAGGTGTTCAGATTGATGAAAGGGTCTCATATTTTTTGTTTGATATTTGATGTTTGCAGGCCTCCAGAAGAATATACAGGCAATTGCTATTGTTTGGGCACAGGTCCAGTTCCCAGGAAGTACTTCTGGAAGGAGAGCCGCAAAAGGCAGTTGGTCAATCTCTGTCTCTGTTCATGGAATTGTATGAGACAGTAAGCCGGATGTCTGCTGTCTTAAACAATTTGCTTCGGCAGCTGAATTACTTATATTCCCAGCAAGACAAGAACAGTAGGCCATACATAGCTTTGAGTAGTATCTCTCTCAGAAGCTTATTTGACTCTTTTGGTGAGGGAATGAGCACGCTGCTGGTGTTGGACGAAATTTTGAGACAGAATACGCAAATCAAAGGACACTTGTCACAATTCAAAAGGTGGCAATTTTTTGTCTTCCTTTATTAAGCTTGTCCTCGAAATTGATCCTTCATTTGAGAATCAATCATGGCCTTTTCCCCCGATCTGACACTCTGAATTTGATGTAGAGGATGCGCATATTGTTAAATTTAGACAGGTTCAAAACAGTATGCATGCTCTTTTGTTTTATAGGGAAAAGATGTGGGAGTACAAAAATTTAATTTCACTTGAGTTTAATTTGAGCTCATCTTCATAGTATGTCTGAGAATCTGATGATATAGTATTTTCATTGAATGATGTTTATTAAAATGGTCCTTTTTCATTGAGATTAGATAGGGGGCTTAAATTGATCCTCTGCTGTTATTAATACCAAACTTTTAAATTGATCTTATGTTCTTATTGTTACTAAACGAACTCACTAATTCTATGCCACTCGGGACAGCCACCATTATATTAAAATGCCTATGTCAATGGGAAACTCTACGAATTCCTGTCCTATATCCTGAGGATAAATTTGGGATGGATGGCAGCTAGAATGCTCTATGTACTAAACAGAAAAACGAAGGAAAAACAGCAGGACAAATATGCCAACTAGATACGAAAAACTTCATATTTCCTCTCCTCATCTATCAACATCGGTAGATGAAGGAGAGGAATAAAGGACAGCTTGCTCTCCAGAATATATAACAACACGAAAACTGTACGGGCTTTTTTGACAAGCTGCCTGGCATGCGCTCCAAGAAAAACTTTCTTCATGAAATCTGAAGAAAATTTCATGTGCTTTTTTACGTAATTAATGAATTAGGGTGACTTGGTTCATTATATGTGCCAACTGCAATTTTTTATTTGGGGATCCCTTGTCACTCTCCTATTAAGGAAGGTGAACTATGGCAATGGAAGTTACTTTTGAGGCCTTGGAAAGAAAAAGGTTCTGATTCTATTGTCTGAGAACCTTGCTACTTTATCTTTATTTAACATCTACTTGTTTGATATTTTTCTCTACTAGGATGTTGAGTAAGGTAAAACTGGAGATAGATACATTCAATATCTCAGTAAAAGATCTTGACAGCCTTGATGAAGTGGTCTCCCACGTAGAAAATCTTTTCAATGCTGGTTTGTTCCAGGTATGAATTATTTGGTTGATTGTCCGTTAATCAAAAGAAGATGTTTCACATTCCTTGTGTGTCCCATTTTTTCTAAAATTTTCGACAATTGTCTAGTAAGAACAAAATGAGAGTACGTTATAAATTTTTTTTCTTATTCCAGTGTATGATAAATGGGGGATTGCATTCGAACGATGTGCTTAAAAAGACCAGCTGTAACAGGAAACTTATTGATGCATTTACGTCATGGACTCATAATGAATTGCTGGAACTTCTTCCTCGACTTGGTATATTTCATAAGCCTTAATCTTCCGTGTGGAACTTGTCTTTTGCTGAATGTGTGTTGAACCTTTATCTTTTTGTTTGTATGAATTTCTGTCCATCCAAAGCTGACATCTATGGTTTTCTCCATTAATCATTCAGATACATGGAAGGAACATCCAGTACATCGTATGAGAATACTGCAACATATTGCCGTATTCATATTTTCTGCTCATGCTCTTGGTATGTTTCTCTTTGAATATGTAAAGATCATAGCTTTTATTATTTCCAAACTCTATATCCTTGAAGGCATCCATATGCTTGAGTGATATCCACATCTGTTAAACTACCGAATCCTCTATTTTTTTGTTTATTTTTAATACGGTTGTTCTTGAACTGGTGTAATCATGGCGCACAAATCTAGTTGTATATTCTACTTGACTAGTCATGTAGGCTTCTAGGTTGTAAACATTTTTGTTTCTTGTTGACGTGATTTTTTATTGCAAATGAGGATAAAGAGTAATGAGCTCAAACTTCTCTTTAGATGTAGGTGCTATCTTTTTATTTACTTTCTAATAGTTAAAAGCATGAAGTGATTTAATTTTTTCATTTTCCTGTCCCATATCCTTTAGTCTCTTACTTATCATTATCTGACATCATAGATAATTTCGGATCAACATTGGTGTCCCATTTTTCACGAAATTTCTTTATCTACTCCAATAACTGCGGACATCTTGCATTTAAAATTCCGTTTGACAAGGGATTTATAACCCTTTCTTCTGAATATCTGTCTACTCTTCAGGATGGTGCCTTTTGGTAGCTTCACATGCTTGCATCTTGAGTTAATGTCCTTTGATTTTTAATGATGTTATGTGTGCGAACTCCCTGAGGAGGTAATTTTCATCTCCTCTTGCTTGGATGCTCAGATGAAGCTCCTGAGAAGAAACTAGGGAAGATAATTGCGGATATGCTACGCAAGGTTCCTGTAATTTATGTTGAATGTGGCATCAGATTTACGCTTTTGGGTGTAATAAAAAGGCATTGTCCTCAGTTACTAACCACGTGGCCCAGTCTGAGAGGTGCTGCTAAAGATGGTGATCTCACGTTGAAGAATTATTTAACAAATCTGAGTGAGTCTCACTCAAGGTATGCTACTTGTGTCTCCATAAAAAACATTGCATTGGCATTAAAATGATTATTTCCAGAATTTAGCCTTTTCTGAATGAAAAATGTTTCAGCATATATAACGGATGTAAACATTGTTATGTTGAAAATCCCGTATTCATAGACCTTTCTTCTTTTGATAACATGGGCTTGGCCGAATGTCTCATGCTTGTCACTCTGAATGCTATTGAAAGCTCCACGCTGCTTCCATAACTGCATATGCACATGACTGAGCGAGGGAACAACTGATGTTAAATGTGGATTAAAAGATGTATATTGACAACTCCAGATTGCTTAAAAGCTTAACTTTAGAGATTGCTCTTGATTGACATCCTGAAGCAACGATGTCCTCACCAATCCTAGGCTTCATAGGGTTTCTAAAGGTTGATATTTGTAGAGGATTGGACTTGGTTAAGATAATAGAATAATTTTTGCGTATTATTATATACGATGCTGTAATGATATGAGCATGTACAGTATTAAATATTTTATCTTAGCCAGTCTTTTGCATTTTCTTTTAATATTTCTAAAATTTATACTTTAATCTGTTTGGCACGATTCCATTATGGAGGCAGTGGGGATGGGAGATGAGTATGTAGTGTGGAAAAATGGTGAGAGGAAGAGGTGGATAATGGCATCTGGAAGAACGGAAGTTGTGGAGAGAAAGATGAGTTGAACACGAGATACAAGGCATTCCACTGGGATATTGAAATCTGTGGTTTGGAGACTGCAAGAGAGAGAACTATCTCTCCTATTACTGCCGGAGATGGAGGAATAGAGATGTGGAGATAGAAAAACCACATGATACTGAGATTCTTGTAAGAATCTGTGATCTGCAAAATTTGAGTGGGTTGTGGAGGAGATTGGCTATATTAAAGAGAGGTGGGATTGTCTTGATCACAGCTCTGCGATGGATAGTTTTGGAGGATTTGTTCCTAAAATATGCCAGTCTTCTTTTTAATTTTTTGCTAAAAATATATTTCACGCCCTCTTTGTCTTTCTTTCCTGTTGTGTCAGTTTTCCACGACAGTATTATCCTATCATTTCTGATTTTAGAAAATCATTTATGGCAGCTTAATTTTGAATGGGGAAAAAAGTAATGAAAAAAGCTTTTTCGTTTCAGGGATTGGCAAGCAGTTAAAGATTCATTATCTTGTTGGGTGGCATCATTCCAGTCAACGGTACATCCAACGGTAAATATTATGATTGCCGATGAACAATTTTATTTGCCTTCTGAAGGATTTGAGGTGAAATATTGTGGCTTCAGGGTGGGTCATCGACGTCCCATGCTGACTTTCAGCTTCAATTGAGGCAAATTATTCAGGTACCTCAATAAGTCTACACTTTTGTAAGAGATCTTCCTGTGGTTGTTATACCATCATACGATTGTTTTTTCTCCTCGTACATTTTATTCCAATATTTTTATTGATTGGCTTCTTCGAGCTCTGCTTTGGGTGCTTTTCTTATCTCATCGGGTTCATATTGTCATTGGGATTCACTCTTAGTTACTGATTTAGTGCAGGGGATACTCTTGGCGAGTAGAATGCATACGTTAGCACTGTCAATTATTGATCTACATTCATCACTTGAGGCAAGTATTAAATAGTGTGAATCTCTTCTATTGCAACGGCAGTGTTACGTTTCATGCCATCTGATTTTATTCTTACATGGTTGAGATGATGTGCGTTTTACAATCATTGCGCTATTCTAGCATTGACCAGAATTAGTATTACTTGTGCTCATTCAGAGAAGAGGTTAGAAGAAAATTATCTGCAAACTGAAAGCTTGATTGTTTCATGCCTTCAACAAATTCGATGCTTTACAGATATTTTATTTAAGTTCAAATTCCCTTTCTTCCTGAAAGTCTGTAATGCAACTTTCTCTGAGGTTTCACTAGCTATCTGCAATTACTTCTAACCAAGTAATAATTTCTGCTTCTTTTAAGATCCCTGATGTTGTAGTCCTCGCGATAAATTGCAGGTTCCTGTTCGAAGGGAAAAGTTTAGGTCTCTTTGCCATATGCTCATTCTAATGAAGGTAAGAAACTACTTGTCTTTATTTACTCCTAATTTGTCTATATTCACGATGGGCATATCCTTTTCGTTTATAGGTAATAGCAAAAACATTCTGTGCCAAAAGACTGGAGATAATCCAATGTCTACCTCATGTGATAAATCTAATTCAAGCCAACATTGAAGGACTTATTTTACCCGCCAAGGTAGATCATAGCCGTTATCTTTTTTGTTTTATGTGGCACTATCGTACAATGACTCTCTTGTCCTGATCCAGCTACATCTAGAAGCAGCAAAGGGAAGTCAAATGAGCAAAATCAAAATTTTGAGCTTGTTAACTCATGGTATATCACTGATGTCGGCCTCATTTTTTTTCTCCTTGATGTGTCGTACATTTAGGAAAGTAAAAAGTCATTCACCTGAAAATCCTATTTGATAATTGTCATGCCAATAAAACACATATCAATCATCATTTTTTATTTGTTCATTGCGATGTTCTTTATCACTTTTTTCATTCAACTCCCAGACATAACATGGTCTCTCTTATTTCCTTCTTTTCTCATGTCTTCTGTAGATAGTATCACCAATTGTGCATTCTAGGTTGAGTCAAGAGTTAGGGTCTTGATATGAGAATTTCTGCTCTCTTTTTTTTTTATTACCTCTTTTCCAGCTTCCAATGTGTTGCTAAGAGCTTTACCATAAAGTGTAGATATGGGTCACATCTAGTGCAGGGATGAAGTAATTCTTCAAATTGGGGGAAAAATATTAATAAGTATAAAGCATATGAGAGATATTTATCTTTTCCTGCAAGAGAAGAATCTAGCATGAGAACTCTGGAGCCAAGGGTTGAGCTCAAGGGTATTGCATTGTGGTGCTAAATGAGAAGACTTAAAAGATCAGGAACATGGAAAGAGAAACAGACTGTCTTTTGTTTGTTGAATAATGTCGGTGTCATTAGCCCCATCTCTCTACATTTCTATGTCGCGTAATAAATTGCGATTCCACGTTTCATTGACTCCGGATGAGCCTAAAACAAATATCTTAGTTATGCAGCCTTTCTTCTAGTCATGTTTTAATCAACTATATTTCAGTTACAATTAGGTATGACTTGAATTCGAGATTAATTATTGTATGGTTGCGGGATTTGAGCTTGATGTCTATGTACCATCCTTCTTCATCTAACTGAACACATGAATGACTTAATGAGAGTAGACCGATGATTTTCCTCTTTGAATCTGAATTACTCACTTTTATGTTTACGCGGCTAGTCAAGAGAATTACCTGAGTTCTTATTGAGAAAAATAATTTACTGAAATAGCGTCGTAGTTATCAGTTTAGAAAAGTTTGTGTCAAACTTATTCTTCCTGAAACCCTAGATCACCAAGGCCGCTGCTCCAAGACTCCGAATTCAAGAAAACACAGAAAACTTCTTTATTCATTGATTGGGCCCATATATATATGGGTTACACTCGGTCCTCATTAGTTTTCGGATCTAAGGACCCATTATAAGTATCCATTATAGCTAATTGTATCTCACAAGGGTATTATTACAATATGGAAAAACATATAGACTCAAGATAAAATTTTACAGTTTGACAGTTTTGATTATTTTAATTTTCTTCAACTTTTGCGTACTAATTGTAGTATATTTGTTTGAGCTCACTTTTTTGTACGAATGTAGGTGGCAAGGATGCAGATGCAAAAGTGGCTGATTCTCTTTCATTGGTAAATTAGCTATGTTTTGAGACCTGTAAATTTCCTTTTTTGTGCTTTCATGTCCTAGGATTTAATGTCTTCCTCTTTCATTTATAGGTCCTATTATCTATACATCTACTTCAGGGAAATGGAAGCTCTAAGAGACAAAAAATATTTTCTATTACTATGGATGTTCTCGAGAGCATTGTAAGAGGTTTTCTTAATGGTCATTCTCTCAACGATTCGTTTTGCAGTTATTCCCTTCTCTTCTTATAGCTTGAGTCATATTTTCTCTTCTGACCTATATGTGATAAGATAAAAGGTGATTTTGAGGTGTAAAATAATATTTTAGTGATCTTGAACATAAATTAAGACACTTAAATCCTCAAATCACACTAGGATCACAAAAAAGATATGGTGTATCAATAAGTCATAAACCACTTTTATATGAAATCTACTGCATGAGATAAAATAGGTTTAGAGATACATAGATGCAGTTATGTACTCTATAGGTGGATTGTCTTTTAGTTATAAATGTGTCACAGACAGAAAGTGGATATACAGTAAAAGATCAGTGTAACCTTTCAATGTCCATAATATTCACCCGAGGTTTCAGTGTGAGCCGTTTCCTGGGCACAAGTGATACTACCTGGTTTTCGGAAACTTGCATTTAGATGTGACCACTATTGGATAACTACTCTGATTCTGGCTGCCCGACATCAAGTTGAAAACGAGCCAGTTCCAGTGGAGTACTTGATTCTCAATGTTCACGACATGAAAAGAACTATATACGTCCCAGAGGACTGATGAAGATCTAGATGAAATTCTGTAACGAAGAAGTTAAGGCGCTATTTGCTTGCATCATGTAGCCTCAAAAAATGACTTTTATATTCTTCTCATTTATTTTTACTGCCTTCGTTTAGTGTTTTGTTTTTCCCTTTCAACTTGAAGGAGTAGTACCTTCCCTTTTATGTTTATTGTTGGTTATTATACAATCTCAAGGAAGAAAATGAATTCATCATTTTCCTCTTCTATTGCCACTCAAATATTGATCTATTCTTCACCAATGATAGGGTCATGTAGATGTAAACTTCATGAGGATTAGGAAGTTAATGTCAAAGCTTGCCATGGTCGTGGATTTTCAAAGCATAGTTGAAGAGGTCACAGATTGCAGTTTTTTGTACTGGAGAAAAGAAATGCTGAGAGATTGGCTAAATATGGTCTATATTGATAACAAATTCTCATGGCTGCAGTGAGTAAAAATCTTTTTGTGTCATGTTTTACTTATCATTTATCTCTCATCTTGACTGAAATTCCGAGTTATCAGGTATCTTCTTGATGCTTTCTGTGATGGCTTGAGGCTTCTTGATCTAGGCAATGTTGGTAAACTTTCCCAACAATCATATAAGAGACTACTAGAGGACGATGTGACCAATGTATGCTTCGTTTTCCCCCCTATATTCATTTAATTAAACATATAATCTTTTGGACGAAATTTTCAACATATCCAGGATTGGTTTGTGGGTAGCATTTTATTTCTCTGGGCTTACCCACTCTTCAAATACAGGAAATTGTTCTGCCTCTTTGCCGGGATATTGAAAATGATCTCCGTCTACATGTACATTCGACTTATCTGAAGGGATCTGTGCATGTGAATCTGACAAAGGTGATTTGTTCCTTTAAAATCACTAACACTTGAGTAAATTTTTTCTTTGAAAATGCATCAGCTTTAAGCTCGGTTTCATTTGAAAATATTTTCTTCAATATATTACTTTCAGAGTGGCGTGCGGAATCTCTCATGGTATCTGCAAATGAGACCTCTATGTCTTCCATTCAAATTTATTGATATAAGAATACTTGTTGAGTCCTACCTAAATTCTACCTTTTACAACCACACAACAATGGCTCTGTACAACTGGAAGGTAACCATTTCTATAATGATACTCAATCTACCTCTCAATGGCTGCAAATTTTGACCGGAGAATTTCTTCGTGTTTTCGTGTACATTTGTCTTCTCGAAAAAAGTAGCCCTCTGTATGACTTGGAAGTATGACCCAATAATTCCTGTTTCTGGGTCTTGTCTTCAGGTCTACTCTGAAATGAGACAGCTTGCCGAGCTCAAGTACGGGCTCCTATTGGATGATACTCATCTTCCTGGGGATTCTTCAGGACACGGTTTCGACTTTGCTGAAACTATAAAAGATGTGTGCACATTTGCCAGGAGTTACACATATAATCTAATTAAGCAAGTAAGTTGGACAGTTTTGCCTTTCCAAAATCAGGTGTATCCTCATTCAAACTATCTCTGGGTCTTTGAAATAACTTTTCTTCGGTAATGTTTTGAGAGAATCACAAAATTCAGTAACATGTATGCAGCATATCAAGTGCCAAATTGCTATTTGCAAACGATAATTTTAACTGGGGCAGGATTGAAACTATGGAATGATGTGGAGAAACAGAAAAGACGTCGCTATACGTTTAAATTTCTTCTGGAGAATGGACAGGAACATTACTGCCGCAAGTCCAGTCCCAAAGTTGTTAATCCAATTCTCCTCTGATGTGAAGTGTAGGCTGTACGTTTGTCATGATCCCGTATGATTCGAAGGAACTTGACTAGCAAAATTGTTGTGGGCAGGGTTATGGTTTTTCTCATGGAAGCATTTGGAAATTGTTTACCAAAAGATTCTTATATTTGAACCGCTCACATTTTTCAGGCAGTCGACTTGCCAAAATTTCTTACATATTTTCATTTCAGTCATCAATTTTCCGGAAAGCAAATATTTCTTGTTTTAGTCATAAATTTATAAGCATCCGCGATAATCCATAGCATCGGTGAGTAACTCCATCTAACATGGTGATTTTGTCGGAGGAACTGAAATTCCGAGATAAAGAGGCTACTTCACAATGTTACATATCTCCTCCCTGACCAGATTCTTGGCTTTGAGCATCATGATTACCACCATGTTGTGGTAATCCGATTTTTTAATTCCAACCTCTCCTAATGATATCAACTCCAGTTCCCGTACAATTATTTTGATGATATATTTCTCTATAGTTCTTGTACGTATTAGAATTTTTTTTTCAGGACATTATTCCAGTTCACCCAAGATAAACTCGTATCGTCCTATTTTAGATTTTCATTGGGAAAGTCAGCAATGGTCAACAAAGGAAGACGCCAATTGTTCTTGGTGTAGATCACGTTGTGTCTGCTATATCTACACATGGTTTGACTACAATCGGTACAGCTATTGAGAGCATCATTGCTTTTCTGACACAAAAAATGCAAACACTTTCGGACCTTCTTCAAGATGACATCTTGAGATCACTTATATTGAAGGAAAAGATATGGAAGGTAAAAGGGCATGCTTTATTCTTAATTATTTTTTCATCCTGAAAATGTGGAACGCGTTGTTTTTTTTTTCAATTATAAATTACTATGTTATTTTCTTGTGTACATACGAGTCACACATGCAATGGGTACTTCTGTAACTCTACTTTGATCTTCACTGCCCCTCTTGCTTTGCGAGTGTTATTATTATTATTATTATTATTATTATTATTATTATTATTATTATTATTATTATTATTATTATTATTATTATTATTATTATTATTATTATTATTTACATTATTATTATTATTTACATTATTATTATTATTATTTACATTATTATTTACATTATTATTTACATTAACCTGTCCTTTCTTTTCTATGAAAGGTGGAATTTTGAAAAAAAAATCGACTTTTAAATTCCGGAAGAAGAAAATTTCTCTTGAAGGAAGCAAATGCCTCCTGAACCAGAAGAAGAAAAAAATTGTATGATTTTTTAAAATAAGATCTTAGTGTCCTCAGCAAAATATATAAATATATATATATTGTAAAAAGGAGAGGTACGACAGTGAAATTAATTTTTAAAAATTTGATAAATTCTATTTTTTTCAACTGAATGACCAGTTGGCTCTGATTTATTTTGCTTATATAATTCGCAAGTTGGCAAAGAATTACTCACTCCGTATCCGTTTATGCAGGGTGAGAAGGGAATCCCCAACAAGTATCCTTTCACGCGTGCCGAGCAACTGAGCGCAGCCATGGCAAAGCATTCCTTTGGAGACCATGAAATCAGCGTTATAGAGCAGCTACACTCCACCATTACTGAAATAGGCAATGGGTTGGGACTGGCGAGGCTTCTGCATACTGGCGGTTCCCGTCATGCCTGCCAGACATCAAGGTAACGTTCAGTAGGTTCAGACTTCCTTCTCGCCCTCGTAATTTTTCTTTCATCCGTTTCTCCTTTCCTTCTCCTCTGAACTGCAGCTTGACCCCCACACCGAGAACTGACACAAGCTACATGGAAAGTGGGCCCCCTTTCATCTCTCCTGAGGGGAGCAGCGACAAGGCCATGGATGGAGCAGCTGATGATAATCATGTTTCTCTTCTCTTATCTTCGGTATCAAAGGTAACAGCTGTCGCCATGAGAAGTTCTGTCTGAGGCACCTTGACCTGGTCATTCCTGCGTGTATGCCATATATAGTAGTGTGCATTGAAGCGGTCTTATTGCCTGATTTGGTCACAGGAGCTCCAGAGAAGTGGGAGCCTCCATCTCGAGGATTTTCACCTCCTAGTCCCAGCCCTCACTGTCAGCTTGATGGAGATGAGACTTCTCCACAGGGAGAAGTCACTGAGGAGGGACCGTGAACTGGGGAGCCACTTAGTTCCAGATGATGGTTTTCCCATGGGCGCCTGCTGCATTCTCAAGGTAATATCAATCCCTCTGACCACCCCCCCTCCTCCCCCACCAGTTCTCTACTTGATTTTTATTTTTTATTTTTTTTTCTAGTTTTAGTAATCATCAGAGTCTCCTCCGGCGTTTAGTCTCTATTTATTTCCCCATTTGGCATCAAACCTCAGGTCACTGAGCGAGAGAAATCCTTTGACGAGCTCAACTGGTTTGCTTCTGCAAGCAAGCATCTGGACGAGGCCCTCGCCTCCCTGGGCCACGGAACGGAGCAGCCAAAGGCGAGCAGGATCTTCGGCTTGAAGCTTTGGAACCAGGCTCCTCCGCCCATCTCCATCTCTCCCGAATCCCACAAGGTTGAGAAGAAGAAGAAGAAGAAGAAGAAGATCTCAGCTCCCCACCTCCCCTCTCTTTCTATCTCTATATTTATTTTATTTTATTTTATTTTTTATTATTTTATTTTATTTTTTCTGTGCAGGGAATGGATAGGCTGAGGAGGTGCCAGAAGGAAATGGCGCTGGTAGAGTATAGTTTCAATGCGGCGAGGGCGATCATCTCTTGAAGGTCCCAGTTAAAGCATTCTGTGGAGAAAAATAATGGTCAAATAAATCCTGCGATTAAAATAAAATATTTATTTTCAAAATATTCGGGCTTCTAGAGAGATCATGCGCTTAGCTGAATGAAAAATATCCAAGATAATGCCATGGTTCCTGGGCAATCTCTTGCAGAATTTAATCCCGTAGATTGTGGGAATTATAAATTAAAATTAAAATTAAATGACAGGAGGGTTTTTTTTTTTTGGTTCTGCCAGCAGTAAATATTCAATTTCTCTTATTATATCGAATTTTTATAATTTTCGCATGGAAAAGCTCTGCAAACGGGAATGGGCAACGTACCGAAAAATACTAACTCTCACATATTTGCCTGAACTTTATAATATTTAACATCCCATATTTAGTGAAAATGGGGGGTTGGTCGGGTGTTTTAATGTACGTCCCAAATTTTAGAGCACCCAATCTCTCTCTCTCTCTCTCTCTCTCTCTCTCTCTCTCTCTCTCTCTCTCTCTCTCCCCCCCCCCCTCTCTCTCCCTCTCTCTCTCGCACGCCTTCCCTCTCTCTCTCTCGCTCCCCCCCCCCCCTCTCTCTCCCTCTCTCTCTCGCTTCCTCCCTCTCTCTCTCTCGCTTTGTGCTGTCTCTCTGTCCGAATCCAGCTGGTGGGCCGTTGACAACCGTAAGTGTGGCGCGGTGTGGAAGGAAAAGTCAGCGGGTGGGAGAATAAACCCCAGGGGAGCCGTTTTCGGCAAGGAAGCTTCCGACATCCGAGGGCCGGGGTGCGGATTTATTTACCCCATCCCTCCCACAACATCAGCTTCCACGCTACGACAGACGCAGCTTCTCCCCCACACTTTCGAGCATCGCAGGATTTCCCAAGAACTCGGAGGAGCTTTAAACCCTCCCCCCTCCCCTCTCTCTTCCTCGTCACCCTCCCGCCCCCTTCTCTCTCTTCTCCCTCTCCTCTCTCTCTCTCTCTCTCTCTCTCTCTCTCTCTCTCTCTACCATGCTGCTGTCCGGTGTGGACTCGGTCCCTCTCCTGCAGTTGCAGTCCCCCGACGCGTTCGCCGTCTTCTGCTTCTTCAACCTGATCATCGCATTCCTCCTCGTCAGCAGCACCGCCGCCTCCAGGTCCGCCCCTCCGCCGGAGAATCCTGCTGCCGAGGACGAACCGCCGGTCGACGGCGGCGCTGTCGCCGGAGAATCCTGCCGCTCCGGCGATGCGGGCGACGAGAGAGTGGTCTTCAACGCGGCGCGCTCGCCGGAGGAAGGAGAGCCGGTCGACATGAGCTGCGCCGCCGCCGGAGAATCACCCTCCCCCGCTGAGGAGGACGACGAGCTGAACCGGCGAGTGGAGGCGTTCATCGTGAAGATGAACAGGGTCTGGATGGCGGAGAGGGAGGAGACGCGGCGATCGCCCTCCATTATTCTCCTCGGTGGAGAGCTCGGGCAGTAGTTGCAGAGGAAGAATCCCCCCCCCTCCCCCCGCCCATTCATCCCCCACCGTTGGCCGCTGTGTCTCGTCAGTTCCAGAACAGCATGAACGAACGTACAGAGTTCATGTCATCCGTAAGCACTACCACTGGAGGAATTCCCAGCTCCACTTCTGTGATCATCGAAAACCCTAAAATCTCCAGACAGAGAGACAGAGAGACAGAGAGCCCTAGATCGGTCGGAATCCATGATCATCAAACAGCTCCGGAGGAAATTTCCTTTTTTCTCTCTCTTTTCTTCCTCTTGAGGTCGTCGACGAGGACGACGCGAAATCCTATTTGCCACTGATTCCACGTGGGAACACAACGTGGCAGAGTGACGTTTCATTTAAAAAAACAATGCTATTATGCCGAATATGTACAAAGTGACCCAAATTATTATTTAAATAATAATTTCAGACCGGGGGGGGCCTCGCCGTAAAATTCTTCCTTTTCTTGTGGAAAATATTTTCCATTTCTTCCTCGCCGAGAGATGTAGGATTTCCTAACGGCGGGATAAAATAATTGCTCATACGAGGAATAAACGGCCGCCGCCTTCAACGGGGGGATTCGTCACAGAGAAAGAAAGAGAGTAGAGAGAGAAGGGGAGAAGATGAAGTCCGCCGCTGGGCCGATCTTCGTTGCCGGGGCCGCTTGCTAATCTTAGAAAGCTTCAATTATTACTAATGCATTTAATGTGATTGCCAGAGTTATTATTTCAGCAGTCAACAGCTAATCTCCATTCCTTGTTCTTTGCTTCTTTTTATTTTTCGCTGTATTTTTCTTACTTGATCATGAAACCAGAGATTCATTGGAAACGCCTACTACTTGGGTGGATCTTGACTTGTCCTGCTGATCTTGACTCTTCAGCGGGCCGGGCCTCTCTGGAAGCATCCCCGGCCCGGCCCGTTCTTTGGGGCCTGAACAGACAAAATCCGTTCCCTCTAGAAGAGATCTTCGGCTCGGCTCATAAAACCCAGAACCCATTCCATTGCCTATGCATATTAAAAAATATCCCTTTTTGAACATATATGCAAATATTTTCTTAATTTTAGAAAAAAAAAATGTGATCTAGCACTGAGAATTTGGCTGGGTAAAAGGTAACCTCGTCATTTTTTTTCTTTTCATTTTATTATCCTGCAATCTTTGAAATAATTACGTAATTAATTAATTAATTAATTATCCATATTCTTCTACTTCAGAGGATGCCGTTTTGTGTTGTGTTAGCGGGCTTCTACTCCGCAGGAAGAACCTGATGCATGCAAGTTGACTTGGTTAGTTCATACTCCCAACTTTTGTTCTGCTTGACTTTATCAAGAATATTAAATATTAACGAAATAACCAAGAACTATTGACCATGTATACTGTAAGAAGAAAGGCAACTAAAGGCTAAAAATAAAGAGGTCAACGCACATTAACTAAAAGAATCTGAATATAGTTCGCGGTTTTTGGCTACGATTTGCTTGACTTTAGTCAAATTATTTAAATGGTTCATTGTATGACAGGTCAAAAAATAAAGAGAGGTCAATGTGTATCAATTTAGAACTAACACACATTCAAAAATGTATAAATAATTACATTAAATTAAATAATTACAAAATAGTGACAGAAAACCCAAGAACAGCTGGAGGTTGACTTTCATCGAACTCACAACTATTAACAGGATTACAAAGAGTGGCTACTGAAGAACTAGTTTCAAAGTAGTGAGTGAAGTCAGATCCACAATGACAACTGTTGTTAAAACTCCAGGTAATATTTCCCATGACTTTAATCGAACCTTAAAAATATTAGAAGACATCCCATTGATTAAATATTTAGAGAACAATAGATCTGAAATAAAGAAATGAGGGGCATATTTTATCGTTCAGCTTCTTTGGCTGCTGGGATTGAAGCAGTAGAATTCATTTTATTTATATTTTATTATTCCAACAACAAATCCAGAGGGAGGACTAATGATTTAGGAAGTAACCTGTCAAAAATAGAAAAGAGAAAAATCTGATACTAACAAGGAAACCCAAATTACAAAACGAAAGCAAAATTGTCGACTCAAAGAATCAGTAACAAACAGGATCCTCTATCCATGATTCTGAGCTTTTTCTTTTCTTTTCTTTTCTTTTTTACTTGGGCAATTTAAGAACAAGAAATGAAATCAAATCGATGGGCAAGCTGAAAGTAAATACAAGAGAAATCTGTCTCAGTGAGCGATGAACAATCAGGCCCTCTGTTTCAACCTTTGCTTACAACTCCATCAAAATTTTAAAACCCTTTGAGTTCTCAATCCTCCAATAATATACTCGGGATACCCAAAAGGGGATGAGGAAGGATACCCAAATTCAAGAAACATAAGAATTTATACATCATTCTACAACTTTGAATGGACAAAAACCCACAAAAAAAAAAAAAAAAAAGATCTAGAAGGTTTGGGGGGGATGAGAACATACCTCCATTATTCGTCTGATCCCTGAATCTTTACTCCCCTTCACTAGGAACCAACAGAAAGGACAATAAAGCCATTCATGTACATCGGTGAGAGTTGTCCAATACAAAGTTGTGATGTATGGTTCTCATCAGATTTTGCTCAGATTCCTCTCATACACCCTCCCAAATGAAATGAAGGTCAGATTCCCTCCATCTAGTCGCCTGCATGCACAAATGCTCATCTGCGCCAGAAAACCATAAATAAACAAGAAAGCCCGTCTTCTTGAGTTGGAGAGCTCCGCCAGCATAGCTGCAAGATAACCCATCTTCACTTTCCCCCCTCACATTTCTCGGATCAAACCAGGCCATTCATCATGTCCTTGGGATTGCCCATGTTGCCCATCTGCTTCATCAGGTTCTGCAGCCCGCCCATGCCGCCCAATTGCTTCATGATCTGAGGGGGGAGGACCTTGCTCATGTGCTGAGCGTTTATGTTACGGGACAAGGCGCTCATCTCCCCCTTCTTCGGGATCTTGAGCCCCTTCATCTTGCTCCAGACCTTGGCGAGCCGCTTGTACTCCTCCAGCATCTCCATCACCTCCACAATGGGCCGGCCTGATCCCCGGGCTATGCGCATTATTCGGGAGTCGTTCATCAGCTTCAAGTTGCTGCTGTCCAGCTCTGTAAAAGAACAAGATGGTCGATTTATGATTAACATGGAGGTGCTCTGCCTTTAGAGATATAGAGAACGTGGAGCCCACTAAAATAAAGGGTTTGATGATCGACATATGCAGCTGGGGATATGGGCGGATGGGCCAGGCTGATGGGGCCCATTAACTGGGTGGGGCCATGACCTGGGCCCCACCAGTTGACTAGCGTGCATATAATGAATGAATGTGTTATGGCAGAATAGAATGGCATGAAGGTACCTTCATTTGTCATAGAATCCATCATGTACATGTACCGCTTGATCTTTGCCTGGCTCTCCTGTTCACGACCCTTCGGCATCAACTCGGAGCTAAATCCGGGAATCATAGAAAACACCTGAAAGAAATGAAACTCCACCCAGTTAAAATTACCATAAATGGGATCCATGGAAGAAAAATGGTGTTCAATACCGTTCTCACTCTCCTATAAAAAGAGCAGAAAAGAATGTCTCGAAAATGTGAAATTTCTGAGGTGTGTAGCGAAACCATGCCCAAGAGGGCACTAATCCAGTGATCAATGCACTATGATTCTTGTGAGGGTTCAGCCAAGGTTCTTTCATGTCCAAGATGTATGCCAATTTATTCATTAAAAAAAAAAACCTGTTGGTATATTCGAGTTATTAAACGTTAAGCGCACAAAGGAGGACAGCATCCAAGACACGCAACACACAAAGCTCTCCTGACTTCAAATCCATACCATTCAAGACGTGGATGGTAGGGTAGTCATCCATGCGAATGAGGCTAGGGTTTCTGAAGGGAAGGAGAACTCCTCATTCTATGTACCAGTAAAGATTTACTGACCATCATCTAAAATAAAAACTCTTGGCAGATGTACCGTGTGGCCATGCAATGGATGAATTGATGAAAGAACAAACCTGTCCAATAGGGCCCATTTTGAGAATGTTCTGAAATTGCTCATACATTATCCGTAAGGTAAAGCTCCCTTCGGTTAGTTTTTGCAGAAGTTCAGGTTGCTGATCCGTAGGTACGACCTCATGAATCTTATCCATAAATCCGGACCAGTCACCCATACCTGGAATCAGTAAACGCATAAATAAGATCATGAGATAATGAATTACTGAAACCGGTTAAACAGATTACACCGGCGAAAAGTTTACCCAAAAGACGGCTAACAAAGGGCTTGACATCGAAAACTTCAAATTCATCCATGTGCTCCCCAGTTCCAATGAATATAACAGGACTTTTTGTAGCAGCAACACTGCATTCAAAAGAATCAAATTAAAAAATGTAATCACTGCGGATAACATCCAGGTTATAGCCACACACACACACAAATGCAGTGCTGGTGAAGAGTGTCCGGTAGGATAAACAGCAGATAAATGGAGATGAACAAAAGTATGCGCCACAGGGTTGGCCAACCTGGACTCCGTATCTTACTTGAAAAACACCAAAAACATAGCTGTCACAACTGTGTACGTATGATTAAATACTCATTTTTTTAGGTTATCAAATATATCACAATCTTTACAATTATTTGTGGTCCCTCTTTTTGCGAAATTCTTGTAAAGTGGAGCTGCTGGAGAAGAAAAAATACGAATAGAAGGGGACACAAAAGGCGAGGAAAAGACAGAGAAGAGGAACCCAATCTAGGGCACACAAATCTCTCGTTTTGAAATCGGCATCATCCTCTTCCCCTTTACAGTTGGCCTGGGAAATGGAACCATTCAACCATAGAAGTAATATTCTGTTAGATACCGGATAATCAGTATACGGATATGGCCAATCAATAGATCAACCTATTCAAATCCTCATCTTGTAGCACTAGCAAGAAAAAATATTATCATTATTAGTCTAGGGACCCGAAAAGGTAAATTGTATTTATCAAAGTCTAGTGGGTTTTTAAGAAATCCAACTTGTGCCAATGAAAACATAAAAGAGCCCTCCAGGAAGACAATTTCCAGAGAACAGGGAAAAACGGAAAAAGATTTAAACTTAGCAACACAGTTTCAATACAACTTGATGACAATACTTACGCACTGAGTGCACCACCTCCCTTCGCATGACCGTCCATCTTTGTCACAATAACAGCACCCACAGAAACACTTTGTTTAAAGGCCTGTGCTTGATCAAAAGCAGCTTGCCCAATACTGCTGTCCATGACAAATATGATAAGATCTGGTTTCTATAACAACAAGAACAGAAAGATCAGCCAATCAAACCACATCAACACTAAAAAAGATCAGATGTTTGAAGCCAGAAACGAAGACATACTGTAGCCTCAGAAACTTGCCGCATTTCTTCAAAGAGGGCAACTTCTTGTTTATGGCGTCCACTTGTGTCAACAATAATGAGGTCACAGCTCTCTTTCTTGAACCTTTCAACACCTTCTTCCGCGATCTTGACAGGATCTGACTCCGTGTAGCTTCAGGGAAAATATCAAACAACAGCAACATGATAAATAAGACAGATACTTGAACAATAGGAGTGTTGCAGTTTCTAAATCACCAAACGTTTTCATAAATGCCACTTAGAATAACTGAGCATCATCACATTCAGGTGTTTTATGGAAGAAATCGCATAAAGTGGATACGTAGCACTGAGAAAGTGACTTGATGCGGAAGCTTAACTCAGATAAACTAATCAACAAAAGAACGGAATGTAAAACGACAGCCAAAGTCCTCAAAGTTATTGATAATAATTGATACACGATAATCGTGATGGATCTGATGAATACTTCAAAAAATCTGTTCTTCACAATTGGTAGCTCCAAGGAAAAGGAAGCTCGTTGAGGAAAAGAGTTCGAATTCTTTCTCTTTCTTTGATACAATGACTAGGAAGATAATGGCAATGGATGGTGCGACCCCATTAAAATACGAGGCTGTAGGAATATGTCCTGGCTTAAAATTATAGCCATCATCATCAGACTTTAAGTTCGGGGTTATCTCGAAAAGACTTCAAAGACACTGTTCGGCTCTCTACCTTCCATAAAATGGAATTTTCGCTTTGGTTGCATTCTGCTTCAATTGATCGAAGGCACCGGCTCTAAATGTATCTGCACAGACTAGAGCAGGTTTCCAGCCTTTCTTTTGATGATAGTATGCATATTTTGTACACGTTGTAGTTTTTCCAGAACCTGCATTTTCGAACAGACCCAGGAAAAAAGCTCCATTACGAAGAAGAGAAAACGTATATGGCTAAAAAATATTAGTAAAATCTTAACTGAGTTCCTCATTAGCATAATTTCAAACACAAAAAGGCAGTAGAAATGTACCGTTAGACAGCTACTTCATGAGTAAAAAAAAAAAAAACACAAAAAGAAAACGGCATTAATTTTCACATAATGCTTGGTAAACAATGAAGGAGCGTGATTTCTTGAATGAAAAACCAACACTGTCACCCTTCCGCAAAATTGAACCATCACTTGTACGCTGACTTGTTGTCAGTGCAGACGAACTTAGCAAAACTTTCTTTGTTTCAGTGGATAAGAGAAAAATAAAACACCAGGAACGTCTCAGATTGCCAATTGCCAACCGGAAATTCTCTCCTTCAAAGCCCGGAGATGATATTTCTATAATATGAATTGTTGCAAAGATCTCACTTTGGGTTCCCACTTTTTTTAATTGAATGCCTTTCTTTCTATACATATCCTGTGCATGACTTCACCTGAAGGGTGGTCACTGATAGCCTTCAATACTCGTTCATCTAGGATTCTGGACCATTACTTAAATTTCATCTCAGAATCATCAAGCCCTACCCATAGTTGTCAAGACAACTAAGGGGACCAAAACCTTACTCTACTACTTTAGACCCATTGTAATTGGATTTATACTTCAACTACCCAACATCAGATTCAGTAAGAAAAACTTGAGACTCGACCACCAAATTCAGCTACTCCCACATACACCATAGGCCTACCAACACCAGCTGTTGCAGCATAAGCGCTAAGTTGATCATCACTATATGGAAAATCCCTCTTAAATTTTTTGATATTATTTTTTTTGTCATTTTAAACCGAAACAAGTGCTTGAATTCTTGATTTTCTTACACGGTTCACTAATGCGAAAGTTCATGACTTTTTTGTTAAGGACAATACCAATAGATGTACTCATATTAGAATGCTGGTGTATGCTAGTGTACAATCTGCATAAAAGTTTATACCACCTCTTTTACGCATGAGGATCCATCTGTCCACTACTATATAAGGAGATACTAGCATGACCATGATGTAATTTATACAAAATGACAATTGCATGACGAATATGTACGCTCCGTACTAGTCTATGCATTAAAAATCCCTCTACAAAGAAGTAATTATATTTTAAAAAACCAACTAAATCACCTTGTAAGCCAACAAACATTATAACACTTGGTTTCCCCTTCTTTGGTGTAAAGGATGGTTTCCCTGGGTCCAACATCTTGCAGAGCTCATTAAAAACAGCCTAGAGGAGGAAAAAAACTAGGGTCATAATTCATGAATACGTATCACAAGATTAAATATCAGCATAAACTAGACTGAAATATTTTTAAACTAGATTAAATATCACAGCAATATTCCATATATGCGTAAACTAGTTTTCACTCGCCTCAAAATCCCAGTGTACAAGAAACAGAAGTGGGTCACCTCAATACTTGGAATTGGAGAAAAATTACGAGAAAGCATTCGACAGTTAGCGGGGACAAAATATCATTCAGGGCATTACTAACAGTGATTAAGATATTTGCATTCGTGGGATTCGCATCCTCCTCTAATTCCAACACGCCGAATCATCCGGGGGCATCACCAAGAAGGATACTTCAAACTATGCCCAGACTAATCTCGGATCTTAGATAATAAGGCGTTCTACCCGATATTAAACAAAATTGAGCGACAAATATACCGACTTGGATGTACAAAGAGAAATCGGAATATTCAGATGGCATCAAACATTACAGATCCAACTCCAATTTACACGGATTAACACAGAGGATGCACAAGGAAACACCAGCAGACAGAAAAAACGCCGTTACCTGTTGGATAATTCGACGCTTATTGTGGCCAGCCGCCAGGTCGTCGAGATTGACAACCTTCTTGATGTTCTTCTGCATGTCTGCGACCATACGGAACTGGACATCTGCCTGTAGAAGCGCCCGGGTGATCTCGTTGAGGCATTCGTTGAGCACCTTTTCATCTATGATCGTAGCGTTGCTCATCCGCTGCAACGCCTTGGAGATGCTCCCCCCAAGCTGAGCGAGCACCATCTTCGCTCCTCTTTTCCTCGCACCGGCTCCCGCCTCTACGTTCTGCCTCCGTCCTCCACCGGTCTTCCACCCTTCGGTTCCCTCTTTCCGGCCTAGGGTTTGCAGAAGAGAGAGAGGGAGAGGGGGGGAGAGAGGACCCAAAATTCTTATAGTTTTATGTTGCAAAATATTATTCAAATATTTCAAGAGAAAATGCAGTCGATATATAGTCTTTATCCGGTTTTTCTTTGTTTTCTAGATATATCAAATAGGTATTAACTCTTTCGGATATATCCTTTTACTGTTAACCAATAAGCATAACCTTTAAACCGAAATAATTTTGTACATAAATAAAATCCAAATAATCGGAAATAAAACATAATCATTAAATAACACCATTTAGTATGAAACCACTATTAGCGGCCCGGCCCTGATTTTAATCCCCTCTCCTAATTTTGGGCTAGATATCACTTTTTACACTCGGGGGAAATGGGCTGGGCCGCCCCTTTTTTAACGCACAAAAACTGGGCCGTCGTTTCGGGCCAAACTGGCTTCTCTTAAGCGGCCCGACTCCCTGGTTCCACTGGGCCGTCTTAAGTGGGCTCTCACATGGGCCTATAATGGGCCGATCCTATAAATCAAAAACAGAAAATCTTTAATTTTTTTAGAAATTATGTTAAATCAGAAAACATGTGCATGTGCTTACGCATCCCGTCGTGCCATATTAAGTGCATGTGATTTTATCTGTGCTAGGAAAATCTTGCCAAAAAAATATTAATCTTATTTAATAAAATTGATGCAATATAAATACGCCTTTTATTAATTTGGAATCAACCGGAATTCAATCATAATTATACATCCCATGCCAAAAACACTTTCATGTAGGTGATTTTACGTAAATATTTTTATAAATCCTCAAAATTTTACAATTTCATGTACGTGTCCACATTAGTTATCTTCTTCTCTCTCTTGAGTTGACTCCATTGATTAACTTATTCCTCTAACGCAAAAACACAATCTTGAAAGAAAATGACTCTAAAAATAATAATTTTTTAATTAATATAAATATAATATTTTTAAGGGTCACAAAAATGCTTGATATTACCATTTAACACATTTTCCTCAATTTTGATGCGCTTTTACTCAATTTACAAGGTATTTGTGATATTTAAAAATTGCAACACAATCTTTTTTATAAAAAAATAACCGTGGGTGTAAAAGTCGTAAATATATATAAGTGAGTCAACTCTCGAGTCAACTCCCTTCATAAACGCAAAAGGAGACACCTCGATTATGGTGACAATCTGAAGAAATAACGTGAGATTATTCAAAGGGAATTTATGTCATTTTATGAAATAAACTCGATAAATATTATGTTGATTTTTTATTTTTCAATAGAAGATGTGAATTCACTATTTTACCCTTCCTTTTTCATCATCTCATTATGCACTTCCCTTCTCAACATCAAGGTTCATTTCCACAAGCTTTACAAAGTTATCACACAAGCACATGAATGCAACGACTGATGTAGAGAGAGAAAGAGAGAGACAGAGAGTTATAACCTTCCGAGTTCCCCTTTCTCTCTCATCCCTCCTCCTCCGGAGCTTTGGTTAAAAGATAGACATGGCGGCACCTCGGATTCAGAAAAACACCTCGCAAGCCGAGTACCGGGCTCCCTTCTCTCTCATAAGCTTCACGACCACCTTCTTTCTGAGCTCTTCCTCTTCCTCCTCGGCACACTGCAGATCATAAAACAGGAAACGTGCATCTGAGTCGCTTGCCATAAACAGAAAAAAATATCGGGGACGAAGGAGATGAGATGTCGGATGGGTTGGTAGAAGGTGGACTTCGATCTCTTGCTTCTTCTCATATACAATCATCCCTCGTGTTAAGTTTCAAAACAGAGGTCTTCTGAGCACAAGGAAAACCAGTAAAGAAACCCCCCCCCCCCCTCGCAAATATTTACAAGAACTGAACACGAACATGAATGTATACTAGATTTGCGATCTGCATTGGTTCAAAGGTTTAAACAGTGGAGCTCTATTAATCTCATAATCCAGATATCAGAAACCATGCTGGCGGTATTCCTTTTTTCAGGAAAAAAACTATGAAGAAGGCTCATAATATCCCAGTTTCTCGATCTATCAAAACTTGTTGGATCATACTAAAAAAAGAAACTTTCCTTGAGAGGTATGTGTTTATCCTCCGATTCCGCGATGAATTTCATCGTATTGTTTTATCATTATCCGTGGTATGATCATCTCTACACAAAAAGAGAAGAGATGATGCGCATTAGACAGCCTGAAAAGAGGTCTCCGAGCAATAATCAGGCTTGAGGCTTCGTCACCCTGCAAGTGCGGCGATGTGATGAGGCCTGCAGGTGTTCGGTAGAATGCCAAGCCGAGAAAGGACCGTACCGTGCTGGAAGGCTATGCTCCACGGGCTCGCCATGAATGGCCGCGGCGCGGATTCCGTGCGACTGTTCTCGCTCATGGAGGCCGAGCCGAACGAGGTGACGTTCCTGTGCCTCCTCTGCGGGTGCGCCCACCGCGGGGTGATCGAGGAAGTCCGCAGCTGCTTTGAGGCTATGAAGGAGGTATACGGGATGGAGCCCCGGGTGACGCACTACAGAGCCATGGTGGATCTGCTCGGCCGCGCGGGGCTGCTCAGGGAGGCTCTGGAGGTGGCCTCCGCCGTGCCCGTTGAGCCCAACAGCGTGGTGTGGGGATCGCTGCTCAACGTTCGCCGGATTCACGGGAATTTGACCATGGTGGAGCAGGGAGGTCCGCAGGGGACACCGGCCGCTTCGTCATCATGTCGAACATGTATAGAGAGGCGGGGATGGCGGAGAAGGCCCCGCGAATGACGGGGGCCGTGTGGAGGAAGCCGAGGGTGAAGAGCTGGCTACAGATGGGTTCCCTGGTGCACGAGTTTTGGGGCGACCGGCGATGGCCGCCATCACCATCTTCAACAATCAGAGGAGAAGAGAGATATAGAGGGGTATCTATAGGGAGAGAAGCCCACTAAATTCCAGTGTTATCTCTCTTCGGTCAGCAGGCCAGGAAGTCTACGGTAGGGGGAATACGAATCCCTGCGGCGGGCATCATTCCATTCAATCGTGTAATCAATCCACAGGGATATCAGCATTCAATCTCATCAGCCGCTTCAGTCAGCGATTGATGAGAGCAGGAGAGGAGACGACGTGTCCTCCAGCTGCTGCTGCTCTTCCTCAAGAACGATCTCAAAGGCATGAAAGAGGGGGGAGGGGTTGACTTGATGGTTGAGTCGGGTCACCAATTACCAGTACGACGACCCCAACGAGCAGTGCTGGTTTCCCGGAGTCGCCGCAAGCTCTGGTCAGGTCAGTTCGTCTGTCACGACGAACGAGTAAATGGATTACCGGACTGACCGGAGACGATCTTCGGTCCTATCGTTCATTTCTTATCTGGGTAACCCCTGAGACCTCTTTCCACCGCCGAACATCCACCAGAGCGATGGGAGGAGGAGCACCGTGAATGCTCCTCGATTCCGGACGAGCCCAAATCTCGAAACGAGGAATCTCAGTAAATTAGGCACCTACAGCCTGCGGTCTACAGTAGGCGCATGTGGTTGGGGGAGGGTGGGGTGGGCGGCGGAGCTTTTTAAAAGCCGAGAGGCTACACCCGCCGCCATGAATACCGGCCGCCCCTCGAGACGCTTGCTGGTTAACTAACTGCCATGAACCCGGCAGGGAGCGGTCAACGAGGGATCCTAAACTGTCAATCAAGCGGCTGCTCCTGTAAAGAAAGGGATTAGATATTATCTCATCTCCTGCATGGGGATTTAATTAATTAACCACTCGTCCCCTCCCCCTCGTGCAGCTCTTTGTCTCTCACGTCGTCCCTTGCTCCGTCTTCGTGGCGCGCGCCACCATTGTTTGAGCTGCGCGAGGGCCTGGTCCTTCGGTTCAGGCGCCGGCTTGTCGGAGCCCAGCTGGGCTTCTTCTCGTCCCGTGTGGTCACGCCGGCGGGCAGCCCGAGCTTCTTCGCTTTTGCGTTTAATCGCGTCACGGGCTCCGCCTGAGATATTAAATTCGGAGACTCAGCCGGCCGTAGACAGATCGCCGGGCGGCAGAAAAAGCGACTAGATGGGGATTATCACTGCACGAAAAAGGGTTGACCGAGGAGTGGCGCCGTCCTCCGGCAATAGTTTTTGATGAGAATGAACACCAAATCTTCAACCCCACCGGTGAGCGACCAACCATTGGATTCGCTATGTACACGAGTACGGACGCGTAGCCACCATGGGTGATGTCATGAGACGGACGGAGAAATCGGTGAGAGAAAAAATAAAAAACAGGACCCGAAACTGCCACCTAGATCTTTCCCTTCTTCTTTCTTCTGCTTCAAGGACCGGCGAGCCTCCAGTGATACTGTCACAGCAGATCGGAACCTTAGCCGACTCGGTTCAGCCTCCTCCCATGTACCTGTTTCCTCGGGTCTTTCCTTCTTCTCCTAATGGCTAAAACTGTGTGCAGTTGGTATGTACAGCCTAAAAACCTAAGCGGAGGGAAGGAAGCTGTGTGCTGGTTTTGTGTACAGAGCCCGCCACCTTCTTCGCCGCCGCCGTGTTTTTACTAAGAGCAGGATCTGATGAGCCCCAGGTTGTAGAGATTCCTCTTGACCAGACTCCCCAGGTAGAAGAGGCCTGCGGCCCCACTGCTCTCCTCCCTCGGTCCCGACGACCAGCTCGGCTTCCGATGCTCGGCCGTCGCCGGCGGCATCTCCTGCACCTTGAGGCTCTCCAGGCCGATCCGCTGCTGGACGGCCTCGATCAGCTTGGGGTCCGCAGGAAGCCCCGAGGAGTCGGTGACGTAGAACACGTTGCAGGCCATCCCGCCCTTGGTGGAGGCCTCCGCCCTCGTCACCGATAGCCCGTTCTCCCGGAAGGTCCGGGTGACCTCCGACAGGAGGCCCCGCCTGTCCACCGTGCAGAGCTCCAGCCTCACTCCCTGGTACGAGACAGCGCCGCCGGTCAGAGAAGAGCATCTTCAAGGAAAGAAATCATCCCCGCTAATCAGGGTTAACAAGTACGGATTAACGATGGTAGATGCGAGGGAACGTACATCGGATGCCCTCCGCTCGATTGCGGCTTGCAAGCACAGGATCACGCGCTGCCTTTCTGCCTCCGAGCTGATGGGGCTCCCGTCGGCATGCCGGATGTAGAATTCCTGGGGATAATCGTCCGTCCGGTAGATGAGTCAGATGTAATCTGGAGGGTATTTCGAACAAGATATCAAGCAGATCTGTGTGGCAGTACGCAAGATCTTCTTACTTGATGAGCTCGATCCCCGCCTGTGTCGATCGTACCGTGGAACACGACGTACTCCATATCCGTCAGCGTGCAGACGATGTCAAACAGCAGTTTCGGCCGATCCCGGCACTGCACGTTCACGATGGAATACCCACGGTCGATCCAATTCTGGACGGAGATCGACGGAGCAGACTGAGAACCCGAGTGGTTCTCCGTCGTCGTCTGCTCGTAGTCACGGTGCGCCGACATGATCTGGTGGAGACGACGATCGGCGTGCGTGACGGAGGTGGCCGAGACGGCGGTGATCCGGGCAGAGGCGAGGGCGTCGTCGGCGTCCCCCCTGACGACGTTGCTGAGGCGGCCCTCGAGGAAGTGGATCCTCTGAGAATCTACCAAAGAGGAGCCTGAGTCCTCGTCCTTGACCTGGATCAGGGAGGCGATGCGGCCGTTGTGCGTCCAGACCTTGGCCTCCACCACGCTGCATTGCATCTCGGTGAGCACCGCGAAGACCTCAGAGAGGAGGCCGGGGCGATCAGTGCCTGCCAATTCCAGCACCGTCAAGTCGTCTGAGCAGCCAGGTCTTGAATCATTTCCGGCGCTAAGAGACTGGAATCGAAGAAGATGAAGCGTTAATTAAGGGACCTGCCTTTCGATCTCATGAGAAGGCGAAAAACCATTTGCAGAACTGTAGACCACTTCTGGTTGGTATCATTTGTTAGGTACCTGCTGGATGTAAGAGAGACTCCTCTCGTCGGTGATCTTCTCGCCAAACTGGTCTGTAACGTGGAAGACGTCCATGAACCACCGTCCGTCCGAAGATATGTAAGCCTTCTTGATGGTAAGATTGAGATCGATCAGGATCTGGACGGCTTCAAGCAGAATACCGCGTTTCCGGGCACTGTCGACCTTGATCAGCGTCGCAGTAGGGCATACGTCATTGTCGACCACGACTCTGCAGGAAGAAAGAGCGAAGCAAACCAAAGCGTTGAGAAAGCCAGGAAGATGAGGGGGGAAGAGGGAATGAGGGGGATCCAAGTCCCCCGCGGCGAACGAATGAGGGAAACTGGCACCCCAAACTGTCGGAGAAAAGCCATGGCGGCAGCGGCTCAAATCCATGGAGATTTCAACGAGATCTCACACGATCAAGGTGGGAAATCCTCTCAACAAGAGGCCGAATCACGCAGAAGGCGAGGATAAACCAGGCAAAGGCAGCTGAAGTCCCGGCGCAAACCTGGGGGTGTTCATCCGCCTGACGAGCTTCTCGTACGCGTCCGAAAACGAAGGCCATTCCATCTCCCCTTCCTTGCAAAACCTCCCCACCAAATCCCAGCTCCGAAGAAATCCCAAGCAACCCCGCCCCCTCTCCCTCCTCGAATTCGAATCTCTTCCCCTCCCTTCACTCAGATCCCGAAGAGATCTACACACTCAATCCGATCAGCCAACCGTCTCCCCCAAAACCCCCGCCCTCTAAATTCCTTCTTCTCCCTCTGTCCTCTCCCTCTCTCTCTCTTCCCGAACGCGATGCAACGACGAGAGCGCATATGTAGGGCAGAAATCTGACTGGCAACAGCGAGCGCCGGCATCAACGCACCGGCGGCGTGCGTCGCAGCACGCCGGCTTCTCGATCCGCCCGTCCATCACATGGCCCGTGCTGACCGACCTAACTGCAACGACCTCTCGGCGCTCACACTGCCCGCGTGCGGGCCCCCACCTCTAGACGCCGTCCCCCCCCCCGGGCTCCTTCGCTGGTCGCTTTACTTCGAATCGCTTCCGACAGACCGATTCCTCGCCTCTTAGTCGCCACCACTCCCTCCACAACCACGGTGTCTCCGCTTTCTTGCAATTCACGCCAGGGGAACGAAGACCCGCCTGGTTGACCTCCGGCCGCCCCCTCGTTGACCCGGTGTTCGAGATATTTCTGCCGTGGGGTGGAAGCAAGAATTCCTCTTGTCCCACGAAACCTGAGCAGAAAGCTCAGAAATTGTGAGAAAATCTGGGGGTTTAGTGGGGAGGGAGGGGGACACGTTGCTCGTTGACTGCAGACCACCCCCCTCCCCTTCGTTACGGCCGTTGCGGTCGCCGTCGGTGGAGCGGGGAGGAAAGGAAGAGGCGTGCCTGCCGCCTCGTGGCCGACAGCTAAGCCGTGTCAGGCGACGTGCGGCGCACCAGAGCGGGTGCCACGTCAGACCGCGCGCGGGAAAGGAGATCGTGGACATGAGAGGGGACTTGAGATGGATTTTCCCGCGCTTTCCTCTTCCCGCCTAGAAGTCGTCGTTTAAAACGAGTGTGGGCCCGTCGAGGGCATGGGGAGAGGGTACGAACGCCAGCAGGCGGCAGATGGAAAACGATGAGAACGGGTGGCTGATGGCTCCTCCGAGGTGACCGGGAGGGATGTACGCCGGCGGCAACACTGGGGGCCGTGTGACGGTGCTCGTGGGAGGAGGGGGAGGGCAAATCAGATCGTCGCGAGGAATGCCAGGGATGAGGAGGAGAAGAGAAGGTTCCAACCAGCTTCCTTCCGATCTCTGAACTGCACGACCGGAAACGCGCTTTCAGGCGGCGTCCCGACGGATGGTATTGGCCTGTCTCTCCTTGTCTCGGCGTGGGATCTGAAAGGAACGCTTCGTTCTGATCTCTCTCTCCCCCCTTGGAATTCAGGATGCGTGTTCGTTTAGTTGGACTGCTCTGGGTACCGGCGCCTCTGGCCGGAACTGAATGTGTAGAATTCCAAATGATTCTCGATAGGGTTGTTTAATCCTCCCTCGTATGATAGCCAGATTGTTTCTGCTGTCGGTTTGGTCTTCTTTTTCGTTGCCAAGTAGCATCGGATTTACATGGTCGACCTGCGTTTGATCTCCAGGAATGCTCTGTTGAAGAAACAGAGGGAGTGAGACGGTCCCACAGTTGACGGCAACAGGTGGCCTACCGAGATGAGAGACCAGTCACGTGGATTCTAGGTGTAGTTCATGACGAGAGCCCCGCCCCCCCGCCCCCCCAACCACCAGACCACGTGGGTCTGGGCCTTGCAAGCATTACCAAGTAGGAAAAAAATAACAGGCGAGTGCACAAATCATGCCGAGCACCTTGGATCTAACTTGGCGTACAAGGTTCGGCACGCCGGCGGGCTCAACCTGTCAGAAGTATCCTTGGCACCCAGCTTCACGGAGGAACCCGCTGCGCTCCAGCGTCACCCCGTTTCGATCCCCAGAAGAAAAAGACTAGCTACGGTGAACAATCAACAATCGACAGCCCCACATGGCTGCGAAGCTTCTGCAAGAGACGTCGCAAGCCTTCCGCTAGCTCTCACCGCTGGCGGATTGCTCAGTTCCTTCCTGGTAAAGCATCCCGTAGTTCGATTGGAGGACTCATTTTGAAATCCATCGAGGATGCACAGACTTTACGGAAGACGGGAAGATGACGGACTCGGGGGAACCTTCATCCTTTTCATTTTTCTAACATCACATAGAGTACAGAGGTAAGTAGCGACTTTCGTGTCTGCCTTCGGCATCTGTTCAATAAAATGTCTTAGGAGTCCACTTTTCTTGAATTTTTTTACTCCGGATCTTCTGACGCGCAAGATCTCCGTCTCAGCTGCTTCACTTGGGCCCGTCGCTTGCCAAAACCGGAAGACCCACCCCCATACTGACCATGGAAACATGTTCCAGCTTGCATGGGTCTCGCAGGAGGGGAAGCCCCACGTTCAATACCCAGGAGTCGATTGTGGACAATTCATTCAATGCCGGAGTATGCGATTCCCCCCCCCCCTTCCGCCTATAACTTCTAATTAGAACCGTCGTGGGTCTCGCGTGACCCACCCCGCCGGGACACGACGCAGAGTGCGCGTCCCTCGGCGAGGGTGGCCACATCTTCGCAGTGAATGGTGTTCACGCCGAACGCCGGCAGGCCCGCGCGTGCGCCCGAACGTCGCTGGAGATCACGCCGGTCGGGAGATGCGCATCAATGCTTCCTCCCCGAGGCCCGTCAACGAAAATCCAGAGAACCCGCGTCTGAAAACCGGGGAGACTCGTCGCCCTCAGTGCAGTCAGCTTTCAACCTTTTGACATCTCATCTCCCGTCTTTCCTCTGGCGGACTTTCAGCCCCGGAGTAACCTTTCCGGGTTTGGTGGCGATGGGGATGGAATCTAGCTCCAGCGAGAACAGGCCGTGGAGCCAGCCAGCTAAGGGCGGCTTGACCGCCATGAAGCGTCGCAGTTGCACCTAACAAGCAGGCTTCTCTGAACCCGCCGGCCAGGGTCCCCCCAAATCTAACAGCAGCCTTACAACGAGAGTTGACCGGTCGCGCCGGCACGTGTTACCGCGGCGCCGACATGGCCCGGGGTTGGCTGCGGGGACACGCGGTCGAACCAATAGTGGAGGATCAGCGAGGATCCAGATCAGAGGACGGACCTCTTAAAGATCGAGCAGGTCCAGGTGATCCCTTCTCTCTCCCTCACTACTGCAAGCCCACTTCTCCAATTTTACATATTTTGGGGCCACTTGATAAACCCACACCATATATTACCCTCCAAAAATCTCACTTGATAGAATTTTTACTGCTTGCCCACAGCGGTTTCTTATGGCGTACAGGTCAACGTCTCATTCTGAACGAAGAATGGAACTGATACGCACCACGGCCCCCTTGGTTCAGCAGCCCCGTGGTATATGCTGAAGGAAGCATGCACACAGTTTCAGTTTCTTCTGTCTCCACTAATTTCCCCGTTCATCCAAAAAAAATAAAAATGAGTTGACCTGACTCCGTCAGAACCTGGTTCATCCTAAGGCACCGGTCCTTTTCGGAAATGGGTTGACTCAGACTTGCGGAAGAGCCATTACTTAATGGGGATATGCTCAAACACTAGATCCGCCATGGAAGCCCTCAAAGAGAAGGTCTAATGGAAAAATCCATGGCCGTTCGCACCAGACCCGTCACACTAGAACTCAAGGTTGACAAAGGGCACAGGTCAAACTGACGTTGACCTGATTAGGAATGGGCAGTTGTAGTGGGTACCGACGAGGACCCCAGCCCCCTGTTTTTCGTTTCCCTTCCCGGAGGCGGCCAGCTAGAGGTTTTCCACGTGTCATCTAATTATTGATCACGGTGAGTTGGCCAACTTCCATGAGTGACGGCAAGTCGGCTATTGTGGACCGAAATAGTTGGGCCGCTTGAAGGCCCAACCAGGTCGGAACCGCCGGGTGAAGTCAGATTCAGGCTGTTGTCGTTCTTTACTGTTTCAACAGAGGGAACGAGTCCAACCAGGAGGATAGGCGTTCTCAGCTCCCCCTTCCTCTTTCCACGATCGACAAGGGGGGATCTAGTTCTCGCGTGGATTTGGTGAGAATTCTGCGATCTGGGAGAGCATTGCGATCTAGGGCACCTCCTTCTGGATCGGCCTAGGGCGGCGGTCCGTGGTTTCCCTCCTCCAGGTCGGAATCTACTATGGCGGAGTCGGAGGAGAACAGCGCCCTATTCCCGATCTTCATCCTGACGCTCTTGGCGCTGCCGTTGATACCGTACACCGTCCTTAGGCTGTATCATGCCACCACAAAGAAGACCAAGAGCATCCACTGCCGGTGTTCGGTGTGCGCGCGCTCTGGAAAGTACCGCAAGTCCATATTCAAGCGGGTAAAAATTGGGATCCCTCTCCCCATCCATATTACGATAGTCTGACAATCTCTTAAGATGCTCGTTTTCAGAAAGCGTATTTCGCTTACTATTTTCATGTTTTTTTCCTTTGTTTCTTGCAGATCTCGAACTTCTCAACGTGCAGTAATCTCACGCTTGTGCTGCTCTGGGTGATTATGGCAATCCTCGTCTACTATATTAAACATATAAGCCGCGAGGTAAGCTAACCATGGATTAATATTTCCTTTCACACATGCTTTGATGTAGAGGGATGTGCGCGACGAAAAATTTGAGTCTCCTAGAACCATTTGTCGGGGGAGATAACCTATTTTTTTCTTTAGATTTGTCTCATTGAACTATCATCAAGACGTTCGAAAATTCTCCACCCTGTAAAATTGTTCCTAAAAGTACATGAAAGAAGATAAAGAGTTAGCATAGGTATCATTCCTTTCTTCTGAAGGATGCCTGTAGGGTATGCAATTTTCGTGGAGTAAAAGAGATAGCATAGGTTTGATCATTTTACCTGAAAGAGGAGATAGTGACCATGATAGGATGAGTATCTGTAGTTGAGGACACGCAAAACTGGAAAGACCGAATATTCTGGATATTCTGGATATGTTATGAAGATGGAGGAATATTCTGGATATTGTATTCGAAGGCAATGTAAGTGACAGAGTAATCAGATTTTCAATTTTATAAATTTTAATATCAAACTTATTAGCTTGATGGTTCACTCCAGCCCATCAAGCTACTACGTTTTGCAAAATGTCTATCCCTAGGGTGGCACATCATTGAGTTACAGATGGACTTTCTGACTTAAAATATCATTTACCTTAATGTTTTCTGCCCTAGTTTTTAAGCCATTGTACGTTCCAAGAAATGACAACAATCTTATTTAGAACTTCCATGAAGGTAAGAACCTGAGATCACCTGTGAGTCGATTACTTCTTTATGTTTTTTCTAATCCTGGGATCAGACCGGGATATTTCTTAGTTTAACGCTTATGTTTTGAGTGCTGATCCCATTTGAAGATCAACATCAAAATTGTGTGAAAGCAGTTGTCCAGAGGCACTATAACTCCTAGGACGGATTTGCCCACATTAATATTTAATTGCAATAACCTGGCAGCAGTAAAAAAAATGAATCAGAAAGATTCCTAGAGCGACATGTATCTTTCTGGTAAACATTTTTATCAAAGCATCGTGGATACTATCTAGGTCTCTGCTGTCCCCTTTTTGTTGAATTTGATTTAATGAACTGTGTAACACAGATAAAAACTCTAGTTCTAAGTTTTGATGAAATGAAAATATGATTCTCCTTCATGTCTGTTATCAATGTTATGTGAAGATGATCAGTAAAGTCCGAGTACCTATTAAAAATCAAGGTAATGGCACGCAGCCTCTTTTCTAAATTCTTCCAGATTTGTTAATCATCTCATTATCTTTCTTCAGGTCCAAACATTTGAACCGTTTAGTATTCTTGGATTGGAGCCGGGAGCTTCAGACTCAGAAATAAAGAAATCTTATAGAAGACTCTCCATTCAGTACCATCCTGATAAAAATCCAGATCCAGGTTGAACATGTACCGAGTGATCTTTATTTGTTGTTCTTGTATTGGGTCTCTAATATCAGCTTGACCAAGTTTCGGTTGTTTCCAGAGGCACACAATTACTTTGTGGAATTTATATCTAAGGCATATCAAGCCCTAACTGATCCAGTATCTCGAGAGAATTATGAAAAGTATGGGCATCCAGATGGAAGACAGGTGATTGCTCTGTCTCAATGAAATATTGGATCAGTTTGCTTTGTTGTTTACTCTTCCACTAAATAATACCTGTCTGCCATGGATACAGGGGCTGCAAGTGGGGATTGCTTTACCTAAGTTTTTGTTAAATATTGATGGTGCCTCTGGTGGCCTACTTTTGCTTGGTATTGTTGGTGTTGGCATACTGTTGCCTTTGATAGTAGCAGTGGTTTACCTTTCGAGATCATCTAAATATACGGGGAATTACGTCATGCACAACACTCTGCAGACATATGTATATTTCATGAAACCCTCCCTGGCTCCGAGGTATAGAGCTTGTTAACTTTACTTACCTTTTATTCTCCCTTGATAAAGTTAAGATGCGTAATGCTTTAGATGAGTATGTCGGTGATATGTTCTTTGGATGGGCTTCGTTCTTAAGAATATCATGAAATATTTCCTACAAATTGATCAGATATATTAGTTCAATGTACCCGTTTCCTGAGAGGATAATCTCTTATTAAAGTGTAAACATAGTTGTCGAATTTTTTTCTCTATCTTTTCACACACCATGTTATCAGTCCTTTAGTCAATGTTTTTGGTACTGAAATATTGTCACGCCTTAGGATTGACCAATTTTAAGTTGTTAATGATGCAGCAAGGTCATGGATGTCTTCATTAAGGCTTCGGAGTACATGGAAATCCCAGTTCGTAGAAGTGATGATGAACCCCTTCAGAAACTGTTCCTTGCTGTTCGCAGTGAGTTAAATCTGGACTTGAAGAATATAAAATCAGAGCAAGCCAAATTTTGGAAACAGCACCCTGTCTTAGTAAAGGTAATTTTCCTAGAGTCTGCTGTGTCCGTCCTCCATACTACTTATGGTTCGTAGCACATTATTTTATTGATCTTATGGGTTTTCCTTCTTCCTTTTTTGTTTTTTGCTTGATCCAGACAGAGTTATTGATCCATGCCCAATTAGCTCGTGAGTCAGCACCCTTGCCTCCTGCTCTGGACAGTGATTTCAAGCGTCTACTTGAACTTGCTCCACGGCTTCTTGAAGAATTGGTCAAGGTTAGTATTAAGATTAAGTTTGGCCAGTGTTTTCTCGCCCCGAGATTCGGATCATTTATTTATATAATTTATTTCATGTTTAATTCATCATTGATGGAACATACAAGGCAATGCCCAATATGCTTTTCAAAGTTGTCAGTCTGCTTATAGCATGTCTTATTATACTTTTCTTGGAAAGATAGGGTACCTTCTTGCTGAAGATGTTCTGTAGAATCCAATTTAGTTTAGTTTCAGGAATGAAACGATATATTCGGCATACCGGTGAGAAAAACATGATATACTTAGCTACTTAGATGGAGGTGGGCTATGTAATGCTGGGCCCAAGTGAAATATGTTCCTAGGAGATGGTTGATACTTTCGACAACCTTGGAGATATTTTTTCTATTTCACAACATTCGATGCAGAATGGACCATAGTTGGCCTTTTGTCGGTGAAGTTTAGGTGTTTTTCATCCGTCCATTATATGTGGAGCTTCAACCTGTACGGTAGTATTACTGTGTGCAGTTTACCCATGCAATACCTTTCAGCAGCTCTTGTACGATGGGGTTAATGAACTCAAGCACTGAGCCAGTGGGGGCCCAATTTTCGTGAAGGGATCTTAGTTTTAATCTTTGCTCGAATCAGTTTTCTTCCACAGAAATGAATTCGCTTCCGTTCAAGTCATTTCATGGATTTTTTAAATCGTAGCTTCTGATTAGCTTCGAGAATATCTTTGTTTCTTCCAATCAACAAAACATTCGGGGCTCTGTTAGTTCTAATCACAGCTCCTCGATTTTCATGCCGGAACGAGTAACGCCGGACCCTCGCTCCTCTGTGAATGCAGATCGCTGTAATGCCACGAAGTCCCAATGGCCGCGGATGGCTGAGGCCTGCAATTGGCGTTGTTGAGCTTTCCCAAAGCATCGTTCAGGTGAGAATTTCCATCGGTCTTTGCTCTCTAGTTGTGATGCCTGAATCCGCTTTGCCCATCAAGTTAGTTGCCTTTGTGCCTAGATTTCCTGACGGGCCCTAGACCAGGGTCTGCATGTTTCTGTCCCCGCCGGCAATGGCATTGGCATGGAATATGATTTATGTACTCCGCAGGCTGTCCCCCTCAGCGCAAGGAAGGTGACCGGAGGATCCGCCGAGGGCATCGCGCCCTTCCTGCAACTCCCCCACTTCAGCGAGGCGACCGTCAAGAAGATCGCCCGCAAGGTTGAAGAAACCCGTCCCGTCCCGTCCCATGCCATCCTTTCCTTTACACAAATAGAACGGAGCTGAATGGAAATGGAAACGATTCTCCGTCCATCTGAATCTCCTCTCCCCCACCCGGGGTCTCGCAGAGGGTGCGGACGCTGCAGGAGCTGCTGGAGATGGCGGGGGAGGAGCGCGCCGAGCTGCTGACGCAGACCGGCGGGCTCTCCGCCACGGAGGCGCAGGACGTGGAGCTGGTGCTGGAGACGATGCCCTGCGTGGAAGTGGAGATCACCTGCGAGACGGAGGGCGAGGAGGGCATCCAAGAGGGCGACATCGTCACCATGTACGCGTGGGTCACCATCAAGCGCCGCAACGGCCTCACCGTCGCCCTCCCCCACGCGCCTTTCTTCCCCTTCTCCAAGGAGGAGAACTTTTGGCTCCTCCTCGCAGACCCCGTCGCCAACGAGGTCTGGATGTCGCAGAAGCTCAACTTCTCCGACGAGGCGGCGGCGCTTGCGGCGGCGTCCACCGCCGTGAGGGAAGCCAAGGAGGCCCTCGGGGCGAGCCCCAAGGAGGTGAGCGCCGCCGTGGGGGAGTCCATCGAGAAGGTGAAGAACGGGTCGAGGCTGGTGGTGGGCAAGTTCCAGGCCCCCAACGAGGGGAACTACAGTCTCTGCTCCTACTGCCTCTGCGACGCCTGGATCGGGTGCGACCGGAAGACGAACCTGAAGCTGAAGGTCCTGAAGAGGAGCCGCGCCGGGACACGGGGCGGCGGCGGTGGCGCCACCGAGGAGGCGGCGGCGGCGGCGGAGGAGGGCGGCGAGGAGGAGGAAGATGAGGAGGAGTACGACGACGACTACGAGAGCGAGTACAGCGACGACGACCAGGAGGAGGACAAGGACGACAAGAAGGACGACAAGAACAAGAAAGCAGCAGCAGACAAGGACTCTTCCAACAGCGAAGAAGGCTCCGGCACTGACGAGGAATGAATTACAGACTGACAAGTTGGCTCTCTCTCGCTCTCTCTCTCTTTCCATCTGTCTGCTGTTTGACTCGCGCGTAGCTTGGCCGAGTTTTTGACTTGCTCTTCCTCAGTCGCCCGTTTATTGTCTTCTTCGACGAAACCAATCCTCACTCATGGAGAAAATCTACATAAATTTTGATCATCGAAAGCCAGCCGGTCAACGCCCCTTGCACCAAACATGGAATCCTCTGTCAACCCCCCTGGTGCCGACAGTAAGATCCCCGAAAATCCTACTCCGCCGCCGTCGTTCCTCCAATTACAGGCCCACCTGCTCCAGAACCTCCGCCGGAGTCTGCTGCGTGGGTCTCAAGAAAAAGCCCAGAAAAAACGATTTACTGACCAAAAGTCACGGAAGAACGCACGAAATAAATCGTTTATCGATGGAAATCCCGCCGACTTCAGCGGAATAAGGTAAAGAATAATGGGATCGGAACGGTTGAATCAATGGTAATGACCTGAAGATTATCATATGGTAGAGCATTCAAGGTTTGAAAAGTTTCAAAGTTTTGGCCCTTCATTGTACACTCTTTTCATTCATTTCTGATTGGATCAAGATTTTCATTGCCAAAAGAGGAGCTCAGCATGAGCACGATGGAGGAGAACACAAGGACTTTGAAATTTCTAATGTGTCTCCATCCAAGGTCATTGCTCGTATCGATTGATGCGGCTCTTGATTCATTACAAGCTTCTTCCCGAGAGGAGAGAGAGAGAGAGAGAGAGAGAGAGAGAGAGAGAGAGAGAGCATCAAAGCTTCTTCCTTAATAATGTACTAAAAATATTAGGTAAACCAAACATCATCAACAATCGTTCATACATATTTTATTTTTTAAAGTAATTTTCTATTGATCAATTATAAAAGTCATAATTTGATGATAATCACTCTTTAAATCAATCAATCTTGGAGAACAATTTTGGTACCATAGAGCATGCCGAACATATTAACTTATGGAATAAAAAAATTATATTTCATTGTAATTTTATTAATAGTGTGACCATCAACACATTAGACACCCACCATCTTTCTTTGACACCAATAATGCAACAATTGTTCATATACTCTTATTCGCTTTAATCAATTCTATTGCTAACAACTCTATGACTTATTTTTCCATATTTATATTATCTTCAAGGTTTGTCATGTAAGGATAAAAAATAGGTAGTTTTGCTACGAGACTTGATGATGAATATCTCTCTTAAGTGGAAAGTAGCAGATAAGTCTGATATGATAGCGAACTCAAATAAATATTTTGTGCATATTTACATATAACATCCAAAAAATCAAATTTTTGTATCAAGCTTTCTCAGTATAAAAGTATTTTAGATTTTTCATCACACTTATTACTAAACTTTGTGAAAATTTGTAATCGCTATATTTTAAACCAGAAAATTTTGTCACCAAGATTTTCAACATTTTAGATACTCATGTATTTCTACACCAAAATGACTTCATTTTAAAAATAAAATATCTCTAAAGCCATGTTCTGAATCAATAAATCATATCATATTCACAAGTAGAGACAATCCTCTAATGATAATGAAAAAAAGATATCACTCTCATCCTCGATGTTATTGCATGTTGGCTTTCAAATAGGTTGAAGTCAACTACTACCTATGCAAAAAATAGATCATCTAAAAAACAAAGATAAAAAACATATTAATAGGAAAATATTTACTGGTGATATGAAGCTGACACTTTAGCCATGAGCTCAAAATTTGGAGCTATTTTCTTGAATTTTTAGGTCTTAAATGAATTTTGGGCCTTTAAACCTTTGCGGTGCACACTTTGGCATTGTCAAGCCACCTAAGTCACAAAATTATTGCTCTTTCTTTTTTTTTTCAAAATGATGCTCTATAATCTGCCTTGTGGAATATTATGAGATCTAACTATAGTCAATGGTAGCACATGTTTGAACTTAACCGTATGAAAATATCATATGGCGACCACTTAAAAAATAATTCTAATGATCGACATGGCTCATTAAGGAGTTTATCGAGCATTTTTATGGCTAGTAATCCTAAGTTGAGTTCCAATTAATGGGGTCCATACCTTGTATGACTACCTTGACGCTTTGATACTCTAAGCTCTCCCACTAGTTGATGCCACTATGTGCTTAACTTATCCATTTTGGATCTCTGGAGTTGAAAGATAATATTGATTTTGACTTGAGACCCATCAAAGAGCATGTAGATTCTTTTACGGATAGTAGTTCTAATATGAGTTCCAGTTAGCCCTACACTTACTCTGGTTATAAGTGCATCTCCATACAGTCAATTTGCACTCAAAGAAGTGTAGAAAAGGCGGAAGACACTGCCGATTATCCGTGTCACTTTCTGATGTTCCTAGGAGTAATGTACGCGACACAACCATCACGTTTACCACCCGGCATATCCATCCAGTTGCACGCCTCACAGCTAGGCCGCATCTACCATAGCGTGGTCAATCTTTAGAGTGAGAAAGAGAAAACAAGTAGGCAGCGGAGAATCTGTGCCGTTGACTCCACATTTATGACGACGGATTGGGACAAATCTTCCAGGATGATGACCACTATCTGGGTTCAGTGTTTTGGCGAGCCCGAAATGAAAGCTTGACCTTCTTCCCTCTTGGGGGGGAGATCGAAGGGCGGCGATCCCAGTGAGAACGGGGTTCGACCGCTGATTCAGACGATAGAGCATGCTGGTATGGCCGCTAACCAGGGAATACGCTGCAAGCATGAAAATCAAGAGAGACCGCAACATCCAATCCAAGCAAAGTCATCAGTAACTTCATCGAAGAATCAGCGTTTATTGCAGAAGCAGTAGGGCCGAATACAAAAGTACTAGTTTGCCCGTCGGAATTGATCCGCTACCGCCTGGTTTTCCAAAATGCGATGATTATTCAGTGATCCAGACGCCTATTTCCTTCCAATCTATGGCAATCGACAGCCATCTCGGCGGGACAGGACAATTCTATGATATCTAAAGAAACCCTTGAAAATATCTCCAGATTCGAGATGTCCAAAAGTGGAATGCTCGGAGCTTGCGGTGGCAGCTGCGATAGACCTTCCCGGCAGTAGCTCCATCACATCTTCATTATCTTGAAACATGAGGGTAACATGAGGGGACAAGAGTGGAAGCACGATGTGATCAAGACTTGCTCTTCTAATCCTACATCGTTCTTGCTCGATCGGTCGCTCTGATCACATCATAGAGAATCTGGCCACCGGAGCTTCGCGCCCTGCAGGTACTTGGCGAAGTATTCCTGCACTAGGGTTTCTACCTCGTCGTTTTCCGGCTGTTGCACCGGCTGCCCTGCGCAGTGCCTCTCGCCATCTAGCTCTGGGCGAGGCAAGGTTTCTTCAAGGGTCGCGTTGAAGAGGGAGGAGTCAGAAGTGTACTGGCCGCCGCCGCCGCTTGGAAGGAGGATGGCGGCGCAGCTGCTGCTCCGGGCGGCGGATAGTCTCGCTTGGACGAGTCCCAGCTCGGCTTCCAAGCTTACCACCTGTCGCGAAAACTGGTGAATCCGGTGCCGAGGAAGATGATGATGATAAAGTATCAAGACCAGTCAGCCTTCTCTGTCGAGCTTAATTCTACCTGCTGCTGCAGAGCGAAGACATGGGCTACGCAGCCGAAGACGGGATCCCGCAGGCGCGCGTGGGCCTCGTAGCACATCGTCAGTACGGCGTGGAGCCGCCGGTGCGGCGGCACGCGCTGCAGCAGCTTGGATGCGTTGCTCGCCCCGAACACACGGTGCACCGCCGCGAAGTGCCCCGCTCCTCCCTCAGGGTCGAAGTATGGCGCGAATATGCACCCGCTCACGCACTTGCGCCTCAGGAACTTGCACGCCCCGCAAGGGCCCCCGCCGCCGTCGGCAGTAGCCGATCCCCAACCTCCTTCCTTGCCGTCGCCGTTCCAACTCATCTCCGCCAAACAAGTATTATCGCGCCTTATCGAGCAAAGATATGGGTACAGGCGAGGTAGGAGAGAAGCGGAGTAGAAGAAGAAGAAGAGGAAGGAAGATTGCCCGGCCTTTCGATGCGTGTGGGTCTCTCAGTCTTTAAAGCCACGGCAGTAACGTCGAAGAACCCTCGCTTCCTCTCGCCTGTCCCCCCCCTCGCAGCACGTTTGCGTGAAGCAACACGGCTACCTCCTCTCTCTCTCTCTCTCCCTCTCTCCCTCTCTCCCTCTCTCCCTCGTCCTCTCTCTACCCCTCTGTCTCTCGCTTCTTCTCTCTCTCTATCTCTTTCTCTTCTCTGTCTCTCTCTCTACCCCTCTGTCTCTCTCTTCCTCTCTCTCTCTCTCTATCTCTTTCGCTTCTCTCTCTCTCTTCCTCTCTGTCTCTGTCTCTTTCTATCTCTTTCTCTTCTGTCTCTCTCTCTCTCTATCTCTTCCTCTCTATCTAAGCTTACGTGCTGCACCACGGGGACCCAGCATAAGAGAGGTAAACGAAGGGGGAAAGGGGGAACCGGACCTCACCTTACATTCCTCCTCTGCAGCTCCGAAGCGGCCATGACGGGACCTCGTCTACCGCCCATCCCGTGGACCCAACGAGTCCACGACCGAGACACGATTTGACCTGACGGTATGCGTGACGTCATCGTTCGTAACTTACTGGGCCCCGCGACCTCAGCCGAGTCGCTGGGGGCACGCAACCCCCATCCAGCCCAGTCTGCGGCACGTGCCGTCAGGCGCGGTCTGTAGATCCGTACGGAGCAGGGGAAAATAACTGCGTCTCCCAGGTGGTGATCCAGATATCTGATCCGACGGCCCAAATTGGGCCAGATCGGTGATGCTCCTCCCCGGTCAGCGTCGTCCGCCATCACACAACATTAATTATGATCCGTTGATCCAGTGGTCCTTCACTGAGACGGGCCAATTGGTGCTGGTCTCCGCTTTGGCCTTTCCTCTTCTTCGTCGCGGTACTCCTGTTGCAGCAGGAGCGGCGCTGTTCGGTACCCTACGGCATGTTGCACCAGATTCCTCTCTCTCTCTCTCTCTCTCTCCCTCCCTCCCCACCGTTTCTCTATCTCTCTCTCTTTCTCGCGGAAGCGGGAGACAGCTGCAGCACCGCGCCGTCCGGCTGCCGTTGGGCCATGCCTGTCGCTGTGTAGCGGATGGGACGAGGGGGGCGGAGAAAGTATCTCATCTGGGGCTTTCTTTAATCTCTCTTGGATCGAACTCCACCATTTCTTGAGCGCCTCGTCTGCTCTTATCCTCCGCTTCCTTCTCTGTCCTTGGACCTGGTTTTCGAGAGGCACTCGTGTATAACTTTCCGTGCTCCCCACGGGTTGCATGACGGAAGGGGGAGGACCTCCGCTGTAGCTTGATGGTCACCTAGGAGGGCTCAAGGAGTAGAAGAATACTCTCACATGCTAACTGGACGTTTCCATCGTCAGTCTACGTGAACCCTAGTTGACTACCTTGTCTGTCGTTCCTTCATTAAAAGGGTCAGCATCGTCGTCTGTTTCCCTTGGACTTTAGGGAAGAGGCGGAGACTCCCGTCATATGCATACAAAAGCTAGCCTATAGGTCTAGGAATACCCTATGGTTTATAATTTTGGATTTCTCTTAGTCAACAATGGTCGATCGGAGCTACAGTGGCGTAAAATCTTCCCCATCACATCAGCCCTTCGGCTCGGATTCCATCCTTCTACGATTTCTTCAACCTGCATGCATGCCACCGAAGACTGTGATGTACCCACGAAGAAAGAGAACTAAATAATGAGTTAGAATGGCCATAATCTAAGTAACGAAGTACTTTGTTGGGCTCGGATTCCCCCCAAATCCCTTCAGAGTAAAGCTTAGAAGGAGAGAAGCGGACAGACCCAGGTACTATCCTAACTTTGCATGCATTTGCATTGAGGATAAGAGGCAGAGAGACATAGGGACGTACATAAGCATGCCGTCATGTAGGTAATCTTAGCATAGTTATGTGGCAATAGAATAATCGTTCCACGCTGCCGATTTGGACCCTCTCGGTGCCGATTTGGCAATAGAATAATAGTCGGAAGCCCCGGTGCATCACACCACATGCCCATTGATAACAATATAGTTGTTAAAAGATTTAACTACTACTAATGATAAGTCTAGGAAAAAACCTTTAAGGTGTTCATGTCCGGCTCAAGATTGCAGATATGGTAATATAAGAGAGGGGAGAGAGAGAGAGAGAGAGAGAGTCGTCATGTAAATAACTTACGGAGAACCAGAAGACCATCAAACATATAATTCATGCATTAAAGTTAAAATCTTCTATTACTTTGAAAAGTGCCTCTTTTTTTTTTGTTTAATGAACTTTATTTTGAGATTCAAATATTAAAAAAAAGGCCATAAGAAGACTATACTTATGGTGGTTTGTAAGTGTGATTTGTATTCCCGAGACACTAAAACGCAAGTCATGGAAATATGGGCATAATTTTTTAAAAAAATAACTAAGATTTTTGTCGCAAATATCTGAAGTTGTTCCATCACTCTAGACCTCAGTGCGAAAAGTCTCATCAGATACTATTAATATTGTACACAACTATATTCAAACGGAAATCCCCGAGCACATTATTATCCCATGATTATATTTGCGATAACTATTATCTGTCGATTCCGGTCTCTATTTTTTATGTTTTTATCAGACCACTGAGAAATAGCCTTGAAGTCGGGGCTTGACCAGCTTGACCCGTTGACCCCCCAATCCCCCCCCTGTCTTCCATGTTACCTAAACATTTACTACAACTTTTCAGTTTTTTTGATTATCCTCGGCTGCGCAACTCTGCAAAAGCTTCAGGCTCACAGGCAACTCCGAATGGATGTGAGATAAGACAATTCGAAAGAGCAGGAACTAGTATGTTACGGAAAGGTCGCCAGTCCTGACGTGCCCTTCAGGTGCTTCCCGCTGCCCATGACCCCGCCTCTTATCCCTTTCATTGCCCCCGGCGTGGGTGCGGCTTGCGCTGCCGGTAAGCGGGTCCTTACCGGCTGCGCTTCTTCCTGGGATCCCCCGGCGAATTGACCATCCGCCGCCCAAAGCTGCGATCGTCGGCTACTGGTGCATCAACTCTCCGGGTAGCTCCCCGGCTACACACTTCAGAAGGAACCCCTCGAAGATCCTCACACGTCTCGTACAGGGGGGATAGACTTCGTTTCCGGTTGATTCACTATTGGCGTGCTGACTGCACTGCTGGTTCTCTGGGCAGGTGAGGATTAAATGCACCCTTATCACGTATGTCGAACGTTTATTAGTGAAAAATATCGTAGAACCTCTAATTAGGAGTGATAATAATAATAATATTACATTAAACACCCTATAACAGAAGATATTTCAGTAAAAAAAATGTCTTCAGGGCACTATCCTAAGTTATATGTGACCTTAGCACCGTGGGATGTTGAGGGCTTATGAACAACAGACTTTGGATCTTAGACTACACGCATGCCACAGGGAGATTAGATGGATAGGGTGGTATCTGCGGTTGTAGTATGAGTGAATCGCCAAAAGGATCTCGTTTTTTTATATGTATATACATATAAAATGATTCATCGTTAAAATGAATATAATATATATATATACCAAAAAGGAATTTTGCAAGCACCACATGACACTTAAGATTGAAATTTCGGTAAAATGGACAGAATTTTCTCGATCAGTTGTCGAGAGAGAGAGAGAGAGAGAGTAGAAGAACACACTTCACTCTCCTGCATCTCACATGCCAAGTGCATTAGAAAATTAGTGTCAGAGAAGGAGCACAAAACCTCTTTAACTTTAGTTTAATAAGTTCGGTAAATCTTACATCCATATCTCGTAGGAGCTGCACCGATGGTTGACGTGGACCACATAGATGTGCCAATCCCCAGCCATCCAAAGTCAAGCTAACTAAGATTCAATTTCAAACTTTGCCAAAAGGGAAGGGGAAGCAAAGGATTAACACAAACGCCATTGAATCAGTGAAGCTGAACTACTTAGACCTTGGGGTTTTACTCAATTAGGAAAGGAAGAAATGAAATTGTGAGAAAACACAAAGAAATAAATATATAACTTACATAATACTTTCCGCTCATGTGGGGTTTTCTTGAGACAGATTGTATTCAGGGTTTTTCTGAATCATCCCCAGATAACGTGCAGTAACATAAAGTACAATGAAGTCATGACAATGGGGTCTACTGTGATAGCTTCTCACCCTAGACCCAATGGAGCGCGATTTATAAAAACATTCTAACACAAAATAAGGCATATCTTTCTATGCCTTCAACGTGTTTCATACGCAATGATTTGACTGCTAAAATATAAAGTATTTTCGATACTATTGAATTCTTTATTAGTATCATTGAATAATAATTATATCATATTCGCAAAAAGGGTCTGAATTATTGTATCCTTGGAAGTGCCATATTTGGTTGTCATGTATCCCTTTCCTATCATTATCTACAGATCTTAGATCCTCTCACTGACGGGAGAATGGAATTAAAAATCTGCTATCACGAAGATGACAAAGCTCGGAGAAGTCAAGGGAGAACGCGTCTCTTTGCGCTTACAGGGCTTCGAAGGAAACATATTAAATCCTCGAGAGAATATATTGATGTGCCAAAAGGTCATTTACTGCCAGTGACGTCAGGGCGAGGCAATAAAGAAGAAATCTTGAGATCAAACAAGTGTCTATTCATTCTGTCCGGGCAGGGTTGGGGCGGGTCGTAAACCTGTGAGAGCAAGTCGAAGGTGGCGTCTATTGGCTTCTGCGTAGCCGAGAACGATTGCTCTTTGTTCATGAGAATATGAACGAAGATGGAGACGACCGGTCTATAGATTACATAAAAATGTCGATCTTCTTCTCTGAAAATCTGGAAGACTTTTAGTGAGGGAGAGAGAGAGAGAGAGAGAGAGAGAGAGAGAGAGAGAGAGAGAGAGAGAGATTGATAGTATCGCTAGTATGAGCGAAAATAAAGCAGTTGGAGAGAGCTGTTACTAACTGATAGACTAGAGGAGAGACCTCGTGTTTATCTCCTGCGGAAGACCGAGAGAAGAGAGAGGGGAGGGACAGAGGGAGGGAGGGAAGGAGAGAGAAATTTCGATTCAGGTTTTTATCTGTGTTTGCTTCACGCAAGCAACAAAAAGAAGAGAAGGAGAGAGAGAGAGAGAGAGAGAGAGAGAGAGAGGGAGGTTAGGCTTGCCTTGCTGCTTCGCGTGACTTTAAAGTCTCATCAATACAAAACAAACGAGGCCCAGCAGTAAACACGCCCGCCCTTTCCACCCTTCACCAGAAGACAAAAGGTAAGACAGGGATGAGACTGCTCTTCCTCGCCACCCTCCACTAACACCCCTCTCCATTCTCCTCTTTCTCACCTCTCTCTCTCTCTCGCTGGCTCAAAGACAAAGGGCCAGTTAGACAGAGAGAATAGTCTTCCCCGCCCCACCTTGCTGACACTCCTTTCGATTCTCTTCATCTCTCTCTCTCTCTCTCTCTCTCTCTCTCTCTCTCTGTCTCTCTCTCTTATGAACATGAGATTACTTGAGGCGACAGCATGAGTGGAAGGGGTGGCGGAGCTTTAAGCGGCGGTTGTGCCTCTGGTGGAGGGGCCGGCGGCGGCGGAGGTCCCTGCGGCGCATGCAAGTTTCTGAGGCGGAAGTGCGTGAGCGGGTGCATATTCGCGCCCTACTTCGGCTCCGAGCAGGGAGCGGCGAACTTCTCGGCGGTGCACAAGGTGTTCGGCGCCAGCAACGTGTCGAAGCTGCTGATGCACATCCCCGCCAACAAGCGCCTTGACGCCGTCGTTACCATCTGCTACGAGGCCCAAGCCCGGCTTCGTGATCCCGTCCATGGCTGCGTCTCCCACATCTTCGCCCTCCAGCAACAGGTATTCCTTACCTACTCAACTCCACTGTGGGCATCAATAAACGGAAGTCCTCAAAGAGTAGGGTATTCTATTCCATCACTATGCGCGACAACAACCTAGTGCCCTGCTTAGATCCATTAAACAATCAACGCGACATTTATGGAATCGGGTTTAGATTTTGTCAGACTTACAGCTTCTTTGATTTATAGTTTTCAGAAAATAAAACTTTACAGCTTGAGATCTGCGAAATAAGGGCCATTTGATAAAACATTTCAGTGAATCTCTCGATATTTCTCGTAAATACCATGTCGCGTTAACAGTTCTAACAAAAAAACATTGATGTCTAAGATTTTCCCATGGAAAAAAATTATGCTACATATGCACATCGATATGAACTCATGGTTCAAATGGCGCAACATGGAGGTTATACCCGCATTTAGTTTAAGGATAATAGATATATCGTCACCTTACCTCTTCCGTGCTTTTTTTGTGTGATGTTAACTCACTGAATGATTGCGTATACAATTCGGAGAGGTAACGTGTATTTTTCTCAATTATTTGTTCTACGACCGCTTTCTTTTTATGGTACACTTCGAGTTATCATGATCATTCATGCACCTCTACCATGGTTTTATCCCGTAGTTATGTGGTAGCATAAACCGAAAGTATAGGAAATGAACTATATGAAAGTGCATATGAATGAGCATGAAATCCTGATTCTAACAGCTCTGTCTTATGGTCTTTCCTCCCTTTCCTTCGATTTTTTTCTGAGATGGAAGATGTCACAAGGCCAGACGCCTTATCTCCCTGACCAGTGAGCTTCTTCCACTGATCTTCCTGATCTCTGAACTGCATTCCCCAGTGGGGTAAAGATGGCCTCCTTTCGGGCCTGACGAGGATGAAAGGGTCTTAGAGAGTCATGGCCGGTGTTCTGGTTTCGGAAAGCGGAGAGTTTTGAATGGCCGGAATCGTTTCCTTTGGGAAGCCGATCCCATCCCCCACTCCCACCCGTCTGGGGAAACGCCGACGGTGAGGAACTACGAAGAGAAGACCGCCCCTTCTGTTCCTCTCTATATAACCATCTGCAGAGCTCTGAGCAGTCGGGCTTCACTCACTGGTTCGTTCAGTCTGAAGACAGCGGTGTATGCGGTCAGCATGGCGTCCATGAAGCCATCAGCACTGCATGGACGCAACGCCCTTTGCTGTTTTTTTTTTTCTGTTGGCGATCAAATCAATCTTGTCTTAATGTTGTCATACACTGATGATGTGAACTTAGAGTAGACGTTCGCCCCGGCCCCCTGAAACGTAACGTCCTCACCTGTGTTTTCTATTAGAGGAAGCTTCCCGAGTCCTGCGGCGGCGTTACAAGGAAGAAGATGACGTCTGCTGACCTCCTTCTTTTGCGCTGTGCAGGTGGTGAGCCTGCAAGCCGAGTTGTCCCTCCTACGGGCTCATCTTGCAACGCTAGAGCTGACTTCCCCCCCTCCGCCGCCGCCGCCGCCGCCTTCTTCACCTCTGACCATCCCCATCTCAGAGCTCCCACCTGCGTCGAGTCTTCCTCCGTCGTTTGACCTGGCGACGCTCTTCGAAACCCCGGTGAATCTGCCGTGGTCGGTCCAGCAGCAGCAGCAGGATCGGCAGGTCAACCGCCGGCAGTTCGCCCCGATTGAGGACCCCTCCGGCGGCGGCGATCTCCGATCGCTGGCGAGGGAGCTCGTCGAGGGCCAGAAGTCCGCCGCCACCTTACCTCCTCCGGCCGTCTCCAAGTGACAGACGGAGGGGCGCCGCCACTTCCTCCGGAGGTCCGTCTCTTTTGACTTGGTCCAGGAATTCTTACAAAGAACTGAAGGAATAGCTCCCTCACTTGCAACCTGGTGTGTTCATGTTATGCTCCGCGTGGGCAATCCTGCCTTCTCCTAATTAACATATGACACGAGGAGAGGACCCTTGTCTTGTTATCCAACCTGGTACGAGCTGGTAAGAACGTAGCAGCAGTTATCGTCAAGATGATATATCCGGGAAGACGACGATCAGGAGTTGTACTGCGCCGTCTCCGACTTCTGGGTGGGGAGGGTTGGGGTGCAGAGGGGGGGGCGGGGGCGGGGGCTGAAGCTGGAGCAGCCTCTCCATTAGAAGCAGAAACAGGAACAGGAGAAGTAGCAGAAGCAGCAGCGGCAACGATGGCAACAGGAGAAACAGCAGGAGCAGCAGCGCCTGCTTCAATGGTCGTTCCCTCTCCCTTTCCTGTCTCCCAAGCCGGAGGCAAGGAAGCCGACGGCCCAAAGCCCAAGGCCCGGGCGATCGCCTCCCGCGAACTTCAGTTTAAACCCTGATGCCGTCTCTTTACAGTGCAGGTAGGTCCCCGGCAAAGAATCTCCCCAGATGCCCGCTGCTAGTACTGCCAAACAAGGCCGGGATATGCCTATAAAAGGAACAGTTGACTAAAATTGGATCGATAAACACGTAATGCAACGATATTTTGCAGCAGGCCATTAGGCTATAATAACACGGAATCACCCGAATCCTAGGAGATACTTATTAGTCAACGGCTTCATGAGGCTTGGTCAACCTTAAGTATTATGTTTAGGCCCAAATATGAAAATTTATTGGGGTTGGTCCTAAGCTCACTAGACCCATCTAGAACATATGAAGGTGATTTGCATTCATTCCTCCAGTATAAATTTCGTAGAAGGTGAGCTAAATATAGTAAGAACACGAGTCAACTAAAATCCTAACTATATGAAAAATAGCTAAAAATGGCATTTTTTACCCTAAATCTTGACCCAAAGATCTACAGTGGGAGAAAAAAGATACAAGGTCAAAAAAGGTAATTATGATGGGTGGAAGGGGAAGCACGAGCCTCCGTCATTCTCATGGGTGTTAGGATAATATTTGCATTTTTTATAAATCTAAAAAATATTGAAATAAAGATGTTAGGAAGGATATTTTCGTAAATCTACGGGAGTTGCCCTAGTGAACGTTTGAGCTGGTTGTTCCCGGCTCTAGCCTCAGGGACCGAAAAGGCTTCGCCTCTGCTCGACTGGGAGTGAAGCCTCGAGCCCGCCAAAAACTCCGAAGCTCGTTCGGGGTCGTATCTTCTCCTCCCCAACACCTCCCAACTCCATCTCAGGGCATCGCTACCGTGGGGGACGGCGAAGCAGGAGCCCAGCGAAAATGAGCTACGCGGCATTCAAGATGATGCACTGGGCGACGGGGATCGAGAACTGCGCCTCCGGCTACATCACCCACTCCCCCTCGGATTTCCCTCCTCGTATCCCTTCCGTGGCGCACGACGATATCGAGGCGGACCTGCCTGTCGCGAGGATATTCGGTCCCGTTCCGAATCTAATTGTCACGGCCGGGAACGTTCTCGAGGTTTACGTCGTCAGGGTTCAGGAGGACGACGGCAGACCGCCGCGCTCTCCGACGGATCCCCGTCGTGGTGGGGTTATGGATGGTATTGTGGGCGCTCGGCTCGAGCTCGTATGTCACTACAGGTTAGCAGTGTTCCTTCTAGATCAGTATTCGATAGAAAGTGATGCTTTTGGCATGCCAAATTCGAGCTTGTTTGTTTCACGAAGAATGCGAACTAAGTACTCTTACGGTAATTTGACACTAAATGAACAAGACACAAGAGACATTATGCCTGAAAATGTTCTGCTTTTTAGCCCTCACTTGCCATGAACACGACTACTGGTCACTCTGTGTCAACTTGCAGTTATCATTTTTTTCTTGTCATTGGATTACTGGAAAAAAGAAAAGAAGAAGAAAAGGGAATGCTGACTATGCCAACATTACCTTATAACTCAAGTTAATGTCTTAATGGGTTAACTTTGTAGCTTCTTCAGAATGTTCAAACTTAAAATTCCAAGGTTGTTCATTCAGTGCTTCCATAAAATTTCCTGTTTGAATTATTTAAATCGCAAGTCACGAGCAACTTGATTATAATCAGCATTGGTTACCAAAGAACTCCCTTCAAGCTTGTACAGTCTGTATTGTTTGAGGTATATCCAGAATCAGTGTACATGCAGTAAACAAAGCTTGCCATCAGACTCTGCACTAAGTATAGATGCGCCTTTCAAGCTACATTCTTCATATAGCTTTAGGGTGTTTGGAGTGAATATTAATAGGAAGATCTCTCCACTAAGATATATGTTTTTCATGAATTTCTAGTCTTTCAAAGTTTAGTCTGCAACCAAATCCAGTCCAAAATATCTTTGGTGCAATTGGTGGACCCCAGAGATATAGGCGTGGTACTTTTCATTGCTTTATCCCTATGACCAAAGATTTTGAATGTGTGAACGAGACCATTGTTTGAAAAGAATTAAAAATACTGAAATGATTTGTAATGGTCAAGTCCCTTGATCATTTATATTGGAATGAAAGGAACCCTGCTGCGCATCTGGGAAAATATATCTCAGAGGTACGTGTACCACATTTTTCAGAATTATAACTTACAACTAATATACTATTTGAAACAATAACACAGAAAGAAAAGAAAGTTTTTCTCTGAGCAATTTCTGAGACAACAATGTTATCCATAGATTCACCATTTTGTGATGTGATTGACCTGCTATTCAGTTCGATTGCTCTATTATGGTGATCTGCATTTCCATAAAACTATCGTGAAGTACTGTTTTCTCTTTCACCCACCATATGAGCTATAACAGTGCATGAACCATTATATTAGGTCAACTTATACTAAATTGTGATTTTCAAGTGAAGGACCTGTGTGATATATCATCAAATTGGACAGGTCTCCAGTTTCACTTTGTTTCCTTTTGTTAAGTTCTTCTCTTGACATAATTTTTTGTCTCCCGCTATTTCTGTGTCTCCTAGATATTTTCAACATTTCTCCATTATTTTCTACTTCCGAGAATAAATTGGGCAGCTGAAAAGGGAGATTTTGTGTGTGAGAAATGGATTTGGATGCTTCCGTTGCTGAAGTATTTTCGACGGAAATTGTAGAATATAACCTAATATGTATCTATGTAAGGCCTCCAACTACTTTTGCTATAGTTCTCTTTTTTGATGAAATTTTACGCTTCAACTTGATATAGTATTTCATGTCTTCTTCATTGGAGTGTAGCTGGTAGTAGCTGTCATACTTTTACCGAAACATGAAGTATAAACCTATAAAGACTGTTATCCACATAGGCCTTTTGCCTGATTTCTCATGGTCTCGGAATTTATTAAAATTTTCTTATCAGCTGCTTGTTTGATGGCGTCATGCCTCGTACCAGCTGTATGGTCTACTTTTTTTGACGAAGAATGGCACGATTTTGATGGGGATGATCGTACAGAACGTTGTTTTTGTGGGCATGCTGGATATATACGTGTACAACCTCTGTCATTTTGAATATTTAGTGCATACTTGATGCTATCCACCTTCCAAGAGACGAAAGTATTAGTGGAATTTTCGTCGATAACGTTGGCCACATGTTTTATGATGTTTTCATTGATAGCAAGGTTTTATTGGACACCTATCTCGCTATTTCACTATTTCACTCTTTCACTATTTTATTGATAGCAAGGTTTGATAGCAAGTATTAATATGTATTTTTATTCTTTACCTGTTTCATTATTTCACTGTTGTATTGTTTTTGTATTTTTATTCTCTGTAGTATGTTATTTGTTTGATGTTATTACATACATTTACTTTATTTTTATAGTTTTCTAAGATAATAGCCAAAAAATCTGTTTCACTTTCCAACATTTGCTTTGGGCTTCTAGGCTGCATGGGAACATTGAATCGATGGCAATACTCTCTTTTGGGCCAGACGGTCGCGCTAAAGAAAGAGATTCTATTATCCTCGCTTTCAAAGATGCAAAAATTTCTGCCTTGGAGTATAATGATTCTATCCATGGATTGTGTACGAGGTATGTACACTAATGATATAATATTCTCTGTCTTCTTCAGCTACGGTTCAGGCTTTTGTTTGAATAGAAATGTCTACGAAATGTTCTTCATGGAAAAACAGTTTTTTTTTTTTTTTTTGCCAGTCTATGCCATGGTGCTTTTAATCAAAATTTAACTTTTTTTCTTTCCTCAATCATCCGGTGATTTCATAGAATTAACTTCCGGTGATAACCTTTTGTTATCATGGAGGGCTTTTACTCTGAATAAAGCCTGATGGAATCTACATCCATGCTTGAAATATTGTTCGGGTAAGGTCTGTGATGTTAATGTTGGGCATTGATTTGGATAAACCTCTGATTTCGTTGAATTCACCAATTATCTTGATGGCCATCAGTTGTATTTATCCAATCAAATATGATCGTATTGGCTCTTTGTGCCATGTAAGAAGAAACATTTTGCTTACCTTTAGTGCAGAGCTATTTGTTTGGATTGATGATCACTTTATGAGGAATGTTTTGGGATCTTTTGCAGTTCCATGCATTGTTTCGAGGGACCTGAATGGAATTACTTGAAAAGAGGCAGAGAATCATATGCCAGGGGTCCCATAGTCAAGGCTGATCCTCAAGGACGGTGTGGTGGGGCTCTTGTCTATGACCTGCAAATGATTGTCCTTAAGGCGGCCCAGGTGCGTTGTTTCCTTTTTCTTGTATTTTGTCTAACAATAGTAACTTCTTGACCACATAGTAAAGGCTTTTCTTAGACTTTTTCAAAATTGCCCATTTATACACGTTTTTTCTCTTTTTGAACAAATATGTTGCACCTGGCAGATTTTCAAACACTATTTTGTAGAATGTGCTCATTATCTATTATTGTTCAGTTATCATCAGATTCAAGCTTGTTACCTGACATTGTTAAGAAACATGGGTAGAAAATCTGTCAATATTGTGATGATGTAACGCTGTCACCTTCTGCAGCCACTACAAAGGACTAAAGAGGAAGGGATGAGGACATGGGTGACACGGGCCAAGGGATTTCTATGTCCAATAATGAGTCATATTCACCTTATATTCGAGACTGGAATCCTTCTTGTCAGTGGGCTGGAATCACCATTACACTATTTCTACTTTGACACATCAATGTTTAAATAGCTGTGGTTTTGACTGTCTGAGTAGTTGTCTTGGGTAGTACTATTATGTTTTTGTTCCTATTTTCTATTGCATTTACGTGAGGAACCAGTCTCTTGTACGAATGACTGGAGAAATCATCTGATTTGAACCCAAGCTACCCAATGTGGATGGGACTTGGCTATGTCTGCCCTAATTTCTTGTGGGGTTATTGAATAGCCGATTGAACTTGAAAATCCATGGAAACATAACTGCATAGAAATCGGCCAATTTTGTGTCAGCTGATTCATTATTAGACTGGCCCTTTTTGCCTTGACTTAATGTAAACTAAGAAGAGATGCACTCCACACCTACCTGTGGATAGTGCAGGATGAAGGTGATGGGGTGAAGAAGAAGATTGAAGAACAAGGAACAGAAACAGCTGTCATGTACGCTGCTTGCTGGCCATTTCTTCTCCTCCCCAGAAGGTGGGTGTTTGGTATGGAAGTCTTGGACAGTTATTCAGATGTCATATTTTATAAAAAATGCTTTAATTATCATGCAATTTTTATAAAAATATACACATCTGGGCATAATTTTTAAAGTTGGGCCGTTCTTTTGGATTGGCTGATTGGTCTGATCCAATCTTTATCTAGGTCAGTTTTCTTGGGCAGATCCTAGTTCACAGAAATCTGCGAGTCCATGATGATAGCTGCAATTAGACATGTTCTCCCTGCATTGTACTTATTTTCTTAGCTCTGATGCAATGCGAAAGTTGTGGTATAAATTGTTCAGAAACTCCATCCCGTGTTTCGTATCACATGTCATGACCACTGATCATATGCCTCTCTTCATTGGCAACAGTTGTTCCTTCAGACATCCATGTAGAGATTTGTAGGCTGTCCATAAGACAGATTTATTCCCAATTACAGGTGTCTGGATTTTTCCTTAATTGAAGACATCCATTCGGCTAGGCTTCAATATTTTTATTGATTTCAACATTTTTGCATTAGTTGCCAAGTGTGATTAATTTTAATGCTGCTTATTGAGAAGATGATTTTCTGTCCTTCCAGAAGAAAATTTGAGGCATGAGATAGAAAAATGCAAGAAAATCACTTGGAGCTCTCATTCTCCTGGTAAAATATCCAATAAGAAAACCATTAACTGTATCTAGAACTGGCTGTCCTCATCTTGGTTTCTATGATCATGGGTGCATTAATCTTACGTCATATAGTAGCTTAAAAGGAGAAAAGGTTGCGAAAAGATAGGCTTAGTTTCTTTGTATCTATTCTTGATTGCTAGTCAAATGAGTCGTTTGTGCCCTAGAGTCCAAGGAATGTCTTCTTCCAGTGCATCATCGTTTTATCCAACTTTATGTATAGTAGAATTATATTTTTGGTGGTAACTACTTCATTGTTTAGTGAATTTGTAAATCGTATAGGTGGTTTCATACCTTGCGAGAGTTCATGCCTTAGTAATCATCGTGTATATCCTCCACACTGCGAGTTGTATCAAAATTGTGAAACATTGTAATGCTATGTAGCTAGGGTTATTTCAACCGTTGGGAACCATTTTATTGCTTTGACTATGTGTAAAGTTCTAATATTTTTGACTGAAGTTTTTCTCTCTTTTTCTGGTGGTGCATTAGCAATTTTCAGAGATCATTTTCTCAACACTTTGACTTTGAGGTTTGGAATATAATTGCTTCAGCTTTCCCTTATAATGCATAGTCATGGTATTTTTCTTGAGTACAATAGTTCTGCCTGTAGAGTTTCTGCTAATAGGTCTATGGCTTGTCTTCATCTTAGGCTGGCCAAGGTTTAGGTGGAGATGAAGACGTTGCTGGATCAGGGGGACCCATCTCGGTTTGTTTCGAGTCATCATATATTATTAACTTACGGGAACTGGATATCAAGCATGTTAAGGATTTCACGTTTGTTCATGGTAATTATAATTATTGCCTATAGTTGAAGGAAGTCATTTACTTATATCATTAACTACAGCCTCCTGGCATAGGTTACTGAAGTAGCATTCTGTGCGAGTTTTTTTGCTTGGTCTCTTGGCTTTTATTGCTGAATAAATTTCCTCTTTCTTTTTGAGGAAAAACTGCATGTTGAAATTTGGCTAATCACTTTAACATGTGTTTGTGGACAAGAAATCATTTCCCTTCATTATTTTTGCTGAACTTGCTTTAAAGTTGTGTATGCTAATCATAGGGTCATGGCACCAGGCAACTTGAACTTCTCAACAAATGCTTCCATAAATGTTTAAAGGCTTATTTTGAGTTTTTTTGTCCCTAGATTTTGATCAGTTTTATCTCCTATAGAAATCAAATTCTTGGCCGCGCATATCTGCTTATGACTTGTTCTGCATTAAATAGTCATGATATACCTTGCAAATTTATCATATTCTTGTATTTACTTTTTTACTAGCCCAAAATGCTAATAATTAGTACTCATTTTCTCAAATTACTTCTTGAAGAGTGAACCTATTATTTTCCTCTACTTAACTGAATGTAACTTTAACAATATATGTAGGGTTGGTAGAGTCTTTCCTATCCTTAGGAGTCATAAAATTGAACGTACCTCAAAAATGACTTACACAAAAGGAATGTGAAAAAACAGTAACAGAAAAGCAGAACTTCCTAAAAAATCTCTAACAGGCCTAAGTATTAGAACGAATTGATATTAAAAGAAGGATATATACTTAGGAATATATCCATGAAAGTACCTCCCGATGATCATCACTCCCTATCAAGCTGGTCGGTTGATATGTTCCATTCCCAGATTGTTTTTTATTTATTAAAATTGTGCAACAAGTAGTCCCTTAGTTTGGTGATCTGTTAGTTGCATGATGGCACAAATGGAGTGCTAACTAGCTCACTGTCAAGCTTCTCTTGTATGAAGCGTTTGTTAATCTCAATATGCTTAGTTCGATTATATTGGATTGGTTATGTGCAATATTGATAGCAGATTTGTTGTCACAATACAGCTTCATAGGCCCAAGTATCGCAATCCTCAAGTCATCTAGGATTACTTACAGCCGTAGTAACTCACAGATTCCACGAGCCATGGTCCCGAATTTAGCTTCACCACTTGATCTGGCAACTATAGATTGTCTCTTACTCTTCCATGCCACAAGATTACCTCAATTAGGTTCTATCAACCATGATCCTTCATAATTTGAATCTGTATTAAATTTTGAGGTTAGTTCTCCACCTTTTTGGAATAACTATCCTCTCCTTGTGTGCCATTGAGGTATTGAAGTAGTCTATGAATTGCTTGGAAATCCTCTTCATTAGGCACATGCATGAATTGACTTATTACACTGACATCATAGGCTATTTCTGGCCCTGTGTCTGATAGGTAAATCAGTTTCCCAACCAGCGTTTGATAGCTTCCTTTGTCTGCATCTTTACTCGTTTCTTCTTTGCCCAACCTACGTTTTTGTTCAATATAGGGGTGTTTGTTGATTAGCTCTCAGGTTTTCTCGTCTCTATATGTAAATATAAAACAAACTTTTTTTTTATCATTTCCAGTAATAATTATATCATCACATAAACAAGTAGAATGGACACATTGCCTTCCTTGGCAAGTTTAACAAATAGTGTATGATTCCTTAACTTTGCCTGTATCCCCATATGTGACATAACATTTATAAATCTTACAAACCATGCTCGAGGTGATTGTTTCAGTTCATAAAGTGCTTTCTATAGTTGACACGCCTTATATATCTGATTTTTCTATCAAAATCGGATAGGATCTCCTGGAACACTTCTTCTAAATCCTCATGTAGGAAATCGTTCACATCAAATCGTTGTGGATTTCCGTCAAACTATGTTGTTACAGACATGAAGATCATCATGGTATTTATCTTAGCTATTGGTACCAATGTTTCAACATAATCATTTCCATGGATGAGTATAACCTCTTTTAACTAGCCTTCCCTTTTATCTTTCCAAAGAGAAATTACCTTTATATTTTAGAGTGTAAACCCATCTAGGTCCCATAGTTTTCTTGTCTTCAGGCCTCAGAACAATATCTCATTTCTGACTTCTTTCTGGTGCATTCATTTCCTCTTTCATGGCTTGTGTATATTCCTTATTTCCTATTCGTTTTGGGGCGAGTACTCAAGTTCCTCCATAATCACACTGAATGCTCAGCTTCGCAGATACCATCAGCCATTGGAACTTAAAACGATTTCTATCGGCCGATCTAAGCACCCGAAAAACCTTACCGGGTTCAGTGCTGCTTCTTAAATTGTTTTTATCACATCAATATAATCTATATTAGTGCCCAAGGCTTTATCTCGAGGAGATCGTTGGTCAATAGACGAAAAATCAGCTATAGGATGCTGAATACGTTCACTCCAATAGTAAGGTCAAGATTAGACTGTTAATTAAAAGTTGATGGATGAAGTGTCATTTCGATACTTGCTTTGGTCCGGATTCTTGAATGTGTCCTTGGTCTGGATTGAGTTGTACACGTCTTCAATTCCTTGGCTAGTTGATTGGATTGTGATTAATGTTGTTTTGAAGTAATTTTTGGAGATTCAGGTTCTCTTTCTCCTGGTAATTGATGGTTCAGATGACCTAGAGTTTATGACTCGTCAGTATTAGTAGATTCGGATATAACTTCCTCAGTATTGGTGCACTTGGGAGGAAACATAGATTAACGTCCTTGTGTTTGATTTGGTAGGAAGTCATCTAGGAACAATAAACCTATGCTCTCATCTTCTTTAGAAGTTTTCCCTTGAAAATAAGGAAATAGGATTTAGTAAAAAGGATTGCTTTCAGAATGGTGACATCCATAGTGACAGGTATTTTACGACTGTGAGGATGATAACATTTGATAGTTGGAATTTAGAGCTTAAGGATTTAATCTAGAATATTTTTTTTGGACGTGAACATACTGAACATTTTTGAGAATAGACAATTTGTGTTGACACTTTTAGGATAAAATTGGGAGAACATACCTAATGGAGTTTGATTTCTAATGACCTGAGAAAGAAGTAGATTTATTGAACATACCTAATGGACTTTTAGTTAAAACTGCTTCTTGCCATATGAATTTTGTTGCATTATATTGGAAAAGTAATGACCTCATAACTTCTAAGATGTCTGTTTTTGTGTTCAGCAACACCATGTTTTTGGAGAGTGTCAACACATTAGAATTCGAGGAATATCCTTGCTTTTGGAAAAAAAAGTTGGAAAATAGTTGAAGTGCTCCTTCCTACTATCAGACCAAACTTTCTTAATACTTTTCTCCACATTGAGTTTTGACCATACTACGGAATACTGGAAAAAAATGGTCACTTATTGGGTAGCTTGAGTCTCCTGAGTCACTGTTACCTGCTAAGTCTTCCCATTAAGGCTTTTAACGTCAAGAAACATCTTGATGGAAACTAGCACGGCCAAAGTCCACCCGCTTTCTTGACAATGTTTCAGTTTATTAGGCTTATTGCAGGGTTGCAGATTATTTTTCCTTTATTAGGCTTATTTCAGGAGTCCACGCCACCTTGTCTAATCATGACCTTCACCAATATCTCTTTTGGGTTACCCACTGTGATTCTCTGCAGATAATTCTCTTATCTGTGTCTGATTATCATTGAGAACTGATGCTGAGTTCTAATATATCAGTATTCCTAAGGTGTAGTGAAATCTTTCCAAGGCGATGCCATATCATTATTTTCTCAGTTATAACATGCCTGCTTCTGCTTTTGATAGCCTAAACCATAATTATTGAGATCGATTAATCTTGATTGGAAATGGATAACACCAATTCAGTTCAGGGGAGAAATCCAATGCTGGCTTGTTATCTAGAAATGACACTAAACATGATTGATTTACTGATTTATGTTATGAGCTGAATCGATTAACGATTTGTCATTCTTACTTGCATTGGTGCTGCTCGTCAGTTGAGAAAGAAGAGGAGAATGCAGAACGGAATTATATGGAACTCGTGTTATGGGAAGAAAGAGATCAGTCAAATCGGTTCAGGAATATGAGTTTATTTATGATACTTTTTTAATCAAACATATGTTCGCATATAGTTTTTAGGATTGAGAATACTCGAGTTGGGCTGTTCTCTAGGGTTGGTTGATTTGGCTGATCCAATATTATCTGGATTAGATCATGTTATGCACCCACGTATCTTCTGGGTGCTATGGACTGAAAGAGATCACAGAAATTTCTTCATAAGTTCAGAAATGAAAGACATGATTGACGCATCCAACTGGTCAAGTGCTATGAAAATAGGTTCTTTTAGCTTTGCCTACTGAGTTTGATCTAGCATTGGGTTAACTTTCTCTTCTTGTTAGATGCTTGTTAAATCCCGAGAGATTTTATGTGGTTTTTCTTTTTCTCTGTATTTCTCTTTTGTTTTTCTTTTTTTTCCATCCCTTTATATCAGTCTTTGAGGAGTTTTCTTTTCCACCGTATTGGTGGTTTTGCCCTCATTTCCACCAAAAAATAGTTGTCAGGCCATTGATTTCAGAACTATGTATTAATGTTGGCCCGTCTATGAAACCGCGGCCATTTATTTGTATCTTCCTAGATGATAATGATAATGATGATGATAATGCAGCCTCTCCAAATATGCTTGTTGCCTCGGTTGCTATGGTGGATTCTTAGGTAGTTAAATCAGGATTCTCAGATTCTGTACGACAAACGAAGGGAAAACCAAATGGCAAATGTTAGGTAGTGAACAAAAGATAAACGTAAACATTATTATTTTTTAAATGTGATTACTGCATCACTCAAGGACAAGACCTCAGTTTAAATTCGCTTTTAATATTTTTTTCTGCATGCAGCCGAGTCACGTTAATACGATGTGATTTCATGAAGTAAAATTGTAGTGCATAGTTTTTTTAGATGGTGTTGTAGTTATAATGTTTTCAAATAAGATCTGAATGCAGACGTGATTGTTTGAAAACGCGTATTTTTCTAAGCCTCATCTTGTGGGTGCAAGTTTCAATGATGCATCATGTAATAAGGCAACGGGAATATTTGTACATGCTGCTTGCAGTAAAAAGACCATCAGTCAGTTAAATGGGGCTAAGCTTCAAATAAAACTTATGTGTCTCTACAAAAGGAATGTTCTGCAAAAAACGGTTATTTCTATTTTGTACTTCTTCAATACAGCATAGTTCTTGTGCCTAGTTAGAGCAGTGGAATCGGATCATTCTTTCATTCATGCTGTTAGTGAACTTATGACGCTATGTTTACGTGGTGTCCACTGGGTTCCATTGCCTCCTAATGCCGGGGAGTAGGGGGAGTTTATTGGTGTCTGGACAACATATTTATCCAGATGTCTAATGATGCAAGAAGCCTCTGTTGTAGTTCTCTCTTTTTGTCCCCAACTTCAATGACTTATATATCCACACATCCAGAGCAGCTCTTGGCTCCAAGGTTCTTCCTCTGGACACCTTAAACATTGTAATGCTTTTTAGTGATCCTTGGTCTCCATAGTTGTCCTTATAATGCAAAGTTGTTCTTAATATAGCTCCTCTACCATTCATCTCCCCAGATGACATATGATTTCCTTTGACCAACCCCTTATTCAGGAGATAAGATCCTCTTCTCCAGGTTAATAACTACAATCTTAGACCTTTACCGCGCTCGTTGGGAGTTGGCTCTCTAATACCAGAATCAGGACGTGCAACATTTCCGATCAGTAGCATCCTTTTTATAATGTTTTGTTAATGTGCAATATCATATGATAGCTAATATTTTGGTGTTTTCATTTATAAATTTGTGATGATTCTGCTTGTTCTAGAGTTTTAAATAATGCACTTACACACTTTATCTCTAAGATTTTCAGCGTTGTTCTGACTGACATTTGATGTAATTTTGAGTCAAAATACCACATGGATTCTCTTCGAACTATATCTACTGATTTTATTTTGATACTTTCCCCTACAAGTTGTCGTGTGAGGCATATGTAAGCCTTACTGCACTCTTCTTGGGAGAATGTCTCTATTGGTGTGTCTAATTGAGAAATGGAGCTCTTGAGACAGCTTCTTATCTATTAGACTGTCATTGTTTGCTATTGATTGACATTTGGTGGTTTTTTTTTGTATATTTATTTTTCTTGCTGATCAGTCTTGTCATTCAGTTTTGTTATAAATAACTACTTGCTGATCAGTCTTGTCATTCAGCTTATGTAGAGCTTTTGGACTCCAATTCATTTCGTCATTCTGTCTGTTTTTGATTTGATATGAAATTAGCCGGTGACTTTTTTGTTCAGCTAAGCTTTATGGGTTTTCTTTGAATAGGTTATATTGAGCCAGTTATGGTGATTCTACATGAGAGGGAACTTACGTGGGCTGGGCGAATCTCATGGAAACACCACACATGCATGTTATCTGCGCTTAGTATCAACACAACTTTGAAACAGCATCCTCTTATCTGGTCTGCTGTGGTAGGTTACTGGCTTAGATATTGTTGCTGCAACATAAGCTAATCCAATTCTCGCCACATGCATTCTCTTAGGATCTTCATTAACTGTAGATGCTCCTTAGTAATCGTTTGTGATTATTCCTGATGGGTTTTATTGTCTGATATCTCATTATGATAGTTATTTATTCTTTGCAAAATAAATCTTATGATACAATTTTCAGCTAGGATGTGGTAGTTAGTCGTCTTTATTGACCTCATGTTTATCCATCTCCTTGCATTTTATGATTCAAATTTTCATTTACTCTTATGCGAATTAGTTTCTCTGGCAAGGGTATTAACCAGTGGATCAGTGGATTCTTGTGATGAAGGGTGATGGGCAACATGAGGCTTGTTTGTCATTTCTTTCTGCATCTTGCATTGCCCTTCGCTTCTAAACACGGTTTCGTTTTTTAAATTCCTAAAACATCAAATTTTATTTTATTTTATCTAGAAACAGTTTTTCCTCGTGCAAAAGAGGCTTGCAAATTTTCGACGCATTTCAAGGTTCTCTGTATGTTTACAAGTGCCAAGGAAAACTTTATCTTAAATTATATAGCACTTACTGTGAAATATCTTGTTTGTACTAATTCATTTTGTATCCTGGTTTGCCAGAATCTTCCTCATGATGCTTACACGCTCCTAGCAGTACCATCACCAATTGGCGGTGTTCTCGTAATTTGTGCAAATTCTGTTCATTATCACAGTCAGGTCAGGTGATTGATGATCATGATGATGAACACTTATTCTCTTACCGTTAGAATCCGATTGACAGCCTTCATTTCATTGATTCTTTGTTTTTCTCACGTGTTTTGCTTTGTCTTCAGTCTGCTTCATGTGCCCTTGGACTAAACAACTTCTCTGTTCCGGCAGAAAGCAGGTCTTCTCTTTTATCACTGGCTTCATACTACTTCCCGTTTTGAATGTGCAATCATTAAATTCTCTCCTCTGACAGGACTTTGTGGAGATTGCTGTATTTCATCACTTTGTTCCTGTTATTGTGACCTATGTGCATCATTTTTATTTCATCATACCGTTTATTCGAAGTGCTATGGTTTGTTCATTTGTACGTATTTTAATTAAACTGATTTAAACTTTTGTCCGGTCTTGAACACCTGTGAACCAGGCACTTCTATTGACTATAATGGACATTTATTCTGCATTAATAGTGGGATGAGGTCTTGATTGGTGATTATTTATAAGAAGTTCATGGTTTTGATTTATTCGTTCAGGAAGAGCCTAAAATGCAATTCTAATTTGCCATTCCCGGGAATGGCCTCTTTTTTGACCGATGGTACAACGTAAACAGGAAGATTGCTTAACAACAGTCAAAATAGTATCAAAATAAAGTGATTTTGCTGGCTTAATATTTCTGCTAAATTCTTGGTAGACCGTGTAAAATTTATTTGGTTTTTGAGGCTCAGTAAGGGATTCATCTTGTATAAGATTAAATTGCTCAACCATGGACAGCTTTGCTACAACCCTCTCCTAAAAATGCAATAAAGGTCGTAAACAAACACCAAGGATTGGCTTCTTTAAATCGGAGCTGCTAGTCACGACAATTAATATTGGTAACCTCCTAGTCATGGTGCACTTGGCATATGACAGCTCTGTAGCTTTTGGTTCATTGATTTTTCCTAGTTGTAGAGTACAGTAATGTTCATGGTGTACTTGGAAGGATATGGAACTCTTCTCTCTTGTCAATGATAATACCATAGGTCATGTTCTGATGCCTAGATGACTAAAATTAGTTTTGATAGCCATGGGCTATTTGGATGGAGTCTAATATGATGTCATGACTCTTCTATTTGATGATCATTATCGTGCAACATTTGGATTTTCTCCAAACCAATTTTTTCAGTTTAAGCGTGCTTGACAAAGTGATTGCCTGTCAACTTGTGTTGCTTTGCTAAACCTTTTTAAGTCAAATTGAGTTTTCTTGTTGCAATGAACTGTTTTTATTTTTCTGAGTATTCGTTTTGATGAATGCATTTCTTAGTTATTTGGGAATAAAATGTCACCCTCTATATACTTGATTTGCTATTTATTTTAATGTTTAATATATACCTTTATAATAGACTTATTAATTTCAGTTCTGATATACCACGATCAAATTTCGCTGTGGAGCTTGATGCAGCAAATGCAACATGGTTATCGCATGATGTTGCCATGTTCTCAACAAAGAATGGTGAACTTCTCCTGCTTACGTTATTTTACGATGGGAGGTAAATGTCTTAGTTGTATGCACTTCCACAGATGACATCAGTAAGATTACTTTCCCTCTTGCGATTGGCATCATAACAATAACTTGTTTTCTCCTTTACTATGGGAAGAATCGTGCAGAGACTTGATCTTTCAAAGTCTAAAGCCTCAGTCTTGACTTCGGTTAGTTAAACTGACTTGCTTTTTAGCCACAAAGATGTCTGAACTCTTATTGGTATATTGCTTCGGTTGTTTGCCATCATCTTCATGGTAAAGTAATTGTTTGACTCTGGTCTTTTTGGTTTCTTTGAAAGGGCATTGCAACCATTGGAAATTCATTTTTCTTCTTGGGTAGCCGTTTGGGTGACAGCCTTCTTGTACAGTACAGTTCTGGGGCGACTTCAAGCTCTATAAGTGGAATGGACGAGGTTTCTACAATAGTGGCCTTTTACTTTGTTCTTGTCTTATTTATAGTGATTTCTTATGATTACACTTATTATTTCACTTCCTTTTCTTGTCTTTTAATGATCTTTTCTTAGGCTTGTAGCTATTGATTTGTATTGTTCATTACTAGATATTTATGTTTTTTTTTTTTTGAGTAAAACGTTTCTATGACTTGTAACATAGAATGGAAATGAGAAAAGATCGATGAAGAAGAGAGACAGTCACACATTTGTGACAGAATTATTTGTGTCACTCAGACTCTATATTTACAGAGCTTCACTGAGTTAGCTATCTAATGAGAGTTACAATGACAGGAGAGGAGATGCTCCATCAAAATAGAGGGAGGCTTGGGCAACACTACGGGGTTATGCAGAGGAAAAACTCAAATCCTAGGAGGTTATGTAGAGGAAAAACTCAAATCCTAGGAGGTTAGGTAGAGGAAAAACTCTAACACTAAAGACAGATTACCTTTTGTGGTGAACAGTGGCACAAATCCTAGGAGGTTATGCTGAGGAAAAACTCAACTCGTATTCACATCATAGATGACTGTTATATCAAATTATCAGGGCGACAACGCAAGGAAACTAACTACTAGGAAACTGACAGACCAGGAAACGAACCAACAAGCTAGGACATGGTTCAGCTAAGAACCGAACTCCTAATTATAGATTCTTTCCCACACCCTTACGTTTACCCTTACTAGGAAAGAAACCAACAAACTAGGAAATGCCACTGTTTTTACTACCATTTCGTTCAGGTTTCCCTTTCCATCAGGATGAAAAAGTGAGATTTAGTGACTGTCAAAATAGTGTGCTGAACGTTGTAGGTGATGTGCTCCTTTTATGGTGATACCTTTATGGCTTTGGTTCGTGAAAGTCACCGGACACAATCTTAGTCATTTTTATATTTTTTAGAAAAAAAATGGGTTATTAGTTTTTTAATCTTCTTACGTATGAATGCAGCTGTCTGTTTGTCTCTGTGTGACTGTCTTTGTGACTTTGTACGTTTCCCGCCATTCTTTCATGTTCTCTACAAACTTTTTTAAAAAAAAGTTTTTTATCTTCCTTTGGGGGCTCATTTTGGGTTTTTAGTACACTGTTTTGAATGTTTTGAAGTTTAATCTAACTTTATTTTGTAAACTTCATTGTATTTATTCTAACATTTTTATAGTTGTATTATCCATTAAAGTAAATGGTTCCTGGCTAATTCTCATTCATCAAATAATGTGCAGGCTGTTGATATTGAGGTTGATGCTGTCCCTGCTAAACGATTGCGAAGAACCCCATCTGATGTTCTGCAGGATAGTGAGGAGCTTTCATTTTATAGCTCAGTCCCTAAGAGCTCAGAGTCAGCACAGGTTATTGCTGATTAAGTGCTGTGAACTCTTCCATGCCGTCCTTTTTTCTTTTATCTAGTGATAATTAGTTATTTACAATGTTTTAATCACAACTATGGGCGCCAAAAGTTATATTTAACTTCTGCATTAGTATTGTGACATTTTGTTTCTCGTTTAGTCTTTGAATGTTTCATTGATGTGAATAGCCTACTCTTTGTAAAGTAATAGAGAATCTCGTTATACTAACTTTCTGTTTCTGCAGAAGAACTTCTCTTTCGCTGTTAGGGATTCTTTTGTCAATGTTGGTCCTCTCAAAGACTTCTCTCACAGTTTAAGGTTAAATGCTGATCCTAGTGCAACTGGAATTGCAAAGCAGAGCAACTATGAATTGGTTTGTCCCTCCCTCATATGCCCATATTTTTCTTTTATCTTGATAAATTGGTGGTATGTAATTCTGAAAAATTCACTTGGTTTCTGCAATTGTCTATCTTGTGAGTGCATGAATTATCAGGAAAGAAAAATTTTAGTGGGCTCTTTTGGATTCTCAGTGACCCATTTAACCTGCTATATATTTAATGTTTTGCATTGTGTAGAGACTCCCCGTTGTTGCGGGTACAGACTCTGTTTCCAAATCTTGATGATTTATTCTTTTGTAGCGTCTTTCTGGTCTGATATTTCTATTTTTTGATTAAGCAACATGTTGGACTGGTGAGAGGTTGTTCTCTGGTGCCTTAATCTGGTTACCGAGGTTATGCTATTTCTTGGGTTGATATCAACACTGTGAAACAAAAGATCTCTGTCTAGTTGCCACGATTTTCAATTTATGATCACTTTTGTGCAGCACTGGTGGTTTCTACATTCGTTTGTGCTCTTTTGATTTTGTAGAGAGCTGCCTCCTCTACTTTTCAATGTGGTGAAATACTGGGTATTTAGGTGTTGATGTTGGTTATACCGTGATTACATGTGTTAAGGTTGTGGTGATGACCTAGTCCTTGATCTACATCAGTAATGCCTTTTCAGAGGAGAATCTATGCCTACGTGTGGTTTTCATGTAGGAGAAATGGGGGGTACTTAGTATGCAAATGTGACCCGTTGCTTTCTGGATAGGGGCGAAAGAAGTCTGGTGGATGACACTGCAAACTTATTGGTGTCATTTCTCATCCACTGAGGCTGTCCTCATCTTCCTAGAGTTTCCTACCCTTTTAAATGCCAAAGGGAAGACCCGCAACTTGAGAAGATTCAACTTCGGATATATTTTTGTCTCTCGTCCTAGCTAAAATGAGAGTGAAAATGATAGTCTAAGTATTCCCATGCCATGCGGGTGTCTTAGGAAGTTGCTGGGGGAAGGTTAATATATGTTAGAGTTAAGTCGAATGGTTACTTGTAGTCTCTTAGGAGAGCATCTTAGCTCTTTATCCAATAAAGGTTTAATTGCCATATTCGGTATTCACGTTTTTGAGTAGGGGGACGAATCAGCCTTTTGTTTGGCTCCTTATTTGTACATGGTTTGACGTTTGAATTGATCCTTTAAGACGTGTCCTTTTCTTGGAAAGGAATTGGGGTAGTTTCTTGTTTGCATACTGGAGGTTGGCGAGGTCTGTCAAATCATCTTTTGATTGTAGCCTCTTTGGAGTATCTCTCAAGATTGAAATCAAGATGGGCATATTATTTTGTATGCTTCATCTAAGCTATGTTTTGTCGGGATGGGTTGCCTTTTATTTGGGAGGTTGGTATGCGTTGATATTAAGAACTGTTTCCCTCTGATAAACTGTAGTATAAAGATGATGTAATTCCAGTCTCTGATGTTCACTTCCTAATGTCGTTATAATCAGTATTACTGGTGAACCTGATACATTGGTCCATGTTTCTGGTACGAATTGTGCAAATGTTGATTGTGCTCGCAGTATCTTAGTCTAGGTCTGTTGTACATCTACTATTAATTGGGTTGTGTTCAGGCACTTTAGGTGCTAGAGGGTGATTCCATATCCCAAAAAAACTCTTCTTTTCTTGCTACCTTTATTTGATGCGTTACATCTGTCTTGTAATGAATTTTGTAGTCTTGGGATTTTTTCGTGTACAAAAAGTCATAAAAAATGAATTCACTCTATCATTTTATTATTTGTATCTTTGCTAATGGTGGAACGTTGTTCTGGATGGAGACATTGCAAAAATTCATCTATATCAGAAGTTTTTTTGAGGCAGCATATATAATCGAAGTGAAGAAATGACTAGAATGTCACTGACGTTGAGATCCTTTTTTGTGAGCTATTCTTCTGCAAATGTCTCTGACTCTTTGCAGCTTTTCTCGTTGAACTCTGTAAGACACCCTAAATGTGAATGTAATGTAGCCATGCATTTGGACATGTCAGGTATCTTGCAGTGGGCATGGAAAGAATGGTGCTCTTTGTGTTCTTCAACAATCAATTCGCCCTGAATTAATCACAGAGGTAGATAGTTCTTCTACTTCAATGCTTCAACAATCAGGTACCATGTCCTGTGGTGGTTAAGATGGGAAGGGAAATGATGATTAGTAAAAAGTTGTGTAAAATTGACTTTTGGTTCTCTTGTTTTTTCCGTGACTTAATGGAAATTTGAATTCAAGACAGATTGAAAGCTCATTTTTCATTGTATTCAGAAAATGGGGTTTCTATCTCTCGAGCATAACATTTGATCATTTCTGAATTTTCTAGTTTAGATTATGCTGTATGCATCACATTCAATTTCTGTTTGCTTTCATGTTAGATAATATCTTTGGCTCAAATAATCTAATGTTGTTTAAATTAAAGTTTTTGAGACATTCTTCAGTTTAAAACATTCATCCAGGTAGCCTGCTTTTTTTACTTTTTACTTATTAAAAAACTAAAACCAATTCAAGTAGCTTGCCATTCCACATTTTTTACACCTCAGGGCTTGCAGGGAGTCCCCTGCTTTTAGATCCTTTCTTCCTAACGCTGTTTCTTCAGAACCAATCTCAACAGGTACAAATACCTTCATAATGAGGTTTGAAACTTAGCGGGGATTCTTTGTCTGGAAAGATTTTTATCAGCTTGAAGCATGTGCCCACGTATGCTTGGGATTCCATCTTTTCTTTTTTAGATTTGCCCTATTTCCCCGGTAAAACAGGTCATGCAAGAATGGTTTGCTGATTGTCATCAATTGGTGCGTGAAATTCTGTTGGATTTCTTTGCACTTTGTATGATGACCTTGGGGATTCAGGATGTTGTAATGAGGCTTCGCATTTTTTATCAGAACTTAAATGTATCAGTTTCCTTATTGACCTACAGCCGATTTCTCTCACATGTGATTTGTAAATTTATGAGTAATTCGCGTTTTGGATACTTAGGATCAGTTGATCCCAGTTTGAGTGAGCAGTTCTGTAACTCGATTTTTCCCGAGTTTTAAAAGAAGCTATCCAACAAAGGTCATTGCAAAGGTTGAATCAACCAAATTTCGGCCTGATATTACGAAGGTCATTTGGTTTCCAGAAACTGTACGTCTATTGGAGGAAGAATATGGGGGCATAAGTCTGTAGCTGTAGGAAATGGACACCAGTAATAAGATAGGATAACAAATAAAATGACCTCTGGAATCACTGTAACAGCAATTGCTCTCTTTTGCCACTGCTGATCACCATGACTGCTGCCATCATACGATCTGCAGCCGCCACAAAGTGTGCCATAGAGTAGGGAGTGCTCTGTCTACAGACCCTAGGATCAGAGTGATGAGATCCTCTTGGTTAAACCCTAGGATCTGATACCATATCTAAAACAAAAAAACCCTAGGCGGCTATGCAGTGGAAGAAAATGGACTTTTTCGAGTCTGGCACATGCCGGTTACATACAAGTACCAGGTCCACAAGACAATTAGTAAGCGGTCCAACAATGAATGTGCCGAACCAGTTGGGAACTGGTCCAGAAATGTACTGGATTCTTAAACTCCTAAACCAACAATATGTCTTTTCCCACACCCGGCTTTTTTACATTGTTTGATATCACAGTTGAGAAAATTCCTACACAATTTTTTATTGATGAACTCTTGCCTACACTTCCAAAATCTTAGTTCAGTTTTTGGGTGGTGCAGTCTTCTTTAACATTCGTAATCAAGTTTCCTGTTTGATATTTATTTGCCAGAATTTTGCAGGTTGAGCTGCCTGGTTGCAAAGGGATTTGGACTGTATATCACAAGAGCTCTCGTAGTCAAGTTTCGGTGGAAGATGATGAATATCATGCTTATTTAATTATAAGCTTGGAGTCACGGACAATGGTAACTTAGTTGTTGTTCTCTCCGCTTCCACATTTCAAATTCATTCAGCATGCCCTTATTGGAATATATGTAATAGATGTTCTAAACTTGAAACATTAATTTAATTAAGTCTAAGATGCCCGCCACCTTCCACCCTGGTAACCTCTTTTAGTGATAAATAATTTTTAGAGAAATCAATAAAGGAAAAAACATGAAATGTGTTAATGTGGTTGGCTTCATGTTGAGTCATCACTGTGTTTGCATGGATTAACGTTCACACATTGTTGCATGCAGAACACTAACAAGCATGAATGGCTAGCATTCACTTTCTTTTATGCACTGGAACATATGTTTCTGTGTCCATCAAGTGTGCTTGTGTGATGCGTATGATCTGATTCATATTAATATATTTTTATTATGTTGTATTTTTGTAATTGATATTTTTAGATTAGTTGAGTTCAACGTAAGATTGTTTAGAGTGACTATTTGAATGATTTTTTTGTCTCTTTTATGTTGTATTCCTAATTGCATTATGGAAACTATACCTGTTAGATTTTACTCACAAAGAGTTAGTGATTATTTTATTTTCAACTTGTTTTAAATTGGATATCTCTCGGGTATCTCACCTTGTCAACTGTAAGATCACAGACCATCGTTTTGGGTGATTTTAAATTTCATATTACTATACAGTATGCATATAGTCTCAGTACCCAAACAAGTTAGATTAGCGAGGATTAAAGTTACATTGGAAACCGTTGTAATCTAGATTTCGTGGATCACAAGATTTCGTGGCTTATTCCTCAGGTGGTTCTCTAGATTCGTTGGACAATGACTTGCTCGTTTTTTTATATTTTGAATAGATTTTGTTGCTACTAACTTTGAAAAACCATTTTTCTAAGGTTGGCCTCTGGGTTAATACATATATGTTGATTATTGATGCCTATAATTCTTGATAGTTTCTTGCATGCAGTGTGAACAAAAAGATGTTCTACAAGTAATGAACAATGATTGGCTAATCCGAATGGAATATGATAGGAATGGGATATCAATTAGGAAATGTAGGCTAAATTGTTCAGTTATTGAATTCAATTCATGAGTTTATTAGGAGCTCAATGGTTTTCTTGAATTCAATTTTTCCTCACAAGACGTGGTATAGAAGAGGATCTTTTTGCATACCTTCTTGACTCGAGGGGAAACATACCTCCTTGCAATAGATGGCGTTATCCTGAATGTTAGGAATGTGCTTTTAAATCAAGATGTTTGCTATCATCTGCTCTTTCCTAAGTTGCCATGAGATTTGGTTGGTATGCTAATCCCAAGTTGTTCTGAATGTTTGTTGATGACTCATCGAAGACCTATGGTGATGGAACAGCTCATGTTAGTAAAATTTTGGATTTCAAGTACGTGCCACGAGTAGGAGTTTTACTGCTTAATCTATCATTGTGATTCAGGCAGTAATGTGATTTGCAGTGGGAAAGAATTTTGCATGTAATCTAGATTCATTTTTTCCTTACTTTTGCTACATTCTTTCTGCTGTATTTTAGGTCCTTGAGACTGGTGAGATGCTTGGAGAAGTGACTGAAAGTGTTGACTATTATGTTCAAGGAAGTACCATTGCCGCAGGGAATATGTTTGGAAGGTGAAATGTTCATGATTTTTCCAATCTTTATTCCACGACTTATGCTTTTTCTGTTTTTTTTCATATTTCATTCGCATTTTATTTTCATCTAGTTATTCGCATTTTATTGTCATTTTTTAGGCTTTTTTTCTTTCTTTGCTAAAAAATATCAGTGCTCCTATCCCCTTCGTAACGAAAGCCTGATGGAAGAACTCCAGGAGATTTTGGCCTTCTATAGGGAGGTGGATTTTCTAGTTAGTTTAAAGGCGAACATAGGTGGTCAGTCATGCCCTGATGGCTGGCCAAAGAAAAAAAGTGTTTGTGTCTACTGGCTCGAAAAGTATACGACTTCTAACCAACTTGCCGGATAATTTATGTCAGATACCTAACCACTAGGAAACAGTGGAAAACCATCAGCGGTCTCCATCTCTGGCAATCGTTTGTTGTAGCTCTTGATATGGTTTCTGTTGGGCCATATGCCACAATACTGAAGAAAATACTTCAGCACCTATCCATCAGATTTAGGTAAAGTTGGGAAGAATTTGTGAGTCCCAGATAGATTTAACCAATTTTTAAACAATACTTCAAGTTATGGAAGAAAATCTGACAATTTCTTTGTGCTCGGATGATGTCAAGATATTCAGTTTATTTTCTTCGTCATTTTCTCTTTCTGCTTTTGAATCTTCTCTCTTTTTTCTTGTCTTCTTGCTTGTCCTCCTTTGTCTTAATATTATGTTACTTCTTCATTCTACGCCTTCACCCTTACTTTCTCATCTCCATTGTGTTCGTCTCATCACCACTGACAGAATCTTCATATTCTTCCCTCGTCTTCTTGTTGCTTAATCAGTTTTGTGTTTGAGTGCCTCGGAAGGAGGCCACAAAGAGAGCTTGATGAAGCTTTGACAGACAGAACTATATTTCTATAGCAGATCCATGTAATACACTGAAGTTGTATCGGTTTTTTAGTGTTTATAACCACAATTCGTTGCTGTGCAGGAATATGCACAAAGTTTAAAAATATCCTTAAAGAACAGCTGGGATTATATGAATGTAAAGCACAGCAGAAAGAAACTGGTTTGAGAAGATTCTACCTGCCTGATGGAGTAGGATAATCGTGGTTCTGTGTAGATGGGATGTGGCTTTTGCGTTCGTGTATTTAATTATTAACTCGAAGCTGTCCCAACAACGTCGACAAATTCATGAAATATTTTCAACAATTTCCTTGTATTATTTTCCAATTAGTTATTAGATTGCTGGTACAAACAGTCTGGCAGGCAGTCCTTTTCAGTCATTTGACGCAGAGTTATTGCAATACTTCAGCTTTCATGTTCTCTTGGGTCTTCATAACTTGAGAGGCGGATCAAGATATTAATTGAACAATCCTACAGTTTGTTTGGAAGCCTTAAGTTGAACTTGATCATGTATTCATTGATTATTCTCGTAGATTCTCATAATTTTAGACGCGTGTTCAATTTCGTCGCGGAAAGGTTTGATTTTCATAGGCAACGATGTCACTCATGCACAAATGTTTTCAACTGAACTCTTCACCCTCCACTGTCGTTATTAACCGAATAGTTGTCTGAGAAGTTTTTTTGGAGTTCTTTCTCTATTTATAGCCTCCTCTTCCTCTGTGTGCAGTGCGACTTCGGAAGTTCCTTTCATTTTCAAAATAAAAAATATCAATTTGTCCATTGGAGGCATCTTTTTTGAAATTATAACTGCTGTTTTCCTTCGTCTGGATCGCAATTTCTCCATTATTCTGACTTTATCCGTTCAAATATGATCGTGTTTATCAAAAACATTGGCAAAGATTACACCTTCCCACTTTCCTAGACCTTATGGATCCATCCTTCTTCATGAAAACGGTTGTAGATGCTGATTTGAAATCTCTTCTCTATTAATGCTCCACCACAATCGTGAATAAGTGATTGGTGGTTCGATGCTACACTCCATTTTTTGATGTGTAGTAATTCTCCATGGATTTTTGTCCGTGAAAGCTATTAGTACTTTGTGACAGATAATTCTTTCAATCTTTTCAGTGATGTGTATTTTCCATCTGTTTAGCACGTTCTTCTATTTTCTGAGGTAGACCAGGGGTTGTATCTGCTTCCTCCATTGCCCGCATTCCTGTTTATTGTATAGTTCTTGGCACTATACGCTGTTAGTGAGTTATTTGTGTCGTGAAATTGTGTTGTGGACGGTGCTTATTGTTCCCACAAAGCTGTTACCCTATTAAATTAGAATCACTTAGTGACTTTCTTGCAGGCGTCGAGTTATTCAGATTTTTGCACATGGTGTTCGTATTCTTGATGGTTCCTACATGACTCAGGAGCTTAACTTTGGCGGGCATAATTCTGAATCCGCACTGAACTCTGAGGTGACTGTAGTTTCAGCTTCTATAGCTGACCCTTATGTTTTATTGACGATGTCTGATGGAAGTGTTCAGCTACTTGTTGGAGGTATTCAGCTGCTTTATAAGTGTTATGTGAGGCTTTTATTTTCTTCGTTATAAAATTATCAGACATATATCCTGTACCTGTGTATATGTGGAAGCAATAAACTACTGATCATGCCACTTGGTCGTTTATAATTTTTGTTTGAATCTTTTAATTAGTTTTCGCACATTGACGATGTATTTCTTTCCCTGGTTTATTAATGATCTTCATCTTTCGTGCTTATTGTGTCGCCGCATAAAGTGACGTTTTGGGTGCATTCGAATGTGTTTGGAGATAAAAAAAAAGTGTTGTTGGAAATTGGAGAAGAAGAAATCGGATATATTTTTTGGGGATAGGAGGCCATAAATCTCTTCTTCCTTTCTTAACTTTTAGAAGTCTTTCTTTCCATTGTCTTTTTAAGTTCTTTGGTTTCCTTTGCCAGCAAAAAAAAAAGAGGCTATTTAGGGCATATAAATTTGTCACACTTTTTAGTACAATATACCTAATATTACCGGAGAACTTAAAAATATTACATTAAGGAAACGTATAAATAGTATCATTTTTGTCAAAAGGAAAAATTCTTTTATTTATAGAATTTCAACCGTGAATTCCATGGATTGCTGGGCCATATATATAATTCTTAACTTTTGCCATTAAACGTATAAATATTGTATCCTTTGCCTCAGTTGTCTTATCATCATTGGCACATTTGTATCAGCATTACTCGTGCTACAAGCTTGAGCTTGTAAGGTCTAAATAGTGTGGATGAGGGGATAAGAGAGATATTTTGTTTAAGATTCTCTACTCTAGGCCTATGATCAGCCTAAGAGTGAAGTAAAATACAGATATATTCAGTTCCATTTATTACTATATTCATCTTCGGTTTTCCAGTGTCACTCATTATGTATTGTCTATTATCCCTTGTCTGTTATGTTCTATCTAAAATTTGTTTACTTGAGTTATCCATTGTACTTAATATTTTGCAGACTCCACGGATTGCAGTGTCTCTGTTCAAAATCCATCAAGGTTTCCAAAATCAGAGGATGTAATATGTGCATTTGCTCTTTACCATGATAAAGGACCAGAACCATGGCTTAGAAAGACAAGTACCGATGCATGGCTCTCTACTGGTGTCGCTGAGGCCATTGATGGTAGTGATGGCTCGCTTCATGAGCAGGGTGATATATACTGCTTAGTCTGTTACGAGAGTGGCACCTTAAAACTCTTTGATGTGCCGCATTTCAACTGTGTTTTCTCAGATGATAAGTTTTTATCTGGCAAGACGCATCTCGTGGATACCTCGATTGATGAATCATCCAAAGAGTCTCAAAAAGTGATGAATAAGGGCAGTGAAGAGGCAGGTAACCCGATCAGAAGAGAATCAATAGACAGCATGAAAATAGTAGAGATAGCTATGCATAGGTGGTCGGGCCAGTACAGCCGCCCATTCTTGTTTGGAATACTAAATGACGGAACCTTACTTTGTTACCATGCATACTTATACGAGGGTCAGGATGGTTCTCCAAAAAAAGAGCCAGCTTTGTCTCCACAGGACTCCGGTGAAACAGTTTCTTCAAGACTTAGGAATTTGAGATTTGTTCGAGTCCTTTTAGACACATTTACGCGGGAGGAACCTGGAGCATTCTCTGGGCGACAAAGAATAAATATTTTTAAGAACGTTGGGGGGTATGAAGGCTTATTCCTATCTGGCACTAGGCCAGTTTGGTTTATGCTCTGCAGGGAGCGTCTACGGTTGCATCCACAGGTATTTCTTGCGATTCTCCTGACCTTTTAACAACTGTTGAAAATAGTTATTACAATGCATCTTATTTACAGACTGTTTTCTTACGGAATCATTTGATTATTTCCATTGGAAGTTAATTTAAAATGATTCTTTTTAAAAAAAGTCTTCCAGAGCCTCCCTCTACAAAACCGTTGTCTAGTTCAGGCCGACATATTGTGTCCCTCGCTGATTAAAAGTTTGCAACCTGTGGGAGTTGGTTGCTAACTCATTTTACATGGGACTGAGAAGAAATTTTCTTGACCAACATCATCCAGATACTTATTGGTTTTTCTATCATTATAAATTTAATATTTTGTTTAAAATGCTCTTCAGATGTTTAGCGTACACTGGATTTTCCTCGGACGTTACATTTATTGCTTTCTGTTTCTTCTTATCCTAAATATAAATCAATGGCATGCATTTAGTTCCTGGTTGTGAGTCAGTACCAAGCTGACTGAACCTTGTTTTATCATCTTTCAATATCAAATGTTCCTGGTTAAGAATCTTGTAGGTTGACTTTGAATAGTATCCGATGCACTCTAGCTTTTCAACTGTCTCCTGATTCGTTGTGCCATTGAACATTGTGCGTAGTTATGGTTATCGTTGTAAAGTTTAGGCCTTTTAAAGTAAAATTTCTTCTCATATATATATTTTTAACAAACATCGTTACTCATTTCCAGCGCTGTGATGGATCAGTTGTGGCTTTCTCTGTTCTTCATATTGTAAATTGTAATCATGGGCTTATATATGTTACGTCACAGGTACGGTTTCTTCACATCGAGTATAGAATACTATTTTCCAACTTTAATCACTTTTAGAATGTGTCAAAGACTGACATATAATCCCATGAAACAGGGTTTCCTCAAAATATGCCAGCTGCCAACTGTATTAAACTATGACAATTATTGGCCAGTTCAAAAGGTGGACTATTGTTGCTCAATTCTATGAAGATCTTGGTCTCTTTTAGACGAGGAGATTTTAGTGGTTATAACGAACTTTTGTTATTGTTTTTCCAGATTCCTTTGAGGGGAACTCCACATCAGATTACATACTTTGCTGAGAAAAATCTTTACTCACTTATTGTCTCTGTTCCCGTAAGTTGCGTTCACATCTATTCTATATTCCTTTCTGATAGTTGACCATTGATAATTTGAAGTTTTGGTGTGATATTATTTGCCTTGGCTGAAATGTTTTCAGTAAAAAGAAAAATATGATCGTCTGCACTTCTTCCTTTGTTCATTGAGACGTTTTTGATCATTTATTGATCTGTTCATCTGTTTCCTGATTTGTTTCTACAACACTACGACATCAACTCTCTTGATGTCTCGTCCGTTTCTTTGTTTCCAAAAAGCCTTTCTATCTTCATTTTGTTTTCTCCCTTCTGATTATTTCTTTTGCAAACCATGAAAACACATTATGTTGACAACCGCCAGTCATCATTTATGTTCTAGCCCAATCTTTGCTCTAAGGGCATTGCTTTTGTCTTTTCCTTGATATCATGAACAGAACTAAGTAGGACGCAGCATCTATCTTATAAATGTTTGTTGTAGAAATTATAATATGCCCTTTATGCTTCAGTAGTTTGCACCTTTTTTCTGTGATATACTTCAAATAACTCCATATTTTTAAATTAGTTCTCGTATCATTTAATCACCTGAATAACGTTAAATCAGGATTTTTGATAGAGACTATTCTCCTTATATTTATTAATGCTGTCTGAAAACAGATTCGAAATCAATTAATTAACTTACTGCTTCAATAAATAATCAAATTTACGAAAAAGGCTAATCTTTGAGATACAACAGCTGCCCTAAATTGAATGTCAGGCAATTCTCTTACAATCACTGAATGGTGATAGAAAGAAAGTTGTTCGTAACGTTGATTTTCTTCATCCTCTGAATGAAGTACCATGTGCATACGTTATAGTACACACCTATGCATAGATAAGCTTCTGTACGAAGTAAATCAATTCCGAGTAATTCGTTCCAAAATCCACTTTTTTTAGTTGATATGAGTTCGTGTCCCTAATTCGTAAACATTTATGGCAAAAATGTTATTTCGCTGAGCCTCCCAGTTGTCATATGATGTTATATTGCTATCTGGACCCACATTTTTCTCCAAAAAATTATTGTCGACTAATATTTGAAATTGTTATTTATTGGTTTGGATTTTCGTTTACTGTCTATTTCCCAGGTTACGCGGTCACTCAATCAAGTTCTTTCTTCTGTCATGGATCAAGAAGGTGGTCATCAGTTAGAGCAAGATCAGTTGGGTTCAGATGACCTGGCAAAAACCTATACCATTGATGAGTTTGAAGTTCGCGTTTTAGAACCCGAGAAATCTGGGGTTCATTGGGAGACCAAAGCTACAATCTCTATGCAACCATCTGAAAATACTCTCACTGCTCGCATGGTTACCTTGTTTGTAAGTTTGCAAGAGGATTTCTGTTATCATTTTGTTGTTGGCCTATTCAAGATGCTTTTGATATATTTTTCATCTCTTTCCAGCTTTCGATTGTTCTCTTATGCCAGGGAACTGAATAAATTTAAGAAAAACGGGGAATAAAATGATCCCTTAAATTTGTCCGTAAGTCGTATTAAGGGCGTCGAGTTAGCAAAATCCCTAATAAGGTATCGAAATATTTGAAAACCTCATTAGTTAACTCACAATGCTTCATCTGAAGTGTATTTAATAAATATCTGTTACCTATTCCAGTCCACAATCGAGCGAAATTGTTAAAAGAATCCATCTAAATATGGCTAGAGTGTTATGATGAATTAGAATTGAAAGTTTTTAACGTTTTTATTCTGTCTGATTGCTATGATGTCATCATCATTGATATGTTTTTATTATTTCCGGTTTGAATTTTCTCTGGGTATCTCTGATTTTCAATCCGTCAAATTGTTTAAGAATACAGATAAGGCAGTTGAGTTTGGCTGTGCACGGTTGATGTACATGGCTTATTGGCTAGATTTCTGCTAATATTTACTCCAGTTGATCATATAAATCTGTTAACTATATTGAAAAGTAAGTTGAGCAATGAAGTTGAAGAACGCTATGTTTTCGTGATTCTTTTAGTGCATATATTGAATTTTATAGTTGCCTTCATAATTGCCAGAGTGCACAGAGTTGTCTGCACTGATTGCAATGATTTTTCTTGTTGTCATCAGAATAGCACAACAAAGGAAAATGAGGCTCTTTTGGCCATTGGTACTGCCTACGTGCAGGGAGAGGATGTTGCGGGTAGAGGACGAGTGTTGCTCTATTGTCTGGGGCAAAATACCGAGAATCCTCAGAATCTGGTGATTATATTAGCGTTTTGTAAACTATGTCTAACTTAACATTGTTGCTATATTTTATCTCACAAAGTCGTTTTTGGCTTTGCCCATTTGGTTCTGATCTTTCCCCTTTGGTGCAGGTTTTGGAAGTTTACTCTAAAGAGATAAAGGGAGCAATCTCAGCTTTGGCTTCTCTCCAGGGACACTTATTAGTGGCTTCTGGTCCCAAAATCACGCTGTATAAGTGGACCGGTACAGAATTGAACGGTGTCGCATTTTATGATGCTCCTCCTCTTCACGCTGTGAGCATGAACATCGTACGTGCAGATATTTCTTGTTCAGCATTATTTTTTGAAAAGAAAATATTTATTAGTGATTCAGTCAAGTTAAATTTGCACCCCTATGAAACTTTTGTATCGTGTACTCGATTTGTATTTTCTTTTTGTGAATAAATTATAGACCTGCATCTTCTGGAAGCAAACTATTCATTTGGAATAACATTTGCAAAGTCCTCTCTCCTCTCCCTGTTTCCTCTAACATTTGAGAGAGTTCTACGCCCTAGTCTGCTGGAATAATGGCCAGGCTTGGTTACAGATTTTGATACTATCGGTATATTTGAAGAATCCAATTGTACGTTTACCTCACTGTTCCATCATCAACTGTTTATTTGATGCCTGCCATTACCCATGTCGAGAAATACGAATAGTTTTTATCAATAGGCGTCATGGAATGTCCTCTTCTTTGTTAGAGATTTCAGTTTCTCCTGTCTTGCACGGAAAAATGACGGAGATGTGACTGAGATGTACAGATAGCTAGATTTGTTTCACTTTTCCGATTACTTCCAGAACAGCTTTTCATTTACTATGAGAAGAGGGAAGCTTGAGAGGGGAAAAAATTATATGCTGAAGAAAACTAGGGATATATATATATATATATATCGATCAATTTAAGTGGATAGCTGCGAGTATCTCCCATTCTAAAGTAAAATAGGATCGTCTCAAGCTTTAGCACACATGGTTATACGAAGAGAGAGCTTGTCATTTAACTCTTTCTGCGTATGTAATTGGAAGCTTGCTTTTTTTGTGAAGTTTTTGGTTACTGTTTTCTTCGATTTCTTAAAAAACTGAATGCATTCTCGAATTAATCTGAGAGTTGGGACATTCATCATTCTACATAGGATGAGGGACTAGTAATGCACACTGTAGCGCGCTCTACTGAAATAACATTCCTCATCATTAGTCTAATGTTTCCAGATATTCAAACTTTTGCGACGATGCGTTCAATTTTTATTCAAAACTAAGTACGGACACCTGTCTTATATCTTTTTCCTGTACAATTATGTCAACAGCTATCAGTAAGAAAAAATATAATATTTCCGTCAGAAAGGCCCAATTTTCCCAACTCCTCATCAGACCGACTGCCTTGTATTTATTTGTAGAAACTCATTGTGATGAGTTACTTGAACTTGCATTGGAGTGAAGAAAACGTGCATTTTTAGGCTTGTTTTAAACACATTATCTACTGTCACCACTTGTTCTCAATTCAGATCTGTGTATGAACTTGGATCATTTGATAACTCGTAACTTTTTACGCTGTTTTATTTATCCGTTATTGGCATTGAATTTATTTCATGTTTATTAAAGGTAATTCAAACTGTATCTCACTTATGATCCTCAGAATTCAAAAGTAATGCTGAAAATTGACATGATTTCAGGTCAAGAATTTTGTTTTGTTGGGGGACATCCATAAGAGCATATATTTTCTCAGTTGGAAAGAACAAGGTGCCCAATTGAGTCTGCTGGCAAAAGATTTTGGCTCTCTAAATTGTTGTGCAACAGAATTCTTGATTGATGGGAGCACACTAAGCCTTGTAGTTTCGGATGATCAGAAGAACATTCAGGTGAGCATAACAGCCTTGTTGTGGTGCTTTTGTATTAGCTTAAAGAATCAATTGTCTTTAAAGAATTGGAAATGTAAGAAATCAATCTAGACGTGTAGCTCATATGCCCAAATTTATACAAGTCGATACAGTGCAACAGGAAATTCATCACATCTTTCTCATTCTCTATCCAGAAAGTGGCAATAGATGTAGTTGACACAAAGTAAGAACCTTCGTGTAAAAAATGAAGGCACGTGAAAACTAGAAAATATGAGAGGTACAATAACATGAAGTTCTAGGTTAACAATCAATATCTTGGACTTTTATACTGCCAGACTTGATTCAGCCAGTGGCCTTGGTGACTTTTTGGATGATAACACGTGTAGAGTAAATTCTCTATGTATTTAAGTTGCTCTTAAAAGGTGAATACGGTGATTTTTAGTTGAGCTTCAAATATTCGTAGGACTATTGAGTATGAAAAAGGTTAGTTGACTCCTTGAAATTTCTTCTGATTGTTAGTTGCGAAATAGTGGTGATGTGTGCATTGCTTTTTTTTTTTTTTTTTTTTTTGGCTAGAAGCTGTGGAACATAGCTGTCAATCTTTGAGGAAGGCCTACAATCTGTTAATGAAATTCAAACCAGCCGCCAGGCTTTGATATGGCTGTGCCAGTTTGTATGGTAGTCATATGAGAGCTGTCTAAGATTTTGATTATGTTGAAATGGAGGCCCGTTTGTGATTTGGCTCAGAATCAAGGGAGGTAGTTGGCAGCGGTGAAACCCTGGGAGTTTGAGGAATTGATGGTTGGAGGTGATTTTAGTTGATCGCTGTTAAAACGATTCAATCATTTTTAGCTTCAAATAGTTAAGAAATAAATTGCACAAGAGGGCCTCTATCTTCGCTTTCGTTCCCTAATTAACTCAGAAAGATGTCAAAACGAAAGAGAACTTCACGTTTTGTTCTTCAGTTTTGAACGGATTTAATTAATAAAAGCATCAGGTTGTTAAGACGATATATTTCGCTTGATTACTCTGTTTCTGTAACAACTCATGGAATTGTATATTATATATATATATATATATATTATTTTTTTTTAGATTATGACAATGGATCTGATTAATAACAACTCAGACCTTCTGGAATCTGTCTGGGTGTATGTCAATTAAATGCGCAAATAATTCAAAGTTTGTGCATCATCACGATGTAAATGCACAAATAATTCAGAAGTTCTTATTCTTCCATAAAAGTTTTTTTTATTCTCTCATATTTGATCAGTCTCACGGCCTTGCAAGCCTCCATGATATCATTCCATCCTCTGTGATTAAATTTTTTCTGATAAGCTCTTCATATTATCACTCACTAACTGGGTTATTCTGGCGGTTGACAATGAGCACAGATCTTCTACTACGCTCCGAAGATGTTGGAGAGCTGGAAGGGACAGAAACTCTTATCTAGAGCAGAATTCCACACTGGAGCACATGTGACCAAGTTCCTGCGCCTGCAGATGCTCCCCACTGCACTGGATCAGTCTAATCCGACCCCGGCTTCCGAGAAGACCAACCGGTTTGCGCTTTTATTCGGTACTCTCGACGGGAGTATCGGATGCGTTGCGCCGCTCGATGAGCTCACCTTCCGCAGGCTTCAGACCTTACAGAGGAAGCTGGTGGACGCTGTTCCCCATGTATGTGGACTGAACCCTAGATCCTTCCGGCAGTTTCAATCCAATGGGAAGGCACACCGTCCCGGCCCAGACAACATAGTTGACTGCGAGCTCCTCTGCCAGTGAGTCGTCCTCTCTACTTAGCCGTTGACTTTTCGTCATACTCCCCGAGCTTGTCTCTAAACTGCCCTTTTTCTCGTGGCTTTTGTAGCTACGAAATGCTGTCCTTTGGAGAGCAGCTGGAGATTGCTCATCAAATCGGAACGACTCGGTCGCAGATACTGTTGAACTTGAATGATCTTCACCTGGGAACGAGTTTCCTATAAACGATTCAGCAGCGCAGCATCATTGGCAATCTTTACATTTTTTGTATATTCTTTGGACATCACGGTGAAACTTTTACTAGTATTTCTAGATTTCGGGAGCATTATGCTTTATGTGGCATCAATCTGTCATCTGTTCTGGTTTGATCCTACAACAGTGATTCTAAATCCTAGTCTTGACCTTTTAAAGGAAACTTCCCATATTGTGGGATATATTTTATCTGAAAACTTTCCTATTTTGGGACTACCAACATCTACTAGAAAGTCATGTTGCCAACATTCCACGTGGAAGCCATAAGTTAATAGCTTCTCATGGACTAGAGTGTTTTTATTAGACTAGGTTATGATGAAATGGGTAGAGAGAGAAAGAGAGAGATTGTATGCGACGTGGTTGTGAAGTGAGCCGAGCGGTGTTACACAAACCAGGGGCGGAAAGGAGGCGGCACCGCCGGCCTTCCCACTTAGCCTCCAAAGGAGAGGTGATTAGGACTCCATAATTCTCAGAGGTGTGGTGACAACCTTCATTCATTCATCTGGGTAATGTTCTCCTTCGTCTCCCTTGCTGTCCCCTTCCACCCTGCGCCATCATCACGACGGAGAGCCCATCTCCGCCGGGTAGGAGACTGCGGTGGACCTCACCGAGTCTCAGAGCTGAATGATGAAATCCCTCTCAGGGGAGATGGAGGGGATCAGGTGGGTCTTCGTGGACCGGTGGCCGGCAGCCACACACACGCGCTTTATCTAGTGCTCTGGCGTTGACCCACGTTCTTCATCCTCTTCCTTCTGCAAAGTATTTTGACTTTCACGTGGCACCCACATGAACTCGCCCCTTCGCGTTGGGAAAGGTTGTGCGCCTCCTACGTGTGAAACATTATGCGAAGATCAGCCTCTTCCCCAACGTGACAGTGTCAGAGGAAAGTAGACTGCTAGGGCGTGGGGAGAATAAGACGTTGACCTTTTTGACGCGGGGAAGTCAATGACGTCTGTCAACACCTTTGCACTTCCGTCACCAACCTGTGTGCTCTCTCTCCTACCTATATATCCAACCTTTCCGACTGGTTCACCCATTAATCGTCTATCCGCTCTCTCTCTCTCTCTCTGACTGGCAAGAGGGAAGTCTTCTCTCCTCTTCCCTGTGGGGTTGCTCGTTCCTGCATGGCTTTAGAATTGTGGTTGTTGAAGGTACAATCGGCCGTCTCCTCCACATTCCACTTCACCCGGTGGGCGACGACCAGCGCCGCTAGCGATGGAGGAGGTGGCCACCCCGCCCATGGGGCCAGGCTCGGGATCCTCGCCTTCGAAGTGGCCAGCCTGATGTCGAAGCTGCTCCAGCTCTGGTATCATCTCTCCGACTCTCAACTCTCCCATCTCCGCCACGAGCTTCTCGCCGTCCACGGATTGTGCAAGATCGTCTCCGACGATCATGGTTTCCTCCTCGGCCTGGCAAGCGCAGAGCTTGCCGAGTCAATACGCCTAGCCGGAGAGTCCATATCGCTTCTGGCAGGGAGATGCGCCGACCCGGGTCTCCGCCGATTCGGCCCGAGCTTCAAGGAGTTCGCCGACTCGGGGCACGACCCCCATCGCTGGGTCATAAGTTGGAAGGAGATGGAAGCCAAAGCGAGGAAGATTGATCGTCATTTGTCAACGACCGCCGTCCTCCACAAGGAGATGGAGCAGCTGTGGGAAGGCGAGCAGGCACTGAAGAAGCTGGTTCAATGCTCCGGAGGCCACGGGCCTTCTCGAGTCAAGATAGCGACCATCTCGAACCTCCAACAGAAGCTGTCGTGGAAGAAGCAGGAGGTGAAACGCTTGAAGAAGATATCCCTGTGGGAATTTAGCTTCGACATCGCCACGGCGCAACTCGCCCGCTTGTCCTTTACAGTGCTCTCCAGGCTAAAGCATGTGTTCGGCGACGCTGGTGTCTCCCCCGCTTCGAATCTCCTATCTTCCTCGTTTCCCTGCATCCACTTTGTCTCCTCCGCTGTTCACCCGTCCTCTTGCGGTTCTCAACCGCTGGGATCTCCAGGAGAATTCACGTCCGGTCCTCTCATCCAGACCCAGAAGCAGCAAGATCTCGGGTTCTTTGACGCAAACTCTGCTCTTCTCCGGCCTCCTCCGAGCACCCTTGGGGCCGCCTCCCTCGCCCTTCACTACGCCACCATAATCTTCCAGATCGAGAAGCTTATCTGGTCGCCGCAGTTGATCGGACCCGACGCGAGGGACGAACTATACTCCATGCTGCCGGAGAGCCTGCGGGCGCTGCTACGGTCCCGGCTGCGCGAGGTGGGTCGGCGCTCGGCCAGCGACGCGTTGCTCGCCGACGAGTGGAGGACCGCCCTGTCACGTATCCTGGATTGGCTGGCGCCGCTGGCCCACCACACTTTGCAGTGGCAGGCCGAGCAGAGCTTCGGGCAACGGCAAAGCGCCTCGGCGCGGCCGAAGTCCCCCCTGCTCCTCCCGCAGACTCTATTCTTCGCCGACCGGGAGAAGACAGAAGGAACTATCGTCGAGCTCCTCGTCGGCCTGACCTACATGTGGAGGTGCGCGATGGAGGCGAGGAGAGCTCCTCCAGCCGCAGCGATGGCAGACTATTGGGTGGATGCCCAACAGGAGATGTAAATTCGGAAAGGTCAACTTTTATAAAGTTAGTACAATTTTATTTCCTTTGTGAGAACACTATTTTTCCGAGATTAAAACAGAACCAAGGCGCGAAGAAACGTTTGATGCAGGCTGTGCGAACATTCTATATATGTGGGCATATCCATCTGCAACATTCTTTCCTGTATTTCAAATACTTCTCACAGTACTTAATAAGTTATTGGGTGCTCTTCAGCGTGGGCTTGAGGTGAAGAAAGGGAAAGTCGGTACCAGCTGACTTGGAAACCGATATGGTAGACCCAGTCATACGAGAGTAGTTTCCACACTGGGGAAAGTGGGCAAGTCCAAGTTCTATCACTTCTGGAGTCTACGCTCAGACAAATTGAACCTAGCCGGTCAAGCGGGAGACTGTGTCTAGTCGATGCTGAGGAGAAAGATTCGTTTCTCCTCTTTCATCCTAGGTCAACCTGGAACGTTACCCACCTTGGTTCCCCTCGAGGGGGAGGTGGTTGCTACGCTTCCCCCCTTAATTTCCCTTTAAGGGTGGTCTTAGTCGGCGAAGCCTAGCTCCACCGAGTTTCCAGGCATTAGATACTTCTCTTTCATTGCATGGATGGCAACTGGGGTTATTATTTGATTTATATGCTGTTGCAAAGACAACAGTCAGGTTTTATAGTATATATTACTGTCCTGCTTAGATAACAAGCCATTGTTGTCGAGGCTAGCGGTGCCACTAGGTATTTCTTTGGACTAAAACAGGCTCAATTACAAGTGCCGTCTGCCAGCACTTTTTCTCAGTTGATGTAGCATAGTAGCTTTCCTACTACTATGGATGAGACTTAGAAATGATGCCCCTGTGTCGAGTTGATTGCCTTTCCAGGGTGAGTGGATTCCACGTGTAGAAGAACTACAAGCAACGCCTTAGGGATCTCATCTCTATATTATTTATGCCGATTTGTTAGAGAATATGTAAAATGAAATGCTTACTTTTATAAAACAAGATTTTGAAACCTTTGATTGGACTAACTAAGTTGTTATGGGTTAAATAACACGCATGAAGTTCGGTGATCTCCAAGGAAATTATTATTTATCACCCTTTGAATCCATTGGACTCTGCTACCAACATAACCTCATTCGGTTAGTGTTAAACAAATAAGTTGTCCGAATCTTTAATCTCGATTAATAGTCAATATAAAATAATAATTCTTTAATCTCGTATATTCCCTTCGCAAAGTTTCAGCTTGATAAGATTTGTCTGCTACCTCCAAAATATGACCTAAGAATAATCATTAATGACTTGATTAGAATATAGCCAGTTGCTTCACCCATTTCAATTATGAAACCTTATTTCTATTTATAAAGAGTCATGCTTAAAGGAATGGGCCCACAAATTATGGCTCGTGTGAAAATAATATCTCATTCTTGATAACAAATTCGATCTGTTGTCAAAATATGGGTCTCATTTGTTCACAATCAATTTAAATTTAGGATTTGGCGTGTCAATTATTCAACATAGTAAACAATGTTAGCACCTGAAATAAAGTCAGGTCACTAGGATGAGAGTTGGGTCGTCCATTGTAGTCCGGGCCGCACCAGATTGTATGCTTAGGTTCCCCAAACCCTGTTGACATGTTCTCGAAGTGGCCTCCTTCAGTCTAAGGGTCTGAGAGTATGCGTCCTTGTGGTCGTCTATTCTTATTTATTTGAAGAAAAATGGCTGTCATGCCGTTAATAGAGCTGGTGTTGGATGTCCGTCAAAGATTTTTCAAGGTGTTCAGATCGATCATGCCTGTTCAACTTTGGTCTCCTCGGCAAACACGATATGTCCATCTCCAATCGCTCCACCTGCACCGCCAACCAGTTCCTGCGCCTTCCTACCTTCCTCTGCCCAGTCAGTCCTCAACACGAGCACCAACAGCAACGCGGTTGTCGTGCACACACCCACGAGGGTGCCCAGTAGCAGCCCTCCCACCCCTAACCTAACCCTAAACGCGAGCACAGCAGCTAACGGCAAGGCAACGAGATAGAAGCCGCAAAGGTTGGCGTACACCCCCAGCCATGGCCGAGCCGTCCCCCGCGCGATCCCTCCACAGACCGCCAGAGGGAAGTTCACGACATCTACCAGCGCCATCAACAGCATCATCTTCCTAACCCCTTCCACCACCCCGTCGTCGCGGCTGAACAGGGACGCCCACCAGCCTCTCGAGCCGGCCATGGCGGCGCCGGCGAGGCAACCTACCACCAGGCTCACGCCCAGGCACACACGAGCGGACATACGGGAGGCAGCAGAGTTCCCCGCCCCAAGCTCGTTGGAGACCCTCGCGGAGGCGCAGGTGGCAAGGGAGACCATCACCGCGTACAGCAGGTAGTCGAAGTTGAACACCACGGCGAGTACCGAGATCATTCTCTGCGAGTGGGGGAGTTTCCCGGTGAGCAAAATGAGGATCTCGTAGCACCACCATTCGAGGCACGTAGTGAAGCAGCAGGGCCCGGAGAGCCTCAGCAGCTGTAGCCACTCCCCGAGCTTCTGGTCGCACCACCCTCCACCCTCCTTGGGACCCTCCGTCTTCTTCCGCTTCCTCTCTGCCACCACCACATACGACCCCAACATGAACGCCGTGGAGAGATCCGTCAGCCAGACGGCGGCGGAGACACCGCGGAGACCCCACGCCTTGAACAGCACCACGTTGATGGGAACGTGCAATGCCAGAGCGGCCACCGAGCTGAACAGGATGGGGAGGGTGACCCCCTGGGCGCTCAGGTAAGCCTTGAGAGGCGCGAGGAAGGCGGTCACTACGAGGTCGGGGAGAAGATACGCCACGTAAACCCTAGCAACAGCGGCGATCTCCCTCTTCTGACCGACGAGGACCAGGAGCTTGTCGATGTTCAGCCAGAGGAAGGAGATGGGCACGGCCGCCGACAGCAGAAGAATGGTCCCCATGACCAGCGTCTTGCGAAGCAGCCGGTAGTTGCCGGCCCCGTGTGCTTGTCCGCAGATGGGCTCCATAGCGCCGCAGAGACCCGCCAGCACCGACAAACCCGTAACGTTGGCGAAGCAGAATCCCAGCGAGCCGCCGGCAAGCTGCAGCTCGCCGAGCCGGCCGAGGAACATCGTCGTCACAGAGATCTTGGCGAACCAGGCTAAGTTCATGGCGACCAAAGGGAGGGCGATCGCCCCCTGCTTCCGAAGCTCTGGGACGATGACCCCCTCGCAGTCGACTTGCCGCGGCCATGGCCCAATCGGACCGCCATCTTGCGGCATGGTTTTCTGGAGATTGCTGCGCTGGTGGCTCATCCTTCTTATCACCTCTCTGTCCTTTTCTTGGTGGTTCTAACTATCGACGCACGGAATCCATGAGCATGGCCTATCCAAAAAAACGGAGCAGCCGCAACGGTCAAGGCAGTAGCACTCTTTCTGCTCCGTTACCCTGGCACAGATATATACACGCCTTCGCATCTGTTGGCCTCTTCCTCGCCGTTGTGTCGAGCAGCCGGAATCCTTAGCCGGTACGTCCGGCCTAAAGGAAGCCATATTAATCTCCTTTAAAGCTTTCACTAGTGAAAGGCTCCGCCATGACAGGGACCTCCACTGATCCCCCTCCAAAGTGAGGAGGAACACGATCGCCATGGCACCCTCCATTTGGCCTGCTCACTGCCTGGTTCATCCCCCGAGGAGATCGATGCCCACGGGTGAACTTCCTAAAAGTGTTTCACCCACGCAGGAGGAGGAGACGATCTCTCGAACAGGAGGAGAACCGCACGGCATCTCCACGTCGTCCTTATTGTTAGGGAGAGCCGTCAGGGCCCGCTCTTTCTCGCCTGTTGCCGTTTCACCGCCATAATGGTCACTCGCCCGGGACCCGGCATCCCACCCGCGCATCTCCTGGCGTGAACAGAGCGAAAGCTGGGAGCTTCCCCGCTCAGGAGACGATAAGATGCCTTCTTTTTGCAGAATCCAGCTGAATTGGCACGTTACAAAGTGGGATTTAGCTTCACCATGCACTCCGGATTAAATATGAACGATTGGAATCGGCAACGTGTGGAATCAGGCCATCAAGCACAGTTCCAGCCCAGATACGTTCTACAGGGCACGAATCGACCTCAAATCCGGAGAACAGATATGGTCAGATAAAATGATTAAGATAAAGTTGGATAGATAGGGAACATTCTTCAAGAATGCGTGTTTTGAAGTGGTTCCTACTGGCTGCGTGACTAACCAGCTGGATTGTCTAATCTGATTTTCTAGATTGAGGCTGAGAATCATAACAGGGATCGCATTTTCGAAACCTAAAAGCTGCGTGCGATAAAAAAAAACTCTCCACTCCGCCACTCTTTACCGTTCGAGTCTTCCTCTAATAATAGAAAAAAGTTGACTCCTGCTTATACCCTCTGAGTTACAGAACATGGAGTACACAAGTCTGACTAGTAGTCAATGAGGATTGATTTCAGGTGGACCAACAAAGAAAAAAATTGAAACCTGTTGTACAAATCGCGTCAAAGAACTTCCATCTTTGGCTGCCCAGAAATCCCAAGGGAAATCAGGAGGCTTATCAGATTTTTCCCGAATTTTTATATAATTTATTTTATAAAAAATGAAGGCCTTTGTAGCCCCCTCCCCCTGGCAAAAACTTATCTGCGGATGCTACCGGATATGCGCGCCTGGACAAGATGACTCTCCTTGGAAACAGCGTAGATTTAGAGGCAAAAATGAAAGAACTCGGTCGTTCAATGCCGCCTGATTTGGGCTCAACTCAGAAGAACTCAGTAGGTTATAGAGATTCACATGGTGGTTCCTTTCATGGAATTGAAATTTTCTAGACAGTAAAGGAGGACAAAGCTTGAGTCTGAAGATTCGGATATTAGGAAAATTAATCACTATGCTGCTGCTAAGTCCTCACAGGCATATTAAAAGGAACTTTTTTCAGGTGATTACACGAAATAAAGTTTCCTCTGAATTCACAAACTGCAGGTTTGGACTCGGGACCACGAGCTAGACATGAGCTTTAAAAAGGAGAGGAATCCTGGTGTCCCAGGGCCTTTTTATAAGGGAATGCAAGCTAAAACAAGTACCATCTATTCAATTTGCCCACCTTCAAGACTATTATTGCCCAGGAATCCATTACCAAAGAAACACCAATCTTTGGGGATGTTATCAAAGCGAGAAAAGAAAAGCTTTAGGAAAAGTTTAAAGAGGTCAGAAACGATCCCACTGAATTCCGCCTTTTTAAAAGGAGGCAGGGGCTTCCATTTGATGATGAACATATCCTGAGGATTAATACCAAGATCTTCGGATTTTTCACAGAGAAATAGGTGGCGCTAGGTAGACATTTTCTTCGGTGGGTGGAGTGAGGAATTTAACTTCTTGGTTCTTGGTGGAGCGAGGAACATTTTTTCAGTGGTGGGAAAATGATTGAGTGGGGTATTCTGTTTTTTTTCGTTTCTGTCTAAACGTAATTTACTTCCTCTTGTTTAAGAACGGAAAAATATTTATACAAAGTAAATACTTGTGCTTTAGGGAATTATTAACTATACCAATAGAACAATAAGGAGAATATATACAAAAGCTATCAAACAAGATGGACACTGAGGGTTCAGATTTTTATGATGCTCATAATCAGGGAGAATATTTATTTTTTACTTTAGCAGAATCAACATGAATGTAAGATATCATTAAGAAAAACGAAGAACGGGGGAGCGAATTTATACTTCACATTCCGATATGTCAGCTATCTAGGAACTTAGTATTATGGGATTAATATAATATTTCCTTGCGCCAGCTTGAAACACGTAACCAAAATCCTTCAAGAGACGGCCCCTCCAGGTGATAATCACCATCAATTTGCAAACGCTTTTTTCCCAGATAAACACGATTCGGACTTCGAGCAAGTTCAGACTCAGATTTTCACTTCAATAAAAGACTATCAGACGAAATCAGAGATATGCGATGCCTCCCGGGAGCAGAAATAGCTCAATGGATCGATAATGCAAAGATGTGAGAAATGTGGGTATGTGTTCCTTTTCCAATAATTTTACAAACCGCCACAATCAGGAGTAATTTCACTAAAAATGGAAGATCCTCAGTGATGGGTCAAATATTTCAGGCAGCCGAATAGGATAGACAAACTTCGCATGCCTAACCAACATGGGGCTCACTCAACATTTTCTTGTTATATGTGCAACCTTTGGACGATAGTCGTGAACAACAAGCCAGCAACATGATTTAGTAGGCGGCGATTAGAATTCTTAGGGAAGCCATTATTCATTAAGAGATGTACGCAACGCGACCTCACCACTATTCAAATAAAAGTTGGCGGCAAGGACAGGTCAGTACACCTCCACGCTGTTGCCTAATAGATAGCCATTTTTACTGTTGCAAACCTGCTACACTTGTTGAAGTCTGTACATGTTCAGGTAATTTTTACATTATTGAGAAGAACCATCACCAAGAGATCAAAAGCATCCGCTCTAGTTAACACTATGAAGGATGAAAAGCCATTGATAGTCCCGTCCCACAGTGAAAGAACTTGTAAAAGGTCCTTCAAACTAAGAAAATCTATGTCACAAAGTTCATTTTGCTCAGGATTGACAGAAAAAATGTGGTATGTAGGCATGAAAACCAGAAGCGAAGACCCAGCCTTCGTCTATTTCTGTCCGTTTATGTCAAATGCATTCAGAGGCAGCCAACCAGGAGTGTTGTGCTTGTTTTCCTCCGTGAGGAGTCGCTCGGATTGAGACGCAGCAACGATTGAGAGACCTCAAATCACTATCCACACGCCATCCCCTATCTCCCATGTGACTTCGCCATTGATCACAACATATAACCAGGGTGCAATACTCGAAAAAGCCACAGAAGGCTCTGCACAGCTCGAACTATGATGCAGGACATGCCAACAAGATACCTTCCCCAACGCCTCCTGGAAAGACACCAATCTCCACGTCCACCTTAGGGGATTCCTTCATCCGAACCCATTTCACCTCATAATCAATCCCCAGCCAAAGGCACTGCTGTAGAATAAGCGAACAGCTGAAAAGCGTGTTCCGCCAGTTCGTGAGGAAGAAGGACGAGTTGGAGAACCACGCACAGCGAAAGAAAGCGCGCGAAAGGGAATAGATCACGAGTAAACCGTTTTGAATAAGAGGAGCAAAACTGACATAACAATCTCCGTTCTACCTCCATCTCTGCCATAGCTTCCTGGTTCTAAGGGATACCACACGAAGTGTCGAGAACGAGACAGGCAGCTTTTATATGCTGAGCTGTTGACGGCCCAGGTCAATTGAGTCTTACACAGAAACCCGCCTAAGTCTGGGGCCGGCCCGAAAGCGTCGATGCGTGGACCTAAATGGGCCTTGAGATAGGACTCCGGCCTAAATTCACCACAAAGTCGAGAGATACCCTTGCTCCCCCACCTTTTTGGATCAAATCTGGCTAACTGGCGTACTGATCGCATCTGAACCGGGTCAACAGGTCAGATTGAGATCTCCAACTCTGAGTCCGATCTGAGATCGCATCGACCCGGACTCCGCCCGTTTATTACTTTCAAAGAGTCTGACTTGACGAGGTAGGATCGGCGAGGAATCGGGGTACATGGGATCAGATCGAGAATCAAATCTCAATCTGCATCGTCCGATCATCCAACGTAGCAGGAAGAATACCAGATAGTGAAACCCATAAGCTGGATCCATGATACTCCAGCTCTGGGCACTATCATAAGGAAAGGGGGTATTCGCTCCAACTCAGGGAGCTTTGTCTTCAACAATGGGGCTTGTCTCCACCGACGACCAGGACGAAGGAGAAGAAGAGAACCGGAGCATGGCCATGTCCTCATTCTCTCACCTATTTGGATTGCGGAGACCTGAAGTGGATGAGAAGACTATAGTCTCCGGACAATAATCCAGAGAAAAGTATGGCGGCCACAGAAAACCGGGGAGGGAGAGGTCTCCGTCCAGCAGTACGGCGACAGCCAGCCGAACATCCACGGGCGGAGGCAAAGCCTATCGCTCCGGTGACAAAGCAAACGAAGGCCAGACACTCGCCGGATTCCAAACCCATCGCCATCATCCGTGGCGTGCCTGCCCCCTCAGCGTGGCGGAAGCCCTCGCCCATTTAAAAATTCTCCGGCTGGTCTTCTTGGCTCTACTATTCTCCCTGCCGTCGTCGGATGAAAACCTAAACAACAGTTGGAACGAAAGCTTCACGACAGCCGCCGGTTCCGGCCAGCGATGGGAGGCCACCGGCGGAGGTGGGTACGCCGCGAAAGCGAGAGGCGAGGACGTCATGCTGATCCACGGCGGTGG